TATTCAATGGCAGTATACGACTACGTACCGTGGGAGTCAGTCTTTACAATAGAATTCACCGCCACAGGGGCAATTATAATGCGGCACGTCACATGCAAGTTTGGGGGGCAAGTCAGAAATTTCTTTTTGCTGCATTAGTATTTTTACCATACGGCCCATGTTGCATTTCACCACCATGTTGTTACCCAATGCCCGCTTGGTTTTTTCTTCTTGGGGTATAGTTTCCCCTTTCCATTTCACATTCACATTTTCCCTGGGGCAGGGTAAAGGGTTTCCCCCCGGGACATCATGGTATTCAAACAAAGGCAGCCAAGGAGAGCACTCCCATTGATGTTTGTAAGGGTTGATTTTTTTTTCCAGCGGGGTAGAATTTTTACTGGCTGCCACAGTTTTTTTGTTTTTTTTTGGGTGCCACAATACCAGGTAGACCCCTCCAAGGCAAATTGGGGGGGGGGGGGGGGGGGGGGGGGATATAAAAGTGCTTTTTGTGAAAACACGACGACTCCCAAAGTCTCTCTTCATCAACAATCAACGACTGCTGGACACTCGAGGCGATCAAGGTAAGCCAAAATAACGCAGCATACAGCCAAAGATGACGACCACGCATGCAACAAAGTATGACTCGAAACGGGCGCCAGTACTGGACCGAGATTGCGCCATAACGCCCCCGCGGACACCCACAGCAACGAGTACAGCGGCACACAAAGTACTCGCCGAGATCCAATCGATATACAATGGCCTTGTCAAACTGAATTCTCTTGCGCCTGGGCCACAGATCAACGATCTGCTCAGTCGTCTAGTCGACCTCTGTGTACTACCCTATAGCACGAACTTGTCAGAAGAGATATTACGTTTATGCGCATCTAGCAACCTCTGCGAGCGACTACGCCCAATATGCGCAGAAGCAGAGGGAGAGCTCGAATCATACTGGGCGCAGCGCATCACGGCGTTGGCAAAAGGTACCATGAGATACTCTCCACACGCACACACATACATACCATAGCCCTCACATCCATGAACTCCCTTCAACACTCACTGAACGAACCCAATAACTGAAAGAAAAAAGTAAACCCAGCATCTAAGCAAACCACCACGACCAACCCTCTCCACAGCTTCCCCTACCACCAAAACTACATCGACCTCTCCCACCTCGAATGCGCCTCCCTGGAACCATTCCTCGCATCCCCACCCCGCAACCTCGCCTTCATAGGCTCCGGTCCCCTCCCCCTGACATCTCTCTGCGTCCTGGACCGCTATCCCACCGCCACCATCCACAACATCGACCGCGACCTACCCGCCCTGCAAACCAGCCAGCAGCTCTGCGCACGACTAGGCTACACCGCGCGCTCGACTTTTGCCTGTACCGACGTCAGCACGGATGAGCGTAGTATAATACCAGGTATACAAGGCCAGCAGATGACAGACTGGCATGCCTTTGACGTCGTGTTTCTCGCTGCGCTCGTGGGCGTCGAGTCCCATGAGAAGATTGCGATCCTGGAGAGCTTAGTACGCAAGTTGAGGCCGGGGACTGTCGTGGTGGCGCGGAGTGCGAGGGGCCTGAGGACGGTGCTGTATCCGGTATGTATTAGTTGGTGGATGATGTCGGTGATTGAGAGAGAGAGAGTGCGTGTGCTAATGCGGATGGGATAGGTGCTGGAGCTGGGGGACGAGCTGGAGAAGGCGGGGTTCGAGATTTTAGTCGAGGTGCATCCGTGGAATAAAGTTGTCAATTCGGTTATTGTGCTGAGGGTTAAGGAAAGGTAGGGGAGTTGTAGATGGAACTTTGCTGGGACTTTGCTGCGAGCTAGGAAGCGTATGCATGATAGTGCCGCTGTGTAAAAAAAAAGGGGGGGGGAGCTAACAATAAGAGACATGACTTCTGAAACACTATCATTATCAAAGTTTCAGATTCCTCGCATTCAGAGTTATCTGAAAGCGAAAGACGAAATTGTATCTGTGCAGTCCTTGTGTGATTACATTAAGATAAAGATTACACAAGCAGCTCGCTAATAGAGGATCGCTATAAACGATGTACAATGTCAGCCATCCGCATCTACCTTCTGGCCTTGATGATATCTGCCGCCTTTTCTCCAATACCGTACATGGTGGCCTGGAGATGGCACGACGGGATAATGGGAATAATCGACGCATCCACCACAGACAGATGCTGCGTTCCATACACCAGCAACTGGTCACTTACACACCCACCCGCACTCGCAGGCATCATCGGACACGAGCCCGCAGGGTGCGCGAGCGTCGGGCTAAGCAGACCCTGTTGAAGGAGGGAGTCGTAGATATCCGTGTCGGTAGTATGTTGGGGCCCCGGCGAGACTTCCGAGATGCGGAAGCGGCTGAGCTCGGGACGGGCCCAGACGGTGCGGAAGAAGCGCAGACTAATGGCCATGATGGTGCGATCTACGGGGTTGACAAAGGCGTTGTGGAGGATTTCGGGGGGGCCCGTGGGGTTGGAAGCGTTCAGCGAGACAGTACCACGAGATAGTGGCTTCTCGACACCAACGAGGCCAAAGGTGCCGTCTGCGGGGACGGGGAACTCGGCGACGGCGGCGTCGCGACGCTTGAAGAGGTCGGCGATGACTTTGCGCTGGGCGGCGTAGCCCGCGAGGAGCTTGCTGTTGCCCTGGTAGGCTGCAGGAAGGTAGTCCGAGTCTGTTTGGCCGTTGAGGCTGTTGACTACGGCATTGACGTCCTGGGTCATATCGGGAAGCGAGATGAAAGCGAGGGCATTGCCACGGGCGTATGTGTAAGGGCCGGTCTTGTTGGCCTCGTACTCTGCCCATGCGGTAGCATTGAAAGTGGCGTTTTGGGCCAAGGAATTTTGATTTGGGAAGGTGTCGGTCGTGGTGTTGAAGATGACGGTGGCCCATGGGTGATCTTGAAAGTTGGAGCCTACGGCATCGAGTTCAACGCGGACGTTGACGCGGGCAGCCCGGAGGACCTTCCTGGGTCCAATTCCACTAATCTGCAAGAGTTTGGGGGTTTGGATGGCGCCAGCCGCGAGAACAACTTCCCTACGTGCGTAAACGGCGCAAGTCTTTCCGGAGGCAAGAGTGATTTCGATACCAGTGGCCATGGTAGGCTTCATCGCGTTGGTAAAGAGGATCTTATTGGCAGTCGTTCCCGTGAGGATCTTCAAGTTGCTACGGGCCTGGATGGGATCATAGTACGCGTAACGAGCGTGTGCTCGACGTCCAGTGGTCGCATCCATGGTGTTGGCATACCATGAGGGGCCGTAAGCCTCGCCATTGTTACCATCTAGAGGTACATGCACCCCAGTAGCCCTCCAGGCGGCCCAGTAGTCCTTGATGTCCTCATACTGGTTGCTGGTAATGGAGACCTTCAATGGGCCAGAACCGTAGGTCGAAGGATCCCAGGTGATGTTGAAGTCTTTGGCAATCTCTGGTGTCGGGGGCTGGAAGGTGGTGCCTTTGATGAAATATGGCTCCATACCGTTCCATCCCCAGCCCTTGTTACCAAGAGCCTCCCAAGCATCATAGTCGGCCGCACTACCGCGGTCGTAGATCATTCCATTAATTACTGAACCGCCGCCCAAAACCTTTGCGACTAGAACAGGGAAGGTGTTGCCACCAAGACCGGGTTCGGGCTTGGAGTTGTAACCATCCCATAGGAGGCCATTTGCTGCTGTCAAATCATTGGCCTTGTATGGGATCTTCGTCGCCTCGGTGTCGACATTTTTCCCACTCTCGATGACGAGAACAGACTCTAATCGATCGGATTAATGAAACGTATCTTGCTTTTTTCGATCGTGTGCACGTACTGGTCCTGTCCTCGGAGAGACGGTTGGCCACGATCAGGCCCGTGATACCACCACCAACAATCACATAGTCATACTGCTGTGTGGCGGCAGCAGCGCCAAGTGCAGGAGTGATGAGGATGCTGAGAAGCTGGACAGCTACCGCCAAACGAGAGAAGACGGGCATCTTGTTTGAAACCCCGGTACGTGGAATCTGAGCGAGCGTGGGTTGGAATGCTAGCGGTAGGTGCAGGTGTTGAACTTTAAAGTACGAGAAGGCGTTCCTTGGACGGGTTTATAGAACAGATAATCCTAGCATTGGCCAAACGGGCAATCACCACGTGGGAATGCCGGTTCGTGCTTTCATGCACGATACACTGCCAGACCAGTGAATACTATGGGCCCGCGGACCCACACCAGCATTGCAAACATGACTTGTCCAGGATGGTGAAGGCGAACAGTTCGCCAGCTAATTGGACTAGGCAGGTTCCGTTGCCCAACTCTCTCCCGGGCTTCGCAACCGTTCCAGAAGATCCGCCATCCATGTGCTTTTGGGTTGAAGAGTGCTATATGCCGGTACTATAGAACGAGGCATGCATGTAAGTATGGCGGGCCAAACGCTGCCTCCCGCGAGTCAAGCCGGGAGACCAGCCAAGTGCAACTAAACGTTAAACGAGGCCCAGGAGAGATTCTAGGCACTGTCTCGTTTCGAAATCCAGGGTCTTGTAACTATGTCGTACAATACGACCGCTACACGGTAGTGGAATAGTTTCTCGCGAATGGAGGCATGAAGCGACAATCTTCTACATTGTAGGTTGGCGCGGTAGATCGGAGAAAGGTAAGGGGACGGGCAGGACGGGTCCTATCTATCTCTAGACAGAAATCCGTACCGTACCGTACGTGGGCGCAGTTGATGCTGACTCGCAGTAGGTAAGCGAAGGCCGCAACGGGAGGGAACACGCTGACCGACGGCGCCGACCTATTTAATGTGTGGTCCGTTTCGACGAAGACTACCAAGAGTCTACTGGTAACTGACAACTGCCGGTTCTTGAGCGGAAACCTTGTGCAGATACCGAGGGTTCAAGGCTACCGTATGGGAAGGGCTTGCCGTGCGCCACAGAACCAGCGCCAGGCGTGAGGCGTGAAGCGTGAGGCACAGCACAACGTCGGGATGCATGTCCATGCAGAGACTATCTATCGTTTCTGGAATGGTTCCTGTCCAAACTCCAGGAGCGGTATTGTACAGCCGTAGCCAGTGCCAGCCCACTGTGATCTCCAGATCGTAATTCGTTCATCGGTAGAGGAACCGCTACCTGGTCTGCGGAACCAGGTTTCCCATTCAGGCTGTGATATCCGTCTGCATGAGGGCTGCCACGCTATGGTCCTGATCGACAAGAAGTATTTCCTGGGTAATGTGCCGTCCACATGGCCAAGCTGGAGAAATAAGCTTTCATCTCCAGTTGAAGCGGGAGCCTATCGCTACCTGGAATTCGTCTCAAATGCACAGAATGGTCAGAGGCGAGAATGTTGTTCGGTGCCGGTGGCTTTGCACGTCCGATGGCGTACCGATGGGCGAAGCGAAAGGAGAATCCCTCTTCGTTGTCGCGTAACAGCTGCCGTTTCGGAGACCCTTCTGCCGAAAGCAATACTTACAAAAGCCGCTATCAACAAGGTACGTACTCCGATCCTAGACCCTTCCCTTCACGCGCGTGTCCATGTATGTAGGACCGTCCAAAGAGTGTAATGCCTAGCTGCACCCAGGTGTACGGTATGCATGTCAGGCAGGAAAGCCTGTCACGATTTGGGAAGAATCATAATCTCATACTAGCCAATCTGCCTTTGCAAAAGAGTCCACGAAAAGGTTGGCTCTTGACATGAGATCTCTGACACGACATGCCACAGCCCAAGGACTGCGCTCCAAGAGGAGTCAAGAGGAGTCAAGCACACTTACTCGCCCTGGCACCTGAACTACCTCAAGTGGTGGGCGAGTCGTAGAAAAGTCGGCAAGCTGCCTAGGCATCCAGAACTTCTACTGTGTCGAAAAGGAACATGGTATGAAGGAGACAGCGCCGGTGGCTTGAAGCGCAGCAACCGGCACGGCGGCATGTCGGGGCACGGCTGACCAGGCACTGAACAGACTAGTTGGTGTAGGGTAATGCATCCCATGAGCATTCTTCCCACTCATTTTACTGTGCCCTAACATTTAGCCACCACGCCACTTCTTTCGCGTGCAGAATCCAATATGTAGAGCGTCGTAACAGCGAGTCACGTCCATCCTTTTTTGGTATTGTGCTCCTGGGCAGTAGGCACTGCGTAAAGTTTCAACATTCCAATTCGTTTGAGTTTTGCCGCAAAAGGGCTGAACGAGATCGGGCACATCGACAGGGCTGAGTGTAACAACGACGGTAACTGCTAAACATACCCGGTTTTCGATCGATCTTCGCTCAAGATGCCCAAATTCTTGATGGCGTGGCTCGCTTTCTAGGACCCATGAATCGTCAATCTCAAGTATGCCGAGTTCCCCTCACCAATCGGGGTCGTGGCGACCATGTGGGGCTCTTCAATCAACGCGAAAGTAGTTCAAACAAGGATGTCTATGTACAGGAAAGACCCTGTGGAGGATCGTTTCGAAAATGGGCCTCTAGTATAGTATCTCGTACTCTCCTAATCGATTTTGCGCACCTCTGCCCTTCTCTAGCAGCTAGTTGGGCTTTTATGTAGCCACCTATCCCTGGAACATAGCACAGTGAAAGGGCGGTGTTATACTTGAGGACCTTCACCCGTACGACCGAATGACTTTGCTCTCTTTACCGATCTTGGAGATCTCACAGATCTCAAGGTAATTCCTCACGGGCCCACCACCATGGAGGCTCCCCCTCCCGAAGGGCAGGAATGGCCAGACCAGCGCTTGAAAATCCTGGTGCCAGTCTGGACACTTATGATTCTCAGCACAGGTTTTATGGTGTGGAGATGCGTGTATGCATTCATGCAGCGAAGAAGGTTCATGATAGCAGACTACCTGCTCATCATGGCTACTGTAAGTTCAAACTCAGAGGCGACACTTTGCATCTACGCAGTGACATGGACTGACTTGGAGATTTCAGTGCCTCAATATAGTCGCAACCGCGATTGCACAAGTGATTGTCGAAGCAGGTCTCGGAAGACACATCATGGATCCCACGGTGCTCCCTCAAATTCTGCACTACAGCTATTTCCTTTGGATAGCCCAGATTATCAACATCATCGCCGTCGCATTCTTGAAGTGGTCCATCTGCGCTTGGCTTCTGGTGCTCAACTTCTCCAAAGTCTACCAGGCTCTAGTCTGGCTCTCAATCGCAATGGTGACGGCGTTCAATTTCCTGGCTCCTGTCCTGACTCTCTTCGGCTGTATCCCGCTGGAGAAGAATTGGAACTTTGGATACCAAGGCCCCAGCCGCTGCTGGGCGAAAGGAACTCTTCCACTGTCGTATACCCAAGGTGTGAGCAATATTCTGACTGATGTGGTCTACATGGCTGCGCCATTGATCTACCTCTCAAGAGTGCAACTGTCGCGGAGAACCCAATGGGGTATCCGCATCGTCTTCCTACTCAGTATCCCGTATGTTACACAAACCAAGTTTCCCCCCCCTCACATGATTCGAAACTGACATGCCTGCCCACCAGCGCCACCATCTGCTCCATCTTCAAAACCATCGAACTTCGCACCATCACAAAGACCTCCGACCCAACCTGGGACGGTGTAAACCTCACCATCTGGTCCCAAGCCGAACTCTCCATCGGCATCCTCATCGCCTCCCTCCCACCCCTCCGCAAAGCCTTCGACCACTTCTTCCAGAAGATCCTCCCCTCGACCATCACTGGCAGCCACAAGACACCGCAATACGCCTATGGCCACTCCACCGGCGGCGGCGATATCCGTATGAAGACATTCGAAGGCAGCAAAGCCTACCACAGCCGCATCCCCGGCGAATCCATCCTCGACGGCGACGACGAGAGCGACCGCGCCATTCTAGAGGGCGAGGAGCACAAAGGTCCGGGAATCCTGAAAAGCACAAAAGTCACGATTGAGGAGTCAACGGGCGAGATGAGCAGTAGTTCGAGTAGCGAGGTCCAGAAGAAGACGTCGCAGGAGAGCTACAAGCAGAGTCTGGATTGGAATTCGCCACATCTGGATCAAGGGCCTGCGCATGCGCGGTAATTGCATGTGAGTCCGATGGGATGGATTTGCGGGTTTTATTACTATTAACGATGTTTGAACGTGTATGCACGTCTCTTGTATGTAGTCTGAGTAACGATTTTTTCGGTTGCGATTTAGCAGTTGTATATACCCTGGGTCTTGTATTTTTTCTTGAGCCAACTATATAGTATTATGAGTTGTCATTGTTACTCTGTTCACACAAATCAAACAGAGTTGACGATGGTAAAGACACATCCCATTACTCGGCCCAGCCTGAGTGCAATTGTACACAGACACAAACCCAGCAACCCCCACTTGCTCCACCCGGCCGGCTGCTCGCGCGGGCCATCGTGAATCCTTTGAAGAAAGAAAGAATTGAAATTGGAACAATCCGCTCAGATCCACATCCCCACATCCTTCGCTCTCCTCTTCAATTCAAAAAAAATTCCCTCTTCCTACTTTGCCTGCGCGAACGGTAACGCCGACAAGTTTTCCAGCGAGTATATGTCCAGTTGCCTCTTCAGTTGCCTTGTGGGGCATGTGCAGGTCCACTACGGTACACGATACGATCGGACATCGTGGCTCCCTCGTGCTCCGCCACGTGACGCAGCATGAGATTTTGCGGAAAGGTAGGCTAAGGGTACCGTAATGGGGCTCCTACGCAAGGACACTACATAAGGTTTGCGAATACGAAGTCAGGACGTTGATTTTTAATCTACGTAAGCTACTACTACTGTAGGTATAGAACATTGTTAATAGCGCGTATACGTACCCATCCTGGTAACTATCGCTGCTGAACCAACGTCGAGGACATGGAACACCGTCATACAAAGGTAGATGCAGATGCATTCAGCAACGCAGTGACACAAATAACGTGATCCACCACCGAGCGCCCACCCCCACCGAGCGCCCACTAACACTAAAATCACTAAATTTTTAACACTAAATTTCTTAATAACTATAGCACCTATTAATAATACGCTTATAGCAATTAAATCCTTAACTTTTAGAGAAGATTTTATATACTTAGAAATAGTAGAAAAGTATAGTTACTTATAGTTAATCTTATCTAGATACTACTAGAAAATTTATTAGGTATATACTACTACTTTACTAAATAGTTAAATACTTAATACTATATAAGAAAGTAAGCTTATAAAGTATATTAAAGAGCTTTATAAGTAAGGATTACCCCTTATATAAACTATTATTTAAAATTTTATAACTAAAATAATAGGGAATCTAGTAGGTAAAAATTAAGTATAGCACTTTATTAACTACTATAATATTAATCTTATCTTCTATTAGGCTACTAGGCTTAATTATAACTACTTTAAAGCTAATTCTACCTTTAAGTATAGCTTATACTTTAAGCTTTTATACTAAAAAATAAAGTAATATAATATTAAGAGTTAGTATATCTATAATATAAATAAAAAGGGTTTTCTTATTAGAGTACTATTAAAAACTAAATATATATTTAATAAGAGCGCCTATAAGTAAAAAAAGATTAGAGCTATACTCTAGAATAGTAATAAGGAGTGGATTACTACTATAGCTTGTATATACGCTAATAGTACTACTCTTACCTCTACCCTTATTTATTAGTCTTAATCTAGAGCTTTATAAAATACCTAGTTATAAGATTTTAACCTATTATAATACTAAGCTTTCTTTATAGGATTACTAAATAGGTAAATAAGCTATACCCTAGGGGTATCCTAGCTTAAGGAGGTGTTTAATTATAAGATAAAAGCTAAAGCTTATACTTTATACTAGCTCCTTATCCTTAATAGCTATAAATCTTATATAATAATAGAGTTTATTAAGTACTATAATAAATATAAGATCCTACTTATAATATATCCCCCTTATAGCACTTATACCCTTTAGCTACTTAATATTATAGTATTTGCTCCTTTTATAGCTTTATATAAAGCTTAACTATCTAGTTTTCTAGATAGCTTTTAAGGGCTTATAAGTATTACTAAGAAGGATTTCTACTAGTTATTTAATACTATATAGAGTAATACCTTTAAGGAAAAGCTAATATTAATAGCTTTTAAAGTAATAGGTATCTTACTACTTAACCCTAATATTATTCTTTTAAGGTTTAAAGCACCTATAAATAATAGTAACTAGCCTTCTTTAAGTAATAGTATAACCTTAATATTAAGTTTAAGTAATTAAAGAAAGATAGAGTAGTTACTCTATAATACTATAATTAATATCTATAATAAATAGTTAAAGAAGCTTAGCTAGATAATCTATACTATATTAGTAAGAAATACTTTACTTAACTATAAAAATAAATACCTAAGGGCTACCCTAGCTAATAAGAAGAAGCGTAGGAAGTATAGTAAACCTCTATTATTACCCCCTAATAATAATTATAGTAGTAGTACCTAATTTATTTTACTATTAAAGGTAGAGTAAGTATTTAAGCTCTAGGAGTAAAAGAACCTTAAAGAATAAAAGCTATAATACTAAAAAAGTAAGGTAATTAAGCTTTATAAGTAATAGAAGCTTGCTAAAGCTTAACTTATAAAGGAGTATTACCTAAATTAAGTAATTACTAAGAAAGAGTAGAAGAAGAAAGCTATCTAAAAAGCTACTATATATAATAAGTAGAAAACTACTAAATAACTAGAAAAGTAACTCTAAAATAATATTAAAATATCCTAAATAGGTAAGAGGTAAATCCTTAAGCCTCCTACTATTATACTAGCTAAGGTAGTTAATAAGGAGCTAGTAGAAGAGGATATAGTAGTAGAGGTAACTTTATAGTATAGGCGCCTAATTAGACCCCTTAAAAAGCTACTTATATAATCTAAAATATTTAATCTACTCTAATAGATCTAATAATTGCGACTCTAAGAAATCTTATAATAATAGCTATTATGGGTGGCGCAATATCCTTATTTAGTGGGTGGTGGATTTTGGTGTTGGTGGGCGCTCGGTGGGGGTGGGCGCTCGGTGGTGGATCACGTTAGAGCCTCGTGCTTCTAAAGACGACTGTGGATAAACACCAGCCATACCGTACGATAGATGCCACTTTAGTTGATGCAAGATGCTATGCTGCACGTCTTACGTGCATGCACATAAGCACACTTGTATAACAAACCGACCCATAGGATCCCGGCCCCATCACTCTCAAGGCTCACACTGCGCACGAAAGATTGTCCCCGACCACGCACCCCCGGTGGGTCAGCCTAGATTTAGAACCTGATGGGGAAGACACGATGATGCGTTGCACTTGCACGTGCAGGTACGATGGAGTGTGATGGGTACCAGTGTGAATGTGAGCACAGGATCATCCACATTGCATTCGTATCTGTATGTTCGTAGGTGTGGAAATTAGCCCGCTCACACGCAGTTCTGGTGCGTGGATACGAATGAGTTGTCGATCGTAGCCAGTTCGTTACTGAGGCGCTGCTGCATACGGTGTAAGTACCTAGAGTGGTGTGTACATGGTTTCTTACTTGTGGGATGTGAACTCCGATTATGCCGGCTTGTGATGGCGTGTGTCGGGGTGATGTTCGGGAGGTGAGGACAGGGCATGTAGAGGGCACCCACCCTATCACGACCTCAAAGACGGTGGGCAAAGCATAAAGACAGCAGTCGGGTGTGGAATCCTGGGTATAGAGTTTTGTGGCATGGCGTGACTGTTGTGAATGGTTCCGGGCAATGTGGGTGTATACGTACGCTATGCTGTAAAGACGCCTGCCCAAACTCTATCGCAACGGCATCACGACATCCATACCATATCTGATTCTCACATGCAATGCAAGCAAAGCCAAAGGAAAAATTTCTCAGTCCATCATTCATCCGCATCGCACATCTTCATCCATTCAGCAGCCCTTACCATCCAATCTCCATCCCCATCCCTATGATAATACGCAAACCCGAATCCGACCGCCGGAAGCAAGCATCCCCCTGACCCCAGCTATTCCATAGCATAGCATTCCTCCATTGCTCGAACCACTTCACCAACCCGGCTGTTCCTCGATACAACATGTACGGGAACCAGCAGGGATTGTACCTACATATATACGATCCCCCCGATTCCCTCCCGGCCCCGCTCCCCTGCCTTTTCACTCACGCGGCGAAATTCATTCGACGGGGGCGCGGCTGTCCGCGGGTGTTTATGAGAGATAATCTCTAGTACTAAGGAGAGGGCCGACTGTTCATCTGGAAACGGTGTAATGTGCCGAGAAACGGACCGCGGAGGAACCAGCAGCGCATGGCTATTTTGGAGGGAGGAGAGTGGACGAATGGCTGGTAGCGCTGGCATACATGATAGTTTGATTATTGATTTTGATGTTTTCCGAAAATGTTGGAATCTGTTCGTTGTGATGACGGGTTTCTGGTTGGGTCGTTGTGGTCAAGGACATGGCATGGTATGTTGTGTGCCATTGTCAACTAGCAAATCGTTTAGCGCTGATAGAGCTGGTAAGAAGTGTAATAATACTTGCAGTTAATTTTCCAGTTGATCTACGGCATACTAGTTATAGAAGGGAATTACGTGTCTACAATGTACCGTACACACACGGTCTGCCATGAGACACCCAGTCTGTGCAGCCGTGCACGTATCTGGAGTTTCATAGGAAGTGAGTTATATACCTTCTCCTTGCTGGTGCCTCCTCTTTATTTGTAATCATAATCGTAATTTTGTTAAGAACATGTCAAATTCTGGTATTATCTTCGATTCTTATTAACAGTAGAGTTCTACTGCGTGTAATAATGCCTCGAGGGCATCCAGAGAGACTTCGGGTTATACCTGTTAGTTTACTTCCGGTATTCTGTCAAGGAAAAGTAAAGGCATACATCCCTCCTGTTACCTAACTATACCTGGGTAGATTTCGTCCAGATCAAAATGGGCAAATTTGGGAATAGGCAGGTCCTGGAAGCTGAAGCTGAGTTGTACATCAATGATCGCCACTGATAGTAATTAGGCCATCATCCAGATGGGTTCATCATAGCTACCCGAGGATTCTCCGGCATTTATCGGTAGCACACGTCTTTCTTCCCGAGTCGCCATGGTGATTGATACAATACTGTGGTATGTGTAGTTTATGTATGAGCCCTGCAGAATCATTGCAAGGACCAAATCGCGTGGTGAAATATCGCAATGCCCGCCTCATGGGTTGGAATATTAGCAGACTCCACAATTATTATCGAGTTCGAGTCAACGCCAGGTTTCAAGTGTCAACTTAGTCATGTTCATCTGACTTGCCATAGTAGGTAACGTATACAATCTAGAACTCTCGCATTCGGCATCGCATGATGTTCAAGACCGAGGGTATGTCCGGGTCATGCGCAGTCCGACTGATTGCTTTATGATGCGATAAAATGCATAAAGAGGTGGCCAGAGCGCTGTATTTGGTCTACGAAAGAGATGGTGTGCAAGTAACGTTGAGGATGAAAAAGAGAAAAGATGTAGCTTCTGCGCTGAGTACTGTTGCTGTCTGCCAGTCTTCTTTGAAGCTTCGATATTTATGAGAGCAAAGGAAAGACGATGATGGCAAATCTGCAAATCTGATGATTAATCACTGAGCTGATAATGACAGGAAAAGTGTGTAGTAGTAGTGGTAGTAGTAGTAGTGTTGTGAATGCATGTTGGAGGGGCGAAGAGTACAAATCCATGGTACCCCCACCAGCGCGAAGCCCCTCGTGCGTCATCATTCAAACGTCTCGGTCCTGCGATCAATATTTCCTACCACATACACGGCCAACGCTTGCGAATAGAATATAGAACCTCAACCCTCCACCCAAGTTACACACAAAACACACCCCTCCCCCCCCCCCCCCCCCGGCCCAACATGCGACTCATCCGATCAGAAATCGAGAAGAAGACAGGCTCAGGCAGCGCCACACTGCTCCCCGAAGAGCCAGAAGACATGTGGCACGCATACAACCTCATCCAGACGGACGACCGGGTAATGGCACAAGCGGTGCGACGCGTCAACACGACCTCGAATGAGCTGGGCTCTCATTCCTCCAAGCGCGTGACCATGGTTCTGAGCATCAAAGTCACGAGCACCGACTTTGATATTGGCTCCGGTGAGCTGCATGTTTCAGGGCGGGTGATTGGGGAAAACGAGTACGTTAAGATTGGCCAACACCACACGCTCGACCTGGAGCTGAGGCGCGACTTTGAGATCGAAAAGGCACACGGCTGGGACATGGTAGCGCTCAACATGCTGAAAGAGGCATGCGACTCCCGTCGACGAGCTGAGCTCTGGGCCGTGGTGCTAGGCGAAGGCACAGCAAACATCTGCATGATAACTGAACACCAAACCATCTTGCGGTCGAAAGTCGAAGTCGCCGTGCCTCGCAAACGAAGAGGCGGCGCAGAAGCGCACAGCAAAGCAATGACCCGCTTCTTCTCCTCCACCCTCTCCACCCTTCTCCGCCATCTCGACCTCTCCAAAACAGCATCCTCGCCCTCTTCATCCCCGACCCGCCAAGGACATGAAAAGTCCCTCCCTCTACTCCTTGCAAGCCCAGGCTTCATCGCCTCCTCCTTCCTCGCCTACATGCGCGCCGAAGCCATTCGCACAACCAACAAACCCCTCCTCGCCCTCATCCCCAACATCACAATCGCCCACTCCTCCACACCCCACATACACTCCCTCAACGAAGTCCTCTCCTCCCCCGCCATCACCGCAAAACTCGCCTCCACCAAATTCGCCCGCGAGACTGCCCTGATGGATAAATTTCAGGCCCTAATGCGCCTCGACGACGGGCGCGCCTGGTACGGGCCCAGGGAGGTGGAGCGCGCCGTGGACAGGGGCGCCGTCGGCAAAGGCGGCGGCGTCTTGCTCATCAGCAACAAGCTGTTTCGCGCGCAGACGGTGGCGGAAAGGCGGCGCTGGGTTTCGCTCGTGGAGAAGGTGAAGGGGGTCGAGGGCGGGGAAGTCAGGGTGCTGAGTGAATTGCATGAGAGTGGAAAGAGGTTGGAGGGTCTGGGCGGTGTCGCGGCTATCCTGACATATCCACTAGAAAACCTGGATGAGGAGGAGGAAGGCGATGGATTCGGTGACGATGTTGAGGGGGACATGGTGATTTGAAGAAGAAAAAGTTCGACATTGCCTCTTTTGGGGTCCATTTCCGGACGGCCATGGCGTTTTGCATGACATACATAATACCCCTGTTTGTATGACGACGAATTCAGGTCACGATACCACAATCCTCTTAATCAAGCAAACATTCAATCTTTCATTCACATGAAGTTGTCGTAATTTCCATGCACACATACACGTCTCCATACCGCACCGGCATACCCCATACCGCACACTCATGCTCATCAATCTCATGCTCGTGCCCATCCCATCATCACAATACCCCCCCACCAAAACAAGAAAAAAACGCCGCATTCCACACGACCATACTTCTCCAAGCTCGCCAATACAACGCCAAAGCCCACGGCTCGCAAACGGAACAGAAAATACAAGAGAGAAGAAGAAGAAAAGAAAAGGAGGTATCAATGTTATCCCCACCCGCCCGTAAACAAGTCCTCTTCGACAAAGAGAAACAAAACACGACGTTGTCTTCCCGCCTTACCTCGTTGGTCCACACTCAGTGGGCCAACCATCCACCGATCCATTTCCCGCTTCTCAAAACCTGTCCACGCCCTCTCTTTCTCTTTCTCTCATCCAAGCAACCCTCTTCATACCCCCCGAGCCACCCAGGCACAGCCAGCAGCCAACGCCGAGCCCCTCACTCATCCCTATAAAACTTCTTAAATATCAAATGCAAAAACAGATTAACATTAACCCTAACCGCCCCACCCCCACTCCCATCCCTGCCCTCGCCAAAAAGATTCATAAACTGATGATTATCAAACTGGGCCTGCAACAGCCCATCCAGCGGCACCTCTGCAAACGCCCCCGGAATCATCATACTGCCCTGGGAGCCCTGAATCTCAAACGTGCCCGTCGAATTCGAGCTAATGGTGATGTCGAGGCGCTCCCACTGCGACTCCGGATAGCCGGCCCAGGAGATGAGGATGCCCTTTTGGGCGAGGTTGCGGGCGCTGTATTTGAAGCTGCCGAAGCGGTATTCGCGGCCGCTGCGCTGCAGTTCGCGCTGGTGGTTGTATTGGCGGGTAAAAGGGAGGAGGAACTTCTTCTTGCCCTTTTTGGATTGTAGCGTCACCATGGCTTGTTCAATGTAGTCGTTGTACGACTTGAGTTGGGATTCGAGGAAGTGGGCTTTCTCGTCGAGGGCGGCGAGCGTGTTGCGCACGCCTTCGAGCTCTTTGGCGCGTTGGATCCGCCGGCGGTGTTTGGTGCGTATGTCCACGGCTATCGCATTCAGCAGGTCTTGGTAGTTGTTGTGGTGCGAGATGCGGCCTGCGCGTTGGAGGTGGACTACGTTTTCCAGACAGTATTGTTTGAGTGTGGGATAGGACAATTCGAGGACGGAATTGGAGCCCATCTCCGTGGTGTATGTTGATGCGGCTGAGGAGCGCACTGTCCCGCCGTACTTGCGTGAACGGTTCTTTTGCTGAGCCGCCAGTTCTTCGCGAACGAGGGCGTCCCACCGGTCTTCGTCCTCGGGGGTGATTGGCTTGCACATGATTTCCGTGAGGTTGGCCCCGGTTTGGACGCGGATGATATAAAGGATATAGCGTTTCGTTTCCATGAAGAGGGATTTGATTTCGGCATCGGGGTCTGCACGTGTTAGTAGAGGGGTGGACATGGGATGGGATGTACTTACCTTCTTGCTCGTGGTACTTGGGGTTGAGAGTCAAGGTGATTTCAGTTGCACTGACGTGTAGCAGCTCGTTCTCATTGTTCTTAGCACTGCCGAGTTCTCGAACAACTTCGCGAAGAGGGTCGTCTTGAGCAGGACAGAGACTGGGGAGGTCGTCGATGACAAGGTTGTGAATGGCAAAGACGTCCGCAAGTTTGATGTACAGGGTGGGTTTGGTGCGCGCGAACAGGTCATTGAACTCGTCAATCTCAAATTGCACTTCTGCAGGGCGGACATTGATCACTGTAGGATATTAGTTGTATCTTGGAATAACGATATTTCATCACTTACTGTTTGACCAAATATCCTGTAGACGATCAATAGCTTCTGTGACGTAGCTGTTGAGTGGCTGCAGGTAGAGATCTTCACCACCAAACAGCTTTCCGACTGCTATCTGACCAAGCACTTTGGCGACAGCACCAAGATTTCTGTTCATGACTGGTGAGAGACCACGATCGACTACGCCCCAATGTTGTGGTTGCAGTAGAGCGGGCTGAATATACGCCTTCCATACCCAATGGCCTGCTATTTGCAGCATCTGTTCTTGGGGCTCATATGGGAATTGACGCCTCAGCTCCTCGAAGACCTGTTGTGCGAGATATCGGACGCCGTATGGCATGCGATGCAGCACTTCCTCGAATACCGTAAAATACTGGTCTGCAACATCGCGAAGGTCTTGAAGGTTATGGATGAAGGTACCACGGGTCTCAGGATCCTTGAGCGCGACATCCCGTGACACGTTAGGATCACGGTGGCTTCGCTGGCCAGTACGGAGCTCCTCATTGTTGATGGCTGAGCGATAAATCTGCATAGGATCGCTTTCCAGGTCTAGGTGCTCGTTCTCGATGATGTTTTCGCGAATGACCGGGCCCAAAACATCCTTTAGGAACTTGCGATCCCGTGGCGATCGAACGTAATTAGCAAATAGCTTTGTCCAAAAAAAGTTGCCTCGAAGGTACTCTTGCAACGTCGCGCAACCCTCAATCTCCTCCTTCAAAGAACGCGATAGTAACTTGAGCAACCAGTACTCTTCCCTGCGCTTCTGGGCCAGTCCAAAGAGACTCATTGTTAGCTGTTCGATGCGCTTAGTATCCTTCTCAGCCAGGTTTTGTTCGCGAATGCGCCGGAACAGTCTTGCCATGTACTGAGGCTGCGTCTGAAGGATGAAGAAGAGCTCTTGGTACTGTTCCAGTTTTCGACGGGAGTTTTTGTTGAGCGCTTTCAAATCGAAGGGGTCCTTTGATGAGATGTCTTTGCTGCTGAGGAGGGTACCGACGTTTCCACCGAAGTGCTTCTGGTGCTTGACGACTTCGTCAAGAGTGATCTTGTTCTTCACAAGCAGGGCAATCTTGATATCAAGCTGGTCGACATACTGTTCGGCGAGTTCGTTTTGGCGCACGTGTTGCACGACAGTCTTTCGTAGACGTTCGAATTCTGCAATTGTATTAGCATTTCATATGGATAGACGAGCTGACAATTCCTACCAATCTCCTCGTCAAAGTCGATGTCATTATCATTCAGCAAATGGACAAAATTCTTCACGGTCGATACTGGGGGGTTGGTGCCGCTGGTCAAGCTCTTGTACGCTTCACCTTGTTGACGTCCTCGGATGAAACTTTGGATCTTGATGACCTTCTCCATATTCTCCTTGTAGAACTGCTGCTTCTCCGCGTATTGTTGTCGAATCATCATGCCACGAGCCAAGGCTTGTAGTTCAACGAGAGCTTCTTCATGTTCTTCGACTTGGCCAAGCTGGATACCGATCTGCATTCTTTGCAAAACACCACGTGCTATACTCTGGAGCTGAATAATTTCTGGTTCCTGTGCGTTGAGCTCACAGAGTACTTCATAAGTCTTTTGACGCTGTACAAAGCCTCGACACGCGGATTGTAGATCCAGAATGGTAGGCTCCTGTGCCTTAAGTGCCTTGAGATCAGAGAAGTGTCGCTGGCGCGATAGATATCCACGGATGTAGGATTGGAGGGATGTGGTAGCGTCTTCTTGCTCGTAGAGCTGTGTGAGGATAGTGGTGACGTCTGAGCGTACGAGTCCTCCTCTTGCAACAGCCTGAAGATCTGTAATTTGGGGTACCTCAATGTTAAGTGCGTCTTGTATCTGTCTGACGGATGCTCTTGCAACGTTTCCGCGGACCTGAGATTGGAGGCCAGCCCAATTGACATTGGTATGCTCCAAGTTCGCCTGGACTTCTTCATTCTTCTTTCTAGCCAAAGCGCCACGAGCAGCAGCTTGCAATAACGTGACCAAGGACTCATGCTGCCGTAAGCTTTCTTGATCTGTTCGTAATGACTGACGGAGGAGCATGGCGCGTGAGGCAGCTTGCATCTCGGCGACTTGGGCTTCGTTGGCTTGTAGTTCCGCCCACTCTCGGTCCACCTGTTGTCGGACAAGGGCTCCACGGACCATAGCCTGAACATACACAACAGAAGGTTCTGTGTCACGGGTCTGCTCATAACGGTTGCATACTCGCAATCGCTCCAATGCTCCTCGAATTGCTGCCTGAAATTGGCGAATACCATTCTCATGCCGTTGCATCTTTGACTTGGTGTACTGAACTTGCGCTCTTGCTTTCCGTCCCCTGAATAGGTTCTGTAACTTCAGTACCTGGGGTTCCTTGTCATGCCAGTACTGCTCCTCACCTCGTACGCGAGAGCGGATAAGGTATCCTCTCGCTGCACTCTGGAGAGTCATGGCAAAGCGACGCATGTCTAAGCGGTAGTAGGCGATCTGTCTGGCCCAGTCTCCACGAATACGCGATTGCAGATCTACAATGAGATGTTCGTTATCCCACAGATCCTGCATCAAATTTCCCAGTCTTATCCTGACCAGAGCTCCGCGTATCTGCGCCTGTAAATCTAGAATGATATCCTCATTCTCACAGAGTTCTCGGTCAATCCGATCTTCCTCCGATTCTACTGGCTCCGGCTCCGGCTCCGGCTCTACTGCGAAGTTCGCCTGCATGCCAGAAAAGTTGGGCATGCTGACACCAGACTTGTCCAGGCCTTTTTGGGTAGCCTCTAGCTCGTGGTCCTCGAATTGGAGTTTTCCGACCAAGTTGCCAATGCGGAAGTCGACTATGCCTTTGCGGAACAGCAGCCATGAAAGCGCATGGATACAGTAGATGACTTTGGGCACATTTTTTTTCTCATAAAGATCAACGAGTTCGAATCTAAAGAGATCTGGTAGCTCGACCTCGGATAGAAACTTGAAGAAGTGGGCATAATTGTTGGAATGCCGATATTGCAGCTTTGGATCTCGGAAAATGCGCAACGGTTGGCCCTTGATCGCTTGGACAATCTCTGCCAGGGTGACTCCGTTGCGAAGGGCTTCTTCTAGTTCCACCACTGGTGGCAGATCTGTCTCGATGATGTCTTCCATCCATTCCTTGGCTTCTCCAATGTGACAGAGGTACTCGTATGCCTGCAAGAATTGCCGCTGCTGGTCCATCCAATTCCGGTTCGCCCATGATGATGTTGTGGAGCTCCCTCGTGCATTGTCCAACCGTTGTAGTCGGCGTCGTCCATTTAGACCCACGACTTGTTGTTCGGGCGACTTGATGACAAAGTCCTCGTCGCTCCCAGCTTCGGCGAATTTTGACAGCGTGCGCAGATGCCCCGTCGACGACTTTTGGAGGCTCTTAAGCTCTGGGCGGTCTAGGTGGGCTGAGAGTGGGCGGGCTGAATGGTCGCGGGTTGGGGCGCGAACCGAGTCTGCTCGTGAGATGGCGAGGGAGAGCGGGCGGGGCTTGGAGGGTGGGGAGACTGCGCCATCATAGGGGGAGAATCGAAAGTTTTCGACACTTTGCGACCGCACATGGCTATGAGCGCTGTGATCTGGACTCAAGGCAGCCGTAGAGGAGCGTACTGGTGCTGGCTTCTCGGCAATGGGCGAGCTCTGGGGGGCCTGCTGGAGAGGCCGCAATGCTTTGCGCATGCTTGAATATGCGCTGCTGGGATCAGCTTCTTCCGATGTCGATCCAAAATAGTCCTCGGTCCGTGGTCGCGAGAGCGCTGTGGCCTCACTCATGCCACGGCGATGTCCTACTGATCCAAAGCCGTTGGAAGCATTGCTGGACTGCGTACTTGATCGGCTGGGCGGGTTCTGGTTGCTGCCACCTGAATAGGTGGAAGAGCCATTGGAGGCGGTCGAGTACTGGCGCAGCGGCGAGGGCGATGTGGCAGTATGCCCCAGTCTGGTGCGTGGTTGGGTGTTGAGGTAGCTCATTGCGGTCGCGCTGGCTGGGGACGATGCTGCGACCGGGCCCGACACGGCATATGTTGTACAGAAGAGAACGGAAGGCAACGAAGTGTGTTGGTGTGTTGGTCGAGGTCGATGCTCCAGGCCGGTGTTGAGGCCGCGGTAGGTATTACAGGTAGGTGGTATTCTACTAACTACCCTAATGTAGGTACACAGGCGCCGGTCCGTGAAAACAAGCCAAACACACAACGCACACAAACACGCCGTTCAACGGGACGTCGTTCCAAATCAGTGGGGGAAAGACGAAGCAACTCAACACCGTCTCGGACCAAAGAAAGTAATGCGGAATGTAAGATTACGGTAGACAGGCTGAAGGTTTGGATGTGCGTGGACCGAGCTTGCCCTTGGAAAAACGTTGTTTATCCCTAAGCCATGTTTGTTGTTGTCACGGGAAACCGGTCCCGCCGCTACCGGTACAAATGAATGTCTACCGGTATCCAGCCCAGGCCAGTCCAACACAACCTTGGAACCCCACGTCGCACAACCACTGAAGAAGCGCCGAAACAGGGCCTGACTGTGTATGTCGAGTATCGCAAGCTGGACCTTGCTGGACCTTGAGAGGATGCATCTGGATGCTGGACCTTACATTGTACCTACCGGTAGGTACGCGCTGTGCGCTGTGTTGCGCCGTGCTGCCCTGCACTTCCTATCCTCTGACGACAGGTGCTTTTCTCCCCCTTCACTCGCCCTTTGCGTTTCGCCCTCCACAGGACCTCTGACTTGGACATGACGATACCATGAAGCTTTCCACTTTGCGAGCAAGTCTTTGAGGAGGACTAGGTACGCTGTCTTCGCCTTTGCAGGGCACTACCGCTACCTAAGATGCAGTCTCTCTCTTGCCCACCTTAGGTACCTACGCCATCCTCACGTGTCTGAGCGCATCAACACCATAACCTCGACAGTAAATCCTTTCCACACACACACCAGAATACTAACGGCTACAAGATATGCCGCCCCCATTCGACAGCGGTACATATACCATCTTCTTCTGTACGTATACCTGGGCACGCGCCCTTTGGCTCAGCTGCGACGCGTCGACAAAGTTCACGCTCACGTCCAAATCGCGCTAGCGGCGGGGTCACGCAGGTCTTGGCACCACCGCCCACTGAAATTCTTTCTTCCCCGTCTTTCTCGCCCATTTTTTTCTTTTCTTGGGAAAGCCCTCCACTTTCCCCGGCCAACGTCCTCGTCAAGAACTGCGGTCTGTTTCATTCAGTCAAGCGTCGTATCACTCTTGCTCTTCTCTGTTCCTTGAGAAAGCATCTTTTCTATCATGCCCATTTCCAACGGCGACGCCATGGCCAACAATGCCACTAATGCCCTGGACTACACCAAGGCCCTCGAGGTCCTCAAGAACGAGTACCCTGAGCGTGATGGCATTGACGTCAAGACCCTTGTAGATTCCAAGAAGAATGGTGGTCTGACTTACAATGACTTCCTCATGCTGCCTGGATACATTGGTGCGTTCTCTCCACCTTGAGCGCTTTGCTTTTGCCTGGTCCATATATCGGAAATGCTCAGCCCGCACAAATCACCCGGCTTGTACAGCCTTTTAACCCTCCTTCAGGTTTCCCTGCCTCCGAAGTCACCCTCGACACACCAATCACCAAGCGCATCACCCTCAAGACTCCTTTCGTCTCATCGCCCATGGACACCGTCACCGAACACAACATGGCTATCCACATTGCTCTGCTTGGAGGTCTGGGTATAATCCACCACAACTGCTCGCAAGAGGACCAGGCCGAGATGGTCCGCAAAGTCAAACGCTACGAGAACGGCTTCATCCTCGACCCCGTCGTCATCTCCCCTACCACCACGGTCGCTGAAGCCAAGGCGCTCAAGGAGAAATGGGGTTTTGGCGGCTTTCCAGTCACTGGTAAGTCGATATTTGATTTCTGCCTGCCTTGCCCTGTTTCATGATGATCAACCTTATATTATTAACTTTCGTTCATCCGCAACGATTCCGTCGTGCTGTGGAGATTTTGTAATCTGACCTCGTCCACAACTCTTGACTTGACACTCAAATGCGTATGCGCAAAAGCTAATTTGCGTTCTCAGAGAACGGCACGCTTCGCTCCAAGCTCGTCGGTATCATCACTCCGCGTGATATCCAGTTCCATGACAAGTTGGACGACCCAGTCACTGCGGTCATGTCTACCGACCTCGTCACCGCCCGCCACGGCGTTGAGCTCAAGGAGGCCAATGACATCCTGAACAAGTCCAAGAAGGGCAAGCTGCCAATCGTTGACGAGTCAGGGAATCTCATTGCGCTCCTGTCACGTTCCGATTTGATGAAAAACCTCAACTACCCACTGGCTTCCAAGCTCCCACATTCGAAGCAGCTCATCGCCGCTGCGGCTATCGGCACCCGCGCTGAGGACAAGGACCGTCTGCAGAAGCTTGTCGATGCTGGTCTCGACATTGTCGTCCTTGACAGCAGCCAAGGCCACAGCATGTACCAGGTTGACATGATCAAGTACGTCAAGGAGACCTACCCCCAGCTCGATGTAATTGGTGGAAACGTCGTCACCCGCGAGCAGGCCGCTGCTCTGATTGCTGCTGGTGTTGATGGCCTTCGTATTGGCATGGGTAGCGGAAGTGCTTGCATCACCCAGGAGGTTATGGCGGTTGGAAGACCCCAAGCCACTTCGGTTTACAACGTGACATCATTTGCCAAACGTTTCGGAGTACCCTGTATCGCAGACGGTGGGATCCAAAATGTTGGACACATTGTCAAGGGTCTGGCTATGGGAGCCTCCGCCGTGATGATGGGTGGTCTTCTTGCCGGTACCACCGAGTCTCCTGGTGACTACTTTGTCAGCCGTGATGGCCAACTCGTCAAGGCTTACCGTGGTATGGGAAGTATTGCTGCCATGGAAGACAAGAAGGCGGGGGCTGGCGGTAAGGACGCCAAGGCCAGCAACGCCGGTACAGCTCGTTATTTCTCTGAGGGCGACCGCGTTCTAGTTGCTCAAGGTGTCTCTGGCTCTGTCCAGGACCGTGGCTCCATCACGAAGTTTGTTCCTTACTTGATGGCTGGTGTCCAGCACTCTCTGCAAGACATTGGCATCAAGAGCCTCGCAGCGCTGCACGAAGGTGTAGCCAATGGAACCGTCCGGTTTGAACTCCGTACTGCCAGCGCACAGGCTGAGGGCAACGTACACGGTCTGCACAGCTTTGAGAAGAAGCTCTACTCTTAAAGTCGAGCGGACAGAAGCTACAAAATTGCATTGGGAGGGCGTTCGGTGGGAGGATAGCTGGTTTGCTTTGAACCCTCGTTTAGACATGGGATGATGATTGATGCTTGTATACTGGAGTAATGATTAGATTCAAACGCAATGATACCACGGAATCTCGCGACCTTATATTTGATTGCAGATTGTTTTTATTCACCCGCTGTGCTGGCTGACATGCTGCCAAGCGTGCCTCTATGCGGCTCTGCTTTCACAAGCCCTGCTTTCACGAGCCCGTCACAATTCAACGACTCGGGGGCGGCGACAGCCTGCAAGCTTCCCCACAACCTCGGCTCGTTCCCCGCGTCCAAACGCTCTCCAACTAATCACATCATAATGCACCGTCGGTCCACAGTGACCCTCACCGTGGGCTGACGATGCTTCAGCCGAGCTTCAGTACTGCTTCTCTTTCGATTGTTGTACATAGACTGCTACCAATTCGTGTTTTTTCTCAATCTGTGTTCACAACTTCTTTGCGCCCACACCACTTGTTCACCTCATCTCACGAATCGAGGCACACGTGCGCAACAATTACCGGTACACTACTTGGATCTATCCTATGCTGGTCGAAAGAGAGTCCTAAGAAATTCGCGAATTCCTGTAGACGCGAAATGTCGACAACAGCAGATCATAAGCCTCTTAAGAGGACACCGAAGACTCCACAGGTGCCACGGCCGAGCGCGAGGTACCTATGATTCTGCCACTTTATCCAGTTTCCATTCAGACTAACGCCATACAAGTGTCCTTTTGATTTCCCCCACCAACCAGATTCTTTTGCTCCACCGTGTCAAGAAAGCGTCCAGCTTCGCCTCTGCACATGTCTTCCCTGGCGGCGCTTTGAGCAAAACTCACGATGGTGCAATACCAGATGTCAACGATCCTTTGCGCCACTCTGATGGCCCTGCCTATCGCCTCGCCGCCGTTCGGGAAACTTTTGAAGAATGCGGCATCCTGCTCGCCAAATCCAAGAAAACCGGCAAACTCTTCACCGAAATCAGTGACTCTGAGCGCGAGCAAGGTCGTCACGCCGTGCACTCCGGCAGCATCAAATTTACAGACTTGCTAGAGAAATGGGGCGCTATTCCCGACACAGAGAGCCTTATCCCCTTCACCCGTTGGGTGACGCCCCCCAACGTACCCAAACGCTTCTCCACCCAAATGTACATTTACTTCCTACCCCTATCCTCCGTCTCCCCGACGAAAAACCCCGCACAAACAGGAACACCACCAAACTCCGGCCTAGAAGAAGAAGAAGCCGACCTCATGATCCCCCACCCCACCCACGACGGCGGCATAGAACACACCGCCGCCCGCTTCCTCCCCCCCAACAAATGGATCAACCTCGCCCGCCAAAACCGCATCATCCTCTTCCCCCCACAATTCCTCCTCACCCACCTCCTCGCCCCCTTCCTCTCCACCACCGTAACCAGCCCCTCTAGCCCCTTACCCTCGACCGCCGAACTCGAGGCCGAAAGACGGCACTGCTTGGCTTTTCTGTCCGCACCCCGCGTCTACGCTGGTGAGACCGAGGTCAGCTGGGCTGAGGCCTGCATCAGCCCGATTGTGTTGGGCAGAGGCGAGTATGGCGAGAGTGGGCAGGATGGCGTGGGTGGTGTGGATCGCGATACGGCAGTTTTGGATTTGAGTCGGCCGGGGGAAGAGGTGGAGGTTTTGGGGGGAGGGAGGAGGGGTATTAGGGAGTGGGTTGTTACGACGCGGTTTAAGCGCGAGGGGCCGAGGGATGTGGATGTTAGGAGGAGAGAGGATGTTTTGGGTGGGAAGAGGAAGTTGTAGGGATGGGGAGGGGTGGGTTTCGTACATGTGTGGTTTGAGAATCTCTTGAGATTCTCAAGGCATTATTACGACTACGAGTAAGCTATTTGGGAATTCGACAAGGATGGGAACATTTTTCTGTCCAGCATATTGTACACTCTTTCTCATATTCCTCATGAGGAAGAAGAGGGCGAGGCTAATACATCAAAATAGTGAGAAAAAAAGTCCCACACCTCACAACCTCCTCCCCCTCCCCTCCTCCCCTCGACTCAAACTCCCACCCACATTCCCATTCTCCCTCAACAACCCCACCCGCTCCGCCCGCTCCGCCTGCTCTACCTCCCCCGCCCTCCCCTTCCCACCCACCCTCCCACTCCTCCTCCAAACGAACCCCACGAGCACCACACCGACCAGCAGCGCGCTCACCAAGAGCCCGACATTCACGGGCACGGGATCGTTGTGGAAGAGTTTGTGGGTAGCGGCATCGAGGGCGGATTGAGAGAAGTTGAGGAGGCCGGCGAGACAGATGATGAGGCCGTAGACTTTGCCGAAGGTGGCGAAGCCGAAGACTTTGGCGGCGTAGTCGCTGTTTATTGGTTGGCTGTGTTAGTGAGATGTATGAAAGGGTTTAGGGGGAAAGTGAGACTTACGAGACGGCGGTGTAGTACAAGGGGCGGTAGAGGACGAAGAGGATGATGTTGGAGTATGCGGCCCATGTTTCTGGGATGATGCCTAGGATGCCGATTGTAGTTGCAATCGTGACGAGGAGGGCGAGGGTGAAGGTGGTGCTTGTATTGTCTAGCAAAAGACCGATAAAGGGCACGGAGAGCACGCCACCCACAGGCAGTGCGACGTCGAAGAAGTTGTTAATTTCAACGGCCTTTGCGTAATCGTGAAAGAGGTAGGTATACTGCGTGCGAATGGTGGCGACGAAGTAGTTGATGCGCGTCATTTGGAGGACGGTGAAGAGGGTGATGAGGACGAACCAAGGGGTGCGAATTTGCTGGGCGGCGGTGCGGCCGTGCAGGGCGCCCCAGACGCCGGAGATGTCTTTTTTCTTCTTCTCGTCATCGGCTTGGCGGGCGCCATCTTTGGTGCCGAGGAGGCTGGTGATTTCGCTGACGAGGCTGTCGCGGTGGGCGCGGCGGGCGTCGCGGAGGCGCTCGACGGTGGCGGTGTCGGTGATGTCGTCGTCCGAGTCGTGCTCGACTTGTTCGTCTTCGACGGAGGTGACTAGTTCGCCGACGGTCTTGTAGGAGACTGCGGGCATGAAGAGGATTTGGACGACGAGGATGAAGATGGGAACGATGAGGTAGAGGAGGAAGAATTTCTTGACGCGGAAGCTGTGGTTACTGGCTTGGTAGATGAGTCGGTAGGCGAGGAAGACGGCGCTGGAGGTGTCGAATGCGCCGGTAAGGAGAGCCAATATTAAGCCAGAGTATTGCGGAAAGGTGTTGCTAAGCTGGAAAGAGGAGATGAAGATGAAGGGTCCACCCAAGGCTAGGAAGAGATATCCAGGAATATAAGCATCAAATGGCAGTTGGTTTGCAAATGCGAATAGGAGTGAGCCCAGGGCAGTAGAGAAAGCGCCAATGATGCTGGTCGTCTGTGGGCCATGGCGATCGAGTATGGTGCCGACTGGGAGCGCTACGACGTTGGTGGATACGGCGGCGACAGTGAACATGAGGTTAAGTCTACGTATTCCTTGATCAGTATTGGGCGTTTCCCAGCTCACGACTTGCAAGCCTACCGCAGCTCTTGCTCATAACACACAATGACATTCTCGTCGAGCTCTTTTTTTGTGCAAAGATTCCGATATACACCCTCGTCCAGCAAAACGGGCTTGATGGCAGCGTAGCCAAAGACGACGCCTGCAGCGAAGAGGCAGTAGATGACAGCGAGACCAACCTGTACTGTGCAACGTCAGCTTCTGTACATGTTTGAATACTACAGATTGTCGTAGTATTCCGTATTCCGTACACAGTCTTTTCCATTTGGGCACCTCGAAAGCACCTATGGTAGACTCCTCGCCCGTCGGCTCTGTCCAGGTGCCAACGGGGTTGAAGCTCATCTTCCGGTTCCTCGAGCTGGTGCTCGAATCTCTACTCCAGGAGCCGCCATGCTCCTCTATTGCGGTTACGCGCTGAGACAGCGACATATCAATGATAGTGTTGCTGCTCCCCCTCTACTCTGGATAAAATATACTCTTCTTTTCTCTGATTATTTTTTGCGCGCTGGAGCTCTTTGGTTGGCGTTGGGAGATGGTATGGGATTCAGGCGGGAAATGACGTCGGATTCGGGTTTGGGGGGCGGCGAAGTGGACCACCGGTAGTCGGTCGTCGATACGTGAGCCCGCCCGTCCTGTTACCTTCGTATCTTTAGCAATTCAATTGGTAAGCAAACAAAACCCGCTACATGCAAAGATAAAGGAGACCTCAATCAACAGCTGGAAATAAAAAAAAAGAGACTGGCAAAGAAGGATGACGGGGGTCACGGATGCTATATACACTCTCTGCACACATCAGCAATGGCAGATTATTGGGAAGCGGGGGCTGCAGGCTGCCGAAACGTGCATGAGCTTGCCATCCGGTCCGCTGCATTCTCCACCGCGTGATCGCGCCTCTCCGACATCCTTTCTTTTCTTTTACGCACTTGGGTGGTACGCGTGTGGCGGCTGACACTGCTATGGGCGCATTCTGGGGGTCATCATTACCTACTCGCATGGCCTTGTTGTCCAATGTGTTTCCCCTTTGGATGGACGGGTCGAGTGCGATGAAGAGGGGAAGAAGAGAGAGGCGGCTGGGCGAGGTGGATCAGCTGCAGCCAATGGCTTTGCAAGTCAGCCGCGGAGGATGAGGAGCTTGGGTGACTGTGCATGAGTCTTGAGGAGTGTGGCCGATGCATGCTGGGTGGGTGAATGCATGGGCGTCTTGATGTGTTTGTGACGACGTGTACCTAGAATGTACGTTTAACCAGAGTGCTTCCTTGTTGGTATGTATGAAAGGATTGGACAACCTACTTTTATATTCGTATCTTTGACTTGTAGATTTTACAACTCCAAGGACTAGGTAAAACCGATAATGGCATTATATTAAAGTCTTTTCTTCTTCTTCTTCTTCTTCTTCTTCTTCTACATGACCCCACACTTGTAGAAATACAAACATACATAGGGATGCGACTGACTGCTCATTATTCGAGTATACTACTTCAATCCAAATAGATCTTACCATATATGTGGCTGATATGCGAACACATAGAGGGCTTATAAGACGTTTATAAAAGCAATCAAGAGATTGATATCGTGAACAAGAGCTTGTTGTTGGCGAGAGTTCATAGAGTACTTCAAGGGTGTATGTTGATGTGCTCAAGTGTTCCATTCTGTTTGCACAGGTTATTCAACAGCGTAAGTGCTGATGTTGGACAGAGTAAAAAGTACCAATTAAAATGTATTAGTTGAAAGTCGATGATACTCTATAATATCCAGGTGGGCAGTATTTGAGTGTACGGCGTGGGCAGTATTGGTTTCGGTAGAAGGTAAGGATTAGGAAGCTCGGGTAGGTAAGATCATCCAGACGTCATATATACCAGCCAAGCTTAGTAGACCCATTGTAGAGATGCGCTCTGAAGGAGACGAAAGGGGAAAATACGCGTCAAGTATAGTATCAATATTCACCATACAATACCATCATCTAGACAGATTCGTCTTGAAACGCTCGTAGTAATCCCCGCCTCTCCCTCTCCTCTTCAGCACTCCCTTCAACTCTACTCGCTCCAAATCTTAAAAACGTACTTGACCGCACTCGCCTTGCCATCCTTCAAATTCCTCAGTCCCTGTTCCACGCCCTGCAACCCGCCAGGCACAACCTCATGCGGATGCGGTCGGAACCAACCCTCGGCAAGCCCTCTCATGATATACCTAAACGCCACATATGCATAATCCTTGTCCCCTTTATGCGCCTCCCCCACATTCGTCATCGTCTGATGGACCGTCTCTGGAATGCCCTCATACCCCTTGCCCGGCAACACCAGCGTCAAATGCCCATCCTTCTCCAAAACCTTGCAAATATTGACATAGCTGTTGTGTTCGCTTGTCGCATCAAACGCAAAAGATAATTTCGCGCCGCGGAGCGCATCCCGGATCCCGTTCACGACAGCCTCATCGCCTTGGCGGTAGTCGACAATGGTGTCACCTTTGCTGCGGTCGATCAAGCCTTCTACAAATTTTTGAGCGCGCCCGGCGACGGCGATGATGGGGTGGATGTTTGCGCGGCGCGCAAGCTGGATGGTATAGGCCCCTACGGCTGCAGCGCCGCCATAGACGACAAGGGGAATGGGCTCTTTGGCTGGCGTCCATGGGTCCGGTAGGCCGAGGCGCTGGTGGAGGCCGATGGCTGCGGTGAGAGCGGCGAGCGGGATGGTTGCGGCTTGCTCGAAGCTGATGTTGTGCGGGATGTGGACGGTCGCGTGTTGCCAGCCGAGAGCGTATTCTGCAAAGGAGCCGCCTGGGGTGAGCATCTCGTGGAAGGAGGCGACACGGTCGCCGGGCTTGAATTCCCAGACGTTGGCGCCGACGCTGTGGACGATGCCTGCGATGTCGTCTCCAGAGTTGGCATTGTAGTCTGGGATCCACTCTGCGATTTTCCTGGTTGGCGGAGAAGTTGTTAGGTTCTAGTAGTTGTGGAGAGATGAAATTGGATTGATTGAGTGGGAATGAAAAGAAGTTTACCAAACTTACCAATCCTTGGGATTGCTCCCTGAAACAGCCACCTTGATAACTAACTGATCTGGTCCCGGCTCTGGGATAGGCACATCCTTTATGGCAGTTTGGAGCCCCTTTGCGACTTGTACTTCCTTCATCTTGAGTAATCAGTCGTTTTTGTCTGACTTTGGTTTCTGGAAAAAGGTCAAAAGGATTTAAAGGCTTCACAATCCAACTTTGCTAGCACCTTTCTAGATATACAATTGCAACATTACAAATGCAATTTTAACATAACCGCGGGGCTACATGACGTCTACAAAGCTACTCGAGTCGGCCGCAAGGGATCCGGGTACCTTAGTCCTGCGACGGCAATGGCGTCTTCTTAGTACGATCTTCGAGATGGTTCTAGGCATCGCATGCCGTGCGGGCACAGTGTGGGGATTTTCAATATAGTGGAGCGAATGGCCGTCATGATTGGCAACTCGGCCTCTGTACCGAGTGCGTGAACGTGTTAGCACGTCTTTACATTGTAGATCTTGTAGAGTACTGAATTGTGTGCCTCTTTTGTATTCAAGATTGAGTCAATCTTAACATGTCATATCCACTTTACAGCTTGCCGCTAAATTACGAAGCTGAGCGAAGCGAAGGTACCGGTACACTACTCGTATCCGCGGGTAGTGCGGAAGTCATGTGAGTGGGCTTGGCGTGGCGAATCCTAGCATCCTCAACCACACTGTGTAGCCAAAATATTGCAATTTTGCAGCCATTTCAACCGCCTCTTGCTACCCAGAATGCCTCACAGTGGTGAATATACTATACCCACGCGCGCCGCTATTGTAACCCTTCGCTGTCAAGGTCTTGGATGGACCGCGATCTCCAAGCAGATTGGCAACTGCTCACCCGTTGGTGTCCAGAAATTCATGAGGAGACTGCTTGTCCGCGCTGATATAGCGATTACTACGCCGCCGCAGACGCTACCTCTCGCTCGATTACTCGAAATTCTCAAAGATGAGCATCACCATGGTCGCCGTGAGCGCTTTCCTGAGGGGTCTGAGGTGGCAAATAGGTTAGTAGAGGCTGCGCTTTCAGAGGAGACACAAGAAGTACCTCATACTCGTATAGTCCACATGGTAGAGGAGGAAATGGTTAGCCGACTTTCGCCGGAATTGGGGAATTTGCAGGAGGAATCGGGTTCTTGAAGAGAATGGATGTTAGCAATGAGCATTGGATAATTAGTAGCTAACAGTCTCCAGCGTTGTCTAGCAATTGCAGTGCTCACAGCTGATTATAAACCCTACATAATACCTTACCTCTACTGTGTTGGAGAAGTAGATGCTTAAAACTTCTATCGAGAGACTGTTTTGCAGTATAAAATTTATCTTGCTAAAAGTTTCACATGTGATAAAACTGTAGTAGCATTGCTTGAGTTTGAGTTCAATCATCTGATTGTTACTGATTTCTTGTTTTCAGCTGGCGCCAGAGGTCTCTGTATGAGTGTGGAGATGGCATAGCCCTGGCAACCAAGTTGTTATTAACAAGGCGCTTCATATTCCCCCTTGCACGTGTCGTGTAACGGGAGAAGGAGGCGTGGTCGGTGCTGTGAAAGTGGCGAGTAGCCCAAGTGCCAGGTTGGAACAGCGTCACGTGCCTGGCCTCAGGGTCGTGGTTGCCCTTCACAGATCCCTGTCTGTTTACGAGGTCCGAGCGCGAGCAACAACAGAAAGTCGGAAAGGTGCAACATCGTCATACTGTACGTCAACCCGCAACCCGCAACACCGCACACTCGCTCGCGGCTTTTGTTTTCTGGATCCTGGAGGTTGCGGTCTTGGTTCGAGGTCTTTTACTAACCCTTTGCACAGCGCAACCATGGCCGCCAGTGGGGCGTCTTCTATTTCGGTCACGGTGCGAGTGCGTCCCTTTACGATTCGAGAGGCTGCGCAATTGACCAGGACGGATGATCAAACCTTGTTTCTTGGAGATGGCTCGCTGGCGGGTATACCAACTCCCAAGGTGAACTCAAAGGGCATTCGGCCAGTCATCAAGGTCCTGGACGAGAAGTGCCTGTAAGGAGCGGTCCGGAGCATCTGATATGTCAAAAGCTGATAGGTTCCAGTATATTCGATCCCCCAGAAGATCATGCTGTTACAAGATTCTCACGATCAACCGTCGGACCCCAAGGAAAGCGAGCAAAGGACCAGACGTTCGCTTTCGACCGTGTGTTCGACGACACGACCTCGCAAGGCGATGTATACGAAGCGACCACAAAACCCCTCCTCGACAGCGTACTCGATGGCTACAATGCGACCGTATTTGCATATGGTGCCACTGGCTGTGGAAAGACGCACACGATCACGTAGGTTGTCAATAACACCCCTCACCGCTACTCGAGAAACTAACACAAGTACAGAGGAACAGCACAACAGCCCGGTATCATCTTCATGACAATGCAAGAGCTGTTCGAGAAGATCCAAGAGGTCCAAGAAACAAAGGTGACGGAGATTACACTGTCTTATCTGGAGATCTACAACGAGACCATTCGCGATCTGCTGGTGGAAGGTGGAAGTAAGCAGCCTCTGATGCTGCGAGAAGACGCCAATCAGGCTGTCTCCGTCGCTGGCCTCTCGAGTCATAGGCCACAGAATGTAAGAGGGGTAGAGGCCCTAGTCTTTTCCCATACTGACCTTGTACTAGGTCCAAGAAGTTATGGACATCATTGTCCGTGGCAATGAGTACCGAACCATGTCCCCCACTGAAGCGAACGCTACCTCTTCGCGATCACACGCCGTCCTCCAGATTAATGTATCCTCGAAAGACCGAAACGCAGCAGTAAACGAACCTCACACGATGGCCACGCTCAGCATCATTGATCTGGCAGGAAGTGAGCGTGCAAGCGCGACAAAAAACCGTGGGGAACGTCTCACAGAAGGTGCCAACATCAACAAGTCTCTACTTGCACTTGGGAGCTGCATCAATGCATTATGCGATCCTCGAAAGCGCAATCACATCCCATACCGAAACTCTAAATTGACGCGACTGCTCAAGTTCTCACTCGGTGGTAATTGTCGAACAGTCATGATCGTATGTGTCAGTCCTTCAAGTGTGCACTTTGATGAGACGCAGAATACGCTACGCTACGCCAATCGCGCGAAGAACATCCAGACCAAGGTCACCAAGAATGTATACAATGTCAACAGGCACGTGAAAGACTACCTGGTCAAGATCGACGAACAGCGGCATCTCATTGATGAGTTGATGAAGAAGCAGAAGGATTTCGAAGGCAGCGCATTTGTCAAGTTCCAGAAGCAAAGTGAAAAGAAGGATGGGGTGCTGCGAGACGCAGTGGCACGTTTGCGTCAAGCATATGCCGAGTCAGAACACGAGCGCCGGGACCGTCTCAACATGATGAAGACGCTGAAGCAAGCGGAGAAGCGTATTTCTCTTATCTCTGCATGGATAGCAGCGTTCGATCATGTGAGGGATGCTCGAGAGCAAGAGGAGATGCCATCACAGGTGGCTGCTATAAGAGATACAGCAGTCGGAATTTCGGCTGAGTTGGAACAAACTCGGCAACACTGCCATCGGCGAATGGAGCGCACGAATTGGGCTGGCAAGCTGGATACCGCTCTACATGTTGGGCTCCGGGCATTGACTGAGGTTGATGGATCTACCGACAGTCATGACGCAGCCAATCTAACGAGGGAGTATGAGCTACTCAAGTCGAATGCTGATCGTGAAGTTCTCAACGCTGTTTTGGAGCAGGAAAGGGGTGGAGATGCTGCCATCGTTCAAGTACTTGTACAGGCACACATCGAAACAGTCGCGATACTAAGTCAAATATCCCAAATGGATGAGAATGAGGCCGTCGAAGCAGCGCGCAAGCTTCTCACCAAGATCATGAACTCCTGCACAAATGCCAGCGCACAGGTTATCCGTCCGGACGGTGGACTTCCAGTAACAGAGTTCTTTGCTCCAAGCCATCGGGGAACACCGAAGAGGAGGAAGCCAGTCAACGTCGCGGGCCCATCACCTCTGCGAGCGTTAGCCCCACCTTCATTCACAGATGCACCACACCTGACTTCTTCACCTATGAAAGGATCGCCGCGTCGCAAGAAAGTCCTTCAGGTCAACAAGAAAGGCGTCCAATTCTCGCCAATGAAGAAGAAGTCCCCGTTGAAGTCGAAGCGAGGTGTACGCTGGCGAGACGATACGGAGAACGGTACCCTGGCAGAATTCCAGAAGACACCTGAACACTTCGAATCGACGCCTACCAGCTCATCGATTGAACAGCCGCCACCACAATTTTCCACTCATATCCCAGGACCAGCACTTGGTCATAATGGATCCTCGCCCATCCCAACGCCCCCGAAAGCGTCTGTAGACTTGAAAGGCTCCAGCCGGTTTGCACTCGGCGCTCTTTCCAAACGGTCAGACGGTTCCCCTGCACCCCGTACCACTACTGGATTTAATTCTGATTCAGACAATACATCACCACTCCGTGAGATTGGCACGAACACGCTCCGCCAAACCGCCCTCAATATGGCCGAGAACGCCAAGACCAATGGACGAAACGATAACAGCGGAGATTCTTCCTCCGAAGAAGAAAAGTGGTCCAGTGCCGACGCCCGCCAAATTAGCACAGCCATGAAGCGCCGCTCCTCTATGAACAAAGGCTCCATCCCTATAAACCGCGCTCACCGTCGTCGCAGCCCTACAGCAGCATCGTGTAGTCCACCCAACGAGAACTCGCTGCTCTCGGCTGGCGCGGCGCGGCGGATGGTGAAAGGCAATCATGATGGTACTTGGCAGTCTAATGTGCTCGGTCCAAGGGTAACGCCCATCATGAAGGGCCCTGCAAGGCGCACGACGATGGCAGATTCCGGACCTAGGGAGCCTGCGTTGAATCGGGCGCCTGTTCGGATTGTTAGCAACAGTTCGAATGGCTCAGCTGGGTCGAGGGGAAGTTTCATGCCGAATTCTAAGAGCGTTTGGCGGTGATTAATTGTCTCGACATATTTGGGTGGTGGTTTGGCGTTGATGAATGGGCAAACATGGTTGGTAGTTGCATGCATTATTCAAACGGCCGATGTTGAGTTGGTGATTTAGTACTTGGGGTCACTGCCTATGGTAGTTTGCATCAGGAGTTCATTGTTTGTGCATCATTGGTTTTTCTTCTTGTACTGTCTTTATCTTGGCTTACGGGGTACCGGAGCATAGATGTATTCGTGTTCATAGCATATTTTAACATGACGGACGCTGCCTTTACTGTTCAGACTTTTATAATTCTTGACTGTCTCTAGCGCTGGCCCAAAAACCGAAAAATGGGTGATGGTAGGATAGCTGAAGATGAGCAATACTAACACTTTTGTAGTGGAAATTAGAGGCCTTAATTTTGCTAATATCCTGTAGGTAAGGTATTTGTAAGTATTTTTTACTTTTTAGGTAGCACTAGAGGGACCATCACTACAGTTTGCAAAAGAGAAACACGGTATTCAGACAAAATGCAAATCTCATTCTGGCAACTACTCTTAATCGACACTCACCTCGTCATCATAGACACTTTCTCCATTGTAGCTGCTCCACTTTGAACTCCCAGGGACTCTGCACACTCAAAGTGCTGTTGAGCGGTTCTTCACTTTACCAAAAAAATCAGCCATCTAAACCACTGATTTGGGCTTGGTAGTGCACTTTTGCCATTGCACGTACACGACTTGTGTGAACTTGAGGTCGGTAGAATCGGTGGTCAGGAGACCGGTGGCAGCCGGGTTGGAGCTCGTCAGGCGGACCTGCGAGTTGATGTTGAGGACACCGGCTTGGCCGCAAGGGGACCAGACTACCGATGTGCTGTCGGCTTCGTCATGCTTGAGGTAGTCCTGGGTGATGGGTCCCTCAAAGGTGTAGGCCGTGCTGGTCTGTTGCGGAGTCTCAGTCTTGGGCTGTGTAGAAGGGTGGGGTGGGGAAGCATACCTGATCGGTCTGGCCGGAGAAGTAGTATGTCGACTTCAAGGTACCTTGGACGCCCTTTTGGATAGAAGCGTAGCCGCGGTAGTCGGCGGAGAGAATAGAGTATTGAAAACCACCAGGGTAGTCAAGGGCAATGTTGAGCTGGCAGTTCTTGCGCTGCTCCGTCACAGCGATACCTGGGCCTATGGACGCGACGTACTCGTCGAAGATGAGAGTTACCGTGTCTCGGTGGCCCAGGATGGTGGAGCTCACAGTGCCCTGGGGGCATCCGGTACCTCCGTAGCCGACGCTCTTGATTTTGACCTGCGTAGTGTTAATAAAAACCATCATCATACGCTTCATGATACTTACCGTTCCAGGTGGGGGGCCATTGTCAGCTTCAAACGTAGGGAGAGCTGGAGCAGCAGCAGCCAAGGGAAGGAAAGCAAAAAGCCACTTCATATTGTTGAGAGTAAGAGTCTAGAATTCGAAATTCTGGGATTGTGGAGCAGGAGAAGGTAGTACAATGGAGACGAGATTGGAAGCTGATTGCTGATCATAAATGGGTTCTTTGACCAGGTTATATACCAGTCTGTCGGCAGCCCTTCATATCCTCTGAGTATCCTGGCTTTGTCCGCAGCAACAGCATGTGTCGTGATACCATCTGCAGCCTGTGAAGTGATAGGAGCTGCCAAGTATCAATATAATATCGAGTACGGCTGAACGGGCAGCAGTTCATGTCCACAGGCCCAGAACTGCGAAAGTGTCTCGGTAGTACTCATGTATCCCAGAAAGCGTGATATGACTTTCCTGGGGCTGCATATAGATCCTGCTGCAATACCGACTGAGAATAGGTAGTGTCCACGATGGCGTCCAAATCCTTGCTGCAGGTTTCGTTTCTGGTGGTATACTAGCCTGATAGACCCTCATAATGCGGTTTCTATTGACAATGCCAAGCGCGAGCACCAGGACTAGCATGGAGACCATGGTATAATTGTTGGATTCAGTCGATTCCAGGCATATTGGAATGATGTCCACTCATATATTGAGTCAGCAGATGCTTGGCTAGCAAAGCCAACAATACTTGCAGCTGAGCGGCAATACGATATGATGTTTCCCGGTCACGTGCCACCTGGCATTGTTTCGCGAGCTGTCGTGCTATTATGTCGGGGCCGATAGAGGATCTGGAGAGTGCAGATAGGTGACAGGCAAGATTGCAATCAATAGCACCGTTATCATGCTGTCAGATGACGGCTGGAGTACAGAAGTCCTTATCCAGGAGCAACCTGCAGATTCGCTTGCTTCTCGCGACCCACCGCGCGCGTGGGCAACATCGTGGAAATAAATTGTAGTCGAATTGGATGAATATATTTTCCTGGGGTACTGGGCCGAAAATAGAAGTTCCGGGCCTGGATACTGGGTGCGAACGATCAGGCATCAGCGAATGCGACTATAGCGAGTGGAGCACTCATCTATCAGACCAGCTCGCGATGCAGCGGCGGCAAAATGTACGGGAAGCGAGTGCTCAGCAAGGTAAAGTGATCAAGAGACGAGCGAATTTGTAATGTAAGATTTCGAGTATGGACCATGTCGCAGATCTGAATGAGGTTGTAGGCTTGACGAGGAGTTTAGCCTTATATTAAAGCTTGTCGTGGCATCGAGGCTCGAGACCCTGCATCAATGAAAATTAGCGAGCATGAAGCTGGCAAGGGCAGGTACGAGCTTTGTAGAGCAAAAGACTAAAATAGCTGCAGAAATTGTGGTCACAAAGACCCAGAACTCGCAAGCGACGGCATCGGCTCACCACTGCTTGCATATAGCCGAGGTAGATGACTTCAGGCAAGATAAATTGGATGTTGATTACGAGCCTCGTGTCATCCACGCGCGACGGATGCTGTGGTTCTCTATTGAATTCGGCTGAAAGAGCTGTTGAGATGTCGAGTCAAGAGTAAAGTGACATCTGAGTGTCATCCTCACGTCTATGCATCTTTGCAGGATCAGAGCCGAGAGTCTTTTCGCTGAAAGGGCAGAGCATATACTTGAAGAGGAAGTTAATGGCCGGTGTAGCTCTTTTGAGAAATGTAGTGAGCCCGCGCAGTGTCGTGTCTGGTCAGCTGGAATTCTGTGTGAGCCCAGCGAAAGATTACATACTTCACCAACGTCTTGTACGCCATATCAACGGTGACCTGGCGAAGTGCATCATCTTGGAATGTTTCAGACTAGCAAATCTAAAGCGACTGCTCGAATTGTGACGACGACGCCTTGCTTGAAGCTGCATTTGCCTAACAGTTTTTTTTTTCGAAGCGACACGGTCCTGCTGAGCACTTTTAGGGGGGAGGGGGTTTGATAAACTGTTAGACAAAAAGTCGTTCACTGTGAGCTGTTGAGTCTTCCTCTTCGAATTCGCGACGTCTAAAGCATTGAAATCGTGAGCATCGTTCATGGTTGCACAATTGGTTCCCTCGCTGTTACTAGGGAGGCACACTAGCGAAGCATTACAGTGAGAGCAGAGAACGAGTGTTGGTTTCCGCACGGCTAGGGAGGTGGACATTGATATATCGCGATATATAGGTGGGTGTCGAGCGTGTATTTGATACTAGAGAGAAAGTGAGTAATGTATTGAGATGAGAAGATGGAGGAGAGAACCCAAAGATGTCATTGTCTAGCGAGTGTAGTTATTAGGCCCAATCGGGACGCATCCCAGCCAACCTGGGATGAGGAACTCACCCTCAGTAAGCGCAACAGTCACCGCCACAGATGAACTAGACAGAACAGCATTACGATATCTATATGTTGCTAGTAGCACTGCAAAATAGTTCGTGACGGACTTGAGCCACAATCTAGTTTGATATTACGCAGTAGTATAACTTCTATGCTGGCTTGTTATGAGCTGATGTTTAGTTAATCAACCAGCTTTACCCGGAGCGTCTGATTCATCAGCTAATGGTAGCCCGATGCCCCGCACTTTTTTGCTCCGCATAGGACGCGCGCGAGAAAGAGGAAAAGAGAGTCGTTGAGGAAAACAAGCCTGTCTTTCGAGATCTGAGAAACACCATCGATCCGAGAGCCGTAGGGACATGCTGGATGTGACGGGAAATCTCATGAGCAATGCAATGGGAGGGAGAAGTTGAAGTTATACTAGGCTGAGCGTGACAGGCGGCGCGATCCCGCACTACACATCCATCACATAGGTATGTCCGGATAAACCCGCTAGGCGACATGTAGGTAACACGGATGACAGCTCGCTAAGCCAGTCCGCAACGCTCATGTACGAAGGTGGCACAATTGTAGATGAAAACAACAAGCAATGGGAAAGACCAAAAAAAAACAAGTCATGAAAGACAATCTGCTTGCGAGCAGTGCCTCGAGGTAGACTAAAGCAAAAAGACAGCAGAGAGACAGCGACCGGCCCGCCACCTGTGTGGCTGAATGGTCGATTTGTCAGTCGTGATCATGGCGTCAGAGACGATGATCGAAAAGAGGCAAATCCTAAACCCTATCCCAAAATCAATCCAAACGACATACACCTCCCCCGTCTCCCCTCTACCCCCAGAACCCCCACTCTTCACGCCAATTCCCTCGTACAAATCTCGCAAGACCCAACCCTGAAGCTCCTCACTCTCGCCCTTGTCATCGCCCTCTCTTACGCGTCTATGTCCTTTTTGACCCGCTTCCTGCGCCCCTTCACATCTAGCACCATGTCCTCTGCCCCCGCACCACCCATGACGGCCCCGGCTGGTGCGCAAACTGCCACTGTGGCTGCCGGATGTTTCTGGGGCGTTGAGCACATGTACAGACGGCAGTTCCAGAACAAGGGACTGTATGATGCGCGCGTGGGTTATATTGGCGGGGACACTGAGAATCCAGGCTACAGGGCGGTCTGTAGTGGACGGACCGGACGTAAGTTGCCTCGCGACGAGAGAGAGAGAGAGAGAGAGAGAGGAAGAGATGAGAAGGATGGGAGTAATACGGACATGCTTTCGGGCCAATAGATGCCAGGATCTATAGCTAACGAGTACATCAGATGCAGAAGCACTCCAAGTAATCTACGACCCCGAAAAAGTAACCTACCGCACCCTCCTCGAGTTCTTCTTCAGGATGCACGACCCCACCACCGAAAACCAACAGGGTCCCGACCGTGGCCCCCAGTACCGTAGCGCAATCTTCTACCACGACGCAGAGCAGGAAAAGATTGCACGGGAAGTCACAGACAAGGCCAACAAGCAGTGGTGGAAGGGCGGCATCACGACAGAGATTCTGCCAGCGGGGAAGTGGTGGGATGCAGAGGAGTATCATCAACTGTACTTGGACAAGAACCCGGGAGGTTATGAGTGCCCCAGTCACTTTTTAAGACAGTTCCCCGATCTAGACTAAGTCCTGTTTGGCTTTTGATCACCAAGAAAACCATGGTGTAGTAGAAAACATCAAATTGGAAAACTAAAGATTGGAAATTCAAGATGAATACATTCAATTGTGTGAAAACTTGAATTTAATTCCAATTTGCTCATCAATCAAAATCCATCCTACGAAGGTGGCATACCGTCAAACGTCTGCGCAACCTCCTTCTCCCAGCTCAACCTATCCTTGCCAAAGATCTCCGCGCCAGGCTGAAACTTCTGGATTCCCTCTGTCAACAAACCCGTGCGCAGAACGATGCTGTCTGGGCCGAGGGCCTCCTGTTGGTGGTAGACATGCGAAGTGCAGACCTTGCAGTAGTAGCAGTGGACGTCCCTGCCTGCAGAAAAGGTGAGCATGGTGGCGCATCGAGCCATGTTACTGTGCAGAATGGAGGCGTTGATATGAAGAGATGAAGGAGGATGGGGAGAGGAGGTAGACGTACCAGAGTCGCCCTTGTATGTGTACTTGCCCAAGTCATCCCCCTTTGTGATTTTCAGTGCCTTGGCAGGGATGATTTGGTTGAGCGTGAATGTCGAGCCCGAGAGTTCTTTGCATGTGTTGCAATGGCTAGCCGCCATATTAGCATCTTCATCTCAGTCTCAGCTGCCGTTTTCGAGAAGCCCATCCATGAGATGGGCTACCGGCACAGGTGGGACATGACCTTACCAGAGAATATGAGCCTGCTGGTCCTTCTGCAGCGTCGCAGTCCACTCTGTGTTACCACAGTGGCATTTTCCTTGGAAGTCGGTCATCTTGCCAGGTGATTGGACGGATGGGTCTCTGAGAATTGCTCGTTCAGGTATGGGCGGAGGGTTGAAGAAGACAACTAGGTCCTCAGCAGCAAGGCACTACTTATACAGGCCCAGCGCCCGCTTTCTTCGACACTCTAGCTCTTGCGGTTCCATGTCCGGCTCTGCATGCCATGTCCGAGCCTGTGGATTCAGGTCTGCAGCTTCCATGAACGATGTTCACCATTTGACAAACCCGGTTCGAGTTGGCTATTTGTCACTGAGGAGAAATGGCATCATGGTACATTGGCGTCGGGGATGACGGTTCCAGATCGATGCGCTGTACGGATTACTCTATTATGGTGGGTTTACCAGAGCACTTGTAGACTGTAGAGTATGATCCTTTCTTCTTCTTCTTCTTCTTCTCCTCCAAATTCATCTTCATTTTCCAGAGCGTCATCTCTTTGTCCATATCGTCTTTACATCCCAATTAACATCAAGGAAGTCAACTCTGCGACTAACTATTGGAAAGATTCCCCATGGTTCGCGCCAATTAGCACTGGGTGGGAGTGCAGAGCCAGGGGTGTACCGTAAAGCCATGACGCAAGCGGGGCATGCGCGATACCATCCAGCGCGGATCCGTTGGTCGACGCGTAAGAGGAGACAAGACGTGCAGCGAGACGCGATCGAAATCCGGATAATTACCGGTACGGGTTGGAATCACTGTTAGTCCTCGGGGTTACCTAAACCTGCTGTAGGTACGGATGCTCTCAGTGTGAGGAAGTAAGGCGGGCGCAAAGCTACACATTTGGAGAGTCTTTGAGAAGAACGGGGCACACACTTTGGTGCAATTTGGTCACAACATAAGCAAAGTCACGAATCGACAAGCTTCAAGTGCATAGGAAATGAGTACTTGGGGGGACATAAGCCCGGCTTCATTTATCCATTAGGAATTATCGACATTCAATGCCCTGAGAAACCAACGACAGACAGACGATGATTGGAAGAAAGAAAGAAACTAAGACGATAACTCCAAGCGCCGTTCGCAATGCGATTTTTTTTTATTTCTGGGTTGCCGTGTGGAAGGGAGAAAAAAAGAATGGAAGGGGAAAGGAGGAGGAAACAAAATTGGTCGGTCATGTTGCGCTTGATATGTTGTTCCCACGTCGTGCTCGTGCTCGTTCTTGTGCTAGTGATCGTAGATCATTTCATCCATCTTGGTGCGAGATATTCACCGCGTCTAGGCCTCCTCGACCGTCTTGGGAGCAGGCTTCTTGTTCTTGTACCAAAGAGTGGGCAGAAGCGCACACGAGGTGGTGAACAAGACGCACAGTGCGATCGTCATGCCCCAGGTAGTCTTGGCCTGGAAGCAGTTGTTACGGGTGATGCCGGCCCAGTGCATAAGTCCCATGTTCGATCCCGATTTGTTGAGGTTCTGGGAAGCGGCGGTGACAAAGGCATAGGCGTACTGTGCATCGACCTCCGAGGAGGACTTGCCAATGACGTAACAGTTGAGATAGGAGATGGGCTTGCCCAAAGTGACGGCGCAGACGATGAAGGCGATGAGGAGTAGCGAGTCGACAGCAGTCATGACGAGGAGTCCGAGATTGGCTTGCGACCAGTAGTAGCCTACGCTGACCATGATATAGAGCGTGGCAATGCAGGCCTGGAAATGGGGTTAGTTGTTGTTCTTGAAGAAAGAGTCTGTCAAGGCACGTACTACACTGAGAGTTCCGACAAACTCTTTGGGCGGCTCGATGCCAGTGGTGACAATCATCTGCACAAAGTTGGAGCAGATACCGATAACAATGATCATGCAAATGGCCTGGAGGATGCGGACGCCGAGGAACATCTTGCTCAGAGGCATGGCGTTGTAGCTTGGGACAGGCATTTTGATGTTCGTGGTTGATTTGCTCGTAGCGATTGGGGCAGAGTGTTGGGTTCTGTGGAAGGAGTGTTCTGGTCGATGGACGGTAGAATTTTATGCAATAGAGAAACGTTGGCGATCTGCACAGCAGAGAGAATGTGTTGTAAATGGACAAGTGACGAATGAATGAGACCCAGATAGGAGACAAGGAAATAAGGAAATAGGGAAACGGAAAAAGAAACCGCAAAGCGAGATGTGATGAGTTGGAAGCTGATGTGTTTGATGACTACTAGAGATGCTGTCGCCAACACATCTTATATGTCGTTGGAGTTGTTCACGACATGAACAAACCGATCCCAATACGGATAGCTGATATAATTACTATTCTTACCAGTCGCCCTGTCTAGACCTCAGTGGTTTCAAGGTCTCATGAGTAGTCGCTGGCTGTGCCAATGAGAGGTCGAAATGGTCATAGTCCCAAATCGGTCCGAGCTGCCGCACTGACGCGCTACGGCGGCTACAGCCTCGACTACAAACCATGAATCTGGGGAAGCCACTCAGGGACCTGCATTTCCAGTGGTACCTGGAGGATCGAGAGCCACAGTTTGAACTCAAGATCGGCTGGCTGTGAGTGTGCGTTGCGGCTGTTGCTAGACATCCCCGGTCCCACAGTGTCACCACTCGAACAGTCCCGACCTATCTCGCGCGCGGGAGCTATGCTTAGAAAGTGTTGAGGCTCAATCAGGTGCGAAGAAGCATGAAACATGGTCTAGATGACCGTTCGCTGCTGTGGTGATGGCGTTTGTGGATGCTCGTGCTGGTCGATGAGAGGACGGCTGGGGTTGCACAAGTCAATGCTGGCCATGACAGCTGGGACTTGCTCTGGGGTGTATTGGTCTAGGTGTTAGTCTCCAGTTCACAGAATGGAAACAGTGAAAAGTCCCTTCAAAGGTGTCGTCTCAAAGGCTCCCAAGTTGGTACGGAGCAAGACACACACACACACACACACACACACGTGACCTTTACACCTCGGGTCCCCCACTTCTTGACTCCTGGGGTAGTTCCAAAACGGGCTAGTGCATGCGACCATGTCACGACAACCATCGTGCCGACAGTAGGCGCAGCGAAGGGCGTCGACGACATGTAGACTGTCCGAAGGAACGAAACGTCTCTTTTGGCGTTTCCTATCACCTTCCCACTTTCTTGCACATGTGCTATCATAGCACCCTAAACCCTGCATCACCATGGGCTTCCTAGAATACCGGCAGCACAAGGCCGAGTGGTATGTTTGCGAGCCCAGTTCCTCTGTGTATCTTCACCATGATTACTATTGAGCCAGTGGTGTGTGCGTGTGTGTTTTCGGTGTGACGTATGTTGCTAATACCCGCCAAGCCAGCGTAAACAAGCCGAACGAGCGTCGAAGATTGCAAACCTCCCTCCTACATACAAAGGTCCTCTCTCCTCGCAAGAACGAACTATCCTCGGCAAACCCATCCAGGAACTTGTCCAAGATGTGCACAAGCAAGTCACCAGTCCCGTGGACATTCTACGCGCATACGGAAAGGTTTCGATCAGAGCACAACAGAAGACAAATTGCCTGACCGAGATACTCTTCCCCGAAGCAGAGGAATGGGCAACCCATCAAGTCAACTTGAAGGGCCCGCTTGCCGGTATCCCCGTCTCGCTCAAGGACTCGATCCAAGTCGCAGGCTTCGACTCGTCCGTCGCCTACTCGAGAAATGTAGGCAAACCCTACACGGAAGACGGGGCCATGGTGAAGATGCTCAAAGATGCCGGCGCAGTCCCCTTTGTCAAAACTGCATTGCCCACCACCCTCCTCTCCTTTGAATCCACAAACGACGTCTGGGGCCAGTGCAAAAACCCTCACAACGACAAGTACTCGCCCGGCGGCTCCACCGGCGGTGAATCCGCCCTCCTCGCCTTTGGCGGCAGCCGCATAGGCATAGGCTCCGACGTAGCAGGCTCCGTCCGCGTCCCCGCCCACTTCTCCGGCTGCTACTCGATCCGCTGCTCGACGGGCCGCTGGCCCAAAGTCGGTATGAACACCAGCATGGCCGGCCAAGAGGCCATTCCCAGCGTCTTCAGCCCCATGGCTCGCTCCCTCAACGACCTCACCTACTTCACCCGCGCCTTCATCCAAATGAAACCCTGGACCTACGACTACACCGTCCACCCGCTCCCCTGGCGCCAGGACATGGAGGACGAGTACGCAGACGACAACAAGACCCTCCGCATCGGCGTCATGCGAACCGACCACGTCGTCGACCCTTCCCCAGCCTGCGCCCGCGCCCTCGATCAAACCGTCACCGCCCTCCAAGCCGCCGGCCACACCGTCTTCGACGTCTCCCCGCCATCCCCCTACTCCGCTTTGCAAATCGCATCCCACCTCCTCCTCTCCGACGGCGGCCAAACCTTTCTCTCGCACTTTCGAACCGGCGAGTCAAACGACCCCGGCGCCGCCCAAATGGTGCGCTACATGCGCCTTCCCCGCTTCCTCAAGTACGCACACTACCTGTGGGTCAAGTATGTGCGGCGCGACCCCGTCTGGGCAGGCCTGATTCGCAATTGGCACCCGAAATCAGCATATGAGTATTGGCAGCTCGTGGGCAGGCGGGAGGCGTACAAGGCGCGGTTCTACGAGTGGTGGGATGAGCAAGAAGGGGGCATGGATGTATTGCTGACGCCACCGAATGCGACACCTGCGGTACCGCATGGGGCCATGCATGATGCGTTTAGTAGTTGTGGATATACGTTTTTGTTTAATTTGGTGAGCTTGCTCCTTTTCATCCCCTTCCCCCCCCCTTTCCCCCTTCCCCTTTCCCTTTTCCCCGCCCCTTCTTCATTCCTAACCCAAAAACTGACCACACCCCATCCCAGCTCGATTACTCCGCCTCCATCCTCCCAATCACCCACGTTGACCCCGTCAAAGACGCCCTCCCACCTTCCTTCTCCCTCTCCTCCCTCAACAGCGTCGCCCGCGGTGCCTACAAGCACTACGACGCACACGCCATGGCGGGCCTGCCCGTCGCTGTGCAGATTGTGGGACGCCGGCTCGAGGAGGAGAAGGTGCTTGCGGTTACGGGGCGGGTGGAGGATGCGCTGGAGCGGTTTGGAGGGGGGGCGTATGTGGGGTTGGATGTTGAGTAGGTTCAACCTGGAAGTGAGGGGGAATGTGATGGTTTGTCAAGTTGGGAATGTGTCCTGTGTCCTGTGTCATGTGCTGTTTCGCTCTTTTCCTTGTTCAGAGTCATGCAAGAAAAGAAGAGAAGAAGAAAAGGGGGGAGCTCAAGAGACGACGAGAAAAGGAAACCGCAGATTCAAAATTTCCATTTCATTCCTTGTCCCTCCCCCAGAACATAAACCCCACTTGTCCAACTACTCCTTATCAAACCGCACAGCCGGCTGTTCGCGAATCCAGTTCAAATCCACCTTGTGCCCCAACAACTCCCTAATATTGCTAACCTTGTACTTCATCATCGTGGGCCGCTCGAGACTCAGGCCAAAGCCATAGACGCGCATATCGCGGGGCAAGCCCATGGGCTCGAGCATCTCGGGGCGAAACATGCCGCTGTTGCCGATTTCCAGCCAGCGCGCAAGGCCGGCGTGGTAGCCAAAGATTTCCATGCTGGGCTCCGTGTAGGGGTTGTAGGCGGGTTTGAAGCGGAGGTTGGTGATGCCCATGGAGGAGAAGAAGTCTTCGAGGAAGCGTTGGAGGCCTGTGGGGGGTTTAGTGATTGGGGTGGGATGGGGGTGCGGAGAGGGGAGGGGGGATGAGGGTGCGTACCACCTAGTGTGAGGCCAAAGTCTGCAATGACGCCTTCGATTTGGTGGAATTCGGCGAGATGGGTGGCGTCGACGGTTTCGTTGCGGAAGACGCGGTCGATGGAGAAGTAGCGGGCGGGTCGTGGGTCTTCGGCTAGGCGGTGCAGTGCCCATGTTGATACAGCAGTGGTGTGTGTGCGCAGGACGAGGCGGAGCGACTCATCCTCTTCCCATGGATACCGGTCTTTTGAGCGTCAGTAAACTTCGGGTATCATAAAACGCAGGCGAGATAGCTCACAGCCTATCGATCCAAAAGCACCCTCTTGGTGCACCTTTTTCACATCCTCCCAGTACTTTTCAAAATCCCTGGGCTTCCTCTCCTTCTTCTCGCTCTCGGGTGTGGCAAACAAGCGTTTTGAACCTGCCTCCATGCGGTCCATGACTGCCTCGTTGGCGGGATCTAACCGTGGTTTATCGGCCTTTTGGGGATGTGTGACGAAGAAGGTGTCCTGCATATCACGGGCAGGATGTTGTTGAGGCACGAAAAGGGCATCGAAGTTCCAGAAGCCGGTGTCGACGAAACTAGCCGTACGTCAGTCATCTGCCCATCATCTCACATTGCCTAGACATCGCTGGAGGGTAGGCCATTGGGAAAAAAAGAGGGGGCAAGACTCACTGTCCTGTAGGCATCTCCACAAACCCTTGGCTGAAGAAGATCCTTCTGAACTCCTCCCTCACCTTCATCAACGGATGCAAGGCCCCCGCATTCTGCCCTGCACCCAACGCTTTGAAATTATATGGCTTGAAGTTTGCCTTTTCCCATTCCCCACTCGCTAACAATTCTACCGTCAAATCGGTATGCTCAATTGGCATCTCCTTTGCGTATTTCGGGCCCTTGCTCACGGTATAGGTGATTACTTTTGTCGTGGTGACCAGTTTCTTCTTCTTGAGGTCTTTGAGCAGCTTGGCGTCGGTGCAAGATTGGCTGGTCTGAATAGCGTGAAGGATGTCGCGGCTCGTGTCTTTTGGTTCCTCGGACACCAACGGAACCAGGTTGTCGCCGTCCTTCTTGATCCACTTGTTCTTGAAGCCGTTTCCCTGTCCTATACTCGCTACTTCTGCGCCGACAAGTGTGGGGAGCTCCTTGACGCTCACGCTCCCTCGCTCCTTGACAACCCGCCATACTTTCATTTCGTGACTCCCACTCTGGACAATGCCCTCCGCTTCCGCCGTCAAGACGACTTTTTCCTCGTCCTTGCTCTGGTACGTCACCATGCTGCGACTAGCGAGCCGGTCCAGCGCCGCCTTGATCACGGCCTGCGAAACAGCGGGGAAATCTTCATTGGACTGAAATGTGGGTTTTGTGTCGAGGAGGTCGAGTATTTGTTGTGTGAGGTCGCCATTCTGCTTTGTTTCGAGCGGGACGGGCACAGGGCCCCGTGTGCCTGGCATGCTGGCGATTGTGGCTATTATTGTGGTTCGCGGCGTGCGATTCCGGTGTGAGGATTAGTGGTGGAGGGGTAGCCGTCTTGAAGTTGCAGCTCGAAGTTCATGGTGGGGCTACATGCTGTGAGTCGAAATCAGGTCGGAAATTTGTAACCGCCGATCGGAGCTGCGCGTCCTATGATTGGGCGTTGGCATGGGGTGAAAGCAGCGGAGCATATATACTCATAAACTCTACGCAGTTTTTAGAGCAAGACGGACGAAATCTTGTGACTCAACCATGTTCCTGTTTCATAACGCTGTCCTAGATAACTCTCCCATTTCCATCTCACTTACACTACCTCAGAAACCAATGCATCACATATACGCAAACACGCCCAAAATGACAGTGAAAAGAGTATCCATTGCACAATACAAAACTTGACTCCAATCATCCACACATATCCACATAGCTATATACCTTCCCAGAGCCCAACCGGTAACCTCTGCCAGCCCAGCCTTTTGTCCCTTCTGCCCCTTCCTCCCGTCCCTTTCCATTCCCCTTCCAAAGTCTCTCACACGCACACAAACCTCTACACCGATCAACAGTCCTCAAATCCAAAACAACTCGTAACCGTCCGTCCTAGGGTAAGCCTCTCACCCTCTCACCTCCAATCCAAAAATTCGCACGGCAAATTCGCCCCCAAGAATGGATGGATGCCGAATCATGGGGCTTGACATCCCGCTGCTGAACCCATGACTCGGCTTGATTACAGACTACACCATACTTTCTTCCTCCTTTCGCTCTCTTCTAGGCTTTTGTTCACATAATAGGTATTCGCGTAATAGCAAACGAGAGGAAATAGCGACAAACAAGACTTGTGTACAAGTTGTCGATTACAAAATATTGTTCAAGTCCCACAAATGGTGGCAGAAGCGGTTCGTTGCAATGAGATGAAGAAAAAGAAAACGCCGTTCAAACGCCGTTCAAACGCCGCCCGATGATGGAGAAGCGCAATGATGATGATTGCGCTGGATATGCGGAAATGGGAAAGACGAAAAAAGGTGCTATGCGCCGAGCAGACGCATCCGTCTGCCATGATGTAAAAGCAAGTGCAAAGATGAGTCGAAAAAAAAAACAAGAATGGCGCCGAAGTCGTCGTGAGAAATGCTTCACTCAGACCCCTTCTCGTATTTCACGGGATGGAACAGCGTAGATCGCATGCACAACCTTCCCGTGCCATTCTCCTCTTCGACTGGTCCACCTTTATCGTTCTCGCGGGAACCAAGCCACCTGCGCCACCACTCTGACGAAAAGGCAGCATTGTAGTAGAAGCTATTGCCTAGTTGGTTGTGTTCACCCCAGCCAAAAACGCTGTCGGTGGGCTTGGGCGGCTTATTGAAGGTGCCTTCGATACTCTCGAGCGGCCAGTTGTGGTCAAAATAGACGGGGTGGGGAGCGTACACGGCTTTGAGTCCGTGGTGGAATGCAACAGAGGGAGGCCACATTTCAGGGAACATGTGGTGCTTCATCAGATAGGTTTCGCGATGCATCAGATCCAATAGACGTTTCGACAGACGAGACACGGTGATGATGGCGCAGCGTCTTGGAGGCTCCGGAAGCTCCAGGTCGTAGCCAGTGACATCGTCGCGGAAGACCCAGTTGGTTTTGGCCGGATCGAAGATTGGGTTGAAGGTGATGATGTCGGCATCTTCGCCGACACCCCATTCGTAATTGTCCTGGAGATACGAGCGTGGTGGTTCCACCTCGGGTGGGCTGGGAAGCATGCCGGTGTTTTCGAACTTGGGAGGACCCCAGACAGGCTTCTCATCGCTGTTGTACAGCTCCTCCTCGACCATCTCGGTGAAATTTTTCCACGATCCATGCTGCTCGGGAATGTAGTAGCGGGATGATCGCTCCCAGATACCCTTGCGAGGTTGCTTCTTCGCCCACTCGCCAATTTGGTTGTGGAACTCGTAGTAGTGGCCACTGAGACGAAGGTCCATTTCCCAGTTCCAGTAAAAGTCATACTCGGGGCGAGCTTGGGCAAACCATTGCAGGGCAAAGTGGGCGCTGCGGTAGACGGAGTGGACCGGTGCCTTGGCGTGATTGTAAACGTTGTTGGGGAAAGGCTCGGGGTAGTACATGCGCATCTGCTGCTCGGACCAGAGGGTAGCCATGCCCCAGAACTCCTTGGGAAGGTTGTCTTCGATGACCTTTTGGTAGATCTCCTCGGACGACCAAATTGGCAGGCTGTCATCTTTGACGTGCAGCAGGAAGTGGACATCATACTCGCCACCAGATTTTAGGGATAGCTCGTTGATCATGGCACGAAGCGTCAGAATCTGGTAGTCGGTGTACTTGTAGCCAGTCCAGGTGCGCAGAATGTAAGCGTGTCGCTTGACCTTTTTCTTGGACCCAGACTCCTCCCCGGAAGCCGTGGTGTTCTTGGCGAACCGGTGCAGATTCTTCTCGTAGCATCGCTTCTGGGCACTGGCCCAGTTCACTTTCCGGTAGTCAATCTTCTTCTCCCAGCTCCAGATCTTGTCGGCACCGGCTTGCTCACTCTTGCCAGCCATGTCCAGACCGCCTTCGTCGCGGGAGTAAGAATAGCCATACGGGCCGAATCGGCCGAAGCGTTCGAAGCATTTCTTGTCATCCATGCCAAGCTCCTCATACGAACCAAAGAAGGGTGCGGTCATGTTTTGAGGGATGCCAGGGTAGGCGTAGATGTCAGGCAGGTCAATCTTCTCCTCCTCGTCGAGGTAGCACGTCTCAGGCTTCTCGTGGTCTTTGAGGTACTCGGGCGACTCGAACTTGTAGGGGTTGAAGGGCACAGGGTCGAGCGGCGGCTCCTTGTTGTCCTTGGACATGTGAGGCCACTTGGGCTTGATGTTGTCCTCGGGGTTAGGACTCTGTGAGTACTTGACGTAGTCTTGCTCCGAAACCCAATCGCCATAGGGCACAAGGGTACGGACGCCATTGAAGAAACCATTGAGGCTGGGAGCTGTCAGTACGATGGTAGGGATTTGGCAGGATACCGTCGAGGCCTGCTTACCGAGGATAGTGTTCCCAGTGGTATTTTTTCTTGTCCTCGCCCGGCTGTTGTTGCGCGTTCCACCTGTGACGCCGATAGATTCCTGTGCTCAGCATGGACAGCAAGACAATGACCGTGACAGCGAGGGCGACCAGCCGCGCAAACGACAGACGCGGGCGCTGGATGCGGTTGGCCCAGGCAGGTCGGCTAGCTTTGTTGGCCCATGTCTTGCTGCTAAAGAGTGGCAGCGGCGACGAGGCCTGGCTCTCGTTGGGCAGCTTCTCGTAGTTGAAGCGCGTCCGGATGAACAGCTTGCCCGGATGAAAGCGTGATGAAACCATGGCGAAGTATTAGGTATGGGCGTGTGTATGTACTGTAGTGTGTGCTATGCCGCCGCCTGGTAGCCTTTATCGCATCTGCGGCGAGATTCACGAGTGTTCGCAAGCAGGAGTGAAGAAGGCGGGCGGGCGGGTTGATCAGGGGAGGTTTGTAGCAGGCCTCGGTGTAAGGTGCTTTCGGCGGCGCGAGATGGTAAATGGGGAATGGGTGGAGGTGGAGGTGGAGGTGGTTCAATCTTCAAGCAGTCAAGGCTGAAGAGCACTTGGGACGAGGCTGCGGAGAGTGAAACGAGTGACTGTCCAGGCGGAAGGGACCAGGAGGGTGGGTGTGAGTGTTTGGGGAGGAGGAGGGCGGGGGGGGGGTGGTGGGTGAGAAAGTGAGCACAGTGCAACTTTGGATTGGGGAAAGAATGGCCGCCGGGATGAGGAAGGAGCGACGGCTGCGACCCTTTTTTTTTTCACTGGCGCCACCCACCCTTCCACCTTCCCCCCGTTGCTCCCCCCCAAAAAAGCCCAGGAGCCTTCTAGCATTGCCTAGCAGTAGCGTCGCCTGCCGTTGGCTAGTGCGCAGGCCCGGCGAGTCGCGACGCTCTGGAGCTTCACTTCGGGGGGAAAGACGATCAACAAAAAATACCAAGACCACGACACGGGCACGGGGCACAGGCGACGCCCGGAGGCCAACCCAAACGAAGGCTTTGCCGCGGCGCCAATACTCTGTTTGCTCAGGGCTGGGCTGCCAAAAGTGATGGATGGGAGACCTGTTTGTTTGATGTCATGGTATCTGGCATGATGGTTGTCCTGTATTGTAGGTACTGGTCTGTCATCTACCGGTACCTAGTACCTACTGAAGCTTCACGATGCGACAGCAGATCTTGTCACCTTACTGGTTCCCCCTTCCCCACTGTGTCTCTGCTGTTGCCATTGCTGCTGTTATTCTTTTGAGATGATCGTGTTATCGCGACAGGCGCCCAGCTAGCAGAGCATATAGGTAGGGTAGGGCCTGAGGTACTGTAGATACCGTAGGTACAGTATGTACTCAGTAGATGGGGTGTACACAGTACATACATGGTGCAGGTGCAGGTAGCTATCAGTTCCACACCTGCATGAGACATGGCATGTCTAACCACTCACTGCCTGTATCGGTACCAGCAGGACATACGATGTACGGAAGCCCTGCCCGTCGTCTCAACAACAGCCTCAGGCCTGCCTGCCTAGCCCAGCCCAGCCCCGCATAGCATCATCTACAACCAGGTAGGTACCTAGAGTACTCTAGAGCAGTATGAACTCGGTATATTGTAGTGCCTAGGGGTTGGGCAAACGCTTTTCGTCAAGGGTTCTGCTGCAGCCGTCCTCTTCTCACTTCAACCAGTTCTCTTCCCACCAGTCTTTCCACCACCGTTACCTACCAATTGCACTCTCCGTCTTTCACTACCAGACGATCTTGATCTGGGCACCTCGCCCTCCTCGTTGCCGGTCAAGAAGGCGGCGCATGGACGATCGAGGCAGAGGCAATCGGGCGACGTGATTGCATTCATTGATAATGCGGCCCCTGTGTCTCAATACTATACAGGACATGGAACCTCGCCCCGTTGCCCGGCCCCTTGGCCCAAGTTCGCAGCCAATCTCACGAGCGCGGCGTGTGATTGGCCATCCCTCGCCCACCCCGACGCACTAGTCCGTTTCCGCCATGGATAGCTGACGCGTCTTTTTTCACACCAGACCTTCAGCTTTGCCTCGTTTGCCACCGCCGACCCTGCAACTGCGCACTTGCACTGCACCACATCTTGTACGAGTACTGTACCGGTAATCCTCCTGCGATTGTAGAGTACTCCTATGGGGCCCAGAGACACTATGAACAACTAAAAATATAATCAGCAGCTGGCGCGTCTCTTCTGTCCACCTCCACCGTTACACTTACCCACCTGTCTCAAAGCTACAGAGACCGTTTACTAGTACCTACCTATACCGGTAACTCTAGACAATGCACTGCAACATCACACCAGCAAACCCCAACACCAAACCTTTCCACATGCCCATCACCCATTTTTCTTTCCCACTCCTGCTGCCACCCCATCCCCGCCACGCCCCGGTACGAAGAACCGCAAACAAATACTAGACACGAGCTAATTCTCCCATTTTTTCTAAACTAAAAAAAATTAAAAAAATTCTCCTTCTCCTCCCCGCCCAACCTTGTCCCATCCCGACACCCCCGACCCCCATCCACGCCGTCCCAGCCCCGCACCGGTCCGACACCGATTGCCCGCAAGATAAGATGCTCATGTGCTTGTACCTTGTACAAAGAAAGATACTGGACCAGCCCGGCACAGTAGAATCCCCTTCCATCCACTGAAATCCAACATGGGCTTTTAATTAAAGCAATACTGGCTACATGGGCATACCCATACCATACCATACAATAAACATGCCCATAACCCCCCATCCCTGCCAATGACGTTGCCATCCAGCACGAATGTCGAATCGCCCAGTGTGCCATGTACAAGTACATACACAATACAAGCTGCCTCTCATACTGTACATGGCTATCGCATCGCAACTCTTCTCACCCGCATCCATGTCTGCTTGACAGGATTCATCCCAGCGTGCAAAGTACGATATTGTATCGCATGCACGTCAATTTGCCTACCCGTTAGTTCCCGTGTCAGACCCGGGGGGGGCCCCGAGAGAAACTCCAAGCGCTCTTCGAATCTGCGCAATACAGGCAAATACAGTATAATAAACGCGTCTTCTGTTCAAAGGCTCGCTGTCATATCCAGTGCCATTTCTGATTGCTAGCTATGGGAAAGCTTGTTGGTGTTGAGGTGTCTTGGGGTTGGTGGTTGGTAGTTGCAGGCGCAGGGGATTTGCAGTTGGACTTGCCAAACACAACGTACCCGTAGAACCCGTAGAGTACCGTAGACCTAGTGCCTTCTCCCAATAGCACTTGCCAAAACATGACATGATACAACACACCACCACTCCTACTAGGTATGGTAGGTATCAATACAACACACCCCTCATCCCTGCTCAAACAAGTCTCACGCGTCCAACTATCCAACTATCCATCCATCCATCCATCTATCCATCCATCCACGACGCCTGCGCTGCCACTCTAGTGTGCGCTTTAGTGGAGAGTGAGGGGTATGACCTCCTCTCTGCTGTAGTCGTCAACTTGTTACACTGGTTTCCTATGCGCTGCGATACTGTTGTCGTTGGCATGATGTGTGTGACAGTGACGTGAAAAGAAGAGAAGAAGAAGACGAAGACGAAGAAGAAGAAGACGAAGAGGAAGACGAAGAGGAAGAGGAAGAACATGAACAATCACAACAATCATGATCCTGTACTCTCATTCGTATGCAGACAACATGAAATAACTTGTGCATCGAAAACACCGTCAGATCCCTCCAAACTGCGCAAACCCCTCCTCCTCCTCCTCCTCCTCTTCATCAATCAACTCCCCCTCCCTCCCCTCCAGAATATCCTCCACAGTCTTCTCCTTCCTCCTCTTGCCGCCCTTTCCCCTCCTCCCTCCAGCCCACCGCAGTAACCCCCATAGGCCCCTTCCCTCCGCTTCCCGCAGCGCCTTGGCCTCGTCGCTGAAGCGGAATTCCTGCTTCACCCACTCCTTCTTCTGGCCGTCGAAGCCATAGCCGTCTGCGCCCATGGCTCGGTACCATGTGCGCGTCAGTGCTTTGGTTCCGTATTCCTCGATGAGGATGGAATTGTAGTCGTATGGGATCTTGACGGCTATGGATTCAAAGGTGGTGGGGCGGAGCGGGAAGAGGTCCGTGGAGGTGTAGGCATGGTTGTCTTTGGAGAAGAATTGGAGAGGCGGCTTGGCCGAGTTATTGTCGTCTGGGTCGAGGGGATCGGCCAAGGGGCGTTTGGGAGGAGCAGGGTGGAGGGCTGTGATGTCAATGTAAAGGCCGGTTGAAGTGTCGATCCAACGCGCGTCAATATGGTTGTATTTGTCGACTGTCGAGGTGTTGGTGTAGTGGGGGTTGACTTCCAGGAGATACTTTTTGCCTTCCTTGACGACTTGTTGTATGAGTGTCGCTCTGTTCATTTTGGCGGCTTCTGCTGCGATGAGCTGGCCTTTGTCTAGCTCTTCCGCGCTCTCCTCTTGTTGTGCATCTGCTGGCTCATCCAGGAGACCTAGGTCGCGACCGGAAAAGTGATGGACGGTCATGTTCCACCAATGACCCAGTTCTTGTATCCCTCTCTCTTCCACCATAACATCCACATCGTTATCCCAGGGCATGATCCTGCCGTTCCAGAACCAGCCCAGCAAACATCCATGCATGATCCATGTCCGCACGCCAATCCGCTCCATTGTCTCGATATAAGTCTTTAGAAGCAATCGTAAATGCCATGTCCGTGTCTCCAACGGGAGCTCTGTTCCAGCAAACCGCCCGTCATAGTGTCTGTCAAACGTCGCTTCGTGGAAGTATTTATCGGCTTGTTCCCCCGTCTCTTCTCTCGAATGGTCATATGGGAGCGTAGTGAGGCCGAGTAGACTATCAAAGCTTGCACTGCGGGCGCTGAGGGTCGCGGAAGAAGCGATATGGGTGAACGCGAGGACGAGGATCTCGAATGGGAGCCTCATCGCGCTAGGAAACCGGCTCGATGTCGCTGTAGTGTTGGAGGGTACTCGTCCCAATCGTAATTGTAATTGCAACAAGGCATTCATTGGACCGAGCATCTTGCTATAGCCGCCGCATCTTGATACACCCAACTTTCCACAATAATGCAATACCTAGACCCTTGATCAAAAGCCAAACCCAAGGGAAAACAGGCAATTCCTAAACTTTCCCGATAGTCTGACTACACGTTTTATGGTGGACAGAACATGGGAAGCATACGCTGATCAGTAGTAGCACGCTGCATTCGCGGCGTCCAGGGCTAGACTTCGGTCGCCCGGCCTTTTCGTGAGACCGTAGCTAGGTACGCCCGCTTACCCACATGATCCAAGGTTCGGACGCGGATGACGGGACAGCGTTTGGGGAACGCTTGCCGAAGCTTATCTCCTGTAAGTGCATCGAGAATAGAAGAAGCTTGTGATGGAATGTAGGATTCTTGGGGAAGATATGGCGAGGAAAGAGCGGGCGGAGATGAGGCCGCCAAATTGCTTCCTGATGCGGCTCAAGCCAACAAAAACAACAACAACAACAACCCAATGGGCTGTAGCATGCATGCCCATGTACGACTGGCGATGAATCAAAAACCAAGAGTGATTTGGACTGTTAGAGAGAGGGTGTCAAGATTGGGTTGTTATTTGGTGGGACCTATACAAGACATTGCAAATGTATATTCATGTTCAAACGCTCCTCGCAGTACGGTATATGAACAAGATGATAATCGTCTAGTTTACCTAAAGTAGTCCTCTTGCGCTCCTCTGAATCACCACACGGAAGCGTGTTGTTTAACACTCTTCGCGTCATGGAAGCATCTTGTATACCCGTGGCATATACATGATCGGATATTACATTCTCCAATACTGCGTTGTAGACCGTTGCCAGTATAAAAATGCCTTGCATGGCTCCACTTTCAGTAAATGCCATTTCTGTGACCAAGTGATATAGTCCCCAGACGTTGTAGGTAACGTCAGCGCAACAAGATAGCTCGAACGTACTGCTTTTACTCACCGACAGCATGCTTGCAATCTCTGAAGAGTTGAGATGAACTAGGCCGCCAAAATTCCCTGGACTCTTGAGCATGAAACGTACCGCTCATTCGAATGGCAATGTGACGCTGGTGGCACTGGAGTATAGTTTCACGGATACGCCGTCTGCCAGTCGCATGAACTTGGCAGCTCGACTTCTTCATGTGTATGCATGGTAATGCATGCGTGGTACCGATGTACTTTTTTGCAGCCAGGTTCAGCCTTCCTTGCTCAAACTCTCCTTCACATCCTCTTCGATGACCCGATTTCTCGCTCCTTTGTAGAGCCAACTTTCCCCTTGTTCTCCACCACCATACTTCTCCTTGAGCCACGCCAAACCATCCTGCCCTAACCCATATCCCAACCCAACCAGTAATCCCATCCTAATCGTCCTTGCTGCCATAGTGACCGGGAACCCGTGTGTAACACTCCACAATCCGCCAGTAACCATGCCCGCCATAGCACTACTCGCCGCATCTCGAGAACGGTATATCCCTCCTTCAATCCTCCGCATATCCAACTCATCTACCCCTTCCATCTCCTTAATAGTGCGGCCTGCTCTCCACGTGCCACGGAAAACGTCTAGCGACTCCTCGAAAATGAAGAACACAGTACTCCATGCGGCGATGTAGGTACCTTTCTTCAAGCCCTCCACAATTCCAAATTTCCATTTGTAGTAGTTCTTCGACTTGTGGTAAAGGTACCAGCCTGGGTTCGAAATAGGCAGGCGATGTGCGTTTTCCGCGCGGAAACGTAGACTGGCGGCACGTCCGGCGGTCATTGAGCCAAGAGTGAAGCCGGATGTGAATGCGAGCGCAGTAGTGAGGAGAAGGCGTCGGTCAAATGGCATGCCGAGGCGTGGGCTGTTCGTGTAGGGGTTGTAAGTAGGAGGTTGCTTTGATGAGGATTCCGGGGGTGTCTGTGTGGAGGCAAACTGAAGTGTCGCCATAATGGCTAATGTGAGCCCTATAGGGCAACTGACTGGTGCTGTACGTCTACAGCTTTGTATGTACTGGTACGTGTTGCACGGTTGGGTCTGGTTCAGGCGAGCGGTGCGGACTTGCGGAGGTGCTGCGGGGAACGAGTTCGATACTCTGATTCGTTGCGCGTCTCAGCAATTGAGCCTGAGGTGAGAAGAACACAGCTGAATGTAATTTTATAAGTCGTCTTCTGGATTTGATATTACGTGTTGTTGCATGAATGTCCAATATGACCATTGCGTGGTTGAAGTTGGCCCACGCAAGAGCTGCGACGCCAAGACAACTGGCACTTGTCGCGCCAGGTCCCCCCCTCCCCCACGACCCCGTCTCATACCCCTCCATTGTTCTACCGTAGACGCGTTCTTATAATCAAAACCACACTTGCACCATTCAATACACTTTGAATCTTATACTACACAGGCTTTCCACGGTGAATGGTACTTGTGCCTACGAATTTGAAATAAACAGCCAACCCAACCCATGCGAAGCTTCGTTTGAGGAACCACAAATTTCCTTCGCACCGTCTCAGCCATGACGACGCCTTCACCACAGACATGGACTTTACGTCTAAAGGCCCACAAGACTACAGTTCTGCTTCATGTCGAACCATTGCAATCCTTCAGCAGTATCAAGGCGCAACTTTATGACGCACTTCAAGAAACCGGAATCAAGCATCAGGAGACCCAGGAGCAGATTAAACTACCCTCCTCACCCTCAGACATTCAACTTGGTCGCCCAATCAACATCAATGATGCGTCAGAGGGGTTTCGACTTGGCGAGTGGGAGTACCCTACAGTCGAAGAAGATGAAGATGTTGGCAAGGGCAAGGGCAAAGCGAAGGCTGCAAAGAAGAGTCAAGGCGATCTGAAGGACCTGAAGGCATGCCCGAAAGGCGCGAGTCTGAAAGATGGGGCTGTGCTATCCTTCCGGTGGGTAGGTGATGGCTTCTGGAATGGCGACGACGAAGACATGGACCTTGAAGATGAACGGCAGCCAAGAAATGATACAGAGGCTGATATGTGGGGAGTTCAGTTGGCGAACTTTGAAGATGCGTACGGTGTGGAGAATGAGGTAGATGTTGGTGGGACGCGGGGATTTGAGGGTTAGGTCACTATCAGCAAGCCTGCCATTACCCGAAAGATACCATCACCGACCAGATGCTCAAAGCTGGCTGTGCCAACACTGTTGTCTGATCCACCGAAAAATCAGGCTGAGAACATAGCCGGCGGGCAGTTTGTTACATCAACATTACCCCACTGCCCTTCAAGGAATGTATTCAGGTTCATCCAGCTGCGCCCCATGACCAAGCTTATGATTCGCTGCAAGCTTTACACAAGATCGTTCGCGGTGTGACTGCATGAGAAATTGGGGAAGCACAGCCTCACGTCAGCTTGCTTTCAGTCTGTCGCCGGCCGCGCTGAATGGACATTTTGAACCTCAGGCTGGAATTTGTACGCACCCGATGTTGATCATATCTCCAAGCGACGCAGCTGCCCAGAAGAACAAGGATTATCGTCCTCGCATTGCATCTGAGCATGTCTTGCTCCCGGATGTGCTGCCCCAGCCTGTCTCCTCAGTATCAAAAGTCGCTCGTCGAACACAGACTCGCGGGACGTTTGGTGGATCCAATAATCGTAGTCAGCTCTACAGGTTTCTCTCTCTGATCCTACGCCTTTGTGCTTGCACAAATGACGCAAGGTGTGCCTCCAACAGGTTGTGATCCTCTGACCCAACCACCCGAGTACAAGACATTCAGGCACCATCCTCTCGATCGGACTAAGCAATCTATTCGACTTATCCGCATTCTTCCAAAACTCTCCTCGTCAGGGGAGATACAGTGTATTCTTTCCCATGCGAGTGTTAGGGCCACATACACCTGCCTTTCATATCGATGGGGTGACACAGGCACCTTACAAGACATTGTCATCAATGGAAGAAGGTTCGCTATCCGCCAGAATCTTTTTGACTTTCTTCAAGTCGTGCACGATAGATTACAATCTCATGAACGCTTTGAAGCGCGGCAGAGCGACCATTTAAATCACGATACAGGCAAACGAAAACAGACAGAAGAGACCATCACAAGTATCAAGAAATCAGGAATGACCCGCGGCGAAGCCTTTCTGAATGGTTCTATCAGCCGACGTTTCAAGTCTGCAGATATTTACGATATATCAGACCCATACTGGATTGATGCTGTATGCATTGACCAGAACAATATCGAGGAAAAGAACCATCAAGTGGATCAGATGGGTCTGATCTACTCGAACGCCACAGCAGTTGACATTTGGCTTGGGCGTACACCGCCATGTCTGTTTCCCCTGGTATCCGTTCTCGGCCGTGCCGAGAATGTCGCTCCTGATGAAGCCACGATGCCCCTGGAAAATAATATGAGCCTCATTCAGGAGTACATCATTCACAATCCGTACTGGAGCCGCGCCTGGGTTACACAAGAGATAATGCTTGCTCGCCGTGTCAGTGTCCGTCTTAATGCCGAGTCCATTGGATTCATAGACATGATTAGGGGTATCGAGCGTCTTGGGTTCCCCGGCCGCCATGAAGCTATCCTCAAAAGTCAATTTGCTCAGATCGCCCGTCGCTGGCGTAAGAAGAGCAAAGCTAAGAGCCTAATCAATTTACTCGCTGACTTCCATGGCAAGGGCTGTGAAGACCCTCGTGACCGAGTATTCTCGCTCCGCACGTTGTGTCCTGACGCGCCAGAAGTTGATTATCATCTTACTCGTAACGAACTTGCCATCCAAGTCTTGAGCGGAGATGGGGAGAGACTGTGTATTTGCTCCGCAGTTGTCGTTGCGCAAGCGTTGGGTCTTCAGCATTACGAGTGCCAGTCAGCGTCTTCCGGCCATCAACTTCCTTACCTCGAATTCGATGTCGTCACCGACCGATCCATCCCAGGATCTGCGCAGCGCCATCTCTACAGTAGTGAGAGATCAGAACCTAGGGTCATCGGACCATCTGGTCAGAGTCTGAACTTTCATCACACGTGTGACTCGGCCAGCCTGAGGGGCCTACAAATCTGGTGGAATCCTCGCGGTCCCTCGCGACTTTTGGAATCGTTCGTGTACAAGCATTCGACATATCCTTTCCAGCACTATGGGGATGGTCTCAAACATGTAGATGACAATGGAGGTTCAGGCTGTGCTTCGAAAGCGCGGATCTCGCTGAAGGTACTGGCGAAGATGGTCACAGACCCAGTTGAGCTATGTTCGCACGCAATTCTTGGGAGGACTAGAGATTCATGCCTACTTACGAGCTATCCGCGCATATATGGCTTGGATAGGGAAGGCATATGCATACAGGGTCTACCTCCGATTCGTACGAAATGCTCTACTACATCTAAGCAATGCCCGCCTTCTTCACTGAAGCGTAAAGCTGACCCGGGAGCTCATGGACAGGCTGCGAAGAAGCGGCGAGCCTGCTTAGCACCGCAATGACATGTGACCAGAAAGGTCATTTAATCAGATACATTGAGAATCAAGTGTGCAACCGAACTTACCTCCACTCTCCAGATTGGACGCCTACTATCCTTTGCTCACCTGGAAGCACAGTGCTGTACGTCCGTTTAACTTCCACCACACGATAGCATCAAACATCGTCACACTACCACCTTTCTGATCATTGGCCTCAAGAGCGCGAGACCAAATTTTCGTAACCCAGGCGTTTTTCCACGAAGACCAGGTTTTATAAGCGCGCTTCATCAGGATTCTCTGGAGCCCCCACGTAATTCTTCAAACATACTCGACTTGCTCACAAGGAATGGTCCATTAGGTTTCTCAAATTCCACTCAGCCCTCTTTTTCTCGACATAACCTTACCTATGTACGACAATTTCCATATATTGCAATGCCATGTGCCCTTGTCTATCCTACAGATGGGGTATTGAAGATCACCAAGACGTATTCTTATTATTCAATTTTACCCTGGGATGGTTATTCGTATTATCACGAACTTCACAATAGCTCTCGAAATTAAATCCATGTGCTCGTTCTGCCAACCCCTCCCGCGGCTTGTACTACTTCAAAAGTCTCTGTATATTACATATTGCTGGAAAAACTACTCGGCTTTCAAAACACTGTCCAATACCCCTGTCCTCTTCACCCAACTCCTCGCTCTCTTTCCCCAGATATACATTGGTATCGTCGTCAAAGTCACAGCTATTGTTGTTCCTCCGATTACATAGAAAGAATTGCGTACGCCTTGTACGGCAATCCAATCGTTCACATATAGAGTCAGTCCAAACGCGAATATGTTCTTGATGAAGTTCATAATGGCGAAGGCTTCGGCGGCTTGCTCGCGGTGGGAGTCTGAGACGTAGGTGACGACTGAAGTGGTACCCAGTTGCACGCCGAGGTTGATCAAACCCAGGCAGACGATCACTGGGACAGCCCAGGGATCTTGAACCGAAAGCGAGTGGCCCCAGGCAAAGAAGCCAGTTGCCGTCAAGACCAGGTAGCTTATCATTACTGGAAGGCGGAATTCGGGTTCTGTGACGATTAGTACGATATGCTGGTGTTAGGTCTACGGACTTACCAAAGGTTCCACCATTCCGAGTTGACATCCACTTGGCTACGCCATCGATGATTGGACCTGCTACAACTGTAGCAAATACTGATGCTACGAAAGAAGAGACATTTGTTGCGCCGACTGCGCTGACCGAGAAGTTGTACGGTGGCGCTGAGAAGATCTGAGACAACGTGATTGAGATCAAGACGAGCCAGGAAATGCAGACTGTGAACAACAGTGTCGCCCACATGACAATTGGACTCGCGAACACGACAAACGGTCGTAACAAGGTTCGCCAGAAGGAGACATGGTCCCAATAACCGGACCATGGCATAAGGCTCTTGCTGTACGACATGGGCACATCTGAACTCATGCCATCCGTCGCAGCCGTCCCATCATGCTCAACGTGCTCAATGGTCTTTTCCTTTTCTTGCTGCCCAGCGTCAACCATATGCGAGCTAGTATCGATGTTCAGCGCATCCCTCCTCTTGAAGGCGCTCTCAGGCATCCACAACACCACCATGATCAACATGACCACAAACGCGCCACCCATGGCATGCATGGCAATCCTATAACTGCCATACTGAATCACGCTGCCTGCAATCGGGCCCGCGAGGTTAATCCCGCCCAGCACTCCGAGGTTGAAAATCGCCATGCGGAACCCGCGTTCATGGACGTGCCAGATGTCGCCTACGGAGGCAGGGATGAGGGCCTCGAAGGGTGCCATGCAGAAGCCTTGGATGGTGCGGGCTGCGGTCAGGGAGCCAAAGGATGTTGACTCTGCGGCCCAGAAACATGTCACTGCAAGGCCGACGGTGGTGACTAGGTAGACGGGGCGTTTGCCAATTTTGACGGCGAGAGTATTGCCGAGGAGGGATCCGACAGCTATGGCGATGATGAGAGACCCGTTGCAGCCTTGGGGATTGTTAGAAGAGTGGAGAGTGGAAGAATTGAGGATCGAGGACTACCTAGTGTGAAGCGTTGTAGTGGAACGCCGAATTCAGTTGCCAAAGGGACGAAAGCTGGTGTCAGCAGTGGTCCTACAGCTATATCGTTTCGTTAGTATCTCTTCCTTCGTCTAAACATTAGGACTGTTCAAACTTACCACCGACACAACCACACCCATACGCAATGACCAAGGTGAACTACACAACACTTCAGGTCAGCACATTCTACTCACCCACCAATGCGAACATAATCACAAGTACGACGATCCCCCATACACATGGCATGAAAAACAAGTAGGAGATCTCAGGTAGACTCACCATCTCCTTCTTCCACCGCGACCAATTATACGGATCATCCACACTGTCACTCGGCTGCGGCACCAACACAATCGTCCCACTGGCATCATGCTTCAATAAGCCCCTATCAATCCCACTGCCTGCGATTTCCAAATCCGTGCGCCCCAGCTCGCTCAGGGGTGCGGTGCCGGGGACATGCTCGAGCTTGGTGTCTGGAAGGATGCCTAGAGGCATGGTTGGAATTCGAGTTGGTGGCGGTCCTGGATTGGGAGTAGTGGGGATGGGCGACGGGAGTTGATTGCTGGGAAATCGTTGACGGATGGGGTGTTGGGTGGAGGGCTAGGAGGGTAGATGGGGGGTGTGTGTGCCAATACGATACGATAGGCGAGTGATTGATTGATTCGATCGATCGATTAATGAATTCGTGCAAGAATAGAACGATGGAAATAAGGATGCAACAAGGAGAAAGGATTCAAGCCAGTAGTTTTCGGGTCGTGTTCTCTCTGCCCTGGTCTCGTCTCATCAATTTCCACCCTCAATATGTCAAATTATGAAATACCGATGATCAAGACAGTGAAGAAATCCCAGCGAAACGACCAGATCCAAACCCTGAAAACCATGCGGTCTCCCCATGCTTATATACTCACCGTCTCTCCTCCATCTTAAGCGACCGCACCTCCTTCTCCTCTCCAGAACAACCCATCTCCCCTGCCCTCCCCTCCCTCCTCGCCGTCTCGCCAAATCAAACCCCAAACCGAAGAAAACCAAACGAGGTACATCCGGGACATCAACCAGGGGCAACACAACACCCAAAACAGCCGTCCACACAGCCAGACATCAGACACAGACCCCAGTTAGCCAGACGATCCCACACTAACCACACTATAATGTGGGGAGGAGCGGGTGTTCGCAGGGATTCAGCGTGAAGACTGAGATGGCATTTCGCGTAGCGTGCGGGGTTTGGCTTCAAGTGTTCTGTAATTGGGCAGAGATCACGGGGTCTGCGTGGTTTGGGTGTTTACCCGGCCCATCTTTGGTGCGGGGGAGGGGCTGGGCTAAGGTCGTTTTTGGGATCGCGCGAGTCTGGGGTAGACGGCATTTGTGCGGTGGTCGTCTTGGTGATGCCGAAGGTTGGTTGGGGGAAAGGGGGATGGGCGGGCAGTTGGTTTAAGAGGGGGAAGTGTTTTGGTTGGCTGTGGGGGTTGGTGAAGTTTGGGAGTTTGCGGGAGAGGGGAGGGGAAGGGTACCGGTACGCGGCTTGGGAATCGGTGTGCTTGGATGCAGGATATGTTTGATTTATCATGTTGAGATAAGCAACAATCGCTTCGGGGCATGTACTGTCTAAGCTTCTCATGGTTCTGAAAGGCGAGGGGGCATTCGGCTGTTTATCATGCCTGTTGGGGTTCAGGCTGAGGTAAGAATGGAGAACCGCGCAAGCAGACAAGATATACTTTGGAATAGGCCGAATGTAGTTCCCCGTCGCATTCACGTGGATACACATATTAATCTGCAATGATCTATGCCGTCTCTTGGACATTTGCCCAAAACCCACCCTGACCCCATGCTGTTCTCTCCGCGACTACACTGCCGTCTCCCCAACACAGAAAAGATAGACATCGACCTATCATAACAATCAACACATTCACACTGCCCCAACTTCACACAACACACAAACAAACCTCTGCACTAAGTCGGCGCAGTGAACTTGGCCAATAAGAACCTCACTCATTGCGACAAGACAATGCACCACCATCCCAGGTGATGAAGATATACATGCCCACCAGCTGCTGGCGAATTCGAACCTTCATGCTTCTTACACGTAAAATCTCAACCATGTTTGCGTGAATCAGTCTACCCAACCATCCCTACTAGGTAGCAAATCTATAGAAAACAACAGAACATGACCACACATCTCTCCCACTCCCTTCAATTTCTTTCCTACTCACTACCATGGTCAACCCTTTTTCAACTTTCCCACCAGCCTCATACCTTGTAATAACCATACCCCCACCCCATCATTCCCAACCCCATGCATACTGAAACTCCAACTTGGTCCACATCCCCCTCCCCCATCAACCCCCTCCCCCAAAAAATCCACCCGGCCCACCCCCGCCCCCCCGGAGGCTTTACCCCCCCCCCCCCCCTTTTTTTGAACAAAAAAATCCATCCTACAATCACAAAAACCACCACCCATCCACCCCCATTCCAACAACCCCAAACCCAAACCCCACCTTAAAGTTCCCGCTTGACACAGCCTAAAACAGACACCCAGCGGAGTTGAGCGCACCCTTGCATCACTCAAAGCGGAGGAACACACCAGATACTACCACATGTTTTCTACCGAAAAATTGATTGATCGACTTGACTAGCCGCCCTCGCTTTTCAAACATGCCGTTTGCTTCCCTTTTGCTAACCCTTCCTTCTTCCTCCTCCCACCCGTCCCCCCCCCTTTTTTTCCCCACTTCCCTCCATCTCTCCTACGAAAGTCGCACAATGTTTAAATTCGATGCTTCTACTTTCTACTTCCTATCCCATTCTGTCGGTATCAGCATCAGCATCAAGATTCAGCACCAGCATCAGCACCAACATCGGCATCCCACGCACTCCTTGCATGACGCCCGACAGCCAAGGAAATACAACGGGTTGACTTGTGACCTAATCGCTAGCAAACGGTTGCCTCGAGAAGTTAGTTTATCCCAAGTTCTTCTGTGGGTATGAAGAGAAAGCTCGTCTGCTTCTTTATCTAGAGGCACAATTCATCGGTTTTTCTCTCTCGATATCCTCTTTGCTTGGTACTATTGCATCCCATGTTACACACACGCATCCTTCACTACTCACACATGCAACCCAAACACATAGAGTACACACACACACCAGCGCTACGCATCGCGAGGGCCGCAACGTGCATAATCGCCAACCCCCCTACTCCTGCCCGTCACACCCACACTCGCACACACATACACACGAGCCCAACTCGCCTCGAATCCCGCCCACACGGTCCTCGGCCTTGATTGGAGGCTCTGTGTAGGCCAAGTTTTGCCGTTGGTATTTCATTGGTGTGGCGTTGGACAGGATCGGGGAGAGATTGGGAGGGATGTCAGTGTGTTACAAATGTAGGATCGAAGAAAGGGGAGGGCGTGATTTTTTGGGGGGGAAATTTAGGTGCTAATACTGAGATGCATAGGTGGGAGATTGGAGGTGAGTGAGTGGATGGCGAATTTGTGAGGCATGCGCATGTCTGCCTGCTGATGGTGTGACGTGGATTATGAGGTCGTAGTGATTGATGTCTGTACTGGATGTGAGGCGTAAGAAGGTGTAGCAGTAATTGATAGGATAGCATAAGTCGATGGGCAAGTCGGTAAAAAAAATGAAGAGAACTCTTCTCCTTGTGCGAGTGTTGATCATCGTTTTCTGGGAGGTAGGAAACTGCACATTGTCACCGCGTAGATCCTTTGCAACACCCGGAATCTCGTCCGGACGATGTCTCCCAGCCATAGTACGGACAAATACACATGCACCACCTAGTGTCACTGTGACTAGAGGCAGAAATGTCGTTGATATCTCGGAAAGGATGGACGGTAAGGTAGAAGGTGGCAACCTCAACAGTGGGAACGGTTCATCCGGTTGGCGCCGCCGTCCCGTCCTCTAGATCCTGCGCGAAGATGGCCGTCGAATACCCAGAGGCGCATGTCCCCTGGATAGATGCGTTCCGTGATGCAGGCATCGGACCACGTTTACATGAGAGGCCTCCCAGCGCAGCGCTGTGTGACATTCTAGGCTTGACCTGGTCACCGCATCGGCACGGGCGTATGAACTCCTCCTAACATGAACTCGCCATGGGTCAGTCAAGGTGGAGAAATAGTGGAAGTATTTCCTAGCCCCTCCAATCATATTGCCGATGGTCGTCATGGTTCAAAGAAGGAAGCTTTGATGGGTTAATCAACCAGACGTGAGAGGCTATAGATGAGCATCTTTTGTAGAGGGCGTTTTGCACGAAATAGCGTGAACGACTAGTCAAAAGAAGATGTTTGACCTGCAACAGATCGTCTTGGTATCAGATGCTGCAGTGGACGGCTGAACATCGCTAACTTGCAGCCGCAAGGGATCGGACGGCGTCCCTTGATGATCCACTCTGTAAGCGGAAACACACTCTTCCAGCCACTGAACTTGGTAGCATTAGCATGACCCCCAGGTCCACCAGTCCAGAACACAAAAGCAAGGTGTCCGAGGCATCGCATCCTCTTTGCTCTTTTTGAAGATGATTCGTAGAGTACTGGCCATCTCAACCATTTACTGGACAGCGCTGGTTCTCCACAAGCCTGAAAGCCTGCAAGATCCCTTGCGTGGTTGATCCAGGCGTGCGACGAAATCGCGGGGAAGACTCTAGCCCAGATCAGCTGAACTGCCTAGCGATCGTCACCCGACAATTTGGAATGACAGCAGGATCCTACGCCAGTGACCAGGCGGCTGGTGTGATGGCCAGGAGGAATGAGGCTCAAGGTCTACTGACTCGACCGCGTCAATGACCGAGTCAGGCACATGAGGAGGAGAACGCCACGCATGCTCGCGTATCTGCAATTAAGCTCCCGTCGATCGGGCACAGAGGGCCATCTGAAGTCGGACAAAACCATGGTGGAAGATGAGATGGAACTATGGACTAGGCAGAGCCTGAATCCCCGTGCGCTTGCCGAGGCCCACTATCAATCCTAGGGTTCGTGTGTTGTGGGTGTACCGGTAGGTGTGATCAGCTTCTGCTGGCACTCTACATATAAGCGCCGTGCTGGTGTCCTGTTGTGTGATGTGACACGCACTCACCGATGAAAATGCTTTCTTTTTCGCGCCCCCCTCGCCTTCCAGATCCTCGTATCCGAACGCCTGTCACTCCAAACCATCGGGACAGGGTCTGATTGCTAGCCGGCATGCAGGCTGATGTCTTTATGCATCCGAGCTGTTGGGGACCTTTTGGGCTGTTGTTTCGAATCCCGTGTAATGTGTTACCGGTACTGTACGGTACTGTAATAGTCGTTCATGAATCATTTACGATGGACCAAGAGTGCGAAGCATGGTGATTGAAGATGTAGAGCAGTAGTGGCAGATAGTTAGTCGTAGGTAGTGCGTGAAACGCAGACTCTCTTCTAGGATATTCCCCCCGTCTTTCGCTAGCGGCAAAGGACAGCGGTCCATCCCGCGGAACGGCTGGGCGGGAGTGATCCCCATCAGGTGCCGGTGTGTGAAGTAGAGTATGGTACATAGAGTACTACCATGAACTACTCTATCGACTACCGGTACTCCATTAGAACATTGGCTCGTATGTACCGTAGAACCCCCACGTACCGATATTCTCTCTCGGCCCGAGTTCAGATTGTGCGCACCTACACTTGCAGTCTTACCGTGGATACATGACGGCCAAGTTTCAACGACAAGGCTGTGACCGCAGATCGACCAAGCCACACAAGAAGCCGTACCTAGACGCTGGTCCTGGTTGATATGACAAACAGCGCAAGGGCGGCTTACGTATTGTCTGTGTGAGCCCAGGCGTTCTGACACTACCGGACTGGGAAGAAAAGAGGGTTCGTGATCGAGCGAGGGAGTTGCAGTTTTGTTTTTGTGATTGCGTGCACATGACGACACGAGTTGCAAAGCTGACCAACTGGGCATGCAAGAGCAGCTGAGTGTACTATTATGCATGACTCTCTCTCTCTCTCTCTCTCTCTGATCTTCCATCTCGAGTCCTCTGGTAATCATGCTACTAATATCTTTCTCAACAGGTAATGAGGGCCATTCATCGCTTAGGACCGCAAGTGGGGAAGCCTGTCTTCTATACATGTTCGCAAACCTACGTGGTGATACTGGAGGTGAGGGACAGGATGTCCTAACTAGTCCCGGTGTTGCCTATGTATTGCCTCCAATCATCCATACTCATATCTTCTGCAAGGGGTGTCAACGAAGACGGTGCTGCGCTGGTAACCAGAGTCCCGAAAGGGTAGCTCATGTGCTGGGGGTCCGTCTCGAGCTGTGCGGGGAAGGACGCTCTATCTGAGCCGTACAGGCCTGAAGTGGAACCTCTACATATCGGAACATGCCTTGGATGCGCTCTGGTTTGTCTGCTCACAGTGCTCGACGACGAATAGATTGGTCGCATCCGTGGGACATCACTCTCTTCTTGCGGAAGCGTCGGACACGAATCTTGCCTCGATTGTGAGTACTGAGCATGATGTTGGAACTCCAGACCCGAAGCAACACCCTGCAGGTGCGAAGTGAAATGGTGAGGCACATTGCCGTGGACGCGCACGCCGTGCTGCTGCTGTCCATGAAGGCTTGATGCGTCGTCCTTGTAAGCATGTTGATGGTGTGACGCAGGATGCGTAGGAGAAGCCGGTCTCGTACAACTTGGTGGCTTTGCAAGACTTGAGGTCGTGTATCTTGCCCCCGCTGATCCCATAGTTGTCGATCCCCGCGTGCTCTGCATGTCACCCGGAGATCGAACAACGTGGAACTCCTCGCTAGCGCTATCATCCCTCATGGGACTAACCGATGCAGGAAAAAGATGCTCTCGCGCCTTCATGGGATGATCTAAGGTTTCAGAGAGGTTCCACGTAATGGGAGCGTATGGCTCCTGTACAAACGCCTGCAAACCTGTATCCTCCAAGAGCAGCATGCCGGTATTGCCCATGACTGTGTCTGTCGAGCCAGATGTGAAGGTGCCCTTATCTTTTCCTTTTGGCTTTTCCGTGACTCCCTGCTGACTGTAAGGTCTCGCGCTGCTGGTTGATGATAAGGACAGCATTTTGTGCAACTCTGCCAGTCCCCAACTGATCCTATCCACAGCTTGACCGGCAAGCTCGTGCACACTGTTATCGTCTAATTCTTTGAAGACGACAAATACTTGCTCCGCTTTGCGAGCACCGGTAGTGACAGTCCTAGTCTCGATGGCGTCGTATAAGAGGAGCATAGCACTGTTGAAAGCCTGCTGACCTAACGTCCAATCAATCAACGCTGCAGGCTCCTTGTGATAGAAGAACATGAATGCAGAAATGACATCTTCGGAGGAAGATAGTACCAAAGATCGGCCTCTGGGTGAGGCTTGCGCTAAAGCTGTTGGCGAAGGATGAGACGAAGGCGTCGTATTGATAGCCTGGAATGATGAAGCGGGGTCGCGCGCACCTGGCACATGTCCAAATGTGGATTGCTTTTCCACCCTTTGCCGATTGAGCAAGATGAGATAGGTGTACGTCTTGCAATGATACACTATTTGATGTAAGCGGCGGCGCGCTACGCAATGAAGTTGCAGTCACGGTGATCGCGGTAAGGGATACTCGTCCTGCTCGCAATTTAGGTGTGACGCGAAGATGACGTGAAGCCAATCTCGTACAGTATGACCAAAACTTCTCAGGGCCAGGCAGGTAGAAATGAAGATTACATACTGGCAGCGGTGGCACGAAGTGGCCATTCAGGGGCATCGGCCTCCGGTTGGTTCCAGGACTCCTGGTATTGCAGCGTCTCTGGTATCGTATCCAAAAGGTTCCTGAGTTCGTCTGTAAACTCATCTATTCGGTTGTTTGTCAATCGATCGCTGCTGAGTATGCGTCTAGCTATGACTGTGAAGCGATTCACAAAATCGCCAAATCTCAGCATAATGGGATCGGTAGTCAGTTCCTGTGGCCATGAACAATCCCCGAGGCCACTGATGCCGAGTGGACGGCCCAAAGTCATCGAGTATTGTTCGTCCATGCGTAGCATCCACCACCATAGTCTTTGTCGTATAGAACAGTCTTTCTGCGTCGGAGGTGCAGGATTAAGATACTTTGGATGGCGATGAAGACCGATAGAGTGTGCTAACCGAATAGTGGTACCAAACAATGTCCAAGCATCTAGAAAGCGACCACTGTTCGTCAGGTAAGGGCCGATCAAAATGAGGGCTTGGATACCCAGAACAGACGGTTTATGCAGGAAGGAAGCCAGGCGCAAAGCTTGCATTGCTGCTGCAACTAAACGATCGATCAGCCTCAGTTCCAACAGTACTCTTCTGGCTTACTGTAGACATCGCCCTTGCCTGTCTCTTTTTGCATTATCTCAGCATTCCACTGCTCACCGGACTTGTCCCAGACGGAGTGCTGAGCGCCCAACGCGATGGCCGCGAAAAGCAGAGCAAGCATATCAGGACACATTTGCGCGTTTCTTCTCGCGTGAGAAAGAAAACGCTCAAATTCGTTGCGATTGATCTCAACAGGCACCTGAGGATACGAACATAGATTGACACGACTGTCGAAAGCATCCAAGTAGCCAGATAGCTCTCCCTCTTCTGCCGGGAGACAGCTGAGCAACTGGGGAATACACTCATCTGGATTGGCTTTGAACAGCGTTGCGAAAGGATAGGTCCGGGGGGTTCTCGGCATATGTATACCAGGGCCGCGAGGCATCAGATAGGCCAATGTGACCGCAGCGTCCACATTGGTCGAGGCGAACTTGGACTCAATTAGTAGCGCACTGTATATATCTTGAGGTAGCTTACATCGCTCATTACACTATTTAGAGCCGGCGAGCCAAAGTAGATGCTGTCCTGCCATTCAATACCCTGAAAGCGTTTCTGCTTCCCTGTACGGCGCCTTTGCAAGGGACCGGGCCTCTCTCCCAGCTGAGATTCCGGAGATGCTGCATAGTCGGAGTCTTCGTCGTCGATTGATATTCTGTAAGCTCGTAATCGATCCTTGAGACGAAGATTCTCTGCGCGCAGTTTGCGCAGCTCGTATGACTGTTGAATGGGCGCATAATCCCCGCCCTCAGCAATGAAATGGCAATCTTTGGGTGCACCTCGGGCGCAACATGCTGAACATGGCTTGGTACGGTCACACTGTATCTTGTGTCAGGCGAACTCAGTTGTGATACTTTCCACAAGTACATGCACCGATCTGGGAAAAGGGTGCCAAATTGGGTCGACCCAGAGAACTCTTTGGAGACTTGCCTTGACCTTTCGCTCTCGACATTTGGTACATGAAAGAAGTTGACGGGGTTGCTGAACTTGTTGTTTTCTCTTTGATCCTTCCACTACAGCGGTAGATTGGTCACTAGACGTAAATGTGAGTTCGCCTTCGAGTGGTGACATTGTTATTTTGAAGTGGGTTGATGGGTCGGGCCGCAGTCTGACATGAATGGGATGACTGCGTGGGGGAAGGGATGAATTCGGAGATGTGCGGGACTCATGTATGAAGGATTACAGGAAGGGTTGAAGTGCATTTAGTCGATTCACAATTGCCTTGAAGAATTGAAATCATCAGTCATGTAGCAACAACGCCTCAGAGCATCAAATGCACCTGAAGCCTCATTTCCAGGACTAGAGTTCCAATGAGAAGTGGGTATGGGGGCGCTTTGGTTGAATGTCGGTCAGATATGCTGAGCCCACACCGAGATTCGAGCTGCCGAATTGGTCGTGTTGCATTGTGCGTGAGCTAGCCCTCACCAGAAATTATGGCTTCGTGTCACAGAGATATCGCCAAGCAGAAGAAGGGTCTGTCGGAGCATTACATGATATTTCCTACAATACACAGATCTGGCGCACTTACCGGCCGACCGATTTTCTGGGATGCTCCCCCCCTCCCCAAGCCAAGTCATATATGCATGTGCATACTTAGCGAGCCGGACAACTTGCCGTTACTTTGCTTTTTCGTTTCCAGAACCGGCCAAGCTACGCGTGGGTTACAGCAAGACATTTGCACCCTTGTGAGATCGGTATCGGTGTCCATGGCTAGTGCATCCATGGCTTGCTAGTGGCTTGCATGGGCGGCTGTCGCTGATCCGGGTGACCTCTCCTTACTCTTCGCGCTGCCCATTGTTCTATTCTGCGTGCCCGTCGGCAGTAGAGTATGCCCCCAGAATATCAATATGGTAGCGCTGGCTGATTTGGAATCGCATGTTTGGTTGATGAAGATCTCTGCACAATTGTGTCCATGTTCCGCGCCGTCGTACCGGACGCCTCACTCCGACCATCACCAAACGTCGAGCACGTCAACACCATGACTTTGAACAAATTGAATCGTTTCGGATTTGCCAGTCCGCCCATTGTGGATGGACTTGGAGGAGTTGTCATGCGTCATTCAGTCTAACAGAGCTGAACCTCGGCGGCGATGATACAATCTGTGCCGACTACCACACAAGGAAGCACTTGGCCACAAGTGCGTCCGTATACTACAGGACGTCGTAAAATGGGCTTCTGACTGACTGTGTCAAGAGCCGGAGGAGCAAGTAGTATTGTTCTAAAACGACCATTCCTGCACACGGAGCAGGCAAAGTGACTTACCAACCATCCCATCCAACCGTCTCGATTGTTCAAGGCGACGCATCCAACCTGGTGAGAAGACGAATAGGCGTGACAAAGATTTGCCGGGAGAAGACATCCACGCTATCCAAGTCTACCTCCCATTCGTCACCGACCTGGACATCTGTTCCATGGAGCATAAAGGCTTTGAGCCCGTATTCTGCAAGTTGACCAACAGCTCCATCTTGGGAATTCACTGTTGCAGCATTGGGGACATCGCGCACCCAGAACTTGAAGCTCTCGGGAAGCTCACCCTCGCCGTAGTTAAATGCGCGCATGAAGGCAACACTGGACCAGTAGCTCAACGACTGGCGTTTAGTGGTAGCTATGATACGCTCCCTGGGTGAAAGCGTAATGATGGATTCCTGCATTTGACGCTGAGACAGTGGAAGCGTTGGAGGATGCTCCAAGTTGTTAAACTTTCTCCCGGTGCGAGCCTCATGTCGTATAGCAGCCTCAATTTGCCAGTGGGTTATCATATCGGTGAATCGACGGAGCGGACTAGTTACTTTGACGTAACTCGGTACTCCGATAGCCTTATGGGGCAACGGTGCGGTATGCGCAATGGCTCTACCCAGAGATCTTGTGTATTGCATTGCTAAGTCGAGTGGGACTTCGCGACCCTGTTCAAGATGTTCCGAAACAATCTGTTTGATTTGTTCTGGGTTCTGGCCATTGTTCGTGGATATCTTGATTGTACCTCTGTACATGACGGGAATGTTACGCTCCGCGCACCACATTGCCGCTGTGTGGCACGCAAGTAACATCATTTCTTCGACAATGTCCTTAGCGTCAATGTCCGTTTGTAAGAACCCTCGAGGCTGGACACTGGTGAGCTCGATGATAGGGTCGCCTGTGATGATACGGGCTCTCTCCATGGATGGTGAATTCCAAGTCAATCCACTATCCACCTTGTTCTCGCGGAGACGAACACTGGGTGAAACAGAGCCAAAGCGTATGGCACCGGCGGCCTTTCTTATTTCCCATCGGGCCTTTGCTGCCGTGTAGAGGTCTTTCAAGTCCTGCAATTGGTCTGGAGAAAGCTGTGGTACGTCTCTCTGAGCTGCTTGATCAGGCAGCATGCCCCCGACTACGAGTCGATTTGTTTCATCAATGGTTTGCTCACCAAGCAATGCAGCTACCTCTGAGGGGGTGATGGTGACGATGTTTCTGATGAATCCATGTTGAATCTTAGTTTCTGTTACGGCGCCACTGCTATTGATGCGTGAACTGAAGGTAATGACCGGCCGATCCCGGTCGAGACTGAAATAATTCTGTGTAGCCCATGATGGGATCATCGGGTAAAATCGCTCAGGTGTGTAGACAGATTCTGTCATATGCGCAGCGAGACCAGACAATGTATGGGTCTTGTCAAAGAAAGCGGTTGGGTTTGCCACATGAACGTGAATCCAGTATTCAGCGGGTTTGCCCTCGATTCGCTCAATAGAGACACCGTCGTCAATCTCGTGCGCACCCACATCGTCAATACAGTAGACTGTAGCAGAACCCCAATCACGGCGCAAGCCAGCCATGGAATCCCGGAAATCTGGGCTTCTTCGTAGTAGTTCTGCTTTTGTGGTGAGCAACTCCAAGTTGCGAGAGAGGCGGACAGTGGGCAGCATGAGCAGCTCATCGTAGAGAGCGCGATTTTCGTAAGGTGATAAGACACCGATCTCTTGCAGGAAAGTCAGGCCTGTACCACGATTGATCTCACCAGCGCTCTGCTGTCGAGAACCAATGTTCTTCAGGGCATCTAGCCCGTAACAATTTGTTGCTTGGACTAAGCTCGCACAGGCTGCATGCAGGCTAGTCATGCCCATGAACTGTCCTGTTAGCACCCATGCTTGGAGGAAGTTTATGATTTGCTGATCTGCATCGGTAAATGATTCACTCCAAGTAAGCCCAATCTTGCTTGAAGAGTCGCTTATGGACATGCACGATTTGCTAGGTCCAAGGCCGCCGAGGATTGGGTCGCGATTTTTACGACTTGTGGCAATGAGTCTCCGCGCCTTGGTGAGGAATGCTGCTATATTACCGGCGCCCGTGCCTTGCCGGGGCGCTGGCAAAGAAGAAGACGTTTTGTTTGCATGAGTAGCGAGATACTCACGATACTCGCGGATCCATTCATGTACCGTCTCGACATTTTTAACATCATTCCTGGGACGGATCGAGAATATATTCGTCAGGCGGTGACTTCGGGCGTCAGACCGAAAGCGGAACTCGTTATGATTCAAAGCTTTACGGACAGCCAGCAATGCTGCAGCAGACGGTCTCCAGGTAGCATCATCCGGTGATAGTAATCGCTTAGCAATCTGACTGAGTGTCATCATCCTCGTGCGGACAGGATCGGCAAGTACATTATATGCAGTATCCAGTTTTGCTGCGTTGGTGCGATATATTGCCTCTGCTTCTTCAGTCAAGCGCTCCAATTTGGCCTGCACCGGGGCAGCGATGTCGACGGGAACCTGCATCTCGCCTTTGGAATCTGCTTGTCCTGGCGCTGTAGGAAGATAAGGAAGAAGGGGCTGTAGCAGGGTGGGGTCTATGCATTTTGTGATGGCGAAGGCCACTTTGGCTAAAACGGAATGACTCCATCTCCCGTTGACAGAGAAGAACTGGCTGACATCGTCCAGTTGTTGCACAAAGACGGCAAGGACAGGCTCCCGACCAGGTTGTGACAGCTCTACGACATCACCGGGTTTGAGGAACAGTCCGATTGTGATGAGTTCGTCCTCTTCGGTCTCTCCCGTCTCCTCCCAATGGTTTCTTTCGGCGTGCTGATCTGACTTGATCCCGGACGAGAGTTGTGTGAATTCATTCTGGATGTCATCAGAAATCGTGAATCTCTCGAAAGCAGATACGATCTCGGGAGAAGGACCCCCCCACCGACGATCCCATTGCTCCAGCTGCTCCCTGAAAGGTGGGTCTGGTGGAAGAGTTGCGAAGGTTGGATCGAAGGTTGGCGAGGATGTGGAGGTGGGTGAGGTCACTTGAAAGCGCTACCATGGTCAAGTCAGTACAGCCGATACAGGGTAGAGTTGTATGAAGCAATATTGCGCACTCACAACCGCTGTCGTGTGGAAATTTCTTGCAGACAGTCGCGCGACTCTAAGTGAGGAAAGGCTTTTGGGAGCAGCATTTCGGCCGTTGGTGGCGGAGGGTGCATTGAGGATGCGCCATTGGCATCTCAGGCAGATGTTGCCCGCAGTTATGATAGAGCGAGGATACATGGCAGGCGACGGGTCAATTGAAGCAGTGAATTCGCTGCCTCGAACAGAAAAAAAAGTATTAACCAGGCGTACAATTCATCATATCATGACGGCAAGTCGCGATGGTCCAAGACTTTAGGTCCGTGCGCACACGCTAAAAAATGCAGCGCGAACTCACCTGTTTTCGCCGCACGACGTCTTTTTGTTTCCTTCTTCTCTCTCACCACGTCCACAGCAAAGAGGTATGTATGTATGCATGTTCCGCTGTTCTCTGCGTAACACCTCCCCAATTCTCCCAACAACACTCCTATGATGCATTCAAAATTATATAGCATGTATTATCCGAACGTCGCTCTGTGGCGCCCTGCGGAACTCTTAATTTTCCTGAACGAATGTTCTCCTCACATTTTCTGTTCGCTCTCCCTACTCTGGCTTCTTGTTCTAACAGACGTTGGGGTTTAGGTACAGGTGTGTGCATCATGGCAGCCTCTAGCAAAGCACCGCCAGGCCACTTTTCGATATTGTACTTTGCTGCCGCTTCGACCTTTACAGGCAAGTCGAGCGAGCACCTGCCTGCGCCTGTACGAGCTCGCGAGCTGTTCCATGTGTTGGAGCAGAGATATCCAGACTTCACGGGAAAGGTGCTCGGCAGTTGTGCTGTGACTGTGAATTTAGACTATGTTGACATGGGCGAGGACGAGGGCGACGAGGCAGGGGACAGGGACAAGATGATTGTCGAAGGGGACGAGGTGGCCATCATCCCACCAGTCAGTTCTGGCTAGAGAGCTGGCGAGTGAATGGGACAGACAGGTGCATTTGAGCACGATGTTGTGGTTCCTGTTCTTTTGATCTGGTTGCATTGCTGGTGATGCGGTTGTACTATCTAGTACCCAACTACCCTACCTACTTATTACCTACGGACGACGCAAGTGTTCGGTCCATGGGCTCGAAAAGAAGCCCAGGCTTACACTAGGGGTTGGAGCGAACCAGACTGTGGCGTTTCACACATCCCGTGGTTCGTCTGGGATTTGGTATGTCATTGTAGAAACGATATGGGGCGAAGGATATGAGGACCGAGGTGAGGACTCGACTAGTTAGCGCCAAACCCTATCCAAACAGGTTCCCATGTTGCTGCTGCTGTTGTTGTTGTTGCTGTTGCTGTTGCTGTTGCTGCTACTACTGTCACTGTCACTGTTACTGCTACTGCTACTGCTACTGCTACTGCTGCTGCTGCTGCTGCTGCTGCTGTTGACAGTCCCTCTTCATCTTTGTCATCCTCACCATCATCAGCATCATCGGTATCGCGGTCTTTCTTTGCCGCCGTCCTCGCCGCACAAGCACACGGTAATCTCTTCCAATCTGCCCGGCCCTTGCCTTGGCCCTCCCCAAATCTTCTCAAAAACCCTTGGTCTAGCGCCATTTTCCTCGACTGAACCTCCGCGACCAGGCCGCGCTGAACAGACACGGAACACCGACCACCGATCATCGACAGAGCAACAGCCCCCAATCCAACGCTGCAAATGTGCCCATGACGGACATGGCGGACCCTATTGATCCGCGGCTGTTCGCCTCTTCTTCGCTGCCACCGCGCCCTCCAGCCTACACCGCGGCGCCACAGCACAACCCCGCCCAGCCCTACTACCTGCCTACACCCTCTCACCATCACGCCGGCCCGCCGCTCTCCCAGCCCGCCCCGCCGAGTAATGCCCTCGATCCGGCCCTGGAGCAGACGCCACAGTCCGGCCCGGAAGGCGATCATGAAGACGACGACCACGACGACGACCACAACCACGACCACAACCACGACCACCGCGACGACGACGCCGACCACGATGGCACCGCCCACGAAACCCCAGGCTCTGCCAGGTCGCCGGGCGACTTCAAGCGCCCCCGGGCCTGTGACTCCTGCCGTGGCCTGAAGGTGCGATGTGACCAGGAACGTCCAGATCAGTCCTGTCGACGGTGCGCAAAGGCAGGCAGGCCCTGCGTCACCACACCCCCAACTCGCAAGCGTCAGAAAAAGGCAGACAGCCGCGTTGCCGAGCTCGAACGTAAGATTGACGCCCTCACGGCCACCCTGCATGCGCAGAAGAGCGGCGGCGGCCACGAGGTCAAGAGCCATGGAGCCATCCCGCACTTCCAGGAGAGCCCGCCGACGCTGTCCATGGCCGAGAGTCCCCTCCGTATGGGCACCCTCAGCCACGATTGGGGCAATCCCACCGTGAACCGTTTCCCAGACATACCACCAGGCTATGGGCCAGCGAAGAACATTCAGCGTGGCCCAGAGCCCAAGCGCAGGAAGCTCGACACCCCACATCCTGTAGGTCCCCTTTATCCTTCTCTATTATTACTACCACCCCGGCTGTCGCTAACATGCTAGACGATACCCGAAGACATGGACGCCATCCACCGCGACCTGGCCGATCACCCCGAGATGAAACGCAATGCTAAAATGCACATGAAGATTCACGCCGATCACTCGCACATCAATGGCTTGATCGACAGCCTCATGTCCCCCGACATTGCTGAGCGCGTCTTCTTGCGATATGTCAACGAGATCTGCCCACACTTTCCCGCTGTACCGTTCCCGCCAGGCACAACAGCTCGCGAAATCCGGGAGCAGAAACCACTGCTCTTCCTCTCCATCCTCGCTGGCTCGTCACACGGATCAGCTGAGCAGCTCGTTTCGCAGGAGGCTCAACGGGAGCTGACCAGAATTCTGAAAGACCAGCTTGCCGACATCATCTGGCGCAATGGAGAAAAGTCTATCGAAATCGTCCAAGCATTACAGATCTCGGTCCTCTGGTATCGGCCCCCACTCCACTTCGAGCAGCACAACTTCTACATGATGGTCAATTGTGCCGCTGTCATGGCGCTTGACCTCGGTCTTGGGCGCAAGGCAACACCCAATGTGATGAGGCTGTCCATTGGCCCTTTCCGGAGGTACCATCCCAATTCGAGCAGCATAGAAGCACGTCGCACTTTTCTTGTGTGCTACTACCTCTGTATGAGTATCACCATGGTTCTGCGACGACCCATACTTTTGCGCTGGACCAAGTACATGGAAGAGAGCGTCAAGATACTTCAGACCTCGCCGGACGCTCTCCCGTCAGACAAGCTGCTATGTCAGCAAGTCAAGATGGCACACATTGGGGAGAACATCTCCGTCCAGTTCTGCATGGACGACCCATCGGTCGAGGTCGCCATCTCTGAGCCAAAGGTCATTTACGCCCTCAAGATATTCGAAAACGAGCTTCAGCAGCTCAAGGACGAGAATTCCAAACTCGGAGAAGTCGATCGTAAGTCAGCTAATAGTGTACTGACCGCAGCAACTAATGCCACCCCAGCTACACTCAGACTTGCCGAGCATGTGACCAATCTGTATCTACACGAGATTGCCCTACATCAGAGCCAGGGCACGACCGACTTTCAACCGCCATTTGTGTCAGAGTCATTGTCCGCGAATGTCAAGAAAGACACGCCTATCGGCCCCGCCCATATCGGCGCGTTGGGGGAATGTCTCACAGCGACACACGGTATCCTGAATACGATTTTGAGTATAGAACTTGATACACTCCTGACACTGCCTGTCATCTTTTGTAAGTGCAGATGCATACTTGACTCTGAACTCCATACTTACTTTCTGGCAGGCGTCCGAGCCATCTACGCAATCGTCTGTCTTATGAAGATGTGGGTTTCCGTAACGAACTCGGGCGAAGTGGGCAGCATCATCAAAAAAGAAGCTCTCCAAATCGAAAGCTTCACTGAGCGCCTCTGTACCATGTTCAACGCCATTGTCTCGCGCGACTCGCAATCCCCCCACGGCAAATTCTTCTTCGTTGCCAAGCGTCTTCAAGAACGCTTCGCCCAGATCAAAGAAGGCTCCAGCAAGGCGGATCAATCCGACACCAACTTTGAACCCACACAGGCCACCAGCAACTCGGGCCGCAAATCGTCATCCAGACAATCCTCTGTCAACCAAACCCCCTTGCACCTTCTCTCTGAAGTCGCAATGGGCGGCAGCGGCAGCAGCAGTGGCAATGGCACCGCGCCCACCCAACAACACCAACAACATCAACAACACCAACAACAAGCCCACGCCCACGCCCACCAGCAACAACAACAACAGCAGGCCCACGCCCAAACCCAACAACACGCCCACTCCCAACAACAAGCCCAAGCCGCCCTCCAAGCCCACGCCCAACACACCCAACACCAACCCTCCCTCCCCCAGGACTGGTACCCCGCCAGCCTCACCCAAACCCCAGACATGCTGGCCTTTCAGCAACCCGCCTTTGACATCAACTTTGACTTTACCGCCTTTGACCTCGGTACCGGGTCCGATGCCGATCTCTCTGCCATGTTCCTCCCGGACTCGATGCAGATGTGGCAGTATTCGGTAGATGTGGGTCTGCAGGCCCAGCAGGCTCAGGCTCAGGCTCAGCAGGCATCGCAGCAGCAGCAGGGGTTTAGTGGGTTCTAGTGTTATTTGGAGAGACGGTGTTGGTAGTGTGATGTGTACTAGACGGTTGGTGTTGTTGGAGTTTTGTCCAGTTTTTGCTTCTGTCCGTTTTTGTTTGGGCCGGTGCGGTCTAATAGCAGGGTTGTATTCTATTCCAAAAGGCAACATGAAAACAGATTGAGACCCGTGAGATTTTCTTCTTTGTCTTTTTAGGGGCGTTGGGGGAGGAGGGGGCGTGTACTGCTAATTGTATTGTACTACTGTACTTGGAGTATCATCACCATCTTTTCATGTATGCATTCAGAGATAATATATCCTTTTTCCCCATCAAAACTTGACCCCTTCGGAAGGGACTTTTTAGTTTTGCAATACACTAGTGAAACGCTAGACTAGGATGAGAAGAAGAAGATGAATGATCAATAATGGGAGTGGAAAAGGAGTGGTTATATTCAAAGAGCAGTAGTAGGAGGAGAAGAGCTGTCAAAAAAACCTAATCCTGCAATTGATGTGTAGGACATGCGCCCCTTCCCTTTTTATCCCACCATTCCTTGATGCATTTCTGTGCATTGGCGTTAGCGTTGCATTCACGTCCAAGTCTTTGTTTCTTTCTTGCTTGCTTGCTTTCACCAACTTGTTCCCTTCTCGACCACTACCATCGTGGTCCTCTCGCCATCCATCCATCGGATCGAAATGTATTGAAAAGAACAAGGAAAAAGAAAACATACCTCATGAAACTTGCACCAACAAACCAACCTCGCCATCTTGTCCCCGGCCTCAAAGTCCTCTAGACAGATGATACACTCGGCCTGCCCACCATCTTCATCTACACAATCCTTTTCCGTCGCTGTGTAGCTAAACATGCCCCGGGCCGCGTGACTGAGGCGGCTCGCATTACTGGCTCCTTCGCCGTTGCCGCTTGATACTGCTGCTCCAGCAGTACTCATACCGCGTGTACGCTGGTTCGGCGCACTGGCCGAGGTTTGCTGAGCTGGTGGAATGGGGGCAGGCGAGCCAGAATATAGGGCTATGCATTCTTCGATATGGTGGGTGCGGTCCGAATCGTCTCCGTCAGGCCCTTGAGGTGGAAGTTCGTTGCCGCAGATGGGACACTCGTCTTCTTCAGCGATTTGGCGGCGGGGTCTTGGGGCTTGTGCTTGTTGCGGAATGAGGGATGGAGGTACTGGCGTGTTCATTGATCGGTGGAGGAGTTGGGTTCCGGAAAGAGAGGACGAAGTAAAATAGGATGAGATTGCGCTGTCGTGCGATCCTAGGCCTGTGAGCATACGTGAGAGGGAAGCGTCTTGAGAGTGGTAGCGGGATGGCTGCGCACCATTGGCACCGGGAAGAGGTGGCAGGCGACGCTCGTTTGAGTTGGATGCGCTGCCATGGTAGGTGAGACGACGATGAGCGTCGCTGGCGTGTCTGAAGGGGTCGCGTTCACGCGGTGTTTGCCCGTGGCCAACGGTGCGAGATGCATGGTGTAGATTTGCTGAGGATATAGGTGCGCGGGTGTGTGGGAAGTGAGACGATCGCGCAGAATGGTGTCGGGAGAGATGCGTCGGAGTATATTGCGGCGGCGGATTGGGGTTTGGGTCTGGGACACAAGGGTTGCAAACGCGGACCTCCTCCCCACCGCCCAGCGCAGGATTGCGGAACGGGCCGAAGGGAGACATGGTGGTCTCATCATCGCCGGTGAGGTCGATGATGTTCAATGTGCTATCGGATGGCGGGTGGACGATGAACTGGCGGGGTATCGTGATTCGATGCGGGGAGCACGAGTGGCATACCACTCTTCCACATTTTCTTATCACCACTAGTTAGCATCAACTTGTCCTACGTCATGAGCCAGCTTTCAGGAAGCTCAGGAAGACGTCTTTGGCGGTTCCAAGGGCCACGATGCCATGATCTGTTGACCCTGCCACCCGAAAAGGGCGCAGCCAGCTCGAGAAACGTCGTGACGGACGTACCTGCAATGATGCCTTCGTAACAAGAAGGTAAAATGCCGTCCACAGACTGGGCACTGGTCCACCTCGCTGTCTGGCTGCCATGTCGGCAGCACCCAATCACTCTGCCTTCTCTCCGTCCCCGTATTCGCCTGTGGTGATTGGGGCGGTAAAGGTGGTAGCGGCCGTGCCGTAGCAGGCGAAGCGTCCAAAATAATAGGATTCGAGCCACTTGTGCCCGCCGTCCCAGAATGTATCCTCATACTCGACGACCGTCTCATAGGCGAGTTTGTCTGGGCCAGTCGTCTCTTGCGGTCCGAGTTGCGTGACGCAGGCGAATCTTCACGAGAGGAGGATCGATTGGCCAGACTGAGATTGTACCTGGGCGAGGAAGGTTGTGGGCGAACTTCCGGGCCAGGGCGGGGTTCGATCGAGTTTGGCTGAATGTGGGCAGTTGGCTCGCTATCGTCCCTCAAGAAGTCCATCCATGTCTCCCCGCCCTGTGCGAGGAGGTGTGAAGTAGCAACAGGCTGGGAAGGGTAGCGCGTTGGGTAGTTGGCGTCCTCTGAGCCACTAGTACCTCTTTCTGTATTGTTGCTCACACCGTCCAGGGGACCATGTTCGCGAGAGCGGGTCCGCTGTGTATATGTGTAGCCCGGCCGTGGGTCCATGTTGACATTGGGAGGCATGGTGAGGGAGGGTGTGTTTCGCAGAGTCGAAGGAGAAGCAAGTGAGGGGCGCTTGGTCGAGAGGGGCAAGGCGAATATGTGGAGGAGGGGCAAATGATCGCGTGAAGGGGTAGAGGGAGAGGCGAAGGCGGACGGAAGGGTGCTGTGGGCTGTCTTCGGTGGGAAGTAAGGTTGGTCGGACAGTCAGGTCAGGTCGACATGCCGGCCCTTTGTTGACGTTACAAGTCGTCAACGGTTCGAGAGCGTTGTGTGATAGGGGAAGAGTGAAGTCTGCTTGTCGCCGTCGCTGAGCGAGGCCTGCCTATAACTTACCCACCTATCACATGCACAGACTCGACGAGGGGAGCTCGAACCAAGTAACGGATGTCCTCGTCAATCGTCCTCTCCAACGTACGCGCCGGTGCAAGGCACTGCTGAGGCTGCGAACCAGGGTCAAAAAAAGAAGAAGATACACAAAGACCAACGTCTCCCTAGCATATATACGAACGAGGCACACTCGGAGCCAGAGACTACTCTACCAGCAGGGGAGGGGGAGGGGGGGGCGCCTGGATGGGGAGAGAAGTGGTAGGTTAGGTAGGTGGACAGGTTAGTAGGTAGTTGAACCCGTCGACGCCTCTCAGGCAAACGATAGCGGCTGGCGGGCGGGCGGGCAGGCTTATCGTCGCCGCCCAAACACACACACACATACTTCCACACACGTGACCCCCCTGGGAACAACCACGGCCCGAAGCGTGTAGCGCGGCTATTGATTGCACCATGTTCACCGTTCACCACAAGACAAATAACCTACTGTTGATAGCACCACGCCCTTGAGCCTATCCGCCCCCATTTCCTGGGCACCTCACTCATTCACATCTGTGTACATGGCGATGTATTGAGCATCATCATCAACAGTTGCAGCCATTATATTACTTGTGGACCTGTCAAGCCACAGCTAGCTCCTCTTACACATCCAAGATCCCTCTAAACAAATATCCACAGACCTTTCCCCCCATATTGGACCAAGTCTAAAAATTCCTTTGCTCCCCCGCCCCATCCCCAGACACTCCCAGCTTGCTTGACTGACTGACTAGAACGCAACCTGACTATACAGCAAAGGAAATTCGTAAATGCCGAATCTGTGCAAAAACATAAAGGGAAGGTCGGCAGTGCTGCCAGTGTACCCAAACAAAACCAACCGCTAAAAAAGAAAAGAAAAATCTAAATCACACTGTACTTGTTCGAAAACCGCCTCGTTTTCATCTCATATCGCTTCGCCCACTTCGGTTCGTACTTCCGCTGCGACTGCGGTCCACAAACTCGGCCGACGCTTCGAGATGGCTGCCGGCATCATACACGTCGCGATGCAGGCTGTCCTTCATCACATGTTGCTGTACGTAGCCTGTGCTAAGTGGCCGATCTGCTTCTCCGCGTATCGTCGGTGGCGGCGCAAAAGGCCCGCCTGTTTCCTCCATGCCGTTGTTGCGGTATATGCTCGATGCTGCAGAGTGGCCAGGAGAACGCTCAGGCGACGGCGACGGTTCGGATCCAAAGGGAAGGCGGATACGCCCACCCGGTTGTAAATGTTGGCTCCCCCCACCAGTGTCCAACAGTGAGGTCCCGGGCGCGGATCCATCCATTACCGTCGGAAGCTGGCCAGGTATGGCTGCATTCTCGGTCGACTGCGTTCGTCGCGAATTCTTCCGTGGTATCGTTGGTGTCCGGCTTGGTGGGCCTTGCTGCGTTGCGCGAGATGCCCGCGACCCAATTCGACTGGGTAGCTCAATCCCACCACCAAGCTCAAGCTGGCCCAGTGTTGGCGCAATGGCTGAGATCCGATTAACGGGCATGTAGTCTTCCTCACTCGAGTAAGAATCACTATCCGACGGTCTTCTGGAGCGACCAGATAGAACGCCCGCAGACGCCACACCAACCGAATGCTGTGAGCGAGGTGACGTTTCTGAGACATGCTGCGAGCGAGGCGATGTATCACTGACGTGTTGAGACCGAGCCGAAGTATCTATCGCAGGTGGAGCGCGCGGTGGCGTGGTCCCTGCAACTTTCTCTGTGCGCGGTGGTGAGTCTGGGCTATCACGATAGGGTTCGCGTGCCTCCTCTGGAGATTCTTCCTCTTCGACAGCCATCATCTGAGGAGGCATACGCGTGCTGCGAACCACCTCAAACCCCTTACTCTTCTCCTTTTTGCGGCCACCCAAAAGGTTAAGACGTTTGATCCAGCCTGTAGCAGACGATACTGGGCTCATCGGATCAGCAGGTCCAGTTTTGAGTTTCCGGGTAGGCTGTGATGACAAGGCAGGTCCACGGAGCCCATAGTAAAAGTCCGACTCTCGCACAGAGTAGTCTGTATTGTTTCGTCGCTCGAGGTTCGAATCGGAATCCTCCCTATTCAATCGTAGATAAGCAGGGGCCGGAGTGCCAGAGCCGCGAGGTATGCTTTCACCAGCAGCCGCGCCATGATAGGCAGTGTCGACATCGTCTGAATAGGGTGCATCAGTAGTAACGGCTGGCCGGAGTGGCTCCTTGCCCTGCGATCCCGGCTTAACAGAATCCATTGTTTCCTTGCGTGGACGAGGAGGTCGGTAGTAGGGATCCGAGGCATCCAGCCCTGTACCCATCGTTGGTCGCCGCGAGCTTGAGGCAGATCCACTTCCGAGGAAGGTAAAGGGTGTTGCATTGATTCCTGGCGTGCCGGGACTGTGATTGCCGTAGCCACCCTGACTGAATTCTTCGAATCCGACACTGGCACGCTGACTGTCGCGATCGTACGGGCCATTCAAGAGTATACCAGAACTCGCAGACATACTGCGTGAGCGACTATCCATGAGCTGTATATGTTTGTTCTCATCTTGAAGCATAGCAGCGTTCGATCCTAGGCTGCCTCGCTTTCCTCTTTGCACGTTTCGATGACGCTTCGATAGTTGACGTTTTCCAAAGACTGTCGTAAGACCACCTCTTTGATCTGCACCTACACCGCCCAGTCTGGCAGCTATTTCAATGACTGTTTGCAGTGAGTTGAGGAAGAACCCAAATACTAAAACGATGGCGTGCAGTAGTAAAATGGCGTAGCCGATCCATCCTTTGGAGTCTTCAGAGACTTTGAGAGAGGGTGCAAATGCGACCATGAGCAGGACAGTGGACAGCCGGATGGCAGAGAAAAAGGTATGGTAGGCGTTCATGGAAGTATTAGACTGGAAGGGTCGGAACGCGTGTAGAGTTAGGATTAAGATTACTTCGCATATAGCGAGAATGATAATTTGGGCAATTCCAGAGGGCTGCATAGCGCCAATGGCAATGCCACGTATAACAGTAAGCAATACAGGAATGAAGGCGAATGGCGCGGCATCGTCTGAGTAGGTGTTGTAGAGAGGCCCATACGTCAAGACTGTTGGGAGGTCGTCAAAAAGATGGGCTCGAGGACGAGTCGTGAATATGAACCAAAAGATCCACGTAGCAAAACCTGCAACGAGTAGCAGGAGAATCACGGCCGGAGCGACGACCGAAGCTGGCGAACGAGGACCGACAACAAGCTGGAAGAGTGATATAGCGATGATGGGCAGCATGAAATAATTAAACACAACCCGGACGATGCATCCGGCGGTGAAGGACCAGTTCTTCCCCGTCAAATCACCATCCTGAGTTTTGGTGACGTATCGTTGGACCCATCGGGCGAGGAAACCGAGCTGGATGAGTAGAACGACGATGATGATCAATACGACGAGGAAGACGGCCATACATGCCCAAATATCGCGTTCTCGAGTCATTCCGACGTATTGTCCCAGTCGCGTCATCCCGTAAGTTCCGTTGGTGGAGTAAATGCCATCGACGAGACTTTGATAGCCGTTCCCATGGCTGACAAAGCTCTGGTTGAACAAGAGGGCCGACCAACTGGCCTGACTGACCACAGGCTGGAAAAAGCCAGGGTAATTTAGACTGAGGCTACCTGCTAGCACGGCGAATTGAATGTATTGTAGGCAGTCACCGAAGCCAGGTGTGACCAAACGTAGCAAGTCCTCATCTCGGCCATAATTACTGGTCCAGCGGAACACATTGGTGGTACCCCAAGGACTGCACGTCGCTGCGAAGATGGTGGTCACGGCCACGAGCGCGAGCACAGCAGCGGGTAAGTAACTGAGCGTGTCGGACAACTTCTTGCCCAAGTCTGGAGTAATGTTGGCAGAAACGCAAGCCAGTGTGGTACGATCAGCATTGCCAGAAATTACCCGTATAGTCGATGCCAAGGTCGCAAAGGAATACGTGCTGTCAAAGTCATGTCCCACGCTGATCGCCGGTAGCGTATATGGATCGCTTGCATTGGCCCCATTCTCAGGGAAAACGGGCGCAAGTGGGCACGAACCATTGATCACGGACCGGCAGAACTGGTCTGGTGGCGATCCATATGCAGAGTATGTGAGAACCTTGTTATTCCAAAACAGCGTTGTGTATTTGTTGTTTTGCTGGTCTAGGTCCACGATCTTTCCAAAAGTGTTGTTTGGATCGGACCATCTTGCATCAGTTGGGCCGGGCAACTGGCCGAATTGCGCTTGACCGCTGACGTTACCTAGAAAGGTACCAACTGTTAGTGTGTCTGGCGTTACATGGGCAACTTGAGGAGCCTACCATATACGGTGACGTTCAGCCTGTGGGTTGGATTGATCGTGTCAAACGTTGCCCACACATACATTGGGGTAAATTGCAGGTACGGCGATCGGGCCTCGTCGCGCAGGTAGACCTTTTGTAAGCAGTCCTCAAAGTCGACAAACACCTAGACATGCTCGTCAGTATATGATCGACAGCAAGCAGGCAGGCAGTAGACAAGAAAAGTGCATGGCTGCGCCTGGGCTGCTTCAAGAACCCGATCGCGCCCAGACCGCTTGCCACACGCACCCCTTTTGTCTACCGTGATTGTACGTACGGCCGTTGCGAGTGGAAGCCATGATGCGATTATGCAGAGCAACAAGAAAGTCGGAAGCAGGCGCAGTGATGGCATTATGCGCCTTTTCCGTCTCGATCGCAGCGGCCGTTGTGAAAGGTCTATGAAGGGCAGATGGGATTGCCTCTTCGCCGACGGGATTTGGGCGCCAATGCGCGTTGTCATGACTGCCATCATCTCGTCGAGGCTCGCCGCTTCATGTTCCTTTCTCTCTGTCTCCGGCCGAGGGCTGCGGTGATTGGCTGACGGTGGCCCCCTCTCCTGTAAAGTGCGCCAGACGGCCTGAAGCACGTGTCTACGATCGTGGGGTACTATCGGGGCGAAGAGATGTGATAGAAGTGGCGGAACTCTCGGGTCGGAAAAGGTGTTGAGGGGGACTGTTGGCGAAGAGCGAGGATAAGCCTGTTGGGGCGTGAAACAGAGGCGTCAGGAAACTGCGGCGATGTGTTGGCAGGGGCGATCAGGCAAGACGTAATCAACAGCGGCGATCCATAATGGAGGGGGTGTAACGGTTGGGTATAGCGAGCGTACGAATAGAAGATGAGGTAGGTAACAGGTGTGAGTGAGCCCAGGCAGTTGGTACGCGAAACTCCTGAGGCAAATGTTTAACAGTGGGGTTTGCGCAGGCGGATCAGGGACCTCACCCAAGCCAGCCGTGAGTGGGCGCTAGGCTCGTATTTGCTGCACGGTGCCCTGCTTTTGTGCTTGTCGTTTGGGACGACTCGACGGCTGGCGGCCGAAGAGGTGAATGGGTAGGTGAGGGTGAGGGCCAGAGTGAGGGTGATACTCTGTGCTATGTGCTCTGGGTGGACGCGCAACAACAACAAAAGTGGTGTCGCATCGGATGAGTAAGGCGGAAGGCCCGTCTTCATAGCCATGCTACCTACAGTACCTACTTGTATCAGCCGATAGGCAGTCGACTCGCAACGTCATCATCATGCCGCTAGAGAAAGACTCTGTGCAAACAGAAGCACCTCTCCGACGCAGTAACACCTACCATATAACCCCCCTCCCCCCATTCACTGTCGGATCCCATGTATGTACGGTAGTCTCGGACCATGGGATAACGCTGTGATTGGTTGCGTCTTTTACCATTGTAATCAAAGTGTCTTCTCTAACACTTCTAGGAGTAGGCCGTTCTCGCTAATAGCGGTGCGACCGGTGGGCACAAGGCCTGTGTAGGTACACATGGTACAATCAACCACCGACTTTCCACCCTCCTTCTTTCTCTTTACCAGCCTTAGTCAGCACAGCGAGCCATCTCCGCATGACGAGAAAAGATATTTGGTGTTTTCAGGCAATCAGCCATCGCTTGTTGAGACTTGGGGATCCCAAAGAGCGCTAGCCTATGTGGCGCAGCTCGACCAGCTATTTTAGGTGCATGGGCGATCCTTTGATGCCTGTCAAATTCGCATTGCCTGCCTATGCGATTCCTCTCGCCTTACGTCGCATAAGATTACCCACGTAAGACGGGAGGGACTGGGGCTCTATCCTGTTCCTCGACTACATCCACAGAAGAAGTCGTTCTGGCCAACGCCAATGGAAGAAGAGATATCCATCCATCCCTCGATACACGGTATTCGCTCGAGTCAACACCTCCCAATAGCATTTAGCCACAAATCAGGGAGATGACCCAGGGACCGTGCATACGGTCGCCAACGCTTCGCATGGACAATGTCCGTACATTTCTTGTCACATGTAAGCGAGGCTCATTCGTCATAGGCATGTCTATGGTTGAATGGAGTCACTCGCTGCCAGTAGCCAGTACTCAGCACTTACTTGCCAGTCACCAAAGCGTAGAAACCGAGCATGCTATCGCACATCATAAATTATACATTTCTTCAGCCACAACTCAAAGGGCATTGACAGGAGGTAGTGGACATTATCAGAGTACTGGTTCAACCTTTAAGGTACAGTAGTTTCCATCTTGTCGGATGAAACATACCACAAAAGCAGGTATCATCCGCCATTGCCGATCGAAAACAAGTACCTAGGTAACAGTGACAACCTTGCTTAGCACCTTTCGTAATCTCGAGATACCTTGAAGCGCATGATGTTTTTTTGTAGCGCTGGTGATGGTGATGGTGATGGTGATGGGTGATGGTGATGGGTGATGGTGATGATGGCAGTAGGAAGAAGAGGTAGCTTATCGATAACAGCCCACTCACTCTTTAATTATCCTGCAGGCCCCGCCAAACTAACCATCATGTATCACTTTGCTGCAGACGCAGTAATCAAAACTTGGAAGGTCGGGGAATAGTTTTCAACGCCCAAGCAGAGGCATCCCGCTGATATCAACGGCTCAACGTCAAAAAGGATCAAGCTCGATGTTAGCCCGGCCCTGGCTCAACTACAAGTAGGACAAGCTCCCTTGGCACATGTCTGAATGGAGCAGGTGCGTACCTCATAACACCTTGGCAATGACTATCATTCCAACGAGAATCGTGGTCGAAGATGGAGGTGCTTTCCGGGTTCTCGGATCACCCTATAAGCCCATCATGTCCAGCATGCATGGACAACGCTGCGTTCTGCACTTTCGATTTCTTCACCTATTCTCTCCAGCAGTTGGAGGAAGATGACAATGAAGTCTGCAGTCTTGGCCGCAGGCTTTCTGCTGGGATCAGCGAGTGCACTGACTACTGAGTATGCACAATTTCAAAGACTAGAGTAATCAATCAAGCTGACGAATAAGGTCGATGCTGGCTGCCCCTCGCAGAAGCACTGGTATTCTCAGTCCAAAAGGCGTATGTCATCCTTGACGGAGTAGAGAAGAAATTCGTTGCTGATTAGTCAGGATCGAGCTCTCTTCACTGAGACCAAATTCAACTGGACAAGTGAAAAATCGACGACGAGCTGGTACTTTATTGATACAAACACTGGCGAGACCACAAAGGCGCCATTCGGTAGCGACGTATCTGAACTTGTTTGGGTTGGCGAAACTGAGGACAGCATCCTCTACATCAACGCCACCAATGAAATCATTCCAGGTGGTGTAACACTCTACACCGTTGACCTTTCTGGCGACTCGTTCGAACCGAAACTAGTGGCATCGTTACACGCACCTCTATCCGGATTGAAGGCGGTAAAGACGGAATCTGGTGATATCAACTTTGTTGGTAATACTCTTGCCTATGAGAACAACGGTACTGCATACAATGAAGAGCTGGTGACTGCCCCCAAGAGTCTCGGTCGGCTCTACGATTCCAATTTTGTCCGTCATTGGAATTACTACATCACTGCAGAGCGATATGCTGTCTTTAGTGGCATTCTAAGCGGTGGTAACGGGAGCTACTCGTATGCTGGCGAGCTCAAGAACCTCTTGTCTGGGATGAACTACACTGTCACGCGACCCGAAAGTCCTGTCCAAGGTTCCTCAAGCGACCCGAGTGACTACGATTTGTCTCCCGATGGGAGCATGGTCGCTTTCCGCTCAAAGGCTCCTGAATTACCAAAAGCGAATTACACCGCTAGTTACATTTACATTGTTCCACACGATGGTTCCGAAGTCGCTGTTCAGGTCAACGGCCCAGGTTCGAGCGCGCCTGAGACTGCGCAAGGTGCATCCGGTTATCCTACTTGGTCTCACGACAGCAAGAAATTGGCTTTTGGTCAGCAAGATGGCATCGATTACGAGTCGGATCGTTTTAAACTTTACATTGCGGACATCGACGGTCTGACCTCGCAAGTCCGATCCGTAGCCGAAGACTGGGACTCTGCTCCCTCTTCTCTACAGTGGAGTCCAGACGATGTTGATCTATGGGTAGTTTCGGAGTTGCACGCTTCGAATCGGCTGTGGCTTGTGCCTGCAGATGCCCCTGCAGACTTTGAGCCCGTCAACTTCACCGGGCCTGACACGGTTCTCTCCGAATTCGCTGTACTGCCCGACGGCTCAGCCTTTGTTTCGGCGGCGGCTAGCTGGACAAGCCGCATGTTCTACACGCAATACCCCGGCCAAGACAAGAAGGTGCTTTTCACTGCCAATGAAGTCGACCCTGAGCTTGAAGGATTATCATCAGACTCTGTCAGTAATTTCTGGGTTACAAACGACGATGGAGACGAGATACAGACTTTTGTATTCTACCCAAGTGGTTTCGATCCAAGCAAGAAATATCCGCTGGCCTTCATTATCCACGGTGGCCCTCAGTCTACGCAAGGGGATAATTGGAGTGTCCGCTGGAACCTCCGTCTCTGGGCTGACCAAGGCTTTGTTGTGACCTCTACGCAATTCACAGGCTCTCCATCTTATAGTCAAGCCTTCACCGACAAGATTCAAGCCAACTGGGCTGGAACCCCGTACACCGATCTCGTAAAAGTCTTTGAACACATGCGCGACAACATCGACTACATTGACACTGATCGTGCGATAGCCGCAGGTGCTTCATTCGGCTGCTACATGATCAACTGGATCCAAGGCCATGATTTTGGCCGCGAGTTCAAATCGCTCGTCTGCCACGACGGTAAGATCAATCAAGTCGGTTCCTACGCCACCGAAGAACTCTGGTTCATCCAACGCGACAACAACGGTACGATCTGGAACGACCGCGCAAACTACGAAAAATGGGATCCTCTTGCGCACATTGCCAATGCCAGCACGCCCGAGTTCATCATCCACAACGACTTAGATTACAGGGTTGTGCAGGCGGAAGGTTTGCAAACCTTCAACATCTTGCAGAGCCTTGGTGTCCCAAGTCGGTTCTTGCACTTCCCGGATGAAGGTCATTGGGTCACGAATCGTCAGAACAGTTTGTTGTGGCATAAGGCTATTTTCAACTGGATCAGGTACTGGACGGGCCTGGACGAAGAATTGATGACTGATGGTGTTGTTACACAGTAGATCCGGTGTGATCAAAAAGATATATTAGGATAAAGTGTATCATGAAAACCGAAGACGAGTAGAGAATATGACACCGAGACATGAATGAAACGCAAAAGTATGATACGCAAAAGATCATTTTATCACGGTACCGTGAGGGGCTTTTGAGTTCCGGGTGGATATGGCATGTTTTGATCACTGTATCAGAAGGGCTCACTTGACTGTATGTCTCTAGGGGACCGCAGACCATAACATTCGTTAATAAAACTGGCCAACCCTTGGACCGCTCAGAATTCACAGCAATAGCCAAGCAAAGGCCATCAGACTGTCTCAGCAGCCTGCTTGTACTCTTTCCAAATAAGCCCCTCTGGCAGAACTTTCCACTGCAACTCCTCATCCAACACATGCTCCATCTTCTCCCACTCCGCCTTCACTTTCTCAACCCTATCGCTACTCCTCGGCACGATCCTAGCAGGAAACGGCTTCGGATGCACCAACATGCCCTCTGTCAAATTCCCCGCATCAGGCAAAACATCCTCCCCATCCCCACCTTTCACAGGAAGCACATCAAACGCCCACAACAACCTCGCAATCGCCAAAAACAAACTCCGCTCTGCAATATGCATTCCCTGACACAGCCGCCTCCCCGCCCCAAACACAAACTGGTCGCGCTTCGTCGGATCGGGATTCGCTGCCGCTTCCTGCGCGGTTTGGGCATCTGCTGCGTAGCGCGAGGGGTCGAATCGGTGCGGATCGGGGTGGCGTGCGGGATCCATGTGGATAGCCCAGACGTTCCACATGACGCCTGCGCCCTTTGGGATCTTGTAGCCCATGTACTCGTCGTCTTGGGTGACTGCGTGGGGGACTCCGAGGATGGCGGTTGGCATCCAGCGGAGAGACTCTTTGATACAGCCGCGGATGTAGGGGAGGGAGGGTTCGTCGTCGAGGGTGGGGAAGCGGGAGCCGCAGATACGGTCGAGTTCTTCTTGGGCGGTTTTGGCGACGGATGGGTAGAGTAGCATTGCTTGGACGACTGTGGTGGGTTGGGTTAGTGTGTGGGTGTAGCGGTGTGATGAGGAGGGCGAGGGGGGAAAGAGCGTACATCCGAGAAGCGTGGCGGCTGTAGTATCACTTCCTGCTTCCAACATCGAGCCGCTTATATAGCCAGCCTGTGCATCTGAGAACCCATATTCATCTTGAGCACGCAAGAGGTCCACACAGAAACATGGTCGGGCTTTGCCGTTCTTAATGGCTTGCTTGATGCGGAGCCAATGTCCTATGTAGAGCTCGCTCTCCTTCCTGTGAAGCTCCTTGGCGTATCTGCGCAGTGGAAGCAGGATATCTGGGAGAGACCGGAATATCGGGAATAAGTCGAGGACTGCGGCTGTTTGGGTTCCTATGATTTCTGAGAAGGCTGCGACACCCTAGATATATGTCAGTGAGAGTTTCCTTGCCTTGCGAGATCTATTATATGGTCGGGGAGCGCCGTAAGGAACTTCCACCGTCTCTTGACTATTTACGAATTTCTCCTACTACAGGGCGGATGAGGTAATATAGGATTAGCTCTCACGTTATCAGAAATTGTCCACATACACTATAGAGCTGCTTAAGCTTTGGATCATGGATGCTAGTTGTGCGGAATCCAAAGATCATTTGCGTCGTCAAAGAGTTTGAGTACCTGTTTATGTGATCGATGAACAACTCTGGAGTTTCTAGAAGACCCATGAGCATTGCTTTGTTCTCAAGGTCTTGGTACGGGACGTATGTTTTCGCTGCTTTGATATTGAGGTTGTTGTGCACAATCTTCCGGATCATGCGCCATGTACTTCCATACTCCTGGGAATTCGGTCAGCTAAACAGCATCTCACTGCAAAGCAAAAGTCGCAGATTTGGAGACATGAGACTTGCACGGATATGCATACCATAAGAAGCATACGTAGTCCCCCGCTCGCAATCTGTCCGATGTACATCTCCGGTCGCGACGAGTAAATGCCACTACGCTTATCCAGTAAATCTTTGACCGCTTGATCTGTGTTGAGCACGATCATCACTTTGGTTCCGAGGATAAGTGAATAGATCGGTCCATACTCCTGAGCCCATTTCTGGAATTGGACATGGGCTTTTTCCTTTGGCATCAAGTGGAGATTACCAATCAGTGGCAGGGTTGGAGGTCCAGGAGGGTAGTTGGCTGGTCTGCGACCAATTTTACTCAAGCGATAGGCAAAGAGAGCTATACACGCGAGGACTAGAGTGAAGAGTGGCACAGTCATTTTTGCGATAGAGGTGAGCCAATGCTAGACATCGACAGTGTGGCCCATGTTTTAAGTCAGCGAAGCCCCTCATGATATATCTCTGCAAGCTCACACCGATAGAACCCCTCTTCACACCTCACAATATGAGATCATGCCCTGCTCTCAAACCTTGTCATCGTCTCACACTCTATGCGTTGCCGATGCTTCCATCACAAACACACTTGCTCTGCCATTGGCCTCGACTCACATTAGTAGCATTGCCTGCCCACCCAAGAGTGATACCGAACGTCAGCGCAGATCCAGAGGACATCACAGACTGGATAAATCAGCTGGCAGCGCAAGTGCTTATACTATCCCTGAACTCTGCAAGACTCTATGCGGAACTTGGCTCCGATTCGCGGGAAATACAACGTAGAGATGAGCGTTGTGGGTAGATACAAAAGCCGCGCTTGGTGTCATTATACCTAAATGCAAGGAGCATTTGTATCATGGTTTGAGGGGTGCACTCCGTGGGACGAGAAAACTCTCCCGCGGCTAGTTACATATGCACGTCTTTGGATGACGAGAGACGAGTGACGAGTTGCATGGGTGGAGATTACACACGACGCAGACTGACAGCGGCAAGGAAGACGAATGAGGTTAGGGGATGCCGCTCCGCCCCTGTCTTTATCCCACACCCGTTCCAAAAGGAGACTGAAACTGCAGTCATAATTCATGCTCGCTGCTCGCATTATAACACTATTTTCTCGAACCATCACTGATTAGCTACGTAATGGAGGGTGATGTCGTTCCTCATTGACGAAGTGTTCGAACGCCATGTACCCAGTCTAGGCGCACTACCTGAAATTTGAGATGTGCCGTTGATTCCGTGAGACACATTTTCGATGTGAATGGATTCGGAAGGTGATTAAATCCTTCGCTGTAGCTCTAACATGGTTGTGTGGGTGCAATCGACGATCAGAACATCTCCACTGACTGCATGAAACGTTCCTACCTGAATTACCTTGGATATCTGAAACGCGAGATCAATGACACGATCATAATTCCCACTGATGAATCTTGACGAACTTTTCTTTTCTTCAGGTTTCGTCGGCCTCAAGTTTCAAACATGATCGTCATCAAGACGCGCTATCCCGAGACATCAAGTTCTATCACATTGGGGGGCTTTCCAATCAGTAGAAATGCTTTGCAAAAGAAAGGGTGGATGTTTAGATACTTTCACCACTCTTAGCGACACTATTCATTTTAAATGCTTGACGGATTTATCTTTCTGGGTTTCTTTCACTGACCTATCTTCACCCTATTCATGACCTCGCATCAGGCGCAGCTATTATACTCTGAGTCCCTTGTCAAGTAATGCATCATGGCTATAAATTTCATCGTCGAAGCTTGGACAGAGCTTGGACTCGCCGTGGTTTCAATTCTTCTACGTCTGTATTTCCGGTACACGCAAGTTGGGCTGAGGAGTTTGACTTGGGACGACTATCTTGTCGTCTTAGCAGGGGTACGTACTCCTTATGTACCTAGTCTCCATCTTGGATCTCCGCTCAGTCTAATGAGCTGTGCACCCAGATATTCTATGCTCTCGAGACAGCCGCTGCACACATTATCGTCGCACTTTTTGCAGGAATGGGTACCAACAACTTCACGCCTGAGCAGCGCAAAACTCTTGTTCCAGGGTCAGATGTTTGGAATCAGGCTGTTAACGGGTCGAAGACACATATTTTTGGATGGTTTGTGTACACCGCTCTTATGTGGACGTTGAAGAGTTGTTGGACAATTTACTACTCGCGCATGAGGAACGGGCTGAAGAGGGTGGATGTGCGGATTAAAGTGGCGTGGTTTCTCAATGGGACGTCTTATATTGCGGCAGTGTGTATGATCGTGTTCAAGTGCTGGCCGCTACATCGACAATGGCAAATCTATCCTGACCCAGGTGGTAAGTCTAAACTGCAACTTTGCATTGAAGGCCCTAAAGCTAATTTTTTGTAGATAATTGCTATCCTGGAGCTTCCAAGTTGAATGTGACATTCATCAGCGTCCTCAACATCTCCACTGATCTCTACCTAATGGCTATTCCTTTACCAGTAAGATGATTAATCTTTACTCTCCATTACACAAGCTGTCTCTAATTCGCGACTCCAGATCATTTATAGGGCTCATCTAGACATCAAGAGAAAAATCTCCCTTATGATACTCTTCAGCGGTGGTTGGATCGTCATTAGCTTCGGCATTCTACGATGTGTAACTCTAGTGACGGTAAGCATGCCCTTCTTCCTCTCCATACTTTCGTCATCCTGACTTTGGGGATCAGGTGGGCCCAACCGAGCCCTCCGAATCCGGTCAATGGTCCGTTCGTGAATCATTCCTTGCGGTTCTTGTCAGCAATGCACCGATGGTCTTCCCGCTTGTCAAAAGATGGTCTTGCGCAGCCATGGGCATTGTATCTACAACTCGAAAAAACAGCAAGGGCAGCTTTCCGCTTGATGATTTTAGCAAGTCTAGACAAAGCAAACGGACTGTTGAGAGATCTCACGAGAGAACGTCGAGAGAACACCGAATTATGCACCCCTTGAGCATACCAAATGATACTGCTTGGGGCAGCGATGATGCCATCATCACGGTAAACAAGGAAACTAATGAGAATTTGCAGGAGGATGAAAGCGGGGCAACAGCCCTTGAAGTAGTATCTGAAACAAGTGTAGAATCTTTCGCGAAAGAGCGAAGATCGCAAATGGGAGGCAAACGCAGTAGTAGCCTTTCGCCTGGTGACATTTTGATGGTTCGCGAGTGGACAACAAGTGAAGGCCAGGCGATTCCTGGACTTGATAGGCGGGAAGTTCAAGTTGAGACGGTGGGGCCAGTTGGCATGCCAGACTCAGTCGTGAGGCTTGAGGATGTGAGAAGGGTTGAGGCTATTGCATGAGGTGGAGTCACTACGGTACAAAACTGGTTTACAGTAGCCATATTTATCTAAAGTAGACCAAGAAGTGGTTTAGGTAGAAGAAGTAAACCTAAATAGGGTTTATTATACTATGTATTCCACAAAAGTAAACTATATTTATTTCTACTTCTATTAATCTACTAGTATTACGTAGTAATAACTAGTTTCCTACTAACTATTTAAGTATTTTACCCCTCCTTTCTTTAATCTTCTTCACCACCTCTATCACCACCTCTACCACCACCTCTATCACTACCTCTACCACTACCTCTACCACTACCTCTACTACCACCTCTACTACCACCTCTATCACCACCACCTCTATTATCACCACCTCCTATTAGTAAAAATATCATAACTTATTATTATGTTGTATGTGCGTATAGCGTAAAGCTAATCTTCTCTACCCCTTTTAGTCTTAATTAGGTATTATAGCGTATAATAGAAAAAAAAACACTTTTTATATTTAATTTAAACCCCTACTATAAAAGTAAACTACCACTTTAAACCTATTTACGGGTATACACGAGGTTAGTTTACACCTATATAGTAAACCCCTAGCGTACCATTCTACAGTAAACAATTTTTTACCGTAGTGAGTGTCGAAAAGCTCTTCGAATACTTCCAAGATTTTAATCGACGTTTGTCAAACGAATGAAGCCCTTTTAAAGCCTGTTCACATAGTGGACTCTTTGATCTATATTCGATATTGTAGCAGACCAGCGGAGACATGAAGACATGGGCAGGTGCAGATGAGATGCTCTAGTCGTGAGTTGCTACGTTTTGAAAATTAACAAGAGCGTTCCTTCCTAAGAGCGTTCCTTCCTCAACACCATGAATGTTTGTGAAGCTACTCCTGGTAATATCAACAACTTCGAGTCGGCCTGAGAATCAGACCTCGCCAGCAACGACCATCCCTCGCTTTTGAGTCCACTACGACGGCACTACATACGTTTTGAGACATTATTAATATAATATGGCGGTCTGCACGAAACCCGACATCGCTCTTACCGATCTACTGAGTGGACGGTTCGCCACGATCCAAGAGAACTTACACCAATATCTGAATAGCGCAAACCTTGTGATGCTGCGCGGGACATCGAAAAGGCTCCGCGCCGAGATCGACAAGTACTGTAATTTCAATATTGATGCGAGACTCAATGTGCTGTTCAAAGAACCGAAAGCATTCCGTAACTTGCAAGCACATTGCGACGCTATAATTGCCGGTCCATTTGCGAGCTATTTCTTCACACGAGCCTCCAAAACTCATGGTAAAAGGGTGATCGTACTCATATTTGCGGAACAACATCCCCTTCTCTTGCATGAATATCTTCAACAGGAGGGATACTCGGAGCAGGCCTTTGAGATGGCCGATAGACTCGTGGAGAGGTACGGGCCGAGATCATATGTCAAGATTGGAAACGAATCTGTACAGATCAGAACGCATTACCACCCTCGACATCCAGGTGTTCAAGACTTCCTCCAAGCATTCGTCTACAGTACCAACGATATGGCAGTTATCACATGGAACAAGGCCTACCACCTCTTACCCCACTGCACATTTGTCAAGAGAAAGTCATACCTACTCGCTACACCATCGTTCTCTCTGTCGAAAATGCTTCGCCGCCAAGCTATGCTAGGCCTCCAAATATGTAGCTTGCATCTGGATCAATTCGATTATGATCCTCCGTATGACTTGCAGCTACTCACCTGGCCACGGTCAATTCGGGATAAATACACATGGATCATGGACCTGGACACCACTGGAGTTACCCCGTCTAAAACGCCAGATTATGTTTTGGAATCCACCACTTTCCGTATTCGCCTTCCAAGGCTCAGTGAGCTGCCTAGGCCTCAATTTCCGATCAATCATTACAGATTATGCAACTTCTATATATTGCACTATCCTGTAACTCGACATAAATACATCGTCGATTTCATGCCAGGACGCAGAAACCGGCCAAGTCCTTCGGACGATCCCAAACTCACCTTGTTAGCCAATCGTCTTCATGATTTCACGGTCATCGAACTTTTGAAGATGGACTCGAGCCTCCTGCCTTCCCGGGCTAATGATGTTATCATGGGATTGATGGATGCCAGGGATCTTGAAGACTTTGTGCAACCGCCGAATTGGAACTTCTACGATCACATGGTTGAGCAACGTCTCGCTGAGATTCATGAGCAGCGAACGAGTTGGTGAATGGTTGCGGGAACAAAGTTCAGGAGTTGTCTGGCTGAACCTTTAGAGGAATTACGGGCAGGTTCGTCATTGCTCACAGATGGGAAGTTGGTCAAGGGCTGTCCGAAGTAAGCAGATCTTGAGCAAGCACTGCCGCCCAGTTGCATTTTTAATAAGAATCCATCAAGATTTCCTTGACTCTTTGCATTACTTAAAATGCCTATAAGTCACCATGTCTCATTTATACAGTCAGTGTAAAAACCCAAAGACGCCTATTTTATTTCGACTAGACGTGTATACCACCTGAGATCGTAATTGACTGTATACAGCATTCTTCCACCGCTGCATTATACCCAGAGGTCAATACACTAATAGAGATGTTATAAAGTAACCCACTGTTACTATTAGCGGATATTCCTTACAATTATACATCGTTAATGACCTCTTGAATACCAAAGTCGCTCCCAACCTCCTTTTTCACTGCCAATGAAAGCAGAGTAGCCGTATTTTACCTAATGTATGCACGAGGTCATTTTATGGATGGATAATCACATCTCGACATGATGGAGCGTTTCATTTTATCCGCGACGCTGTGATGTTGATGAATCGAAGCTGGTTCCTGAGCGCAGTTGTTTGCATTATCATTTTGATCACGTGGTATACGGATGCTCTCCAGGTGCAAGGTGTTGTCGTTGGCCTACACAATGGATTGACCCTATCTATGCCTCATAGTTAGTTCGAATGGAGTTGAATGAAGAAGAATGCTTGTGATCGCCGTAGCACTTCTCCGCCTGAATTGTACTCATGATATCTATTACTTACAACATTCATCCGATCAATCCTGGCATAATCATGGAGGATCATGGGCATGGCCCAGCAGTTGTGGATCTAATGCCTCGCTTATCTTTATCGGCGACCCCTGTCATAGATCTAACTCAATCCATGCAAGGGTCCAAATTCTAGGCCAGGCACAACCAAATTATCGTCTCCCACATACGCACGTCTTTCTTTCACTCACCGCTCAGGAGCACGAAGAGCAGCACTACGAAGAACATGTCCATTCTACGATCATTCACCTTAGGCTCATGTATAAGGGACATACGAAAGTGACCATAGGCCCCTGCCTCTGTGTATACTATACAGACATCAGCAACTGTTCGACATAGGAAGCTGAACAGACAAACATCGCCAACGCCACTGCGTGCTCAAAAGTGATCGAATAACTCACCAGTCAGCCTGCTAATAGACTTGTCATTACTGCCATGGACACCCTAAGCGACTACTCGGCTCCTGCCACGGCTAGCGACTCGGCACCCAGCACCTCTCGACGGTCATCACTCTCCCTTGCGCCCGCCAGCAAATCGAACGATACGCTTCCCATCGGTGTCCCAACTTGTTCACTCTTCGAGATTCGCCAGACACAGTTTGCGGGTCGTGCCGTATTCGCAAGTCAAGATATTGGTGCTGGCACAGTGATATGGCGGTCAGACGACCTTACACTCTCTGTGTTACTACGCGAGTACAGGCGGGAGGTCTGCGGGCAATGCTTCAAGTATGATTACGGCCGTGATCTAGAGATACGGGACAAGGATGTTGGATTTGCTTTCTGCTCGAAAACATGTCGAGAGAAGTGGATAGTAGACAATGGCGAAGTCGGAGTGCAGGCTTGGGCTGCGGTGGAGAAACTCACAAAGGGACGAGGAAAAGAAGATAGCGAGATGGTCGAGCTCGATTTGCCGCGGCCAAAATCGAAAGATATCAAGGAGGCGTGGGAGACGGTCGCAGCTCAGGCTGCGCTGATTCGGATTGCCAGAGAAGGAGAGGGTGACAAGGGTGATGGGGAGAAGGGCGCGGTGCAGATCACAAAGCAGCACAAGAAAGCACTGCAAAAGGCGTTGCAACAGCAGATAACACCAGACGTCATGACCTTCTGTCTCGGTGGTATTCTCTGGCGCTATCACCACGCCGCAGACTGGCAGCGAGTGCTCGCTCTTGCGGCGGACGAGACGCCGTATCACAGCACTGACGATCTGGAGGCATTTACGAGGACGTACGTCGCTCTATTGGCCATTCTTCCTCTCCCGCTGCTTCCTCTTGTAACTTCTGAGATGATCTTCACGCTATCGTCGCGCGATTCCCACAACTCTTTTGGTGTACGCTCGCTGGAGGATGATGGATCCGAGTTCTTTGGATATGGTTGCTGGCCCGCGGCAAGCTACTTTAACCACTCATGCCATCCAAACGTGGAGAAACAGAGAGACGGGCGGGCCTGGACGTTTAGGGCAAGACGAGCGATTGCCAAAGGGGACGAGCTGTGCATTACCTATCTCAGCGGAGAAGAGCGCAAGCTAAGTCGGGCGAAGAGGATGCTGAGGCTGAAGAAGACGTGGGGGTTTGACTGTTCGTGCGAGAGATGCGAGGCTGGATAGCCATAGTAGTGGAGAAGCTGATGGGAGAGGTTCAAGTTGCAACGTACATCTCCCTAGCCAATGATGTAACGAGGTCTTGGTCCCATTCTTCCCCGAGCTCTCCTGGTCGGAGATCTTGAAGACAAGCGGGGACTGTTGTTCATTTCCGTGTCCTTTGGTGCGTATAATGCCTACCGAGGGCCAAGACGAAGCTGCAGCGTCACAGACTTGCACATGGCATAACCGTCTCCACGGAGATTGCCTTTATTAATAAAGTATAAACTGCGACTGGTGAAGGATAGACACATGGTAAAACTTTGATCGACATTGCCGGCAATGCACACACACAGACACACACAGACACAGTCACAGTCTGACATTGCCAGTGGAGAGAGGGAGACTACAAGAATGATCCTTCTCGGATGCCTCACTCGCTAATAAACACACTATGAGGCCGATTATTGGGCAGCAAAACAGTCGCGCGTGATGCCATTTCCATGTTTCTCAGCTGCGGGGGGGTTCTCCCATTTCCGCCGAACTCGCCGAAGCCCCATGTCCAGTGGGTAGGTATTTACTGTACAAATATACTAGGTATCCTGGAAGTGTTGCGCATCCAACCAAAAAGGCTTTGATAGCGGCAGTATGCCAAGCACGCACGCCGAGCGCCCGAGGAGACTGGAGTCTGCATTTTCATCTCGTGGCCTCGTGGAATGGATGGATGGTTGGGGTTGGGGTAGGTGGATGCAAGTAGGGTTGATTAATTGACATGGTCGCTGCAAACGTCCGAAGTGTTTTAGGCGTGGAGGCGGATAGGCAAGGATCAACCGACAAGCGTCCTGTTACTGTCCTGATGGCTATTCTATTGTAGTAGAGGGTACTACTCTACCATGGTGTGTACTCTACATGGTGAGCGTAGAGTACTAGGAAACCTTTTTGTGTGTTTTTTTTTTTTCCCCCCCACCGGGGAAGGGAGGAAAGAGCGGTTTAGCTCAGCCGGGCCCCTCAATCTTTGGGCCCCCACCCCCCCCCCCCCCAGCCGTTGGAAGAGAATCCGGTAAATCCAAGGACGGGCTCGGAGCGCGGCGAGGCGAGGCGAGGCAAGCCTGGGGTCCGAGGGCCGTGGTGGTGGCAAAGTGGCTGTATTGGTAATTGTACTACTACTACTACAACTACTACTACTACTACTCTACTACTACTACTACTCTACTACTCTACTACTACTACTACTCTACTACTACTACTACTACTACTACTACTACTCTACTACTACTACTCTACTACTACTACTACTCTACTACTACTAGAGAAGAGCACTCTTGGCCATGCATGTGGCAGACTGATGGCCGGGATCCTTGCTGACTTGCACCGAGGCCTGTCTGGCCTGGCTGCTGGGTCCGTTGGGCATTGTACGAGCGGTGGTTGAGGAAGAGGAGGACAGGGCAGGGCGATGACACGGCATCAAGGGTGGCGTAGGGTGATGGGCTGAGGGAGCCTCTTGGAGGGAGCCCATTCAGCCCCATTCAGCCGTTCAGCCCATCAACCGCTGCAGCAAAACCCATCCTACTACATAGTCCATACCTACTCTACAGTACTCTACCTATCGTGCTGGGAAGAACCATGCCGGGGCACCCGCGGCGTGTGCGGCCACACTGGTCATGATAGCATGCGCGAAGAGTCAGTCATCGTGCACGCACTGGCCGTGGCCCATGACAAGCAAAAATCATGTCCTTTGCCCTGTTGACACTTCTTTTCTGCAAAAGAGAAGCCAGGCAAGCTGTTGCACTCGTTCTTCCTCGTTTACTGTCCAGACAGGAACAGTATACCCAAGGGAACAGGACTGTACCTATTGCATATCCTCGTCGACCCTACCGCTGCTTCTCCGCCCCTCGCCGAGCCCCGAACCCCAGTCGGCCTTCCCCTCCCTTTTTTCCCCCCCCCCCCCCCCCCCCCAGCATTTCCAACGTGCTTCGCGTATCTAAGACGGCCGAAAGGTCCGATTTCACCACGGAGACAAGGGCAACACAATATTGGAAAACGGCAACCTCTGCAGCAACAACAACAACAACAACAACAACAAACAGCCATCCCTACTGCGGCTGCGGCTGTGAACTGATTACCAAGCGCCCCTTGCCGTGAGCTAGGTAGGGCAGGCAGCCAACTCTCCACCCGTCACATCTCCACCAAAGCGGACTTCACCCAACGACCGAGGCCCCGGCCTACGTACTTGCGGTATCACGGGCAGCTACGCCATCTCCTGTTTCGGTTCTGTGTACATATCGTACAGTACAATACAATACAATACACACCGGAATACCCTACCATCCTCGATCCCAGCCCGAGCCACCCGCGCTCTGTCACCCATGCAGTTTCCAACCTCGTCTTCTCCACGCCGAAGACGCAGCAAGATGGCACCTGTGATCGAGGTAAGAGGCCTTTTTTTCTCCTTCTCTCCTTCTCTCTCCCTCTCTCCCTCTCTCTCCCTCCCCCCCCCCTCTCTCTCCTAGTCTACCATCTACGGTACATACACAGTACATGTGCACTTGCGCGCGCCACTAGAGGGCTCCAGCTGTCTATGTGTGTGTATGTGTGTTCCATAGGTGAAGATTTGCGACTACTACGGGTACCACCAGGGGGGGAAGGGGGCTGCGAGAAGATTCTACTACAATTTTCCACAATTCACACCTCTCTCTTCTCCCCACTCTCCTCTCCTCTCCTCTCCTCTTACTTCCTCAGTTCCTCTCTGGGAAGAAAGGGGAGGAAGAGGGCAGCGGACAAGCAAAGCGCATGATGATCTCGGCTAGTAGTTTGGATTCCGATGCGGCTGGTGCAGCTTGTTTGCGATGCCGTCATGAACCTGGCCCGAGCGTCCTCATCTGCTGCGTCATTGCACTCTCTCTTGTTCTGGGCAACATGGCTGCTTTCTCCCTGCATGACCTTTTCCTTTGGCCTGGCCTGCTCCCCTCCCAAAGTCACACACTCCCTCCTTCCATTCCCCATTTCAAGTCGTTGATTCGGTTTTCCAAAACGTCTGCAATAGAAATCCCCTGGTCATCTGGGAACCGCTGCTCTCCTACACATACACGCTTGCACTCGGCTGTCCTCTTTTCATCCTTCTTTCTTCTCGTAGCCCGACTTTTGCCCCATTCACGTCGCTTGTCGACGACGACGACGACGACGACGAATACTCACCCCGCCAACTGTATCAGTCGCTCTCCAGAATTAACTGCCAGACACATACACACACACACACACACACACACACACACACACACACACACACACACACACACTAAACATGGCTGCCATACAGAACTTCAAAAACTTCCTGCGCCATGGCAAGCAGGCCCGCCAGAACGCAGAGCCCACCACCAACGTCTCGCCCGTTCACGCTCAGTCGCAACAGCAACGCCACCACGCCCCTGAGGCCGTCCATCATGGCATAACCGAGCCCGCCATGGACCACAAGCCACTGCAGCACGGCGCCGTCCCCCATGGCGACTACTCTGTCGGTGCTGGCGCCGGCGACAACCGCAACGTCGCCGCCCAAGCGGGTGATGCCGCAGCCCGCGCAGCTGGCGACAAGCAGAAGCGCGAGGCCAAGCAGTCACAGGTCGACCCCCAGGTACTGGAACGCATCGTGGCGGAAGAGCGCGAGGCCAAGGGCAAGCTCCCGAGGTATCCTGGCCTCGAGCGCTGGACCCTGCTTGAGAAGATGGGCGATGGCGCTTTCAGCAACGTATATCGCGCACGAGACACGACTGGCCAGTGGGGCGAGGTTGCCATCAAGGTCGTCCGCAAGTTCGAGATGAACTCGCAGCAGGTTAGTGGACCCCTTCATCCAATGCCCCCTTCCTTGTCCTGTTCCGTTACATCGTTCACTTGCCTCCCCTCCCCCGTCTCGCTCACTTCACGTGCACCCTTTCTGGCTGTCTTCTTGGACGTTACCAACGCGCGGCCGGTCTAGGGCGACAAGCATGTCCATCCGGACTTCAAAACGCCAAAAGCAGCCGAGGTGCGATATAGATTCTATTCAGTGTTGGTCCGCGGCGCCCCGTCGTTGGCGTCCCCGTACACTCATAATCTCCTTTTGCATGGGTAGCGCAGGCACTGACGTAATGCCCTTTAGCGAGCGAACATCCTCAAGGAAGTACAGATTATGCGCCAACTTGACCATCCCAACATTGTCAAGCTCATCGATTTCCACGAGTCGCGGCAGTACTACTTCATCGTGCTCGAGCTCTGCCCTGGTGGCGAACTGTTCCACCAGATCGTCCGTCTGACGTACTTCTCCGAGGACCTTTCACGGCACACCATCATCCAGGTTGCCAATGCATTGCAGTACCTGCACGAGGAGGCTGGCGTAGTACATCGGTTCGTATCTCAGTAGAGGGTTTTTGTGAGTTGCACCTACTGACGTCATGTGACAGTGACATCAAGCCTGAGAATCTGCTATTCTACCCCACTCCATTTGTGCCCACACGCAACCCCAAGCCAAAGGGTCCGGATGACGAGGAAAAGGCTGATGAGGGCGAGTTTGTCAAGGGCAAGGGCGCCGGGGGTATTGGTCTGATCAAGGTCGCCGACTTTGGTCTTAGCAAAGTCATCTGGGACAGCCAAACCATGACGCCATGTGGCACGGTTGGATACACTGCTCCCGAGATTGTCAAGGACGAGCGGTACTCCAAGAGTGTCGACATGTGGGCTCTAGGATGTGTGCTCTATACACTACTTTGTGGTTTCCCCCCATTCTACGACGAGTCTATCCAAACCCTCACCGAAAAGGTTGCCCGTGGTCAATACACCTTCCTGTCGCCATGGTGGGATGACATCTCGAAGCCCGCACAAGATCTTGTATCGCATCTCTTGACTGTCGACCCAGAAAAGCGATATGACATCAATCAATTCTTGAACCACCCCTGGATCCGCGAAGCCAACGAGCCCACATACTCTGCCTATGACGCACCTCCTCTTGCCACCCCTGCAGCGCTCAAGAAGGACCGCCTTCAGCCAGACTTCTCCTATCTCGAGTCCCCCGGCGCCCGCCGCATGGACTTTCGGTCGCCCGGTGCCGTCAACCTGCGCGAAGTCTTTGACGTCGGCTACGCCGTTCACAGACAAGAAGAGGAAGGCAAGCGGAAGAAGCAGTTCAAGCAAGGCTACCGCGGCGCCAACGCCATCAACTCTCTCAACGCCCTCGATGAGAATGAAGACGACGATGAATACGCGGCCGAGTCAGCCCCGTACGAGGGATCCTCGCAACATCCTCCTGCCAAGCTACCCAAGTCTCAAGCCAATGATGTGACGTCTGTTGAGCAGAAGATGCACAACACGACTCTCTCTGCGGCAGCACAGGCACGGCAGCAACCACGCCAACAGGAACGCGGTTATGGTCAACATTCGCCGGCTGTAGCGGCGGCGGCAAAGCGCCAGGTGAAGAACAAGGGGGCATTTGAGCTGAGTTTGGACAGTGCCACGCTCTTGGGCAGGAGAGCCAAGAAGGCGCCTGAGCCGAGCAGTTTGAGGAACGATATCAGTGTGGGTGGGACATGACAACCAACTGCGCCCGAGGTGAACTTGCAGGCCTTGGGGCTTGCAAAGGACTGGTAAAGGGGAAACCATGCAAGGATGCGGATCTGGAGAGGAGGGAGGATGGAAATAGCATGTTTGAATTGGGAATCTCATTTTGGCGTCTTTTTCTTCTCTCTGTCCCCTTGCTCCTCTTCTTCCTCTTCTTCTTCCTCTTTGTCTTTGTAGTCTTTGCTCTTTTTCCCCCAGCCCACCCGTTTTCCCTTGTCTCGTAGGGCTTGCGAAATGATGTGTCCCCCCATTCTGTGCCGGTTGTCGTGCTTCTTTGTCGGACATCATGTTGACGGGTGAAATGGTGTATGATATTGGAAACATTGGATGAAGGTTTTGATGATGTTGAGGTGTGTTGTGATGTGATGTGATGTGATGTGGGGAGTAGACGTTTTGGGAGTTGGGAGGATGGAGGGTGGAGATGTAGGTGGGGGGGAGGTGGATTGGGAGATGTGAGACGGGAGGTGCGAGTAGCAGAAGTAGACAGGAATCAAAGGGCGACACTTTCCAAGCCTAGCCCATCTCCACAAGAGTGAATGCCCTTTTTTCTTGGTTTTCAGGTTTCAGGTTTTTCTTATGTATATCGTTTGTATTAAATCTGTGGTTGTTGTTTTTGCCCCCCCCCCCCCGACCCCCCCACCCCCTTTTTTCTTATTTTTTTTTTGCAAGAAAAGTTGGCTAGTCGTGTAGATGTGTACTGCACACGACACGACACGACACGACACTGCACACCATCCACACCCAAGACCAAGACCAAGTACAGAAAACAATGCAGAAAAAGAAAAAGTATAGTATTCATCCCGTACAATCATCTACACGTCCCTCTCTGCTTCACCCTTCACCAAGGAAAATGGATGACTTGAAGTGAACATGGAAAAATATGCAATGAAGAAATAAAATCACGCCAGTACTTGCATGGCTGGTCGATCCTGAATCAGGATCATGACACTCTAGGGAGATATGGGGGGGGGAGAAACAGAGGTCAAGATGAGAAAGGAGATGGAGATGCGCACATTGATTCCGTGTTCTTTACTGTGCTGAAAGAAGAAGAAGAAGAAGAAGAAGAAGAAGAAGAAGAAGAAGAAGAAGAATTTTGAAATTCTCCCTAGTACATGCATATATACGATCAAAGGTACTCTATCCCCATTCCTACTCGCATATAATCTCTAGAATGTCACCCCACACACAAGCCATACAATTCGCTTTCCCTTTCTTAGACATGCATCCCTCTATTATCCGCACAAAAACACAAATATACAGATACAAGCGACGCACACCCTACCGCTTCGGCAACGGGCCATTCGCCATACTGAGGGGCATCAAGCCCGCCGCGCCCGAAATCGGTGTCTGCGCGCCCGTGACGGGCGTCTGGGGTGCAGGTGTCGGCGCGCGACTGGGCACGTTACTGCGGTTGTGCGCCATGTGCGCCTTGACCAGGTGACCAGCGCACAGCGCGCTGTTGAGACTGAGTTCACCGGCCAAGACACCGGCTGCAATGACGCGGGCGAGCTGGCGTGCATTGTCACCGGGAGACGTGGGGTGAGCGCCGCGGACGCCGAGGAGGTCGAGCATGGCGGATTGGGGCTCGAGAATGGTGCCGCCGCCAATGGTGCCGACTTCGATCGAGGGCATGGAGACGGAGACTTGGAGGTCGCCTCTTATGCTGTTGGTTTGTTAGTGGGCTGGTTCCTCTGCGGGAAAGCGAGGGAGGGGGGAACATACTTGTTCATGATGGTAATACAATTCGCGCTCTCAACGACCTGCGCTGGATCCTGGCCCGTAGCAAGAAAGATGGCGGCAACGATATTAGCAGCGTGAGCATTGAAACCACCCATTGCACCCGCCATTGCGGATCCAATCAGGTTCTTGGAAATGTTCATTTGCACAAGGTCTTCCACCTCGCACTTGAGTACAGATCGGACGACAGCGCCGGGAATAATGGCTTCGGCAACAACACCCTTACCGCGGCCATCGATCCAGTTGATCGCCGCAGCCTTCTTGTCGGTACAGTAGTTGCCCGAGACAGTGACGACGCGCATGTCGTCGAAGCCCGCGTCGTTGGCCATGACGTTTAGAGCGTGTTCGACACCTTTGGAAATCATGTTCATGCCCATGGCGTCGCCAGTGGTGGCGCGGAATCGAACGTAGATGTTTGTGCCTGCAATCGCAGACTTCATGGACTGCAGGCGGGCAAAGCGGGAGGTGGAGTTGAAGGCATCCTTCATTGTTCGTTGACCTTCGTCAGAGTCGAGCCAGTTCTTCGCGGCACCTGCTCTTGCGAGACTTTCGAATCCGATACAAGGTCCTCGTGTCATACCGTCACCAGTGACAACAGTGACAGCACCGCCACCAGCGTTGATGGCCTTGGCACCTCTTGATGTCGAGGCAACAAGCACACCTTCAGTAGTGGCCATAGGAAGGAAGTAGTTTTGGCCATCTACTAAAATGGGTCCAGCAACACCAAGAGGAAGGGGAAGGTAGCCGACCACGTTCTCACAGCATGCACCATGGACAAGATCGTAGTTGTAGTCTTTGTACGGCAGCAGCGAGCTTTCCAAGAGTGTCGAAGTCTCACGAGTGGCGTGGGTGCGTGAAACCAAACCACGGCGGATCTTAACCGCACGGGTCTTGTCGCCGAGTGTCTTCTCGAGAGCATAGCCTGGAATTTTACCCCTAAGCGACATCTCCACAAGCTCTTCATCAGTCATCTTAGGCGCTTGCTTGTCCTTGATCATCTGTTCCAGGACTTCAATTGGGCGGTTAGGTTGTCTTTGCTGTTCGTCAGTGGGTCCTGATGGGATCTCCGTCATCAATCTTTGTGGCGCGGGTCGAGTGGTCAGAGGCTGTACAGCCCGGGGTTGGTCGTCGGGGCCAGGTGTACGCGGTGGTGTTGGCATATGCATACTAGGCACACGCGGAGTCGGAGGTACAGAGGGGGCCCCATCCTGGACCTCACTAGGTAGAGGTGGCTCGAGGGCCTTGTGTGGCTCCTTGATCGTCCAGCGCGCTGCGTTGAAGAGATATCCGTTGAGGACAACGCTCATAACGAGAGCAAGGACGATCCACTTGCTCAGAAAAGGGTCTTCCAGACTCTTGAGCACGCCGTCAACAATGTGCGAGCTAATGTTGGATCCAAAGGCCGACTCGTTGGTAATGGTGGGTTCGGCATAGTGGACCGAAGGAAATTCAAGCTCATACTTGATGGGCACCAAGACAGTCACCGTCGTGGAGGTGCCAGTAGTTTTGGCACGCTCCAGAATGAGGTCAAGGCCACTTCCGGCGACCTTGAAGGGATCCAGAGGGGGTGAAGCACTCACGCCAGATACATGGGATACCTGGCTCGGAGAGAGGCCAAAGCGGAGCGTTACTACGTTGAGAACGTTTACGAGGATGAAACCTGCGACCATGAGGACCTTGAACTTGGGTACAGTAATCTTCTTGCCAAACGCCGTCGTAGTGTGACTCTGAGCCTGGATATCGCGCGCCCTGGGCCAATCGTTGTTGCGGGCCACGCTCTCGGCGACCTTGCCGTCGACACCATCATCTTCTAGCGCCCTGCGAAGGGCAACATGGCGCTTGATACGGTTGATCTCCAACTTGATGGTGAGAATTGCAGTGTAGAAGGTCAACAGCATCATAGCGTCAAACAGAAGAATCCAAGCACCGAGGAAGCAGAACTGTCGCAGTCCTCCCTGGATTCCGGACATGGCTCCAGCGACCAGGATTAGAATCTCAAAGAAGTAGTCGCGGACAATCTCGAATCCAGTCCTCTTGATCGCAGTCTGCACAGCCGACTGGATAGTGGAGGCTTCGCCGCGAGACTGATCCGAGGGTCGGCGAGCGTCCAAGGAAGCGGAAAGAACAGCCTTGGTGAGCACGATTGGTTTTTCGAAGCCGATAATAACAACCAGAAAAGGGAGACCCTCAGACAACAAAATCATGTTGATGGGCACTCCCATGTATGTCGTGACTGCGAGACCGAAGAGGAAAGCGAAAGCCGATTGGAGTAGGACAGCGGCAGCGAGCCAGAAGTTGGATCCTAGGCGCCTCATGGCAAGAAACAGCGAGACAAAGGTCAAATGCATGGCCAGATAGCCCAGAGCCATGATGACGATATCGCCGGTATCTGCGTTCTGCGAGGTCAAGTATTAGTCAAGTCGCACGTGCGGCGGTGGTGCCATGCGCAACAACGTACCTTGAGCAAGTCGACAAAAGAAGTCCACGAGTCGCTGAACCAATTGCGCACTCCTCCAGGCGCGGCACCATTCTTGGAAGCCCTCATCATCCACTTCTTCGTCTCGTGTGTGCCTTGATTGACAAAGCCATGCGCCTGTGCAGTCTTCTCGGGCGCGGACATCTCCTGCATGGCCATGAGGAAGTCGGAGGCTTCGTCGTAGGGGACCGAGTAGGCAAGCGAGGTATCGTGGGACAGGGTAGAGAAGGAGCTCGATGAGCTGGGGAGGAGCTCTGCGGAGAGATTGCTGGGGAGCGTCTGTTGCGACGGGGCCGAGTTGATGGTACTGGAGTCGGGAAATACGAGGGTGACGAGGGCGAATTCTTGTGCCGCCTGAACGGTGTCAACAGAGCCTGGTTCCTACCGTGTTTCTAATTGCATACCTTTTGCGATTGCCCTTCTGTCCTGCTCTCTTCAGCCTCCCATTGCCATGACGTTTCGGCTCCCACTCTCAGCCTCTTGCTGCCCGCCAGCAGTGTCTGCAGGTCCACACCGCCAGTCGCCTCCTCTATGCCACTCTCCAACAGCCCCTTGTCCAGTATGCCGAGGTACGAGTAACTGGCCAGAAATGCGATGGTGACGATTGTGTGGATTGGATGTGTGCACGCCTTCTTTGCGACAGACAGCAGAAGAGGCGAGACATGGCGGTCGAACCAGTTGGGCGCCGTCTTCTGGGGCTCGCTGGAGCTCTGCCAGCGGCTTGTGAGGTAACCGAGCATGTCGAGGCGGCGGTGGAACTAATGTGCGATATAGCGAAAAGGGTCCCAGGGGTTTCTATGAGTGCTATTGCATGAGGTGACGCGGAGGCGTGGCTGAGCCGCAGCGTAGACTGTTGGACGGGGAGGCGTGTCTGAGGCGGAGAAAGTAGTCGAAGGGGGGTACCGGTATATGGCTGGCAGACAGAGTGTTAGTTTGCTGGTGGCAGCGGTGTCTCCACCATGTCGGCTTTCTCCAACGCCATACCTCTTTCCCTACGGTAAGACAGAAGGTCGCTCCTGCCGAATCACCCAGTCTCGGGCAATCTCCTGCTCTTTGCTGCGGCTGCGAAAACTGCAAAGACAGCAAAAGAAGACTCAATCTCGCAAACACAGCTGCAGCGACCAAACGACGAAACAGGCCCAAAGTCGGTCTGGGGGAGGGGCAGCTAGGAAGCCGTATCGAGGTATGTTCGGCGAGAAGTGCAAAGTCGCACCTGGGCCGGGCCCTGTTGGCCTTGTGGAGTCGGAATCTTTTCTTGTCGGCAAGCCCCTGCCAAAGCGTCGGTGACTTTTTCCGGCAGCGCTAGTCCGCACTGGTCCTCACCGCTTTCACCCTTCACCTCTCTTCATTCGATGGACGGCCGAGGACAATAACAACACCACCACCGCCATCGACACAAACAAAAGGGCGCCAACTGGGCATGCGTACGCCTTCCATTGTGCTCTACTCTCCTGCAGTCTGTCACGCATCAATTATCGTACACCTTCGAGAGTGGCTTTTGCCTTTTTGGTTGAGCCTGGTTAGTTGTTCACTTGTCCAGTCCTTCACTCCTTGAGGTGCTCCCAGGGTGGCTGGAGCAGCGCCACAGCCCACGACGCGACTGGTCAAAGTTTGCCAATGAATCGCGCTCCAATCACCTCGACGCATCGACAGAGGCAACAAGATGATCTTCAGGGGACACCAATCACATTCAAACTGGCTTGCTTGTCTGAGCCTTGGAGATGTTGAAATGTTCTACCCAAGTTTGTCATCCATGCACATGTACATTTCAAAATGCAATCTATTGATTCTGTTCCCTCTAATGTGATCAACACATCGTGATACCAGGATCCCCCAGATCTCATCCCCGAATTTCGACATTCATCTAGAGCACATCAACTAAACAATCCTCTCTTCATCTTTACCTCTCCACAGGATTACTATACCATTTCGTACGCTCTCCTGCATTTCTCCGACATACTCATATCTCCCCCAGTGACCTCCTTCAAAAACTCCTCATCTGCCCCATACAACATGACATGAAAATGCTCCACGGACTGCACACTCTTCAAACTCTTCCAATTCTTAAACCACGCCACTTCCTTTGCTTTCCCTCCAAACACCCTCTGCACATACTCGCCAATCGCCCGTCGAGATGCGGGAGTGCATCGACCAGTCACGGGGTCATCTTCAAGCTCGAACTTGGTCCAGACGACCAAGTGTGTTATGCTGGGCGAAATGCCATAGGGCCAGTCGTTGTAGAGAATCTTGATGTCTTCTGTGTGTAGTGAAATGTATCGTTAGACAATGTGTCCATGGAAAAGAGGAAGAGCAGGCACTCGCCATCATATTCAAAAGGCCCTCCCTTGGCCGCCATCGAGTCCCATTTCAGCCGCTCTTCTACAATGAATTTCATGACACTGCCATGTTTCTTCACCAAGTCATAGGTAAATTCTCGATACCGTCGCAGTTCGCTGGGGCGTCGCTGGAACTTGTCTACCTTGTCCGTTTCTATTTCAACATCTTAGCACTAGGATCGATATCCACATCCACGAAACGTTCCCCAAATCCCAGACCCATACAACAAGGAAGCTGGATGGAGATGGGACGCGGCATTTGTCTAACTTACTAATGATTTCCTTGACTTGCTCCCACGTCAGATTCGTATACTGCTCATCAGGCGTCCCAATGATACTGCGATCTTTCTCTCCGCAATTCCTAAGAAAGTCGGGACATGTAGCCGGCCACTGCTCGGGCGGGACATTCACTTTCCAGAATTCCAGCTGTGTGCCATTTTCCTTCTGCTGCTGTCCTTCTTGCTGGCGCTGGCGTTGTTCTTGTTGTGCTTGGTCTGGTTCGCTGACGTGTGACATGCCCTGGTCGATTTATCCCGAAGAGCCGGGAGCCGTAATTAAACAAATTGTGGACTCTGTCCAGAAAGAAAATAATCTCCGATGATGTAACAGCCGCCGCACTTGCGAGGTTGCATGGATGTGAGTTTGGGATTTGTGTTGTTCTATATGTAGTGACGGAAAATGACTGGTGATGCGACTGTACCTCTGGTCGAGGTTGGAGCGTGCAGGGCTAACTATCAGATTAGGAAGAGGCGGCGTGCTGTAACGTGCGCGGTCCTCTGTGTGAGTTGCAAGAGTCATGTTTGTGACTTTAGCGGCGGTGTTTCAAAACGTGGCAGGCTGTTTATCGATATGAGGGTGATTCTGTCGGTGCTCGATAACAGCATGCAGTATTTGTTGCCTTTGTTGGTGGGTGCGGTGGAGTTGTCCAACATGACCACGTACATGTACCGGTACCGGTACGGTAGTATCACAATAGGAGCATATAGAGCATGTAGGATACTAAGACAAGACTTGGTGCACGACCAAATCCCGCCGGCGCTCCACCGCTTTTGTATCCTCCTCCTGCACTTGCTTCTGCAACCTCAAGACACCACAGCAGCGATATCTACTCGATACATGCTCAAACACCAGAACCAGTCCCTGGCAGGTAGGCACCGATAGCAGGCCTGACCCTTCGGTTCTCTTGAAACCCATCTACCTTCCTCATCCCACATCACATGCTCCCATCTCCACGCGTTTTTAATTTCGGTACTACGTCGCCGTGCGTCTCATAGATCCTCCTTCCTTGCAAAGACTGGGATGACCCCAACGGCACTCCCACAGCCCTACCGTGGCCATGGTAGGCTGATTGGCACATTCCAAGATCATTGCCAAACATCCGGACGCCAGGCCCCCCCTTCAGATAATACCCAGGACCGGCTTTTCTTGCAAAGACGGCCATGGGGGGGGGGGGGGGGCGAGTGGAAATGTTCGTCGGTTGTCGCGCGTGGGCTGGAAACTGGAACATGGTGCACAACGCCTTGTGATGCCCGGCACTGGCCATCCACTCGTAATCATACCGATTATACCGCACTTGCCTAAGTGTATAACCATTGATCCGGCTCTTAATACACCAATAATTCGGCTATTCATTGATAGCATACGGGAACTAGCCAATATGCCAAAAACTTACAGCTTACCCAACGCGAGTCTGTGAAAGCTTGTGCTTTTGCATGGTGTTACCTAAGTAGTGCGAGGTAACTGTGTACCATTCCCAGGTGCTGTGTGACTTCTCCTTCACTACCATTTCTCTCTTTCTCTCTTTCTCTCTTTCTCTCTTTCTCTCTTTCTCTCTTTCTCTCTTTCTCTCTCTTTTTCCCTCTCTCCGCCTGTTCCTTTGTTGTTTGCGCCTTGAAGAGCTGCCTCTCCCTCCCTTCGGACCAGACAAAGCTGCTATTCACCTCAGTCGCTCCTTTAGCTTTCCACCACAGAATACATTGTGGTCACTGTAAGTCGAGTACTACGTTCTTGCCTTCCCACGTCGTACAGCGGATCAGCTGGCACGTTTGCGTGTCACCAACAAGGCTTCTCCTCAACACAGCATTCCAGGTGACGCAAAGCCGCAATCGATTGAGGGGTTCTGCGTGGCTATGTGCGCTTTGGATATCTACCAGTTTTAGGATTGGCTCTCCGCGGTTTTGGATGTGACTCTGGAACGGACACAGCATACCTAACCTACCGATGGTATCAACGATCGACTGTACCTAAGCTGGTCTTCCTTCGATTCCTACGCCGCGGGCTGGCATTCACTTCGAACTCTTATCTCGACTTGATTACAAAAAAATTCACTACCGTGCAAACGGGCGATTGCCTACACCTAGCAATTTCATTCACACAACCCTCTTCCTGCATAACTACACCATACCACACCACACCAAGCGAAGAAATCGCACAAAAACAATGACAACACGCGACCCCAACTTCTGGAAACGCTTCAGTGTCGCCGTCCACCAAGACGAACTTGCGAAGACCGAAATGAGCCAACAAAACACCAACAACCACTGCGACCTAAAGCATTCGTACGTCTCTTCCTCCCGTTCCTCTTCTGCGCCCACTTCGCCCGCACCCGCTTCACCCACATCGCCCACATCCTTGTTCTCCCCGGTTCCCAATGCCCTCACATTACCACTTGCATATCCCACCACACCAGCACAACCATCACTCTCCCAGCCCTCCAACAACGACGACAACAACAGAAACACCAAACCAGCAAAACAAGACCGACAAAACCCCCGCACAACTACATCTACTACACCCCCCAAACGCACCAAACTCCAAAAAACACCCTCTCAGAAAACCCTCCTCCGCCCCACACTCACCCCCCTGCCCTCTTCAAACCAAAAGCGCACGTCAATATACACAACAAGCACAAACACAAACGCAACCACCACACCCCCCACCCAACCCAACCGCCCCCCTCCCCTCCCCCTCCCTCCTCCCCCATCCCACAACCACAAACCACACCGCCAATCCTGCCACCCACCCTCACCCTCGCTAAACCTCTACAACCGTCCCCCCTCGCGCTTCAAGTTCTGGACCACCATCTCGGCTGACGCCCCGCGCAGGGATTCTTGGCTCGAGAGCCAGAAGAAGAAGGCGAGGCAGCGGGCCTGGATGTGTTGGGCGTTTTGGGGGGTCGTGGGCTGTGTGGTTGCGGGCGTGGTGGTGACGGTTGTGGTGTTGGGGCGGAAGGGGGTGTTGTGAGTGGGGTGGGGGGAGGAGGGGAAGGGAGAGAGGGAGATGGAAAGGAGGAAGACAAAGGCAAAGACGACAGGGAAATCATTGGATTGAGGGACAGTCGAGCGTGGTGACATTTTTGAAGCAACGAGCATGGTTTGGAGTTTTTGGTGGAGTTTCAAAAGCCTGTATATGCATCTGCGATGCTTATCTCAGGGGCTTCTTCTTCTTCTACTTCTTCTTCTTCTTTCAAGAAATTTCACCCGCGTAACGGGGGCGGGTTTGTACATTTCCTGCACCTCGACATTACAAACACCACACATATCCCTGCACCGGACTTTTTTCATGTATATTCTCCGCACGATACCAAGCCATCTACAGGGCTGTCAGACCACACAAACAGACAAAACAACAAATTTCTTCTTTCCCTCGTGTCAATCTCGCAAATTTTCATTCATGGTATTCTCGAGTGAGTGCCATGGCTTTCAAATGCAAGCTGTGAAGCAACCTGTTTTTGTTGTTTGAGAGCATGGCCGAAAGAGCATGGGTGTAGTATAATGTTTGAACTACCTACAGCGCTGTCAGCGACGAGCTTCTTCTTTGTATTCTCGCAACTGGACAAAGAAACGGGGCATACCCGAATGCTACCATGAAAAAAAAGCTGAAACCCTGGCCATCGCGACGCTAGTATGCCGGATATTGGTAACGCCTAAGACGCCACTTTTACATATATGAAAACCTTCTTACGCTTCTTTCCAGTACTTTCTTTGACCGTAGGTCCAACGCTTTCCAAGCTGTGTGCAAAGAGTGAAGTGACGGGTGCCGTGTCGCATGCTCGATGAATCGACCCGGACTTTGTTCTCTCACTGTTAAAGTGGGTGAGTTTGCGCAAATGACAAAAGCCTCTTCACGTCGCGAACCAATGAACACCTATAATCTCTTTGCTGGCGGTGTGGGGCTCCTGCTCATGCTCCTTGGATCACGGCCTCTCTCCTTGAGCCACTTGCGCGTGCACATGTCTAATTCGCGCTCCAGTTCCGGCGACGGTTCCTTGCGATGAATGAAGTTGCAGAAGCCGCCGCGCACACAGCCCTCGCCACTGTTGAGCCGACAGCAGGCCTCGCGGAAGTCGGTGACGGGTGAAAGTTCGCAGTAGATGGGGCGGCCGGCGTACCAGCGGCTGTTGAGCGCGTCGCACGCCTTCTGGCTGTCTTCCTCGTACTTGAAGCGCACGTAGACGTTGCCGATGAGGTCTGGGTGAAACAAATCAGTCTCAGTAATTGAAGTGGGACTCATGATGGGGACAGGCAGACATACGATCATTGTTGTTGTCGCAAACTACCAACTCCTCAACCAGTCCAAACTGGCATAGCTCGCACCAGATGTCCTCGTAGAAGGCGTCAAAATGCATCTGCATTTGCTGCGCATTCATCTTGTTCTTGGGATCGTAGGCTGGGTTCTGATACAAATTAGGTAATAGGATCGTCTGACTGTAAGATGGCTTGACGTGTTTGCGCGAGCAGCGGTCGCCGTGGCGGCAGGCGCCGATCTTGTAATAGAAGGAGCAGTTGACCTTGTCCTGCTCCGTACCGAAAATAGAGGCGAGATAGTTAGCCATGGTGTCAATGTTGTAATCGCTATCGGGTGGTGAAGCGTCGTGAGCAGTTGGACACAAGCGAAGTTGGGTGTCGGAGGTGGTGGTGTTGCGCGCGAGGTAGCAAAAGTCGCGATGCGCGAAGCTCGACTGGCAGGCGCGCTAAATTAGCGTTGTGCTGACGGAGCTGTTAGAGCGGAAGGCTCGAGAATTTCAATCATGTTACCGTATTGGACGTTAGCAGTCAGCAGTAATCAGCCAGACAAGCCAATCAAATCTGAATACGATGATCCAACACTGGGACGATTCGCCACACTCGGAGCCGGTACCGTTTTAAAATTACGTTGCCACCAAGCCATCCTCAAAGCTCTCCGGATAGTTTGACGGACAGAGATGTCGTTAAGAAAGTAAAAGTGCTGAAGCGAAAGATGCTTATATAGAACGTCTCGGTATACTGTAGAACATCATTAATGCTCAGCGCAATCTACTGTTCTGAGGCGAGTCCGTAACGGAATCGAGCTACTTAGAGATCACGTTTGGGTAACTGATAACTATATCACTGGCTCCAAATTGCATGTATTCATAATTCTACGAGGGGCAGGAATCAGAATAATGCACATTTACTTGTAAGTCCATTTTGATAATACGAACCACTGGAATCTTGGTAAGACGACGGCCCTGACGGCCCTTTGCGCATGATGATTGTACCTAACATCAGTGGGTCGACACAGTCATCTTTCTTACTGTTAGAACGTGTTGCTCCATCACAAAAGCGTCGAAGTCATCCATAACTACCTGGACTGGAGCACAGGGCAGCATCTCAATAAACAGACTACATAGTAAGTCGTAAGAGGCCAAAATTCTTTTGCTGCTCGTAGTTTTTTGTTCAAGACCGTAGCCCCATCGTTCTCCTTTCTGGCGGCGAAAGACATGAGTACCTCAGATCAAATCACCTTTCCTCTCTCAGCGCTTGATCAGCGCTTACGTCGACTGGAGTCACTGGACACCGAGGAACCGCATGTGGATTCCACAGACTGTCGCGTGACGCTCCACCATCGCAACCTTCTTCAGGCAACAGGGGGTATCACCATGAACTTTGAAGCCTCCCGACAAGCTCCTCAAGCATGCTATTTCCTACCTATCATGTATATGGCTTCTTATTGCCGGATAAAATCTCCCAAAGGCGCATGACAGGAAATGCGGCTAGCGGCGTAACCATCGCGGGGGTTGCGGCGCGAGCACGAGTCAGACGACGAAGATGAGGCTTAACCTCACCGCAGCTTGCCTTCATGCATCCACCATCAAACAACTCACGTAGTTCCCAGGTTTGAATTAATGCGTAGGTGTGGAGGAATGCCTGGTTTAAATCAAGCCCCGCCAATATGACCACCACAACAACGACTCAGCACCGATTACCGGTCAGACAACTGGTCATACTCTGTAAGATGTTGACTCCACTACTACCTGTGCCCCATCATATCTAGTCCAGAGCCTCAACGAACGACGTGCTAACAAGATCTGGTAGCAATATGTCGTTTCGCCGAACCCATAGCCCTCACCTCTGTCTTTCCTTACATGCCAGAACTCATGGAGTCCTTTGGCATTCCCGAAAACGACATCGCCCGCTGGGCTGGCATCGCATCCTCAATCTTCTCAATTTGCCAGGCTTTCACAGGCCTCATATGGGGCGCCGCATCTGACCGTTATGGCCGCAAGCCCATCATTCTTCTTGGCCTGTTGAACACGATGTGGACCATGTTGCTCTGGGGATTCTCTGTCAACTTGCCCATGGCGCTGGCGGCGCGCGCACTGCAGGGCTTGACGAATGGCAATGTAGGCATTCTGAGGACAACAGTCGCAGAGCTATGTCCGTGGAAGGAATTGCAGCCCAGGGCGTTCAGTGTAATGCCGCTCGTCTACACCGTGGGCGCCATTTTTGGACCGACATTAGGAGGCGCACTAAGTAATCCTTTGAGAATAGATCCTAGGAAGCCTAGAGGAAGCGAATTCCTGGAAAAGTTTCCCTATGTGCTACCCAATATCGTGGCAGCAGGTTTTTTTACGATAGGGATTGTAATCGGATGGCTTTTTCTCCAGGAGACGCTAGAGACGAAGAGAGGAAAGAAAGATCTAGGTCTTAGAACAGGAGAGAAGATTACACAATTTGCGAGGAAAACTTTCCGCTTAAAGAGGAGAGAGAAGTGTGGTGATGGGGAAAGCGAGCCGCTGTTAGGTCAGCGAAAGGTGGATTCTGATACGCCAGGCGATTCAAACCTTGTGGGCGAGGTCAACAAGAAGGCAAGGCCAACAGTACGAGACGTGTTGACGTACCAAACGACATTGAACCTTATTGTCTATACGCTCTTAGCACTATACACGCTCGCTTTCGATCAAGTACGTCCTTTCTTGTCTAAGCACCCTACCCACCAGCCAGCTAACCCAACCCAATCCAGCTTCTTCCAGTTTTCATGCACCACCCTCCACAGTTCTACGGAGACCCCCATAGATCCCTGCCGTTGAAATTCGCGGGCGGTTTTGGTATCGATTCACGCCGAATTGGCCTTATCTTCACAATCTTCGCCATCAGCTCCACACTGTGCCAATTCTTGATATTCCCACCCACGGCTCGCCGTCTCGGTGTACTGACATGCCTACGAATAGCTTTCCTTATATTCCCATTCGTGTTCTTTGTCACGCCCTTTGTCTCGCTCATCCCCGATCCCACGGCCCGCGAGGCTACAATGATTGCATTGCTCATGGTCAGGGGTGTAGGAGGAACTTTTGCGTTTCCAACGAGTACGATTATGCTTACGAATAGCGCGGCTAGTTTGAGTGTACTCGGGACGATCAATGGGCTCGCGACTAGCGTTAGTGCGGTGGGCAGAGCAGTGGGACCGTCGATTGGAGGCGGCCTTTTCACGTGGGGTGTTAAGAGAGGGTATGTGATTGTGCCGTTCTGGACGTTGAGTGCGATCTCGTTGGTGGCGGCTATTCCTACTTTCTGGCTAGTAGAAGGCAAGGGGTTTGGTGGTGAAGATGACGTAGTAGACGAAGATGAAGAAGAAAGCGTGCTACAGGTGCAGAATGTATGGAGAGGTGGAACACCACAACCGCAAAACGTACGCGACATTGAAGAGACAGCACTGTCAGAGTCGGAATTTGGAGAACCAGCGGACATGAACATCCTAAGCTACTGTTCCACAAGGTCCAGTGTTGCGGCCATATCGGAGGATGGCAATGAATCTAGCGATGCAGAGGAGCATACTGGGAGGAGACGATCAAGTCATCTGGGCAGTGTCAGGAGTGCTTCGCAGCAGGGCAGGAAGAGAGGTGTAAGAAGAAGAAGTTCAGTGCCGATCGGGATGGGGAAGGGCTTTAGGAGGTATAGTTCGAATTTGGGGAGTTCAGGGGTTGTTGGGGGTGGAGGGGCGAGTTGGGGCGGGACATGAACTCGAAACTTTGCAATCACGATCCTGGCGTCGTGAAAGTATCATTTGAGTCTACAGAGCATATAAGCTGCTCTGATGGCCAAAAACATGATATGGTGGCCTAGATCACATTAATCACTGGGTTGGGTTCGGCCATGTCGAAACGGGGAGCATGCACTTCAATTATACGCTTTGCTTACTTCAACGCCACTATTCGGTACATTTTACAACCGCATTTAGCCTGTTCATGGCGATCCAATGGTAATAATGCTCCATACCGTTCGACCAGCTGAACTTCATACCGCGCGGCTGTACAATATCGAATCAAAGTATGACTTCGCGCCCTCTTCGCGGCGATTCACGCTATGTCTAGGAGATCCAAGGTGCAAGGGAGTCATTATATGGGAAGATCCGATTGCTCGACCTAAGAGCGGGTCTTCACTCCGACGTCTCACCCCTATCGTACCGGCTGAACACTTTCAGGCTACAACTATTCCGACCAATCACATGAGTGAATCACGATGCATACACGACGTGCATGCATACCTCGCTGGGGACAATTCGCTGACCATAACCTCGGAATTCACCACGTCAAATAGTGAGTATATACCGTTTTACAAGCAATACGTCCAACTTACCCATCCGTTTTCCAGACCATATTGCGGCCATTAAGGCTCCCTGCACCCATGGGGCCCCACATCCCTCTTCTCACAGCGAGGTTCTATGGCCTGATATACGTATCTATCTCCTCTGTCTATCCGAGTTATGATGGTTCGCTGGATCGTGATTTCGAAGACTTTTCTCTCCTCGTCCTAATTCCCCGCGACATGTAGCCCGGCTTTGCGTGTACATAGCATGGCTTCACCATCTCCGGCGCCACCTGACCCTCGTTTCATCCTGGCAGATCCCTCACCTGCAGCACAGGAAAATGCCCGCATCTTTGTTGGTACAGCACTTGGACTACATGGTGTTGCGGCGCTTGTCTTTGGTGCGAGAATATGGATTAGGTGTTTTCCGACGTTGAGACTACACCTAGATGATTATATTTGCGTATTAGCTTATGTGAGTTGGTATACTCTTTCTCATTTGCTCATCCAGCATACCACAATGGCTCCTCCACACTTTAGTATATTTCTGCATTATATCATGCTACAGCAAAGAAGCCTCCACAAAGCAACACACCACTGACATCACTGCCAAAACCCAGTGCCTAGTCCTCACAAATTCCGCCCTCCTCCTTGCCGCTCTACCTTACACCTTCACTGGCAGTACCGAGACTTTCACCCTCACCGACGCCCAACTGGCATTTAAATATGCCACAATCTCCCAACCCATATGGGCATGCTCCATGGCCGCCATCAAATCCTCCTTTGCACTAACACTCCTCCGCATCCAATCCTCCTCTCGCCTGCAAAATTTCCTCTACCTCATGATCGCCATCCAAATCATCCTGGGCATATATAACACCCTCGCCACCCTCCTCCAGTGCATCCCCGTGCGCAAACAATGGGATCTCCTCGGCACCGTACACGGCACATGCTGGAGCAAGCGCACCGTAGGCATAAGCAGCATCAGCGCCGGCGTCATCAACATAGCCACAGACTTCATATTCGCGCTACTGCCACTCTCCTTCCTCCAGCATTTGCGACGCCCGTTGCGCGAGCGCGTACTCCTCTTTGTCCTCATGTCGCTCGGTGTTTTTGCGGGCATTGCCTCGATAGTGAAAATTGTGGCTGCAGCGCGGTTTGGCAGCACAGGCGACCCGGTGAATGAGTCGGTGGGGATAGGCATGTGGAGCCTGATTGAGGAGTTGGTGGGCGTGATTGTGATTTGTGTGCCTTGTCTTAGGAGTTTGTTTCAGAGGTTTTTGGGGTATTTTGGGGTGTGGGGGAGTCGAATTAAACATGCGACGCACAGTAAGGGATACGGGCGGACATATGAGCATGATGAGCATGTAGGGGTTGGGGCCAAGGTGGAGAGTAGTCGCAGTCGCAGTCGAAGTCGGCTTGCTACGATGCTTAATCCGGGGGATGCGGATGCAGAGAGTGGGATCCGGTTAAAGGTTCTGGGCACACAGGAGGATGAGGATGGTGGTGGGAGTGGAGTTTGGAAGGATGAGGGGATGAAGAGGGGCGAGATTTGGTGCACGAGGGAGGTTAGGGTTGAGAATGAGATTTTGGGACATGTGCCTTCGAATGAGCATTTAAGAGGGGGACCGCAGGCGGCCTGGGTTGACGAATCATTTGATATTGTAGATGCGCCGAGGTTTGGGAGGGCTATTTAATGAGGGTGGGAGGATCGGGGATAAGATATGACTGAGAGAGACAGAGCGACCATCATGCTTTCAGTACGTATGAAAGATACGAAATGATAGCCATATGAATTCACACCATTAATTAAGAATTATAAAAGTGATTTGGTGATGAATTCGAACTCAGCCAGGTCCATTCGCGTACTGCTTCCTCTATCTCTAGAACCGACATGCCACGCCTGATGAGCTGGCTGTAGACCAACATTCACATTTAAGTACGTCTTTAAGATACGATTATTCTTGTAGTGCAAGTATTAGAGGGGATCCGGTCAGGAAGAGACGATGGTGAACAACAAGAGACCGGATTTAGAGGCCCCATGGCCAGCTGTGTCTGATTATAGCATTCTAGGAAGACTTTTCGAGGTAGCTTTATGGAAGAAATCTAGATAGGTTATAGGATGCACCAGTTCTGGCTGGTCTTTTAGTGAAGTGAGTGTCGTACTAGTCAGATGACATGGGAGGCAAGTAATTATTTCTTTAATCCATGTTAAAACACCTCTAGACCTTTGCATCGAGAGATAATAGATTTCTTAAGTAATACAAAATTCGACGTAAGTAGTTCTGAGGTGTGTCAATAGTAATATATATAGTCTCAAGTCGTCATTCACGAAGCACACACTGATGTAATTTATTGAAAATTGGATCGAACGGCATGTCAACACGAAATGGATGTTCAACCGCCGGCTGCATCGCGCAATAGCTAGTACTCAACACCACAAGAGGATTTTACTCGGAAAAGAATGTAACATCAAATAGCACAGCTTCAATCTTAAGATAGGTTCATATTAGGCTGCACGAGCTTTTTTGGACGATGCTGCACCTTCGCCTTTACTGTTATTCTCATCCTCCCTCGCACGCTTGGACTGCTTCCCAGATTCGCCATTCTTCTTTGCATCACCAGTCTTCTTTGCCTTTTCTGCCGCAATAGCGAAACTGAGGCGAATTCCCTTAGTCTTGTTAGAGCGCTGATTCGTCATTGCCCGCTTCATGAGCTCCGTAGGGTTGCCTAAAAGTGACCAGAATCGCTCGCCCTTCATGATATCCGCACAAATAGTCTTGGAACACTTGAGATATTCGCGAACAGCCTCGTAGCGGTCATTGAAGGTGAAGTATATTGTCTTCCGATACAACTCGCGGCGGCCGGAGTCGTAAATGGGCTTCTTCCAGCCTTCTTTGTGGATCTTGGTCATTTCAGTCTATTGAGTGTTAATTATGGCGATGCAATGAGTGGATGGCTATTACTTACAACGAGCTCGTCAGCTGCGGTATGCAACTCGGCGTAGGTGTAGTATGTGGCGTCATCCTGCCACCGTGTGATGAATTCTTCCGTCGTATTCGACTCTAGACAACCCTTGTTGTTTCGCATTGCACTGACTAGGCCACTGACATGCGTATCGTGCTGGTTTTGAGAGTTTGGAATGCTGGGATCGTCAGTGGGATGGAAGAGGGTTTGCCTTTCTCGACTAGCATTATTTCTAGTCTTTTTCTCTTCCCTCATAAGTCGGTTGGCTCTACGAATCTTAGAATGAACGCTTTCTCGATCTATGACAGAATCACTTGTGCTATTATATGCGGTAAAAATTGTTCCGACGGTGATGTCGCTATTCTGGTTTGTCTTCCTACCTAGGGAAACGCCAAGTGTGGTGAGAGATGCGTTATTCTCATTCTTTTGGGTCAGTTCAGGCCCATGATATCCTACTAACTTCCCTTGACCGGCCGAAAACATATCTTGAGGTACTCTAGATGTAAAAAGAAACTGGTTTCCGGTTCTTCCGGTTTGATTAAGATAGTTGGAGAGTCCATGATCGCCAACCATTGTCCTTGTGGAGGGTACAGCGCCGGCAATTGAGCCCACTGGATTAAATTGCAGTTCACGGTTAGGATCTTGCCAACTAGTGGTATTGTCATAAACGATGCCGCTCGCGTAGTTCCCATAGTTATTGGAGTCTATATAGATTCGGGAGCCTGGTTTAGTTTTGCGTATTGTACTCTTCTTGTCACCGAGATCACTGTCATAATCCAAGATGGCATTGTTGCGATCAATGACCGGTATTGATTCATTCGAAAGGCCAGGTTTCAGATTGCTGAAATCCGGTAGGAGGTCCAAGTCATCGTTTTCGCGGTCGATGACGAGTTCGCCCGCAACTATGTTGTTCTTGTGGACTGCCACAACTTGACCATTTGTGTTATTTTTATCATCCGTCTTTCGATGGTGGAGCGCAGCAGTGTTCTGCTGGACGGCGCGAGATTCTACAGTATCATTGCCGTCCGTGTTCAAGGGGGCGGCGAAAGTGTTGTCTAGGCTGCTGAGATGGCCGGCGTTCTGATCATAGACCCTAGAGGCCCCAAACTTCATATAATCGCTATAGTCAAAGTTGCTGATATCAGGCATACCTAGAGGTTCAGTCAATATGTAGCAATGGTGTGGGAGGGATCGTCGCACTTACCAATCGTTGGCTGCAGAGTGCCAAAGACGTTGATGTCAGTCAGCCATGGTAACGATGCTACATCTAATTGTAGACTGTCTACACTGCCAATGGACTCAGGTGTGCTACGCGACCAATCGACCGGGTCAGAAGCTGCCGCTGTTTTGAACTCCATATTGATATAACTGGGCTGCTGCATAGTCTCCAGTTCTGACGAGCGATACCTGGGAGTTCCTGGCATCTGAACGAGCTTCTTGGTATGCTGCTTGGAAGTTTTCGTCAAAGGGGATGTAGATGCGCCTTTGACGATGCCATTTTGTGAGGATGATGCTCTACCGTTGCCGCTGTGTGCCCAAGGGAATCCCGACATCGCGTGAGTCTGACTTATCTATTGAATATAAGGTAGAGCTTAATGCTGATTGTTACAGTACTTGGTTGTAGATTTGTGCAAGAAAATAATGTTGAGAGGTGAAACTGCAGTGGTCCGCAGCACCGTCAGTTTATAACTACTGCGCCAGCCGTGAGACTCGAAACTTAGCTCATTCTCGCAGGGCTCCTAGTGAATTATGTGTCATTATTTCCATTACAGTCCTGTGGTTTGCTTAATTGCACATCTGTATGTTAATAATGCTACGCCAAGCTTATACTCTTTTACTTTTGCCCAGAATTCGCACATGTTGGATATTTCCAGGTCATTCTCCGTAGTGAGCTCTCCTCAGTTTCAACTCGTCACTTTGTTCCATCGTACTCAGATATGCTCCTGCGTGATTCTGGTGTGGCGTTGTTGCAATTGAAACCAAGCAATAGCATCTCGATGTTTATGATAATAACAGGATGTGCAGAAAGGTTCGTGGTAGCTCGAATAGTAATGTGTATTTCTACAGGTATACGGATAGTTCTTTTGCTGGTACGGTGTAAATGCTAGCGACGTTAGACTCAATGCAGTGTAAGCGTGTGGAATGAGATATTTGGCTAGCTGCATTATGAACAATGGACAGCCTGCTGTGGTGGGTATAAAGAATCCCTAATGATGATTCTTTTAGAAAGAGGATGAAAGAATTCCAATGACGATTTGCAACATGGTAGGGAGTTTACACAACTATAACAATATTATTTGCAGTAAGAGAGCCCGAACGCCACATAACAAGAGTAACATTGTTGCGTCGCCGGACAACCGTAGTAAGGGGATGTATGCTTGGGAGAGGCAAGGGTTTATGCAAAAGTGTATACGTGTAAGAGTTGGGCGATTTGAGGGCCTAAAATTACTATATGCTGACTTGAGAAGCTTTCTTGAATAACTCTTTTCCGTGGTTGGGTCTTTGTTTGGTCATATGCTGAGTGCACGAGATCCAGCGATTGTTGACTCCAAGAGTGAAGTACACTTACATGCAGTACCGGTAGATCTGATTCCATACTTCAGCAATGCTGTGAAAGCTCAAAAATAGTTTGTATCGTTCATTGCACTATTGCTTATTCCAGGCTTGAATGCTGTCGTGTAACTAGGCGAAGAAGTAACTCCAGCACATATAGCCATCTTGGAACGAAAACCAAGCCATGAAAATTGCCTGCTACTTTGCTTCTTTCATGAACTCTTTAGTGGTCGAAACTTGACGTTCGGATTGAGGTGAGACCCTTGTCACGCTAGGCAGGTACCGGTAAGTAGGTACCGGTACGGTACCGGTACCAGCGATCATGTGTCAAGCCCACTTCACTTATGCCACGCACCTTACACGCACCTTGACGTCTTTGCATTCTCCAAGCCGCGTTCACTTTAAGCTTCACTGATCGACATCGTGTGTTCAAGTGGGTACATTCAAAGTACATTCAAACGCCGTTGCGCAGCCATTGACCCGAGCTGGAAATCCCATGCCGCTACCGGTGCTGAGGGTACGAGCCGGGATTTGGTGGATCGGATACATGAAATTGTTAGTTGTATAAGCTCGACATCCTCTTGCAGGATTTGCGATAGTATAAGAGCCTGTGTCTTACTCCGGAGCCTCTCATCTGTCGGTATCGCGATACTCGTCCACGGTGCTAGCAAGCTGTGAGAAGCGGCCGATCTCGAAGCCTTGCCAGGTACTGTCAGATGTTGGTAGTTTTCCACAATATCTTGGTACGGACACTATTGTAACTGTGTTAAGCAATCTGTAAGTCCTCTGTTTTCAGTTCTCTGAATCCCCAGGACGACTTTGACGAGATTCGCTGGCAGGAATGGCTGCTTGAGACCGGCGCAGAATGACTGGTATGTGGGGCGTGGATGCAAAAGGTGGAGTTTTTGTTTACCATTCACACTCCAAAGACGATCATGAATGTGAGAATTTCACAGCTCTATGTACACTGCTCCACGAAAAGAGGTGGCTCTGGCCTATCTTACGCACATTACACGAATTTGTAATTAGCAGTAATACTTTGATCGGATTCCGCTGAGTAGCTATGAAAATACGCGTGTGACTTCTTCAGAGGTGTACCGGCGGTCAACCGGCCTAGCGCTATATCGTTTGTGATGTGGATACTTCACCTCGCGACTTGCTTTACCTTTCCTTCACACAGACTACCGCCCATCCTGATTCAGCCTTAGTTTGATTCTGAAAGCCCCCACTAGGTATATATATGAGGTCCTCGACACGTGTGCGTGCACACGACCTTCTCTTCTTACATACCTCACTGCAGCTTGGATACCACTTTGACACTTTCTGTCTTGCTCCCAGATCTCAAATATTGACTTAAGTTAGGCAGCAACACTCGTGCGCAAGGATTCATAATCTTAAACCCCGATATCGATCACGACGGCACGCACTGATGTCCGGTCGTGACAACATGGCGGATCGTAGTCATGGCTCCACATCCAGGAACAGGCGTCCGCCCCCAGTGATTCCTCCCTCTTCTCTAGCTGAATCTTCGCTCCCGACAAAGCATTGGCGACTTCCACACGATTTGGCGGCGCCGTCAAGGATCAGGCCTCTCACATCTCAGTGCCTTTATAAGCCCAACTACAACGTCAAACAAAACGGTCTTTACTTCCAGAATGCAGGAGAGTCACAGCGCTCAATGTCCAGCTTTCAGTGGCTGCCGCCTACCAATGATGTTTCCATTCCGCTCACCGACGAACAGGATTGTCAGGTCGTAACAGAGATTGTCGATGCTATGAAGGACATGTCTAAGGCAAAGGACACAGTAGCAAGTGCTTATCGCAAGCGCTTTACACCTCCGGAGCACTATTATCAGGATTGGGCAATTGAGGCCTGCGCTTGGGATGTCCTCGTAAGTATTATACAGGCTACCTTACCAATGTGTGCCTTGGCTAAAGATGTGCAGCTTCTCGCAAAGCAGATTCATACTGGTGGTTTCAATTCTCGCATCTATGATTCCGCGCTCATCGATGCCATCGGCGAAACTCAACATTGGCATTTTGAGGATCGTATTGGATGGATCTGTATGGCTCTTAGGGTAATTACTACTGTCAACACGGCAAGGAGAGTACCAGCTTACTTAATAACCAGACTTCGAAGAACGTCGCCGTGAATCTCTTGGTAAGCACATAGTAACATTGGTCTGCGCGCAACGCCTAACTGACCGTGTACCAGAAAAAGGAAAAGGTCATGACTATTGTTGGCGCACCACACAAGCTCCATAAGGCCACTCTTGTCAACACAAAGTCTAATGCCAACCGCGGTATTTGGACCGCTAATGGCCGCGATGCTGATTTAGAGCATCAGAATCGTCCTTTCAAGAAGCGGACCGATGAAAATGGCAACCCACTGCCTTTACCAAAGCGACAGGTACCGATCGACAAAGATACCGAGGAAATGACACGCAAAGGCAAAAAGCAGGCCAAAGTGACCAGCAAGGATGGGACCACACCAAGTAATTATTCTAATCTCTTGAATTCGAATGACTGTACAAATGGTATTGAACTAACACTACTACAGCTTCTCCACTTCTAGAGTCGTCTCCATCTCCCTCTCCACAAGCTACGAACAGCCCGTCCTCCCACACCCACACCCATCGCACCTCTGGCTTTCACTCGACTTGTGACTCTTTAACAACAAACAAGGAAGTTGAAACGACCGATCAACGCATCACGAGCTTTTCACTGGCCGCCATCAACGATAGGATTGGATCCAAATCTCGGGTATACGGTCACGAAAACAGCCACCTCATGGACATCGAAAGCAACTCTGTGGGCGGTGGTGATAATCCTCGAAACTTGAATCCGGAGGGGCACAATTCAAGCAACGTTTTCAATATGAAGAGTCGTTCCAGCGCCCACGGCAAGGGAGGCGTTGGCATTGGCGATCTTGGGATCAAAAATGCTGCATTTGTTGACAACGTCACTGCTAGCATGGCTGCTACCTCATCCTCCTATGCATCACCCATGACAACTCCCGTGATCAAGACTGAGGATACTGTAGAGATGCCCGATGATGCAGATATCGATGATGCAGTTATCGACGCCGCTCATGTTCTGACTTTACTGCATCGAGGTTCTGCATCATGAAAGGGACCAACGTTTGCTCTAATCCCACAAATCACCGGCTTAGTGTCTGTTTGACCTCCGTGGGTCAAGGCATGTGCCGAGCTGACTATGGATTTATCATGCGATATGACTGCGGACTCGTAATACAGAGATGGCATGTCGATGCTTTTGCATGACGGTCTGGGTGTTTTCTTGAGCTTCTTGGTCCGCTGCATGCAGCGAGTGCACGATATGAGCCTTTCTCTAATGACGACTTCTTCTGCATCTGCTTGCTGATTTTAATATAACCCCTCTCTTTATTTGATTCTTCCTGTCTGTGTTGTGACTGTTTCTTCACATAAACTTGAATTTTGTACGTGATATCTTGGGCACAACCTGCAATTTCCAGTGCTTACCGGTAGTAATTTGTATTCTGACAGCAGTTATCGAGTATGTGCATAGTGACATGTGCACTTGGTTTCACGTGCGCCCTGAATCTCTCTTTCTTTGAATTGAAATCTTGTCCTCCTTTGCTCATTCAAGGACATTGCTCAGTTATCAGTCAGCCAATTTGCGATTAATGACAGGCCAATCCTTTGTTCGACTTTCAGCGCACGGTGAGGGAAATTTGCTAATCCGCTTTGCCTTTCGACAATCCCAAAACTGCGGAGAAAGAATTGCTGCGGCTTTTTGATCGTAGGCATGTCAATGGAGGCCGCGCAACCTTGCAAAAAGTGGGCGGAGGAGCGAAAACGCGCAAGATATCGTGCTGGGCGTCTGGGATAGTCATGATTAAATATAGTCAGTGGATGGGCGTCAACCTATGTCGCACTGCGACAGTACACATCTGGAGCATTGCATCTGGAACGGGGCAATGCGCTCCAATGAAGTCTCGACGTTGTAGCTTTGCGGGAAGGGTCAGCGTCCAATCAAAGCCGACCAGCCTTGCGACCTGAAACGTAGCTGATCGGCGGTAAATCTTCACTCCACCTCCCGACTTTCACTTCACCAAGAGACTCACTTCCCGAAGCGCCTTGTGAAAACACCATCGCCTATCACTGCGTGGTGCGAGGCCCGCTTCCAGACGTTTCGATGCTTGGACGTTTCCAGCCTGTTGTACCTGGCCGCCTGGACTTGCTTGGACGCGACCCGCACCCGTTGACTCCGTTTGCCCTGGCGGAAACATGTTCGGTCATACAAACGGCTCGCTTTTAACATTTCACTACCATAATGCGTTGCCCCATATCAATCAGGAACGGAGAATGACATGCCATGCCATGCCATTTATGTGGTGCCCAATTCCCGTTACATGCCGTCGATTAACGGCACGCGACCTCTTGCAACACCCCCACACAACCCGCTTCCATGTCTAATGCTTCACTAGTGCAGCCTTGCGAGAACTGAAGGTACCCAACATATGAGAAAGATTCACGCCGTATTCACGGGAGGCTGCATATGAGCGCGCTACGCTACGACTATGCGCCGGGAGCCAAGGCAGCGATACTGGCGGCTACAGCTTTGGCCAACGTTGAAACACCGACCCGACCTCCATGTATAAGGCTGCAAAAGCTTGAGTAGAAGTCGCATGTGGTGGCTTTGTGTTTCGATGGCTCTTGTGCGCCCCTCTCTATTGGCTACCGTTTGTCGTGTCGTTCTAGGCCTTAGGTGTCACCAACATGCTCAGCGTTTGTCACACCGGGCCCAGGCGCCTTCATATGAACTATATCCGCGTAGATCTCGAACACGTACTCCTCTCACTAAGTTGCGTATTCTATTCCTCTGCCCGTCCTTTGCGATTGTGTTGTTTGGGGCGCGCGCTGTTACAGCCGAAATTCGACAAGTCACTTACCTTACACATTGTTGCCTTGAACAATGGTAGCGTAAACTTCCTGTTGAAGACAAGTCAAGCACGTGAGTCGATATTGTGCGCTCACGAAGTACTTCTGGAAAGCTCTCACTTCACTATTTCTTGGGTTCCCATAATCTTCTTCAATCTTTTCTATTCCGCAAGCTTCTCATCGGCAGTTTTCTAAAACAACTTCACCGACAGCGACTGCGCTTTTTGCACAAGGTTCTAGCTTCTTCAGCACACTGTTTCGCTCTTGCAGGCCAAGATCACTAGACCCCCCGACCACTACTCTCAGATATTCAACAGCACAATCAAGATGCCGAACATCGTTAAAGCAACACTTGCCGCGCTGGCCGTCGCACCCCTCGTCCTAGGACATACCTGGATCGAGCAGATGCGTAACGTCAACGATAAGGGCGAATACGTTGGTCAGTACGGTTACTCGCGAGGCATGGTCTCCAAAACCGATCCTGAGTTTACCGGCACGTCTATGAACTGGGAGCTTCCTGCCGGACAAGGCAAGCTTTTCATCGATGAGACCACTCCCCTCTGCCACACAGCGCAGCGCAAGCAAGTCCAGTCTTCCGAAAAGTACCCTCGTCTCCAAGCTACACCCGGCGGCTACATCGCGATGCGTTACCAGGAGAATGGACACGTCACCAAGCCCGGCAATCAAAAGGGCAAGCCCGAGAAGGGTGGCACTGTCTTCGTATACGGTACCGCTGAGCCCGATGAGAACGAAACTCTCCTCAACGTTCTTCAGTGGACTCAAGACGGCCAAGGCGGCAACAAGAAGGGCGCGCTTATCACAATGAACGACTTCGACGACGGACGATGCTACGAGACAGACCCGACCAACGCGATTTGGCAGGAGCGTTCCAAGGCCATACCGAATTTCGCAATGGGCCAAGTTGTGGAGGGAGCACCGGGAAACTACCCTCTCGCTTGCGAAACCAACGTTCAGCTTCCCCAAACTGCTGCACTGGACAAACCTTACACCTTCTACTGGGTGTGGCAATGGAACACCGCTCCTGGCATCGATCCTGGCCTGCCAAAGGGCAAGGATGAATACTATACCACCTGTATCGACGTCGATGTCACATCTCCAGATGTTGCACTGGCTGCAGAGGCTAGCCAGAAGTACGCTGTTGGTCAGCAGGACGCCATGTCCAAGGCCGTGTCCGACTATAATAAGCGCACTGCTCTTATGACAGACGTCGTCAAAGGCGAGGTTGGTCCCATTTTCTCGGGCTCTCCCTCGGGCTCTCCTTCTGGAACACCGGCTCCTACTGGCGCTCCCAGCCCTGTTAGCCCATCCGTACCCGCCAATACCCCTGCGCCTACTGGTGGTGCTTCTTCACCTCCGCCTCTGGCTCCATCGCCACCAGTTGTCCCTTCGATCTCCAGCGGTGCTCCCTTCCTCAACTCAACCCAGCCAGCTCCTACCAAGATCCCTACTCTTTCGCAGCGTCCGGGCCCTGCTCCTACATCGCTACCCCCAAGCGGTAGCTTTGTCACCATCACCGACATCGTTATGGTTACTGTCACTGAAACTTCAGGTCCAGCGGTCACACCACGTGCCATTGACTCCTCCGCGACATACAGTGCGCGCCACCCCCACGGTGCCAAGTTTCGGGGCCGCTTTGCTTCCTAAGTCAGCTCTTTTCTTTCACAATCTCAATTTTCAATCTTCGTTTCTTGCGCGCTGTGCGTGACTAGCTCTTTTCGGCATGGTGCGTACCCACCATGTTCCCAGCAATGGTAGAACCACGAGGGAATACTCGTTTGAATAGATGGATGACGTGGATACTTGTGCATAGCGTGGTGGGACTTTTTGAGTTGCATAACAGCGAGATCAGGTGATACCCCTACATGTACACACCGGCGTATAGGTTTCCTATGTTATTGCTCGGAACTACATGCTTATATGGGGCAATGGTGTTCCTGGAGTATGAATATATTTTATTATGTTTGTTCAAACAAGTTCTAGGACTGTGATGGGATTCCAGTGATGTTGCGGAGAGATGTTGAATAATCTATGTTCCCCGTGAAGGCACATCCAGCGTACCGGACTAATGTCAATGGTACATAGACTTCACAACAGAATATGGACTACTACCTTGAGTGTATTCAAGCAATCCGTTCTTGTGCTCGCATACCGCCCAAGATTAGAAGTAGGATCTTAGAATCATAGAGCAGATTTTTGACAGATTCTTGCTGTTGACCTTGCAACACTCTCAAGGTCACAAGGTCAGCACCAAGTAGCGCCTTCAACAAGCGCAAGAAATCACTAGTCGCTTGCCTTCGTGTATTCACTGGACGCCATTCATGCGGATCTGACCTGCGGCAATGTTTGCTTGACCGCAAATCTATAAGCTAACCGCCTCGACTTTAGCGGCGCCTCGCTAGACAGCTCTCATCCATTTGTTGTGGTGACTGCCAGTCATAGATATCCTGGAGATGGCCTCAATTCAGTTCGAGCAGATCTATTTGCCCTTGGCTCTACCCTGTAGAAATTTGGACTGGTTAAACTCTATACCTTGGGCTCAGGCTCAAAGATGGAGATTACTGAATCTATCAGGCAATCTGAATTTCCTGAAATAAAAAGTTTAGTGCCAATACCTAGGCGATATCATTATGGGGTGCTGGCAAGGCAGATTCACAGGAGGAGATGATGTACTGGAATGCGTACCTTGGTGAAATCTCTCGAATCATGTCCCATGTAATAACGCCGGTCAGTTATATTGTCTTGTTGTAGAAATACTATCGTTTCACTCTATATTTCCAGATTGTGATATTCTATTGAGGCCCTACTGCGATTGAAACTTGAAACCTGTAGAGTTGCCCCAGACAGTTTCGACAGCATGTTTGCTGAAATCGTCTCTTACCAGATCTGCCGAACCGAAATACGAATTGTTGGCTGTAAAACTATCATATTAAGTAAGAAGTAGAGGATCATGTGGAAAGCATTCATAGTTTTTGTATTCTAGGAGTAATCAACGGTAGGCAGTTACATTACTGGGATCCTTAGACTTAGCTATCTTATCGGCTACCAGCCTCATCTGCCTCAACCTCGGTCCATATTCCCGTCGACATCGCATCTGAGGAGTCGCGCACCGAAATACCAGCACTGACACAACAGCACTAACAGCCATTGCAGACATGTATGCCTCGTACCCATGACTGTCCCATCGCTTCAACAACCCCCCAGCATCACAGCCTCATCTCCTTCCCTCCCCCTCGCACCACCACGACCCCCCTCCCAATCGAACACCTCGAAGACTTCACTGCGCACGAATGGTGCAACTCCCTCCTCTCTGACCCGACCATACCCAAAATCTCCAAACGCCACATTCCCGACCCACGCGAAGGTGTCAGCAACACGTTCTTCACCCGCACACTCTTCACCCCAACCGCCATCCGCGCCTTCCTCTCCTTATACAGACCAGGCAGCACCAATCACCGCGACACCTCAGAAACGACAAACATCGTCACTGGCAGCGCAGTCCGAGCCCCTCAGCCTTCAAGCTCCGCCGCAGAAGCTGCGCGCCAATTAGCAAAACGCGATATTTCTTACGCAGCTGATGCGACTGACGTGCCCAAAACCCTTATACGGGTGAGCATAGCCAGTGATGTCGCCGGTGGTGTGGCTAGGCTGCATGGCGGTGTCACGGCGTCATTGTTGGATCAGGTGATGGGGAGTTTGGTGGCTTCGGTGTTTGGATACACGTGTGCGACGAGTGAGTTGAAGATCAAGTATCTCAGAGCGGTTAGAACGCCCTGTGTTTTGCTTGTCAGGCGAGGGGGGGGGGGCGGATTAAGGAGGGAGAAGGGAAGGTGGGTTGAGACGGTGGGATGGGTGGAGGATGGGATGGGAAAGGTGTTTGCGGAGGAGGAGGGGAGTTTTGTTTTAGGGAAAGTGAGGGAGAGCAAGATGTAGGGGGGTTGGATCTTAGGAGAGGGCAGCTGTTAGGCACAATCTGTCACAAGTTTGGGCTACGTGACACAGCTACATTGAGTCGTTCCTTTTGGGCAACGCTGAACTGGACGTATGGCCTTGTTATGCCTTGCCCTCTTTCAATGATCGATTGGTCATCTTAACCTATGACTAAAAGGTCCTTGAAATCATGCTCCAGTCACCTATTCTGGGCACAGACGACGATAGCACGGGGGTGCACAAGCAACCATGCAGGATAATCCAATCGTTCACAACATTCAGTACATTACACTTCGATCTCTCAGAACTCTCATCACCCCCTCTGACCTTTGCCAGACCCTTCTCTCAATCCCCCTAACCAACTCATCATTGAATCTTCCTCGCAACACGCTCCACATCCTCCTCCCCCTTCTCACTCTGCAACAACATCCAAGTCAACAATCCTGTGAATGTCAACCACACATTGCCCCACACCCCAATACTCATGCTCGTGTTGTAATGCGTATCCAGTTTATAATGCTGATACGCGCCAATTCCCGTAGTAATGTGATGGAAAATCGTCGCCGCAACTACCGCTTTGGCGTAGATTACGCTACTTGGTGAGCTATTCGCAGTTGCGGTTGCGGTGGCCGAATTTGTGGAGCTAGGAGAAGCGAACGGTACAGCGTTGGTGAGAGAAATGAGTATCAGGGCCAGAGTGACCAGACACCAGCCATCATTGCGGATGTTGTAGAGTTCGAGGTCGTTGGGCATAAGGTTTAGTTGGGAGGGAGGACGGAACCCTGGGGGAAGTTGTTACTATGGGTGTGTATATGTGTTAGAGATACTCATGGAGACGTACAGTCTGCGACCATGGCTGGGTCGTATACGCGGCACAACCCTCGAAGGCCATACCAGAATGCTGTGCCGTAAGCGTAGGCATGGAAGACCTAGTTATCCATTTTATTAGCATTTTCCGCATCAATATTCGTACCTCATGCGTCGATGAAGCTTGCCTACATACAGTTGCATTGAGGGAAGGCATGACCCAGAGACGTTCACACAATGTCGTTTTCGAATTGGTTGGAAACTTGCAAAAGGCAATTGTATACGAAGCAAATGCATCTTTTAAATCCTGATCTAGGATGAACACTACTTCGTGAGGTGTTTTCGCGTATCTAACGCCAATCACAAAAAGCACATCCCGCGACGTCATCATGAGAGTTGGAACCGCCTCATTAGTTTGTATGTTGCGGGGCTGCATGCACAAGGTTATCTAGATCGCCAGGAGATCGTCACCCGCGCATCGATGGCCTAATTGCGAACCCGGGATTCGATTTTGAATTCATCATGATTCTGGAGTTTGGGTTTGGGCATCGGCCGAAGGTTGTAATTAGTTTGTGTGCATTGTCACGTTTGGTATGGAAACTTGGCGATCTGCATTCACCAAGTTCCTAAACTTGGTAGGATAACCGAATGGAACCAGGATTGCCCACGAATTATAGATATTGCACATACAAAAAGAGCTAAGTCATGAAATATATATTTCCTGCATTGATGGAAAAAACTATTCATCAGGTGAAGCATAAAAAGATTTGTGTCACGCATCCTTTATTTGATTTGATCAGCAGGGCATGGGCTGCCGACGATTCGCATAGCATCTGTATGCTTCTTCAGCTCCGCCACAAAGACCTCAAAGTTCATCATATCAATAGGCGGGTATGCACGAGCCTGCTCAGGTACCCCATCGCCATCAACCGCATTGGGAAACTTCTCTTTCACATACGCGCGCAGTTCTTCTTTCAACTGCGGTGGAGTAAGTTGCGAATGATATATCACGCCCAGCCCCTGGACTTGCATTTGCTCGATATGCTCGATTCCTTTGTTGATGTTGTGGAAATGCGGGTTGCGCGTCTCAACCTGGAGCACTTGGACATCTCGTGAGAGGGGTGGCGAAGTAGGCGCTTGCGATCCGAACCGTTCCCAAATACTGATGAGTTGAAAGGGCTCCACCGCATATCCAGTCGCAAACCGCAACTTCATCGCCAGGTCAATAGTCATTGCGTGTTCACCTGCATTCGCAGTTTCTATCACATTTAAACCCAGCGCCATCGCGTCCTCGAGGCTTGTCTGATGGATCTCATTGGAGACACGATTCATCCATTCATTGACTACCCGCGAGCATCGTCCCGACTTTTCGAAAACCAGCTTTCCATCTTCAATTTTGGGCTTGGAATTCCACTTGATCCGGACCATGGCGTGAGGCGGGTGATTGGAGTTGGAAGAGTAAAGTGCATAGTGTAAACCCGCAGCATACACTTTACAGTACTCATGTACGGCGCCTGCGGCTAGGTTATCAGCATCGATGAAACCGACAAACTTCTTGCCAATCATTCTAGATATAACAGTCCCGATAATCATGGCTTCCCCCTTGCCATTGCGGATCCGACAGGTGGGCCTCTGCTCCTCCGACGGAAAAAGACTGGTCTCAGTGACGAGGTCGGACATGCCTGCAGCGAAGAAAGCTTTTGCAAGGCCTTCATCGCCTTGGTGTACGATGATGGCCAGCCGTCCTGCACGACTGCAAAAATCTTGGAGGAGTTCGGATTCTGCAAAGAAGTTGCGCGGTGAGCTATTGGAGACGAGGATGACGAAACATTCGTGTGGGATACCGTGGAGGACTCCATCCAGAACGTCCAGCTCCTCGTTCATACAGGGTATGACTATAGCGAGCTTTGTCTCGATGTCACGAAGCGCGGCCTCAGGAAAGGATATGTTTCGTTGACTGACTGTGCCGGTTGAAGTGTCTGCGACACGGAAGCTAGTTTCTGAATGATGGCCTGCATCGAGTTCGATTACGCGGGCCAACTCGTGGACTTCGACATTGCCGCAGCGAGCCGAGGTACTTCCAAGAGAAATCCTCATATCTGAGATATTGTACTTGAGATGGTGTAATTTGGAATCTTTGAAATGTATTCCTTGATGGTCCTAGACTGCATAATTGGGCTCTTGAGAAGGTAAATCCTCTTCATATAGAACACAGGCAGACTCATATTGTTCAAGTCTAGTGCGAGAAGGGGGCCTCAAATTTAGTGAATCTTACTGTGCAGATGGTGTCAATCATGATGCCTATTGCGAGAGCCATAAGCATACACTTATGAGTTGTCTTATGATCCACAATGACCTTGAGTATTTTTCGAATATCCACAGGAAGTGAAGATAATTTGAACATGTTCGTGAAAATATGCCGCGATTGCTGTACAAAGTATCCCAGGTAAACAGTGCGCACGAAATTGTCGGTAACTACCTGACGAGGTTAGTACCGGTAATTTCGAGCATCATAAGCTGACCAGGAGCAGGCTTATCTCGGCTAGGCAAACATGAGACCGCTCCAACACTGATCTTATTTCCGTAGGTAACGCTCCTTGTCGCGTAAGGTCAATCTCTACGAAGAACATTTGAAGCTGTTGTGAGGGAATGCGCTCCGTACGAATCCGTATTCTTCACTGTAGATATACTTTCCCATATTCAAAGACGATGCCGTTGTACATTCATGATAACTACTCTGCCCGCTTTAATCACATAACAGTGCCATGAATCTACTGCACTAGCTAGTTTTTTCATATACGAGGCGGTCAACTGAATCGCCCTAGACTAAAATACGAGTTTTGATACATCTGTAGTGTCCTGTTCGCAGGAACTCTCCACCTCTGGCCCTCCAGGCAATTAGCTGCCCAGAAAAGAGGCTGTGATCAAAAGACCTGTGATCGGTACTTCTACCTAGTACTATGAGACAAGATGCGCAGGTCGTCCAAAGAAAATCTGGCGTGGGGGATTTCTACTAGGGCACTGCCAGTCCAAATTTGGAAACAAACCCCTTTGCCAAGACGTGGGGATTATGCATGTACCGGAATCTGGAATAACCCGCGGAAGTATCGGCTCGAACTGTGGAGTCGTCTAGATCCTGGGACAGAATCCCATGGCCTTATAGGTCCCTTTCCCATGCAATGGGATAATGATAGTAACCGCGACATTTAATCTACAAGAGTTGTACTGCATGTCAGCCCCGTCCTCGTTAGGACTTCCATACCGTCACTAGCGATGTAAAGACAGCTGATTCCCGATATATACGAATGTAGCTGCGATCAGGCCGCTTCCCAACAGTCTCGTTCAGAACGTTGCTCAGGCCTCTCTTAAACGCACAATTTGCCAAACCCGAGGCACTTACATAAGCTAGTCCATTTTCCATGACTAGATCCGAGCCAAAACATGCTAGGACCTCGAACTCCGCTGGGGCTGAACCATGGAGCTTTTCTGCGACGACTTAAGTGATCAGTTGGATTCCTTATATGCAGATCGCATTGTCTCAAGCTTACACTCGGCCGGGTATTCCCCAGGTAATGTCATCGGTTATATGCTAATCGCTGAAGTCGGAAACCTGCAAGTCTGATCACTGGTTGTGGGGAGTATGGGGGCTATGGGGAGTTTCAGGGTAGGGTTTGTTGCTGTGCTGACATCGCAGCGGAGTGCTTCACACCGACGTTTGGAACTCCTCATAGGGCTCAGAAACGAGTCAAGCTTTTGCAATTTGCTAGTTCTTGGCTGAACCAAGCATAGTAAATTGAAGGGCGAATTGGTCACTAGCGACCGTTCTGCGACGTGTTTCGCCGGGCAAACCGCCGAGCAACTCGAGAGGATGGTATATATCCCAACTAACGCCGAGCATCCATTAGCATCCTCCTGGATAAGGAATCTTCTGATGTGACGACCAGGACGTCAGCAATGTCCGCAACTGAAGGGCTTGCTGCCTGGGATGCAGCCATATCTATTCCAACCTTGTTCGGCAGCTTGCTGTCCATGTGTTCCACCGCCACGGTCATCCTACTTTGGATATTTGCGCGAGGAAAGAAGAGGCGCGACTTCCGATATGCACTGATACTGAATCTTACAGTTACTGGTTAGTCAATGGTCTCGTCCTCACACTCGTCGCATCGTTATAGTAGGCTGATATCAGACACAGAGTTTATGAATAGTCTTAATAATTCGGTCTCTGGCATCGTTGTAGTCTCGAATCGGCGAGCGCCTATACCAGGCCTCTTATGCAATATAAACGGCTGGGCCGGTCAGTTTTCCGTGGTGGTAAGGTTTTCACACGGACGACATTGTAGACATTGCTAACTCAATTAGGCCGTCGATTTTTCCGTTCTCGCCATCACCGTGGTTACCCTCCTGACCATACAACTTCGCTCTTCCATCATTTATGCGTCCACGAGTACCAAGGCGCTGATATGCCTTGCAATTTGGGTTGTACCACTCTGTAACAGTAGGTCCTCCCGCTTGACAAGTCATTGTCAACATCTAATTGGTGTCAAGGTATCATTGCATTGGTGAACAACTATTACGGACCTGTGTCCGGCAATTGGTGCTGGATCGAAAAGCGTTTCACACGCGAGCGATATGCTCTCAACCATGGCTGGCGCATTTCGATATTCTTCATCTCTGTATGCACGTATGCATACGTATTCTACTACATGGTCAGGCGCTTTCGACCACAAAGCCTTTCGTCGTTGAGTGCCAGCAGCTTCAATGAATTCGAGCATGAGCTGGATGCCAGGAGAAGAAACGGTGGCGTACTGGCTGGGTGCGTAACTCCGCCAGTTAACCCACCTGAGCAAGTCGGTAAACCTTCCCCGAAAGATTCGGGTAACATTCTAGGTCAGGGAGTGAGTTTCAACTTGGCAAGATTTGACAAGGAACCCGCTGTATTGCACGGGCCCGAGGACATCCATCAAGGCATTAATGCATCCGGTACCCCGGACCCCGAACGTCTTGCGTTTTCGAATAAGGAATTCGGGGGAAACGACCTACAAGGACTTCCTACAGCGGAGCTTCCCGGTCGCAGGCCGTCACGATCAACCCGTACAATCGACCGCGAAGTCTGGAGGATGTTGCTTCTCAACATGTATCCAGTAACCTACCTGGTCCTATGGCTGCCAGGTATGTTGAATCGTCTCACAGAAGGGCTGGGACACAATATTCGTGCTCTGGTCATCCTGCAGAGCTCAACGCAGTTCATTGGCTTTGCCAATGCGACTGTATATATATATCAAGAACATGGAAAAGACTTACGAACGTTCTGGGACACAATACGTACTCGGAAAGCCCCGCGGCACGAAGTGCTTCCAGAAGTCAATCGTCCTCCGCCTAGGCGTTGGAATACCATCACAATTTAAGATAGAATAGCTATTTTCAAGGACTGGTACCTGCTATGTAGCAACTATCATACAACATTTCAATTTTCAACGTTTCAAGGAGCCAGACTGATTAGTTGAACACGGCTAAGCCGGCACTGGCCGAGTAAACGAACGGCCGATGCGACAATTTCATAGATCAGCTATTTCTGGCAGAGGGTCAGGTGCGAGCCTACCTGATATATCCCCGGCAGCTGACGAGTATTCTTTGAGTGCGATTGCACCACCTATGCGTTCCAAGAGATGACGTCATTGAGTTTTCTGTTATGGTGATCATGTACTGTTGGTTTCTTGGGTACTCGGTACTAGTACACCGTACGGCCTTGTTGAACCACCCCGTAGTTAGAACTGATCACGCGAAACCCCACAGCCTCTAAGCTTGAAACACACACAACATGTGGGGTCAAACGTTCTCCCACGGGCTCGGGCCGATCTGCAGAATACTCGGTGTTCTTGCAAACAATTATCCCACGTGGAAAGTCGTGGTCATAGTTTAATGCAATTGGACCCCAGCCGGACACTGCAGAATGGACCGATACTGTTGCCATGCATTGCAGGAAGTTGCTAGTCTGATAAGAAACTTTCAGTAGCAAAGAATGTGAATAGTAGTGGCCGAAAATGTGAACTTCGGAATTGCCCAGTTGTTCTACTTGACTTTTAGGCACCATACTACAGGTGGCGAGGAAGGCCAGATCGTTACCCGGATTCTACCGTACTTCGTTGGAAGGTTCGCCGGGAACATCCATATTCAACAACTTTGTTCTCTATAAGACTCATAAGCTTGCGATGATATTACGAAGTCTCATTTGTTTTGCTGCTTGCGCCATTGTAATATCCACGTATGGCCAGCATGAGAGGCCAGGGACAAAATCGCATAATTATGGATACTGATGTGCTCGACTTTGTAAGGTAGAACACTTCAGCAGTATGAAACGTTGCTGATATTTGATTTCAGGTTGATGATCCAGACAGTGCCTTGCATATGTGTCCTAAAACTGCAAAGAGACACAGATCTTTGGTATAATTTCAAGTCAGCCAGCCAGCCATCCACCTTGTGCTATTTCCAAACACTGGCCTGCAAGTACAAGCATGTTCAGCCGCTATATGCCGTCGGTTCTTGATGTAATCAGCACATTCATGGACATATTACATTCCCTCTCAATACGAAACCCAGTCGACCATGGGCGCACTCTAGCACAAGACTACCATAAAATTATATTTACCTTCGCCACCCCCGGCAAGAAACCCAGTATCCTACAAAACGAATACATTACTGGTCTAGCATCTAACTTCCCCTAAAGTACCTGCGACAGATCCAATACCACAGGCCCCGTGATTCCATACTAAATGCCTTTATCCTCGAGCCTCAACCACAGCGTAATCATAGCCTGCATCGACCTTTTCGACAACCCCTTCAATCACCTCCACTCGCGCCCTAACAACATATTACCGCTTCACGGACCAGACCTCGTCACCACCAAAGTCACCGAGCTAGTCGTGCAGAGCAACCTCTCGGCATCTCTTCAACTGTATCGAGAAAGCCCCCACATCTGCCGCATACCATAGTTATCCGTTGTACCACTCGTCTAGTATAGTAACATTCGTTCCAGAAGCCATAAGAAACCGCATCTTGTTCAGCGATCATTGGAGCAGGAACCAGATATCCAGACTCACCCTGTCGCAACGTCCTTTGGCAGCAACGTATCGCATCAAAGCAGGGACTGCGAGTTTCTTTCATCCTACACTACCTATTGTTTATCAAACCAACCCACCTGAAACCACAAAACACTAACCTAACACTAACCCCGTCCCACCCTGACGCCAGCAACCGCAATCCACTACACCACCCGCAGTCTTCAACTTCTTCAAGTGCTCACAGGGCGAAATCCGCTTCTCGACGAATAGCACCGCGACGTGGGATTTCCCGTCGCCATCGCGTCTGCAGCGCTCCATGGAGCTGCGTGTGGAGAACACGACGTTTGCGCAGCGGATGAAAGGGTTGGTAGGGGACGACAGGTGGTGCTAAAAATGTGGGTGCAAATGCATATACATAAAGGGAGGATGGGGCATAAGGTGGATAAGAATACCCATGGATGATAAGTCATGCGATATGAAGTTTCAAGAGATTTCATAAGGAGAAGTTGAGGAAAGGGCATCTTATACTATGATGCATATCCTATATGCGTATCTCTAGATTTAAATACATAGTTTCGTCTAGACAGATGACTACGCATTCCTATGTCTAGTTACCATTTTGCCTGGACCAATAGACCTGATTCCATAGACCTTCAAAAGTAACGTATCTCTGGTGAAATAAGCCTGAAAATGAAAAGATTGCTTTGCGGATTTCTTTCAATTCTCCTAACACTTATTACTCACTGCCCTTATCATTCCCATTTCCCGTTTATTTCGCAGTAAAAGCCCTTTTCCATCTCATCTCCTAGTATCTTTCCTCCCTCTTCCTGTCCCTCTAAAAACCAACCCCAATATAAAATTCAATTAATCATATTTGCCCAAACTTTGAATACCCTCGGTATAAGAAACGCTAGAGGGATAGAAGACTAGCGAATTAGGACACTGAGTCAGGGAAGCGGGGGCTTGGTGGTGTTGGTGAGAAGGGGGGATAAGGGGATAAGATGGGTATGTATAGGTGTATAGGCGTGGTAAGTGTGGTAGATCTGTATAGGTGACGACTAGTACATCTATTACGCATAGCGTATACCATGTAAATCCCATCCAGCACATCTAGTATACAGTATATACCACAGAACACTCACCAGCACACTAAATAAGACATTAAACGCCCAGACAGGAAATACACCCACCACCACCTTTCCCCTTCCCGTTCCCCGTGCCTAAGGAGCAAGCACCCTGCCCTGGCCCCGCCCTTCCCTATACGATAAATACCCCAAAGCAGGCGCTAATCTAATCCTGCCATGCACACCACCGAGCGTTCGTGGCTACATCTGTATGAAATGATATGCATGACATGACATCATACCCACCACTACCGACCGACAACAACAACAACAAGCTCCCATCTCCAAAACAAAATGCAAAGAACAATATGCAAAAGCGAAAGCGGGGGTATAATATATACTACGTCGATCAAATCCATCTAATTCCAACCGCACCAATCCCATCCACATCTCATCCTCATCCCATCCTCATCCCATCAAAAACATATACATTAGAAAAGAGAAGAAAAAGGTTGAAAAACCAGCCTCGACCACAAGTCAAGGATACGGCCAACAAAACACCAAAAAAGAGCCCAAGCCCAGCTTAGCCTTGCCATAAAAAATCTCTACATAACAACGCACCCAACCCTCCTCCCCCTCCTCCCCTTGCTCCTCACCTCCTCTCCCGCCCCCTCTACCCTTGCCCCCAAATCCGGCACACTCTGTGAATAAGAAAATCCAGCCGCCACATCGGGTGCGCCACCTCCATTCGCACGCGTGAACCGATACGCGAGGTCCAGATGCTGCGACTGCGAGCGCGGCGGCGCAGTCCTGGGAATACTGGGATGGCGTGTGCGATCGGAGGGTGATGTGAGACGAGGGAGCGAGGGGTGGAGGCGTGGGGTACTCGGGTGGTGGGGGAGGTTGGGGGAGAGGAGAGAGGGAGAGGGGGGAGGTAGCGTGTTGCTTCTTAGGTTGGTGGTATGGCTAAAGGTGGGGCGGCGCTGGGTAGGTTGGGTGGGTGCGGATCCTCTTCTTGTCATGTCTAGGTCAGGATTCAGAAGAGGGGGCGGTCGGACGTCGATGCTGCTTTCTACTGCCCTCCTGCCACCTGAGATGGGTCGCCGGGATGGTATGTGCGAGGGGTTCGCGGGGTATGGGTGTGAAGTTGTGGGGTTTGCTGAGCCGCATCTTCGTGGAGATAGGGATGGTGAGTTTGGAGATTGTGGAGTCGAGTAGGATTGCGGGCTTGGATATGTGGACGGGTGGAGAAGGGAGGGGCGTCGCTCTCTCTCCCTTGGACTGAGTGGAGGTGATATCGGGATACCGGAGGCAACGGGTGAATGACGAGAATGTGCATTTGATAGGGAGAAGTTTGCTAGATGGGCCAATGTGTTCATGTCTGGTAATGAAGGGACTGGTGGTATGGCATTCGAAGACGTCGATGGGCGTGGTATTGCCAGTCGTGGGACAGGCGGTACATTGGGATGGCTGAGACTAACGCTCCCTGCTGCCGCCGCAGTAGGCGTGTAGGCTGGCGGAGGCGGGACCCAGTTATCCGCATCGCTCTCATGAGGCAACTCCCTTGTTCCGTCTGCTCTTCTATACTCGAGCGGCCTAGAAGGCAAGGCGCGGAGATGTTGTCGATTCGCGGGACTTGCTGCCGCCACAGTGGCAGCGCGCGCAAGTGACATGTGCGATCGTGGCTGTTGGTTGTCATAGGGCGCTTCAAACATGGCCTGTGCTTCTTCGGGGGTGAGTTCCTCGGAATCTTCCGGGGCAAGACGTGGGCGTTGCGGGGGGCGGAGAGGCGTGGTGCGAGTGTGATGAACAGGTGTTGAGCCGAGCCTTGAGGAGCGGCGGGCGAGGGCCGCATCTTGGTCTTGTGCTCCATGTTGCGCCATGGTGCGGGTTCGTACGAGTTCGACTTCGCGGTCAAAGGGGATCGAGCCTTCTGGGAGCCGTTCGCCGGGACAGAGAGGGTCGAGATCATATTCTATCTTGACTGGAGCGGGAATGGGGCTCCCAGCCGGTTTCCTCTTGTCAAAGTCGAGGATGACGAGGAGGCCTTTTGAGACAAGAGGGGCATCAGGTACATCGTTTTTCCCTGGTAGAACAGTGGAATTGCCAACAGCGACGAGGCGTTGTACATGTGCATTGAGCCTGAGCCATCGCAGGGCACAAATCTCTTGTAGGGTGGTTGCGTCGTCTTTGGGTATGGGAATACAAAAGCAAGGCTTTATGGGCGCATCCAGCAAAGCCTTGCTGTTGCTGCTCGGCTTGTAGTCCCAGCCAGGGACATCGTAAACCCAAATGTTGGTGGTGCCGCGCATACGAAGCGCAACTGCTGCGAGATCAGCATTCGGCGAGACAGCAGGCATGGCATCATCTAGGAAATCCGAGCGTGTCCAAGGCTGGTGGTCTGGCAGGAACATCTTTCTCGGCGTGAAGCGTTGGCAGGCAATGTCGTAGATGCCCCATGAGTCTTCTTCTGCGTTGAAAGCGAAGAGTTCGCTGAAGGTGCCTGTATCCGCATCTGGCAGGAGTGTGGCCTGTCGGGCTGTCCTGGCAGATTCGGGGAAGAGCACGGAGCCTGTCCAAGCGGCCTCGGGCGGTTGAGGAATTGGCTCCCCTTCTTCTGTGAGCGGCCCATCGTAGAGGCCAGGCAGCACAAACAGGGCGGAGCCGTCCGACTTTCTGGCATAGCCTGTGATGAGCAGCGTGCGACCGTCGTCTGAGAACTCGAGGCCATCTCCCGCCGGCGCAGACAGGGTCCGGCGCGCCGTCTCAGGCGCTTGGGGCCCAATGGCAACGACCTCGATGCCGAACTTGTTGCCCGTGATGAGGATACGAGCGTCGGGCGAGATGACGACAGAAGTGGCTTCGTGCACGAGCGAAATGGTCCTCCTCTTGGTAATCATCTGATCATGGGCTTGGCGGCCGTGAATCTCGTACAGGTCGACCTGCAACGGGCGCGACAGCACGGCCAGCAAGCAGCCATCCTCGGTGACGTCGACGGCGATGGGCCTGCGCTTGACCTGCAGCGTCCTAGCAAAGAGGCGCGGCAGGGCCTCGGTCTTGATCAGCCATAGATGTGAGGCTGAATAGACGGCCACAAAGCCGCCTTTCCGCGAGACGTTGACATCGAAGCGATCTGGAAGGGCAGACGATGAAGCCGAGTTGGAGACGAGAGCAAGCAAGGCAAGGCTAGGGTGGGCATGCACTGAGGAGGGCGCGCTGGTGCTGGTGCTGGCGATGGTGTTAGTACTTGGTGGTTCTGTGGTCAGCGTCACGGCGCCGGGCCGGTCATGGTGGGTGGTATTGGCCGAGGTCGACGTCATGGTCATGGAATAGGCCGAGATGGAGGAGGCCGAGAGCAGCGTATTGTGCCTGGCGCTTTCGTCCGACGACGACGAGGAGTCCATGTACGATGGAGACTGCAAATTTGAGATTGAGCTTGAGGCGCTCGAGCTCGAGCTCATAGAGGCACTGCGCGAGTCCCCGGCGTGAATGCCCTCATAATGGTGACTGGCGAATGCAACGCCCTTGGCCCTGCTGCTGTTGTCGCCGTCCTTTTCTTCGAGGGCGAGGGCCGTGGGTTGTTGTTCGCCGTGGTCTTGGTGCATCGATGGTCGTCTTCCCAGCATGGTCGTACAGCTGCAGTCCTGTTATAAGAGCAATGTGTTTGGTGTATATCATGTATCCCTGTTCCCTGATCCCCGGTTTCCCACGCTCCCATGTCCCTGCTGCACTTGTGATCGTCGACAGCAAGAAGAAGGGCGGCCAGGGCTCGTTTTCGCTATTCACGGCTGATGTGGGGGGAGGAGGAGGAGGAGGAGGAGGAGGGGGAGAGAAGGGGGGGTGCTGCCTCGATGGTGGCGTCGTCTGGCATGCCGTGAAGCTGTTGTCGCAGCAGCAGCAACAACAACAGCAAGATCAAGATCAAGATCAACAAGAACAAGGGCAAAAGGCAAAAGCCATGGCAGACGGAAAGGAGAGATGATAAGAGAAATGATGATCCAAACGGGAGAGTCCAGGCTGCAGAAAAGAAACATGGGACACTGAACCGTCAACGGGTCCGGCAACGCTACTGCATCGAATACGCAGATACGGGGGTCCAGTCGCTTCAGACGTGCAACTCTAACCTTGTCCGATTCGCCGCTACACTACATTGGCGATCCGCTCTTCTATTTTTGTGGGGAATTCACTGACTCTGGGACCCGCTCTTGCGCACTTGATGCCCTACGTACCCAAGCACTGTGGTACAATAGGTCAAGGGTACTGGGCTACTGTCTTGTACTAACTGTCTGCCTATACCTAGACGTCTCTTTGCCCCGATCCATGTGCCAGTCCACAAGTCAATCAGAGTGCACGAATGGTTGCCGAGGTCCCACAAGCTTCAGTCTGATACAACCTGCTGTCTACCCTGTACCGGTCCTCTGTACCTCCTGTGTACAAGTCCGATAGCACGACTCAGCAAAAGACAGGAGTGTGACCCCAAGAGTCTCAAGAGTCTCAAGAGTCTCAAGAGTCTCAAGAGTCTCAAGCCCCCGGGGATCCGTCTGCAGCAGACACGATACTAGGTACCATCCATGACAGCACCCGCAAGTGCAGTGCAGGGTGTACCGTGCCGTACGACAAGCCTGGCGCGGCAAAACTTTCTCTGTACACATCTACCAGCCATGTACTAGCCATGTACTAGAAAGTGTACCCTACTGGTACCTACTCACATCTAGCCTCCTCCATGGTCCGTTCCCATAGTACAATAAGCAGCTTGCCTTGCGTTGCAGCATGGATGATGGATGACTGGCCTGTGGACTCGATGGTTGGTTGGGTGGATAAGTCATTGCAAGTGCTGACCGAGCCCAATCAGGCTAGCACGAGAATAATAAGCTTAGGATCCACGTGACGATCCCGAATCCTATCCGCAGCTCGTGACACCTGCAAGCATTCCACTCTCACTCTCACTCTCACTCGCACTCGTATAAAACAATAATATGGTACAGGACATGCAGACATCATCACATCCTACCTACTTACCCTGAACTCAACCATGTACTTATCACAGTCTGCTAGTGCCAGCATTATTATGCTGCGCTATGCTCATCAATCTTAACGAGCTCACTTACCACTCGGTTGCACCCCCCAATCTCTGCCTTTCCTCTTCCCGATTCCCCGCCAGTCCAATGTCAGCAGCCTGATGGATCTGCGGCCGCCACTTTGGCCGAAATAGCAGAGCCTGCATACGTATGGCCCTCTTCCTCACCGTGCCACCTTATATCTCACACCGACGATCATGAGATGGGTCGGTGTTTTGTTGAAAATGGCCTCTCATCGTCGGAAGTTGATGAAGCTCCTCCGTATTGAGCTCCTGGTATGTGGGGAATCCTCGTCCTCTTCTTCGCCGACGTGGTCCTGCCATGGTCACCCTGGCCCTCGTCAAACAGCAACTTACCCGGCCTGGCGTTGGAGGACTGAGCCCTCCCTCTTCTCTACCGCGGCACGAGCAGGTTTGATTCTTTTTCAATGACTTGTTCAGACCATTGTCTAGTGTTGCGCTGCTCGTCGACGAGCATCTGTGAGTGGTGTTGACTGCCATGTTGCAAGCACGAGATGGCGAAGATCATGCACCACCAATTTGGGAGTGAAGGCCCACCATGACTCCCCAAACATCTTACATCCTCGATTTCGAAAAAGTCATCCACATATCACCCTTGGAAAAGACTTTCTGGCTGCCCATATCGCTGTCCCAGTCGAAGATCCATGGTCTGTATCCAGCGTTCATGTCTTCGCGGGAAAGAACAAATACGGATGACACCATCGTCATCATGATCTTGAAACTCCTACAGGTCTTGCAGTGGAACTCGTCCCTGAAGTACAACATTTCCTTCTCCAAAATAATATCCTAGCGCTCTCTCCAGCTCTCTGATGTTCCCTTGTCATGCATGGTACGTTCACAGACTCTTTCCTTTGTAGTGCCCATGCTCGTTGTCCTCTAGAAAGCAAGGACTTCTTCGGCGCATCTGGAACCAGTGCACAGAGGTCTCGTATAACGCACCCTCCAATCGTGACGCATATTTCATGCCGTCATCTTCCACCAATAAGTCGAATCCAGTGCGATGCTGGTCTATCACCAGTATTGCGGCCAGCTGGCGCGGCAGAAACTGAAGAAATTTTGTCAACCTGCACCGATTGCGGACAATCCAACGGCGCCAAAAGCAACTCGTCTCGGGGAAGCAGGCGCAAGTGTGGCAATATACCTATGAGGCGCATCAACCAGCTATGCGATTTCACACATCACTCTACTCGCGACAAGCTGATATGTACCTCTTGAGTTGCATGGCGTAGTAGGAGTAGACCTGCAACCAGACAGCAACGGCCGACCAATGCTCGCCACCTCTTGATCATCAGGCGAAGCGAGGTCAGTTTTTCGATCTGACAGCGCGAGATGGTGCGGAGGAGTATGTATATCTTCTTGTACGGAACGGCTGCTTCGAAATCTCTCTACTGTTTTTTGGCTCAAGTGATGCTCGGCGGCGAGGGGTCAGCACCATCGATGACTGTCTTGTACATGGTAGAGAACCAGCCAATGGCAATGCATCCGCGGAGCTTTTGTTACTGTGAGATCTGGAATAGACCCACGCACATACAAGCAGGGTTAGGCGAGGCGGGAAGAGGGTGTACAAATCGGGTTGACAGGCTCCGAACTGGTTCAAAAGTACGGTCGCAGTAATCCACGCGGTACATGTTGGGATATATCAGTGAGGCGAGTTAAGACAGGTCCACAATGACTTGGACATAGGATGCTTGAGAGCTTGAAACGGACAGAAGATTGATTTTGTTTTATGACGCTGATTGTACATAGGAGGTTGCGTCTCTGGTGGTGGACCGGAACTACCGCGGCAAGACTTCTGCCACCAGCCTCGTTCGGGCTGTCTCGTCCCAACTCTCAGCGACCCATCAACAACCTCGCCTTGCCAACAATGCTCTCAAGCCCCTCGAATAGCCTATCCGCAGTTGCGCATGTGCTCATTGCTACCGGTTCTGCTTTTCCTACAGAGTATACATCCGTCCGTATGCACTGCGTCTACACATCATGCCAGCAGCTCCTGTCACTCCATCGGTGTACCTTAAGCAACCAACTGGCCGACTCGGTTCACGGTCTCGACTTTTCACTCCACATTAGTCGCTGATCCACAGGCAAGCTACCTGAATCTGTTCTTCTCTTCGCTTACCCTTACCACAGCCTTACTCCAAATGAAAGAGCAATGCCCTCCACCCCAGCATCTCGGTGAAGCTTTTTGGCTCAGTGCCGAGCAGGGGTTCTTACTTTGGGTTGCACATATTCACCACTGTTGAGGATTCTGCTATTCAATCCCAAGCGCCTTGCAACATACAAATGTCCAGAATCTGTGGCATATAGTGGAGGCATCTGAGTGAGGATACGCTTATTCACCATCTGATATTAACTATTAGAAAAGGACAACATCAGGTCACGCCACACGCACAACACCCATCCATTACAACCCGCCAAGGGAGACTACAAACGCCACGAGCAAGATTTCCAAATGAGACCGTAGACTAAGCCACGCCCATGTGTAAGGAAGCATTGGATCCAGCAGCATGGCATGATGAGCGGCATCATGCTCCGCAGCGGCAACACCATACCCATCTCCGTTACTCAATTCTCGATTCCGGTGACCGGTCACTGCCAACTTACTGCATCGACCAACCTGCACCCGCGCCTTGTCTGGGGGGCAGGAAGACCCCTTGCCCTCATCCATGGATATCCGGAACGCTTCGCAGGCCCAAGAGCGGCTATGTAACCAGGGATCGGTTGCGAGCAAAGTAGTTGCACATATTTGTGTCGTTGTGGAGCAGTGCTGTTTGTGGTGACAAGCCAGGGCGCAGCTGTTTATTTAGTCGAGACTACGCGCCCCCCTCGTCACTATTGTTATCTAGGAGTTTGATCCTTATTCTCTCACAACGCTGTGGTTGCACCTTTTTTGACGACGACGACGATGATGATGACTGCTGGATCGATTATTATTGGTGTCGCCCTTGCCTTGGGAGGCGTGACGGATGCATTGGTTCCAGCTGACCCTATTATAACGCCGCCAGCTGTGCTTCCACGGCAGAATAACGATAGATTTATTGGGTGGGTTGAATCTGATAATACTTGTGGGTTTATATGAGTTCGTTTGGTATGTCTGTATAGTGCTGACGACCTTGAAGGGTTCTCAGAGACGTGCTCATCGGGACTTACTTGGTATCAAGATGAAAAGTACGCACAATGCTGCGCAACGACTCTCGAGGGTTGTCCAGCGCCTACAGCATGCGTTCAAGGCACCATGGTCTACCCCTTACCGTCCCTTTCAACAACCATCTCTATCGCATGGTATGTTGGATCCCATGCATACTGACGGCCAAAATCTAACTTCTGGCTAGCACCGAAAACTACAATGACACTCGCATGTCTATCTGCAACACGGCCTTTATCTTTGAGAATACTGGCGACTCAAATCCGAAAACCGTAAGTCACTTGGGGTGTGCGTGAGGGTATCTGGACCAGATCACTTCTAACTTGTCACTCTCTTCAGGACATTGTATGTGGTGTCTCTGCTCTAAATTGGTCGTACTACCGCAGCATCCCTGCTTCCGCCACCGAAGTCATCGTCTCATCCAACGCTTGTATGCACCATTTTGAATATTTCCCTCACTCTCACTAACATTCCCCCCAGTCTCTTTCCCCCAAGTCGCCTCCTCTGGTATCAACGCACCAACCCGCACGGCACGACCATCCACGACCTCCATCCCCTCATCTTCCTCATCTACCTCTAAAGCCTGGATTGCAGGCGCAGTCATCGGCCCCATCGTCGGCCTCGTCATTCTCGGCTTGGCAATCTTCTTCCTCCTTCGCCGGCGCAAGAACAAGAAAAACGCCGCTCCTCCTCCTCCGCCCCAAGCAGCAATGAACTACGGTCCCTCGTCCAATCAAGCCCCCATGCCCTACACCGACACAAAACAACACTATACACCCTCCCAGGGCCAAGCCTACATGCAGCAAAACCCACCACCTGTCCCGCAACCCTACGGCCAAACAGCCCAAAACGACGCCTACGCCCAACACACCGCATACAACGCCCAGCACGGGTACAACACGGGCTCCGTCTCCCCCGTCCCACAATACACACTCCCCCTCAAGCCCCCGCAAACCCAATCTCCTCCCCCACCCCACTCCCACCACCAACACGAATACTACAACCCGACCCAGGACACCAAACACGCATCCCACGCCTCAGAACTCAACGCCACACCCGACCGCCCCCTCTCCAACATCTCCCCTTCCTCCCCATCTCCCTACCCGCCTCCCCCCGCGACTTCTCCTCCCCCGCAAACACACGCACTGCCTGCACACTTGGAATCTCAGTCACAGCAGATATACAGTCCGCAGCCGACGCAGGCGGCGCAGCAGGGGTCCGGGGCGGTGGAGATGGGGGATAATCTGCGCATGGTGCAGGGTGAGGCGTATTTTGATGGTGTGGAGTTGGCGGGGGGTGGGTCGACGCCGAGGCCTGGGGGGAGGGGGTAGGGGGGAGGAATAAGGAATGGGAATGGAATAGAATGGGGTTGTGGTTTGGGAAAGGGATGATTGGACAAGGAAAGACGACGAAGGAAAGGAAAGGAAAGGAAAGGAAACGTCATTCAAATGAATTTAACAGAGGGGAATGTTGTTACGTATACATGTATGCGTGTGTATTATGGCATGTTTTACCGGTACCGTTGTATCCATATCCCCAACATACAATCTCAACCACTCAACACGCATTCCCACTTCCAAAACAAATACCATGCAAAAACGCCGACTTTGCCTTTGCGGGGGGGTGAGAAACGAAAGAAAGAAGCCAACGCCCACGTTCCCTATTCTCGTGTCACGCTTTCCACTTTCCACTTTTCGCTTTCTCCTTGCCAATTACTCTGTCCCTGTCCAACCTACTATCCTGTGCGTCTCGCAGATCTTGCTTATACCGTACCGTACCGTACCAGGTCCTACCATACCTAACTGCCTGCCCCTCCCAACCCCAGAGTGCCCAAAAACAAGCCCAATCAAAGGATGGCGGGAAAAATAAGAAAAAGAAAATAGGATTACAACATGAGCGAAAACTCAACCACGCTTGCAACAACGAAACAAGCATCATGTGATGTATAATACATGAGAAGCACAGCCGTCTTTCCCCCCTTCCCCCTTCCTTGGCTTGACGCGCGGCGACATGCAGCAATACAAATGATTGAGAAGAGAGTAGACAGACTGTTGGGGTTTTCATCTTCTTTAGTGAGGACGAAGGTGGCTGGCAGAAGAGTCTACGAGGTCTGGCCCGAGTCTGCCATGGCGTTGTCTTCGTCCTCGTCGTCCTCGTCGTCTTCTTCATTGTCATTGTCATGCTCGTTGTCGTTGTCGTTGTCATTTTCATTTTCATTTTCATTCTCATTGTCGTTGTCGTTGTCCGTGTTCTCGACGCTGCTGTTGGAATCGTTCTTTGGGGCGCTGGGCGGGCCATTAATCATGGGCGCCTTGAGCGGTCCATTGTGCATGGGCGCGTTGGGCGCACCGTTATGCATCGGCGCGCTGGGGGGAGCACTGTTCATCGGCGCCGTCATGGGTCCATTGTTGCTCCTGGGCCCATTCACAGGTCCATTGTTGACTGGGCGGTTTGGCATGGGCCCAGCCATCGGTCCTCGCATGGGAACACTCATGCTGTTATTCATGTTGCTCATGCCACCCATGCTCGGCCCTGGCATAGCATTGCTGGGCGTCATAGGCCCATTCATGGCATTGTGCGGCGGTGGCCCACGCGGATCTGGTCCCATTGTCGGCGGCCCCATCCTAGAACTCTCATTGTCCTCGCCCATGCCATCCACCACGGGCCAAAACCGCTGTTGGAGCCAACAGGTCTGTCTGAAAACTTCTTCGCAGCGCTGCATCTCCTCCTTGCCGTCGCGAGTGGTAGTTATGTTTGCTAGCTCGTCGACAAGGGCGCGCGTTGCGTCGACAAATTTGGAAAAGGCGGGAGACGTCCAATTTGGGATAAAGGCTTGGTGGAGAGCGGCGATGTGGGCTTCATTGGAGGGAGTCGAGAGGGAGGTGCTGAACGAGTGCGCATATTGCCAGGCGGAGCGGTAGCACTATTCTCTCGTTAGCATTATTGGGAGAGGGTATCTAGACGCGTGTGGTGGCCTACATGCTGGGCGCTCCAAAGAACAACCATGCCCTCGAGTAGTGACGCGCTGCTACTGCTGGCGCTCACAAACATGTCGAGGATTGATCTGGAAATGGGCGATGGTGGCTCACCGCCCATGACTAACCCATACTTGGTCGCCGTGATCTCGAAGAACTGCATCTCCCGTCTTGTATTGTTGAGCGCTGAGATCAAAAGATCCATGGTCCGGTACATGGGATGAAACTGCGAGTTTTGCGTAGGTGGTAGCCGCATCTTGGCCAGCAGCTGGCCTATGAAGCGGATGTAGCCACGGGCGAGATGCGCATCTTGAGCCAGCCATTGTGAACATGGCCCGACTGCCAGTGAGCCACAACCGGCATGTGAGAGGAAGGGTTGTTGGGTGGCTTGGGCGAACGGTGCTGAACAGATGGTCAATAGATGTGAGGTCAGGGAGGGAGTAAAGTGCGGTGCTATTGGTATATTAGGCGCAATAAGCTGACCGTCCCTAGCCCGTTTCGAATGCGGACCGCGGCGGTTGACCTGAAGGTTTGGGTTGGGATGTTGACCGTTTAGAATTTGGCTAGGACCTGCGCTCATGGGAGATGGGCCTGGGGCCGTTCCATTCTGCGACTGCGGCTCCTGATGCTGTTGATGTGGTTGCTGTTGCTGCTGCTGCTGCTGGGCAACGACGTGGGCTTGGGCCTCGGGCGTGGCCAAATAGGCCTGGCATTCTTGAAGATGCTCAATTTGACGCGTCGTATTCTTTGCGCGGACGTAGCCGCAGTGAAGGCAGCGGACTTTGTTACATTTGGATCTGATGGCAGGGATCAGCAGCGTTCGTGGATGAAGGGTGAAAACGGCCAAACCGAGGACTCACGGTGTGTCAGTGTCTTGAAACTCGGCATAGGCGCGCCGTATCTATTCCTGGAGTCAGTATCGAAGTCACTGAGGGCATTGAAGGGATGGGGGAAAAAGAAAAAGGTGAAAGGGTGGCTTACATCGGGGTTGGCGTGTCTGCCCATGACGACCTGTGCTTGCCACGATTAGCATTGCGGCGGTGGCGCAGAAGCGGATTGGGATAGCCCAGTGTGCTCTTGAAGGGGACAGGAATAGAGCAGTCGACAGCCTCGAGGTTGCGAGGCCGACAGCGCGGAAGACGGGGAAGCTGGAAGGGGTGGAGCTCACCTCGAATCAGACAGTTTCGCTCGAGGATGCGGTAATGTATCTGACGTTTGGTATCAATGGCAAACGCTGTGGGCGAAGATACCGTGGCCCCTTGCTTACTTCAGCCGCCCAGCATCGCACCTTGCCGTTTAGAGAAGGCCCAGTACTCGCCGGATATTTTGGAACGTGTTCAGTTCTCAGCCAGGACATCACGTGCTGCTGACAGCTTGAGGGGGGTTGATGGACACACGTGCACAGGTGTGTATGACAAGTCCGCTCTCGGCTCCAGCTGCGACTGTAGCCCGCTGTGCGCAGGTGTTTGTGTGTGTGTGTGTGTGGTGTTGATATCTGGAGCTGGATCTGGAGCTGTATTAGTCGCTGTATCGCGCTGTATCTGGGCCTTGATAGCTTCGTCAGGTATGTATCCGGTACAGTGTTCTTTTCGCGGGCCGAAATTCGTTTCTAGCCCCCAACGTGTGTCATCCGATTGTTCAAGTTGGGATTACCGCTTGTCACGTGCTGCCTTCCCTTCCCCTCCACCATGCATCTAAACGTACTCAGTAGAGAGTAGAGGACTCCAGTCCTCTCCAACAGACTTGCTGGCAGCCAGTCTCTGCTCCGGTCACAGCTTGCAGAACTGCGTTGGAGTCTGCGTTCCCAAGCACGGGTGGCTACAGCAATACGTGTGAGACATCAAGATGAGCATGCTTGTTTGCCAAACAGCTGGGGTTCCCTGTGCAGTGCCCTCTGTGTAGATAGAGTACTACCGGTATACTCTACTTTCTCGCCCGTGTGTGTGTGTGTACATTCTGCTGCCACAGGCACAATCAACAGGTACATTGATTATGCCTTGCTTCACGAGAACCCCACCCAATCGATCCTCCCAACGTTCACAAATCCTCTCTGCAGCAGTCCACCACACCTTCACGTCCCGATTCCAATTGCCATCCATGCCTCAGCGTTGGCGTTCAGAGGCAAGACAACCTTGGCCGATGCAACAGTACCGGTACCACCTGTGCAGGATCGTGACTGTCTTCTCCCTCCTTCACTTTGATGCGGGGCCCAATGCCCCTCAACCTCTACCCCCACCTTCGCCTCAAGCTTTGCATGCCAACACCGCCGCTCTTGCGTAGACGGCGCATCACCTATGATTGTCCCATGACTTCTTACCCTTTCGCCCACACCTACAACATGACGAGACCAGCAACTCACTCTTGCCAAGCCATCTCACTTGACGCCTTTCTTTACCGACTCGCCTCACATGAGCAGGACGATGCATATCGAGTAAACCAGGCTCCACTTTCCTACCAGCATGGCTGCCTGAGGAAAAAAGACTCGGAGTGTCACACGATGGCGACGAGGGACAGATCTGCATGCACTGGATCTGGGGCTGGGGGGATGGGACACATATTGTGGGGTAGCGTAACCCGACAGCGCCCGTGGCAGACGGCTGCGTTCTAGCGCAGAAGGGTGCATGTCAAAGAGGGAGACGCTTGCCCAGCCCAGTGGCAATTCTCGTGAGGATGAGGTATGGGTTGGGTGGTACCTCACATCTCGAGGTGGCACGAAGCTCAGGCGGTGGACGGCGAGGACGAACGATGTCATCGCAAAGGACAGCCTGACCACCATGGTGCTGGGCATACAGGTCAGATGTCTGGCATTCTCCCTTCGCCCACCACCCTCCTTCTCACATTGCCCACCGCTTTTCATCATCATGCCCTGCCTCGGTCGTCTTCGTGCATCTGAATGGCATCTGAATGGCATCATACCCCGATCCCGTCTGCCGTCTTCCATCGCCTTGCCCACGTGAGCCTTGCTCATGGTGCGGGGACACAGCACTTGCTTCCCCAAACAGTTGGGATCATCGCATCGACAACACACGACTATGCACCCTCGACTCGTCGACTACCTACCAGGTATTTCCTGGATATGTACTTGCAGGTTGGCACCGTTGAGTGTCGCTACTACGCTGGACTGGCTGCAACCCAAGACGGCAGCCACATCAGCCACTCACATGGCAAGGCCGAAGTGCTCACGCGCTCCAAAACCTTGTCCATCTTCTGGAAGCTCTGCCTGGAAGAATGGGCGCGGATGTACACTTCACGTCAATCTCCTCACCCACTCGCCCTCTCCAAAAGCGGTATGTTGAGGAGCGCAAGCTTGAACCCAAAAGTAAATCAACAGTCCCAGACGCCTCCCTCGATATTCGAAACAAATACCGTGCGCTGGCGAATGAAAAAAAGCGCCCTTACTTTGTGACTTTGTGGCGTCCACGTTGGTCCAGAATACACACACCCGCCGCCCGTGTCGCGCCGTCTCCGCCCGAAACACTGGCAGCGGCTCAATGCACGCCCCGCCGATCCTCACATCATCGTATTAAACGGCGCGCCAATGAAAGCCTCGTACCTGGCCTTCGTCCCCAACTCCATGCTTGTACTGAACAGCACACCTCCATGCAACACGCTCAAATGACCTTGCCCACCAGCTCCACGCCCTAGACTATAGTTCCTCGGCTTAAGTTAGGCTCAAAGACAGGAAATAGGGAATGGGAGAGAGCAGAGATGACATGCTTTCGTGGCTTGCCTTATCCAGCTACCGTACCTACAGTACAGCTTGCTTTGCGCCGCTGCGTCACTGGTGGGTTCGCAACGCATCACGGACATGTAGGGACGTCAAACATGTTCCTCTGTGGTCTAGTTGGCTGCCTTGGGACGGCGATGCATCCAAGACAGCCATCTTGACCGCCTTCGGACACATGGCTAGTTGTCAACAGGGGGCAAGGTGTAGCTCGACTGCTGTGACATCAGAGATCAGCCTGGAACTTGTGCGTGGTTTAGCACTTTGCAGTCCAGTCAAGCTTGACTGACTAGGTCTGGGAGGCAAACTTAGTTCACTGGTCTACGGGACTGGTGTGGGTCTTGAGTGAGTTACGTAGGGATGAATATGGTTCTTGGGCGTTGATGTAACTCTTAAATAGATGGTTTGATCCCCGGATCTGGAAAGCCAATTACAAGTGGAATGTTCAAAGAGTCCCAATCATTTTCTTTGAACTGAGAATTGCACTACTCGTACATATATAGCCCGGAATACGCCTACTGCAAACGACCGAGGGCAGAGAATATTGTCAATATGGTTGGACACTGGACTATAACTGCTGCTGTTGGCATACTTGCTAGCATTGCCAATGCATCGCCTTTGTACGTCTACTCAGATATTCACCCACACATAGGCAACCAAGTGCTAACATACCCATAGAGATCACATCAATCTCAAGCGCGCCCCGAGATTTGATTTCGACGGGCAAAAAGTGCGGGGTGTGAACACAGGCGGTTGGTTCGTCCTCGAGCCCTGGATCACGCCCTCCATCTTCGAGGGTAATAATGCAGTCGACGAATACACATTCTGCCAGCAGCTGGGCGCTGATGCAGCGAGATCGCGGCTTCAGGCCCATTGGAACAGTTGGATCACACAGGACGACTTCAACCAGATGGCTGCGGCGGGACTCAACTTTGTGAGAATCCCGATTGGCTACTGGAGTGTGATTCCGAGGGAAGGTGATCCGTATGTAACGGGTGCGTATGATAAGTTGGCAGATGCGCTGGATTGGGCGTCGGCTGCGGGGCTCAAGGTCATGATCGATCTTCATACTGGTGAGTTATATTATCACTCGAGTGGGAAGTGAAGGAGAGAGAACTGACAAGTCGTCACAGCACCCGAATCCCAGAATGGCTTCGACAACTCTGGAAAATACGGAAACGTAGGCTGGACCCAAGGCGACTCCGTCCAACACACCATCCGCGTCCTCAACAAGATCCGCGATGACCACGCCAACCACCCTGCCGTAGCCTCGATCGAACTCCTCAACGAACCCCTTGGCCCCAACCTCGACATGAACGTCGTCCGCCAATTCTACATGGACGGCTGGGGCAACCTGCGCGACTCCAACGTCGCCGTCGCCTTCCACGACGCCTTCCAGGGCGTCACCAGCTGGAACAACTGGGGCGCGGGCATGTGGCACCTCCTCCTCGACACCCACCACTACGAAATCTTCGACAACAACGCCGTCCGCATGAGCATCGACGACCACGTCCGCACCGCCTGCGACTTTGGCAACCAAATGGCATCCACCGGTAAATGGACCATTGCCGGCGAGTGGACGGGCGGCATCACAGACTGCGCAAAGTGGCTCAACGGCAAGAACAAGGGCGCCCGCTACGACGGCACGTACAACGGCGCCGCCTGGACTGGTGATTGTACGGGCAAGTCGACCGGCACGGTTGCGGGCTTGTCCGAGGCCGATAAGACAAATGTCGGACGCTTCATCGAGGCTCAGTTGGATGCGTATGAGAAGGCGAGCGGGTGGATCTTTTGGACGTGGAAGACGGAGGGGGCGCCCGAGTGGGATATGCAGGCCCTGCTTGCGGCGGGGATTTTCCCGCAGCCGTTGACGGCGAGGAAGTGTGAGTTTTTCTTCTTCTTCTTCTTCTTCTTCTTCTTCTTCTTCTTCTTCTTCTTCTCATCCTTGGATGTGGATGATTGTGACAATACTGACGTATTCTGTAGACCCGGGACAGTGCGGTTAGACAGGAAGAAAGGAAAGAAAAACGTGCTGGTTTTGAGCGCAGGATGGGATCAATCTTTTCGTCTCCATTTTCTCCCGCTTTTACTGCGAACGCGACGCCATCCTACTACGCCCATCGCCATCTCAATCGCCATCTTTATCCCACGCATCGCATCGCATCGCGCATACAGCATACCCCATCCCCACCGAACAGACGCCCCTCTCCTGTAACGACGTTGACGAATCTCCTTGCCTATCATTCTATTTATGCGGCTTTTCAGGTTTAGCTTGGTTCAGTTCGCTACGCTTCTCTTCTCATTCTCCTCGCTCCTCTTCATTTGAAAAGATACCCTGGTTTGATGACGGTTTCACTCGCTCTGGGGAATGGTTTTGGGTTTACACACTGGAAAGATACACGCACGGGCGGGAAGGTATACATACATGTACACATGCGCTCGTACACGCGCGCATGTATATAGTTTGGCGTACTCCATGTGCTGTTGTACTGTACATACATATATCCATCACATATACAATCACGCTCGTCATACACACCCTCCCTCTCCCTCGCTCAAACACAACCGTCATGCAACATCTACCCCCACAACACCCCTATCCCATCCACCCAATTCCCCGATATTACCTCCACCCGCCCACTTACCCAGCACGCCGCATCCATCCCGCCAAGCCGTCAGCCGCACGGATGCGTCCATGACGTGGAATGTGGAATATGTGCTGCGTGCTGCAACTATGGGATTGTGGGACCGTGTACAGTAGGTAGGGGATATACTGTACTGTCCCGGTGAGTTGATTTGTGGAGCTGTCAGATCGGGTGGGGGATTTGGGTTGATGTTGTGGTAGAGCTGGAGTTGGGGCGAAGAGTAGGGGAATTTTGGGGGGGTTGCGATGGCGCTGGGGGAGGGATTTTGTGTGTTTGGAATTAGGTGTGTTCGAGTTGTAGTGACTAGGTTTTTGCGATGCCAGTGCAGTGCCAGTTAGATGATGGTTTGCAACTATAAGCGTAACCGTATACCTACCCATCTCCACCTACGTTCATCACAACGGTACCTACATACACGACAAGCCGAAATACCACCGCGCGAAACATCTCACTCATGCTTGTCTCACAGCGATCCTCTATATACATATACATATACAGTACATAGTACCCAGCACATCACATCACACACATGCTACAAACGACCCGGCAAACCACCATGACGCGTCCACCACCTCTGCTTCACCACCCCCTTCCCAGCACACACGCATACAGCAATGACTATCTACATGCCCTGAAAAATGGTCTTCGGTAATGAACCGGCACTTTTCTCGTGCCTGCCAGATCTGAGACTGGGAGTCGTACAGACATGTGAGGTCGGCATGCTGGGATGAGGGATTCGGTGCGTACCGTGTACTGTAGTCTGGACGTCTGTACAATATACAGTCGGGTACCCCAACCCAAGTAACATGCCTCAGCTCCAACCATGAAAAATCGTCAGCCTCGTCATCAGACTCGTCACAGCAGCGGTACGGTAGATTTTCCAGACTTGCGTCAGCGTCATCACGGTAGTTGCACTAGAGTCATTACAGTTGGGAGGTTAGGCTGGACTTGGTAATGGGCGCGTGGCATGCACAGGGCCAAAGCGTGGTTTCAACTCTCGGTTCAATTATTTTTTCTTCGTTCTGGCAGGTGGGTAGGGGGGGAGGGAGTTCGGTGTGACGGTACCGGTGGGTGAGATGGGTGTCGCAGAGTTGGGCCGGATGCGGCCGTGGACAAGGGGGTGGGGGCTGTTTGCGGTGGTGGGTGGGAGGTCATGGAGATATGAGGGTGGCTTGTTTTTGTTGGGAGGTGAAGAAGGTGGAGGGGAGGGCGTTGGGGATTGAGTTTGTGGGTGTGGGTGTGGTTGTGGTGTTGGTCTAGGATGGTGGCTATCACGGGAGGGGAGATGATGGCTGAGTAGAGAGTAGGGCACGTGATGGGGCCGGGGCTTGGTGCGATCAAAGGGTCTGTGTACACACTGCTGCCATCTTCGCTCTAGATGCCGGCTACAGTCTACCAACTTGGGTACCAACCCTACCTACTCTGGTGCTGTGAAATTTCGCTCTCCTTTCCTGTTCCCTCGATGCTTGCTGCTGCCTGTTGATTGCTGCACTGCACTGCATTTGCAGATTGCACACGCGCCTCAAGGCCCCACGTCCAGTCAGAAACAGCAAGGGGAGAGGCCAGCATGTGTGGGCCTGAAGAAGACGCCTCAAACAACCCGACCTGAACTACCCAGAAACTAACCGCAGTAGCATGTGCGCAAATCCAGTCGATCCCCTTATCCGCCGTTACGAGGGGAGATCTGGAGAAAACACACGTGAAGGAGCTTGCCGTACGGGCGCAAGAGCGTTGCTTCATCGGTATGTCGTGATGGGTCGCATCGGTGCGCCTCCAAGCTCGTTGCAACTAAGCTCTATCCTTTTGACTTCCTTTTCGTCTTCGCATGTCTCTGGCGCCTTGTTTATTTCCTCTGCACAGGGCGCACATCACAGGCGATTCATGGCAGGCCCGTTGAGGGGACCGCAATTCCGAATGCCACGATGGACCTCATGATCGCATTTCGCCGGCTTACTTGGACGATTGGCGTTTCCAGACCCTCAGGCGTCCTTTGCCCGACGGCTCGTAATTTCCAGAAATAGGCAGTGCACTTTGAGGCCTACCGTCAGAATCACCCTCTTGCTGCCAAGTACCTACCTAGTACCTACTGAGGCTTGCAGACAAGCAAGCCCCTTGGCCGCTTGGGAACACGAACTGGCTCAACTGTGGTAAAATGGGCAGGCAGACTGTTCATTCGCCAGAGCAGTGTAGGCGAGGCCAATAATGTTAATATGGTATAGCGGACTAGGCTCGCCCTCATTTTGCGGCCTTACTCCAAACTTCAAAGGCGCATGGGGGTTTCGGTGGTGCTAACGCAGGAACAGGGTTGCGACGGCGCGAGAGAGAGGGGGAGATTGGCCGTGCCGCATACGCTTGGCCATTGCATCCAGCTTGGGCTGTTGACTGTGACCGGAAATCAATATAATCTAGACGCAGCGCGTTACATTCCTCGCTTCTTTTGCTTCCCTCCCCGCCAACCTGCACCGCCTGCTTTCCACTCAGCATACCCGCAGACAACGAAGACCCTTGGTTCTTCAGCCCTTCCTTACGAAAACAGTCATTCTTTCAAAGAGCCTAGTACTCTCTCTCCGTACGAATCTACTTATAATCCACGCCTAGTCGTCGCGATAATCTAATACTCTCGTCGGAAAACACTCCAGAAACGTCAAAATGTTCGCAAAGGCTTCTGTCGTCACCTTCTTCGCCAGCCTTGCTGCTGCGCAGCTCCACGCCCCAGTTGGCCAGCCTTCTGGCAATGCCATCACTCGTCCTTTGAACGAGGTAAGTGCCAATTTGCCCTGCGCCGACTTGCGCTGTGCTCTGTTGCGCAACATTTCCTCCATGTTGTGTTCAATCGCGCTGTCGCATAGCACCCCAAACCATCCCCTACAACAACACAAACAAATAAACACTAACCCCACCCCCAGATCGTCCCCGCCTGCAAGCCCTTCACCATCACATGGGATCCCAGCACCCCCAACACCGTCTCGGTGCTCCTCCTCAAGGGCCCCGCCACCAACGTCGTCAAGCACGGCCCCTCGCTCGCTGAGGGCATCGCTAACAGCGGTAGCCTCGCCTGGACCCCATCCTCCGACCTCGAGGCCACCACTGGCCCCAACGGCTACGGCATCCAGATCATCGACGATGTCACCGGCCAATACCAATACAGCACCCAATTCGGCATCTCCAAGGACGGCTGCGCCGCCGTCTCCAGCGCACCAGCCGCTTCCCCAAGCCCTACCCCCAGCCCGGACATGGGCAGCGGCTACCCAACTGGCACTGCCACCCCCGTTGTCTCTTCCTCTTCCTCTGCTGCTGGTGGCTACGGCGAGCAACCCCCGGCTTCGCACGCCTCTGTCGTTTCCAGCCAGGCCCCCGTCCAGAGCCCCCAGCCCCCTTACCCCACTCCCGTCATCGTCACCTCAGTTGGCCCCAACGGCACTGTTGTCCCTCCCACCGGCGGCATGCCCATTCGCCCTACCAGTTCTGGAAACAGCACTGCGTCTCTTCCCGAGCACACTGGTGCTGCCGCTGCTCTCCAGGCTGGTTTGAGCTTTGTCGGTGCTGCGGCTGTTGCGGCGTTGATGTTGTAGGCTTGATGAGGTTGTTGTCGTTTTGTCAATGATGGGTTGGTGTGGGGAAGGTGGTGTTATTGTGTATATGTACATTGCATTCTAGGTTGATAGTTTGTAATGAATTGGCGAGTTTGAGGCTTTTGCTTTTGTGTTTGTGTGCGTGTTCGTATTGTATACCAGTATTTTAAATCCTGTCGTCGCGGCTTTTTATATATTCATGTCATCGCTTTGCGTTTAAGAAGTGTGAGTCTTTATCCATGTGAGCTTTTGTTCTCCCTATGAAATCTACCCGTATAATCACCTGGGCCTGCTTATTCTTCCCTCTCTCATCTCGCTGTCTTTTACACTTCCCTTCTCTACCTCTCCATCCTTCTCCCAGCACAATCGAGCTATATCAAATCCCCCCAATCTCATATCCACCCGCCGTCCCCCATGTGTTCTCCGAACTAATATTGTCGGTGTGTTTGGGTGTGTATTGCATGTATACTAGGCCAGAAATTGAGGGATGGGGTGTGCAGGGGATGGGTGAGGATAATTGGAAACCGGTCTTCTATGGTCATGTCTGCCATTTATATATCTCGGGTATATGAAAATTTTGTAAATCTCTTTGTTTTGCTCGTAGTCCCAGTGGTGAAACTTTCTCACTCTATTCAAACAGGATGCAAGTCCCATCGCATTTCACTACCCGGCTACTTTACTTAGGGTGAGTAAAACTTGTTGACGCATTACCCTCTGCGGATATGGGAGTATACCATAGTCATGGCTGCTACAATCGCTGGATATTTGGCAGCTGCTTTGCCCGTTTGCCGACATTGTAGGTGGCATGCGGTATGGGGCCATAGCTCATATATATGATACTCTTGCAAACGATGTGACTGATGTGCTGAAGAACGATGGGTATTGGTAAATTGAGGTAGTCACAGGTCATGTGCAAACGGCGCTCCTTCCTAGATTCACGCTTGGCGTGTGGCTTGTTGCTGATGGATGTTTTGCTCTACTTGTGATGGAATCCTTAGCATCCTGATTCTCTTTTGCAAAGTGTTACCATCTTTCTTTTCAACACTGCCCCGACCTTCATGTATACATTTTAGCCTACTGTATTGACTAATATTACACTTTAATATGAGCCGCCGACAACATAACTCCCGCAGTGAGGACGGTTCACTGTGCACCGACGAGAGCAACAACACCGCTCCTGCATCCACAAAAAGGATTACGCCAGCTCCGGCTCGGAAACGACCCGTCTTGCCTTGCACTACCACCTCCACTGGCTCACCCATCGAAGGGACTCCAAGCCGTTCTTCTCGCTTTGCAGGTTCACCGGCTCAACTGCACGGATATTCTCGCGCTCACGGCGCAGGATACGATCCTGTATGTGGCATCAAGTCCAGTCCTGAAGAGCTCTATTTGGTCTCTAACTCTTCAAGTCCGAGAGAAATCTGGATTTTTCGTATTCTGGATCACCTCCAAACAGCCACACCGGGAGCTTGGGAAATAGCAGTGTGACTAGGGATGTAAGTAATTCACAAAATACCCTACGATCTAGCTAATGTTGTGACAGGGCGACCAACATGGTCGTCGTCCCAGCAGCTCGCGAACCCAATACTCGTACAGTCACAGTGCGCCCAACACATACAATCGAGGTTTGCCTGGCAACAAGATGGATCTAGTTCGCCAACGTGCGGGCTATTCACAGAATGCATCAAACCTGACGGGTGCATCCTTCAATTCAGAATCGGTATTGCCAAACATGCTCGTACAGTCGGGAGGGCTCCATGCTATGCACTTATCGCAAGCAAATACAGGACAAGTCTCAGGAAATCAAGCTTCCACGAATATCACACGAGGGTTCCCGCATGTCCTGCAGCCATCGCAAAGTCTTCCAGCTCAAGAAACACCGCGAGGATACCAGCCAATCGGCCCTCGACCAGTTTCTTCTGGCCACAACGCACTGCCTATGTTATCCAGTGCTCTCGACCAGCTCCATTTCAAGTCCAAAGATCAGGCGCAGGAATACCTGAATCGTCCAATCCACTACATCATCCCAGGCCTATGGGCCGTGCCGCAGACAGATGCGGCCATGGCTCTCTACGTTGAAAAGTTGGTCAAGGCAATTGCCAATATCGAAGACATATGGGATGGAGAAGAATGTCCCTGGTCGCTGCTCAAGTTCCAGCCGGGCGGCGAATGCACAAATCCGATATACGTCGAGTCTATCGCCTGGGCCCTGGTCAGCGACACCATGAAGATCCATCGGGACGGCATTATTGGTCCCCAATTTAGTCACGCATCTCACTTCAAGGTGGAGGATACGACAGATCTGGAAGTCACCTTCCCGCAGCGTATCGATCTCCTCGCGAAGCTGCTATACCACAGCAAGATGGCTGCTTCTGAGGTCATGATTCGTCAATACGTTGACAAGTATATTGCTATGCCGTTTGCGCACTTGATGCAGTTCCCTCAATTCGTAAACATTTGGACGGCGATTCCTGAAAATGAGCGGATTCGTAGACATGAGATTCTGCCATATCCTCGTTACTCGAGGCACTTCACTATGGCAGAGGGCATGCGATTGTTAGCGGATTATCAGGAGAAGCAACGCCTTTTCCCGCCAACAAGCTCGCAGAACCCAGGATCTGACAACTCAGGCGATCCATCGTCTTCTGATGGTCTGGGGCAGCCAGCAAACTCGCCGCCAAACGATCCAGATACACGCACTGCGAGCAATTTCGGTGGACCATTGGACCATGGATCCCCGGATATGGGGTTTCTTGCCATTCAGCCCTCTGATATTTTTTCTTCGCCCTGGGGAACAGACGCAGAGCGACTCTTTGGTTTCGAAGGCATGGGGTCCTTCTCTAGGGCACCTGGGTCAGCACCTGACGGCGGAGTAATTCAGTCTTCGGTTGGAGAGAGGTACGCCGGGGGCACTGTGCAGAGAAGCAATGAGATTGCTTTTGGTATTGCTGGTGCTGCTCTGCCTGGTTACCGTCATATTGCAGCGAAGAGTGACAGTGGTGCACAGCAAGAAGTCTCGAGCGAGGTAGGGTCGGCTAATGTCGCTGAGATGGACCACTCAAGAACCAACTAGCGCCTTAGGGTGAGCTAATAGAGGGAAGGTGGGAGGCGGGAGTCAGGGCGGACGCTGTAATGGTGAAATGCGAGAGTAAAAGACCAGAAAGCGATATACAATGAGCTCGGGCGTCCTCAACGCATGGGAGATTCCAGAATCAATCAGACAGAAGGATGGTGCTCCGAATGGAATAGTGCCGACTGGCATCTTCAAGTCTACTCTGGTGTCTTGGGTGAAATCCAAATCAGGCGTTCCCGAGCGTCGTTGAAGTCTATCAGTGCCCATGTGCACGATGCGAATAGTGAAAGTTCATTCCACGACCTCAACCCTCTTCAATACGATGATAGCCGCCCTTCATCTATCGCTGTTACAGCTTATTAGACTAGAATATGATCAAGTGACGTTGGGATAAGAAAGTGGAGATGACGTCAAGCTCACGGTGAAAGTGGAAGGCACGCCCCAGGGCAACAGGCAACATTCACCGCGTTTGCCTCTCAAAATTCTCTTCCCAAACTCACTTTATCTTCTGAGCGTAGATTTGATCGACCTCAACTTCTGGCAGTGAGACCTCAACGCAATCCTGAACAGTAGTTGACATCCACGATCATGTCGCACCAGTCGTACTGGACGACAGCGCCACCTCGCTCGCCGTATGAAATCTACCAGCATGGAAACATGCTGAGAGAAGGCGCGTTCACCAGTCCAGCTTCCCATATTTGGCCCTACAGACCACTCCCCTCATACGGATTGGCGCGCGGCATGGCGCCTCCCGTTCCCAATATGCTACCTCTTGCAGCTACGACGCAGAGCCCATGGTCTGGCCTGGCATCCTATCCACCCAGCAGATTACCGTATGCGGATCAGTTTAGCCCAATACTCCCTCACTTTGGTCTTCGAACAGCGCCCTCTCAGATGAATGACACCATGGCAGATGTTATCTCGCCAAGGACTAGAGCTTTTCCGACTAGGGTGGCACCATGGAATGGCACATTTCAAAGCCCAATCGAACCATTCACCGTCCAGGCTGAAGTTGATACTGGGCAGAGGCAGAGTCGGCTCCCACTTGACAGCACCGCGAGGAAGGCACCGCGGAAGGCTTGTGCTATACCTACAAGCGATCCCCCCGACCCGAAAAACCCTCCACCGCGGAGACTCCAAGCCAAAGAGATCTCAGGACGCGTCGCAAAGCCAAAGAGTAGACGCAAGAAGGAGAAATCACTGGCTACGACATCTCGCTCCAAGCTGCCCAACCGTGCGACATCGAAAAGGGCTAGGAAACCAGCACGGTCTAAACAAAATAATGCTACAACAAGCAGTGGCGTGATGCTAGAAGAAGATGACGAAGATAGTGATGTACCCACCCTCACTGTGCGATCCAGACAGCCAATCCAAGCGGAAGATGAGCCTACAAATTCAATACAGCCGACCATTGAAAGGGAAGATGTCATCCGCGAAGCTCAGTGGCGCTCTCAGACTCCCCCGGCCCCGGAGCCACAGCCTATCGAGCTGACATCCACCGTGCCATCTTTGAACCACCAACCGCGAGGGCCTCTTCCACGATGCAAGTGCGACGTTCCTGAGGCTTTACAGGGAGTTCAAAAGGCCATGGGCCCGGACAACTGGAATGAGTACTTGGTATTGCTGGAGAAGTTGTGGATGGGGGAAATCCATGGTGAAGATTTTGCTGTCGCGAGCAGGGCACTGTTTAGGATCTTTGACGACAAATTGAGGATGAGAATAAATAGTCTTGTCATGCGAGATATGATCAAGCCAGGACTGGAGAAGTATATGGCGGAGACGGCGAGGGCAGAGGCAGACAAGACGAACGGTATGGCAGATAAGACAATGGGCAAGGATGAGGCAGACAAAGTGCGAGAGCAGAGTACTGGAAAGGAAAAGGACGATGGAGTAGTAGATTGCTGAAAATGGCTGCATACGAAGAGGACGATGACGGGTGGAATATGTGGATCTTAGATGGCTTTGGCACATCAGTGCAAGGAAAGCCTGTGTTTCCTCATGATGAACCTCGACACACGCTCGAATTTTACCTGCCGTTACTGTAGGTGAGCTCTCTCTGCCGCCAGTACTTAACATAGTTCCTAGCTAGGTAGTGTTGTGTCAACAGGACGACAAGAATTGGGCAATGTGCAGAATATATCCAAGAAGAAAAGAGGCACCTGCAAGTGGAATGAGGGAGTTGTGATTGCAAAGAGTCCTCGGAGGTGGTCCACGGTGTCGGAGATTGACAACACGACTATAGTGGATCTTGTGGAGAAAGGAACACGGGATGGGGACTTGTTCGATGGTGGGGAGGATTCGCTAACAGTCAGACGTTGTATAGTAGTAATCTCAGCTCACTCAGCTCCCCAGCTCCCCTACATGCTGTACAAACACCCAACATTTCGGACCGAAAGAATGCGCATCGAAATCGTCGAATCAAGTAAACTTTTCCGATCGGATGAAGTTCGGTCAATTGCCAGCTGCATCAATGGAAGAATTGTTCCCCAGCCCGCGCCTCTGTGATTCGACCGCTTGGCGCGCACCCTGCCAAAAGGCCTCCGTTGCTACAAGCATATCAAGGTTCGCCGAGCACGTGAAAAGCGTTGCAGATGTTGGGACTAACTCGGTATAGGAAAGATGACCTCATTGCTTCTGCGTGCATTCTTGGCTCTTCACCATCATCACTCAATCAAAATCATCCCCCTTGGGCAACCCCCCGGAGCTTCTATGGGGTGTTCGCTACGTCGGTAATGTTCACAAGCCATGCCTTTACGGAACATGGACCACCACATCGCCTAAACAAAACGCTGAGTCCAGGGGACTTCGGCGGTGAAAGACGACGACATGCCCGTGCCGCAAATGACCGCTGATGATTTCTGGTGGTGTGGAGACTACGGGGGAAGTCTTGGAATTACGCTGGCCAAGAGTTGAGATGGTAGGCAGGGCTTCACCTGCGAGCGGGCAAGCTTGTCCATCTCTCCGCATCGAGAACTCCGTGTGGAGAAAAGTGGGTACGTTCACCACCGGTGTATGCTTCAGCCAATCAACTCCCTGCATTGCGGGTGGGGAGAAGCCAGCCCCCGGATCCCAATTGCAACCTCAAACGCTCAAGTCAACCCAGGTGCAACGTGATTGACAGGGTCGCCCGCCATGGAGCCTCTTGCGTGCCCTGTAGAGGTTGGTATACAGACCCACCTTCAGGCCGCCAGCTCCCCACGATAAACAGGCTGCGTTTCCCCCCATACTTCTCAAAGTCGGTCCCCCATCGAGTTCCACTTAGCCGACGTTGCGTTCCACACATTGCCCTTGACAAGCTTGAACAAGAACTGTTGTCAACATGGAGGCCAAGGATATTGACAATGCGGAGTCTCCGCACAACGAGAAGAGTGAAAACGTAGTCGACTCGTCAGCGGATGACATTCCTGGTCGTCGCGAATCGGTCTCTGTTGCCGGAAATATTGTCCACAACCCTCTTGCGCGCTTATCCAAGCAAGCAGTCGTCGCCGATGCGCGCTCTTTTGCTGAATCCAATGGCTTGGAAGCAGAAGCAGCACTCTTCGAACGTGCTGCTCTTGTGGCGCGTGACCCCACTGGATTTGAGAATCTTACAGAACTCGAGGATGATGAGCGTGCTGCGCTGATCTACGAGAGAGAACACAAGTGGCATGGATCGAAAATGCTCTGGTACTCAATTGGCTTGTGTGCCGTTGGAGCTGCGACACAGGGTTGGGATCAGACTGGCTCCAACGGCGCCAACTTGTCGTTCCCCGAGGAATTTGGTATTGCACATGGTGCGAAGAATGAGTGGATCGTTGGCTTGATCAACTCTATTATTTTCTTGACTGCTGGCCTCATGTAAGCACGATATCTGCGGCATGTGTACATCTCAGACGCTAATTGCAAGCATATAGTGGCGCCTTCATTGTTGACCCTCTCAACCACTACCTTGGCCGACGAGGCGAGATCTTTGTCACCGCCCTCTGTCTTACAGCCACCCCTATTGGATCTGGATTCGCCAAATCATGGCAAGGGCTCTTTGCTGCACGGTTTGTCATGGGCATCGGAATTGGAGCGAAGAACGCCACGGTGCCCATCTATTCTGCTGAAATGGCGCCTGCTCGTGTTCGAGGGGCTCTGGTCATGTTCTGGCAACTCTGGGTCGTCATTGGTAAGCTAGAATTTCCATATAGGCCTTTGAGCAAATAGCTAACGAGGTACTTGTAGGAATTTTCCTGGGTTTCACTGCCAACGTCATTGTCAAGGACACCGGTGATATAGCATGGCGTCTCCAGCTTGGTTCTGCTTTCATCCCCTCCTTCATCCTTGGAGTTGGCATCTATTTCTGCCCCGAATCCCCTCGATGGCTCATGAAACACGGCAAGATCGCGCAGGGCTTCAGATCTATGTCTGCTCTTCGCGCCCACCCTATCATTGGCGCACGAGACTACTACTATTCATACGTCATCTACCAGGAGGAGCTCAAGGTCGCCCGTGGTGCTGGATACTTCACCCGTCTGTGGGACTGCTTCCGCGTTCCCAGGATCAGGCGTGCGAATTACGGAGCTTCCACCGTTATGTTGGCGCAGCAAATGTGCGGTATCAACATCATCTCCTTCTACAGCTCTACTATTTTCCGCAACGTCGGATATACTGCTGAACAAGCCCTCTACGCATCGCTTGGATACGGTGCTATTCAAGTCGTTTTTACGATCCCGACCCTGTTCCTTATTGACACCAAGGGCCGTCGTACGCTTTGTTTGATCGTAAGCTGCACGTTTCCCTTATTTCCTCTTGCATGAAACTAACAAATCACAGACATTCCCATTGATGTGTCTATTCCTCCTTGCAGCTGGTCTTTCTCTCCTCAACAACGAAGGCTCACGCGGTGCTCAAATCGGCCCGGTCGTTCTCTTCGTCTATCTTTTCACCATCATGTACTCACTCGGCGAAGGCCCCGTTGCCTTCCAATACTCTGCGGAAGTTTTCCCAACCATTCAGCGTGAGCAGGGTATGGCCTGGGCCGTCTGCATCAACAACACCTTCGCTGGTATCCTCTCCCTCACCTTTCCTCGTATGAACACAGTCATGACCCCCACCGGAGCCTTCGGCTTCTATGCGGGTCTCAACTTGATTGCGTGGGGCATGATTTTCTGCTTTGTGAGAGAGACCAAGCAGCTTACGCTCGAGGAGCTGGACCAGGTGTTCAGTGTGCCGACGAAGACGTATCTCAGATACGAGACGAAGGTTTGGCTGCCGTATTTCATCAAGAGACATGTGCTCAGGAAGAAGATTGCGAAGCCGGATCTCCTGGAGAAACACAACCGCGATCGCGGTATCGACCAGGTTGTTATTTGAAGAGTCATGTACGATATGAGCGTAATGGGAAAGTGGTAATAATTTTACGATCGTTACTTGGTGAAGGAGGGATGAATTATGGGTGGTGTGGAAATGATAGGTTGCTTATACCCCCTCGTGCGCGATTGGCCAGCCCACGGGTAGAGCGCACGGTTGTTATGAATGAATCTTTTGATAAGAATGCTTGCTCCAAAACTGATGCTTGAATCTCCTCCGTATCCTTTCCCCTCTGCAACGTGATCCCAGTACTCTCCTTTCAAAGATCACACCAACAACCACATCTGCACGGACTGATCTTATTGCTCTTTGTGGGTCGCAGGCTAGCTAACACATGCTAATCGAGCTCCCCTCCCTAAACCCACCCCGATCCAGGCCCACGGTGCCCCCTCCCCCCACCAAACACCCGTTATGTCGTACAACCTCCGGCCAACATTCGACCAATCAAGCCCCCAACAAGTCAGGCGAAAGCATTCGCGCTTGTAGATCGCCATAGTTCTAACCAGGGCCGTGTGGGACGGACATGCGAAGCGGAGGGCCCGTTCCGCAACGACGGTCCTTGACTGGGTACCACATGATTAGTCGAGAAGTACTGCACTACAGTTTTGCTAAAGCATGACGTGGTCTTGCGTGACAAGTGGTGGCTGTTATTCGACTGATTGGGCTTGTTGAATTGATGGGAGGTTCAGTGGGTGGGGTGGGGTGGGTGGTTTTGGCAGGTGAGGAAGGGTGATGGATGAGGGGATGTGAGGACGATTGATGGGTTGGGCTTGGCTTTGCTATTTGTTTTGGGAGTGTGGTATGCTGGGAGAGGAACAGGAGATCTTTGGTTGTGCTTTTGGAAGGTTGTCGTGCTTGGATGGAGTGGCAAAATGAAGCAGCAAGACGGAAATGCATGCTGTATGGTCATCGGTAGAAAATTACTAGCTATTGGTGAAAGCAGAATCAACAGAGGAGGCTAGACACCTGGCACACACGTGGGACTACTCAACGCCGGGGAACGAAGAAATAGTCATGGGTGACTAGTGGCCAAGTCATTGGAAGATTAAGCTCGACTCCGCGCCGCACTCATCAGGTTGTGACTCGCTGCTTGTACAACACGATGAAGGTCATAGCGTGAACACATAGGCACTTTGCTGGACAAAGTCATGATCATGACTTACTCTACCAAACTGACTGTCAAAGCCATCGTGCGAAGACCATGACTAGAGGTATTTCTGACTCTTTGACAGTATCTGTGACTGTGTAAAGTCTATGATAGAATGCTATGACAGTATCTTTGCGACAGTATAAAAGCTGTGATAGTAATGCGAGTATAAAGCATCAATCATTATAACAGAGCAACCACAATTCACACATCCATACGAAATTCTGCAAACCGCTACGAAACCATGGATAGAACAGCATTCACCACAGGGGTAGCCAGCGACGAAGGACGCGTCAGCGCCATCACCAGTCTCAGCGAAACAGTAAAAGACCTAACCAGCAAACTTGATGCTCTTAAACAAGACAAGCTCCGAAAGTGGAAATGGAGCAAAGAAGCTCTATCCATCGTCGCCAAGCTCCAAGACCTCGCATCCACCAACCTCCCGCTCGTACGCTCCCGCCTCGATAAAGCCCTAGAATTCCCGTCCGCAGAATGGACAAACACTCCACTATTTACCGGTGGCAAATTCGGATTCGAGCAATTCAACCGCACGCCCGAGTGGTTCGACGAGATGGGCTTTCTCGTGCAGAGAACAGCTTACACGTTTTCTGATACGTGGGACTGCGCCCCCATCACCGCTACATTCCTTGTGCCCACGAACCTCGACACCCGCAATGCCAAGAAATTGAAAATCGTCTTCTACTTCCACGGCGGGGGATTCTGCACGGGCGCTGGCGATTTTGTGTCATGGTACTCGCGCTCGAGCGTTGAATTCGCGCGGGCCAACAACGCCATCATCATCGCGCCGGATTATCCGCTGGGCCCTGAAGCGAGCTATCGCGACATCAGCAATGCCATCAAGACGTTTCTGATCTGGTATAACGAGGGCGGCTGCTTTGAGCCGGGCAACTTTACACACTGGAAGCAATGGCTGTCCACTGTCACCGCCATGGACTTTACCAACCTGCAGCCTCAAATCAACGATATCCTCATCGAAGGCGAGAGTGCAGGAGGCCATGCAGCTGTGACAGCTATGTTTGCAAATGCCGAGAAGAAAATTGAACATACGAATCCATGGGCATGTGATTTACCCATTGCAGCTGTGTTCCTGCGGTATCCCATGGTCAAGCACTATGCACGCGAATGTCCAGATTCGGTTACTTATATGAATTCGGAGTTTACAAGAGCGGAGGTTCAGAAGCACGCACAGGATATCAAAGATGCGATTGTGGAATTGGAGGCTTTTGAGCTAGTTCCGTCGAGGAGTAGAAGTCACCCTCCCCACGGTATGTCAGCCGCCTTTCTGCTCTCCATTACGAAGGAGTGGCAAGCCATGTTCCAGCGCCACGCTGTCAACGGAAACGATATCGATGCTGCAATGGATTGTCTGGAGCGAGTAGAGGCCTATGTTGGCAAGGTCGACACAGTGCTACCTCGTATCATTATGTATCACGGTGACAAGGACTCCAACTGTCCAATTGACGAGACCAGGAGGTTCTGCGACCTGTTGATCCAGAATTATCCGGAAATCTATACGGAGAACGATACGCTCATCTTTCAGAGCGTGGGCAGTTTGGCAGTGCAAGCGACGTGGATTAAGGAGATGGGGAGATTGGAGGCTAGGGCTGTAGATACTGTGGCCCATGGTTTCGATTATGATTTGATTCCCAGAAATGAGGAATTCTTACGGAAAACTTATCGGATAATTGGAAAGTGGTGGCTGTAGATATCATGCTGACTATGTGTAATGGCAAGGAAGGCTTCGAGAAAGCGGGGTGGTTGAATCAGTCACGTGGCATTATATAGAGCCCTAATCACTGATTTAAAAACTACTTTTATTCTCTTACTGGTGCAAAGCATATCTTGATGAAAAGAGAGCTAGTCCGTACATCATTCTTCAGTCACTTTATGCCTGTCCCGCTTGAACTTAAAGTGTATCCTTGAACAACGGACTCCGATCCCCATCTTCTCTAACTGCTCCTCCGTATAAATACTCCGCCACTCCTCCTCACTCTTCTCCGCATTCTTCTTATTTTGCCTCTAATACAAATACTCGAGCGTAAAAGCAGCCAGCATACCCGCAGCCGCAATCGCCAGACTCGTTCCCAGTCCCGTCGGATACTTGGGACTCTCACGCTGCTGAAAGATGAAATTGCCCGCAACACCTCCGAGATTGCCGATGGAAATCATGGTCGCGATACCCATGGCTCGCTTTTCGGCTCCCGCGAGGTTGTTGATGGTCCAGGCGCTGGAGCCGGGGGTGATGGGGTAGAGGCCGATGCAGGCTATATACACGGCACAGTAGCAGAGGGCAACGTGTTGCTTTATGGCCTCGGCTTTGACGAAGAGAGTGGAATAGGCGATTATTATGAGAGATTGTGAGGAGACGAGAAAGGGCATGCGCCAGGTCAATCGGTCTGCATAGAGAGCTGAGATGAGTGCGGAGATGGCGCGCAAAGGTAGGGTGCAGCAGTCATCAGTTGAGCCTGTGTTGTCGAGAAACCCACTGGGCAAGACGTTAGTGGGTATCAAAGATTGGTGTAAAGAGGAGAGGTATTTGCTTATTGTTTTTGATTATCTGGGGCATTGTGAACTTTAGACCATAGTTTGGAACTGAGTTGGAGGTTATGACTATAGCTAGTAGATAGATCTGCCAGTCTTTTATGACTTGGACAAAGAAAGACCATTGGGCGCTTCGCTTCTTGCCATTGGGATTGACAGGTTGATTTGTCGTCACGCCACGAGCCAGATTGTGACTGAGCCTGAGGAAACGAGCCTCATCATGAGTGAGCAAGCGACCTATGGCAAGCTCCGGAGTGTCAGGAAGAATCCAGAAGACTGCGAATCCTAATACAACGGTTACGAGCCCTTCAAGGATAAAGAATCAGCGCCAGTATCATTTTGAATTGGATATTTCGGGCACCTTCACCTGCAAATATCCAACTCAGCATTCTTTTGCGAAGCAGCGAATAAACACCACAACCACAACAACCACTATATTTTAGCATCCTTTGGCGAAGCATTGTGGTACCCGAGAACTCTCCCTTGCTTTCTTATATGCAATTGTCAACCATGACGGAACTGTCAGAATGATCAGGATTATGGTTTGGCCAAGATTGATATCAAGGCGAGTGGCATGCGCTACTCCCAGTTTTTCGACAAGGAGTGTATGCCGTCCTCTCGGGTCACTGCTCTCTAGCGTCGGCGAAATAATGGGACGTTGGTGATCTCTACTTCACTGCCTACTATATATACCCTGATTTACGATAACACGTGGTCCATTGCTTATTTAGGGTTGAATAACGCCCACACAAACTGTTTCCTATATTGCGATAGTAGCTCGTATTGTATACTTGCATCTGAATAGTCATCATGTTGGTGTTTCGCTACACCACCACCAGTCAATATCCTATTGTTTCGCCGACGCTACAGACCGCTCCTCCATTGCTGCATAATCGGTACACTCTGCGGTGCTGATGTTGCATCCGTCCCATAAGCGACTTACTACTTCAGGAAATGGTGTGAAACGTAACTTTCACTAAGACTGCCTAGGCAGCGCCCAGGAGGCATGGAGACGCTTGGGTGCGGATGCTTCCTCGGCCACTTTTTGACGGCTGATCTACGTCGTGCCGGTACTTGTGGCAAAGACCCTGCGATGACGATTGGTACAGATTGGCCCCCGTCTTCGACAGTGAGTGGTGTTGAGATGAGCTTACATAACTCAAATCCATGTATCAATCGCAGCTAGGCTCACCATTGGCTAAGATCCGATGCTTCTATATCAATGTATGGTGTGAGTGAGCAGTTACTATAGTATCCCCATGAAACTGTTGAGATTGTTCCACAATTTAGCTCAGGACTCTGGTAGTGGTATAGGCTAAAATCAAGTTATTAGACATATTATAGGACGGGGTAAAGTTGGGGTGCGCATTCTAGGTTCTGGTGATAATCTATACGAACTTGAGTTAGGTACAAAGCTGGCAAACAAAGTCGTCACAGGACTTTTCCTGTCTTATCTGGGCTTGTCTATTTGGCTCTAGACACCTATGCATAGCTGCGTTCATTAATGTATCAGCTTGGCCATAAAATGTATCCATATATTCTTCCAGGAGCTCTGTCTCATTGTGCAGATGCTGCGCAACCTCCATGGTATTAATGATGTGCTCGTATGTTAGTAGTCTCTCCTTCCGGTTAGCCAGCAACTTCGGATTCTTAAGGATGTTCTCGATCATGCCTTCCATTCATCTTGAGGCATGCTAGCTCTCTTAACTTTTGTCTCAGTGATCTCAAGGGTGGGGTTATCATTCTTTGGAGTCAAGTTCGCGCCTTTGAGGAAGTTGAGCCGGACGGTCTTCCGGCTTTCGATGGAAAGGCTAGGTAGTCTAAGGAGATATCGATAAATTTCTGGGATGCTGAATCGAGGGGCCCATATATGATAGGTTGCGAGGAATAGGGTGCTTTTATTAGTTCTCGAGAACGTGGAGGAGGAGATATACGAGCTTGTAAAGAGATTGGGCTTCGAAGAATACAGTACCTACATCAGCTTTAGGAGGAAGAATACAGTACCTACATCAGCTTTAGGAGGAAGAATACAGTACCTACATCAGCTTTAGGAGGAAGAGTACTGGCACGTGCTGCACATTTTGAGGATTCTCTTTGGCTTGGCTTCTAACGTAGGACGCATTGTAGCCAAGGTCTTTAGTAGCAGTGAGGTGTAGTAAGACACGCATCTCCTTTGCTACAGCCGCACTGGTGAGTGTCTTGCCAATGCCGGGAGGCCTGCAGTTGAGGTGGAGGTGGAGGTGGAGGTGGAGGTGGAGGTGGAGGTGGAGGTGGAGGTGGAGGTGGAGGTGGAGGTGGGCTGGAGAGGGGACGGATTTGGACTAGTGGAGATGAAGCTAGTTTAGCTACCGGAACCCCACGACATCGGCGGTCGGCGCTTCATTCAAGACCCCCCCACCATGACTCTTTTTTTAATTCTCGTCGCATGCGGCAGGCGTCCTCTTTTTTGAGAGTTAGCACAGTGTAAAGTACTGCCAGAAAGAAAGGGCGACCGCGTCACCCTCCAGCCGCTCGCCCGCTCACTCACTCCCACATCCTGTGTACACTCTCAGCCATGACTACCCACATCAAAGTACCGTGCTCGTCAGCCAACATTGGCCCTGGCTTCGACGTCATTGGCCTCGCCCTCAATCTCTATCTCGAATTGGAAGTCACCGTCACCCGCAAAGACAAGTCGGAACATTCACTCAATTGCAAAATCACATACGAAGGAGTCGGCGCAGAAGACGTCCCCCTTGTCGCCCAAGACAACCTCATCACGCGAACGGCCATCTACGTGCTCCGCTGCCATGGCATTCGCGACTTTCCCGTCGAGACACACGTGCACGTCAAGAACCCGATCCCATTAGGTCGAGGGCTGGGCTCTTCTGCTTCAGCCATTGTCGGCGGTGTATATCTGGCGAATGAGGTGGGCAACCTGCAGCTGAGCAAGGCGCGCATGCTTGACTATTGCCTGATGGAGGAGCGCCATCCAGACAACGTCGCGGCTGCTCTCTATGGAGGGTTCGTCGGTACCTATCTCAATGAGCTGTCGCCCGAAGACACGGAACGCCTCGAGATTCCCCTCAGCGAAGTGCTGCCCCAGCCCGCTGGTGGTGTTGACACTGGTCTACGCCCGCCAGAGCCCCCCCTCAACATTGGTCACTACACAAAATTCAATTGGTCACCTGCGATCAAGTGCATCTGCATTATCCCTCAATTCGAGGTTTCGACAGCAAAGGCACGCGCAGTCCTTCCCGAGACATATTCGCGCAAGGATGCCATCTTCAACATGCAGCGCCTGGCCGTCCTCACTACTGCCCTTGGGCAAACTCCCCCAGACCCTGATATGATCTACACCGCTATGCAGGATAAATTCCACCAGCCCTACCGCCGTGGTCTGATTCCAGGCCTCACGGAGATTCTCCAGTCCGTCACCCCACAATCACACCCTGGCCTGCTAGGAATCTGCCTTTCAGGCGCCGGCCCTACCATCCTCGCTCTCGCATCCTCGAACTTTGACTCGATAGCAGAACACCTTCTCAAGGAGTTCAAGAGAGAGGGTATAGTCTGCGATTGGAAATTGCTCACTCCAGCTGAGGAAGGCACTACTGTCATCCGCCCCACATCCACCAACATCGACGGTGGAGAAGCACTCACATATGCGTCATCAGGCGTTAGCATCGACGCTGGCAACCAGCTCGTCAAGCGCATAAAAGCCTCGACGGCCAGCACCCGCCGGCCAGGCGCTGATGGTGAAATCGGCGGATTTGGCGGCCTTCTCGATCTACAAGCGGCCGGGTACACCGAGGCCCCTATTCTTGTCGGCGCCATCGACGGCATCGGCACAAAAGTCAAAATCGCTTTTGAAATGGGTAAGCACGACACTGTCGGTATCGATCTCGTGGCTATGAACGTCAACGACCTTGTCGTTCAGGGCGCCGAACCACTCATGTTCCTCGACTACTACGCCTGCAGCAAACTCGATGTCGAAGGTGCAGCCAAGTTTGTGGAAGGCGTCGCCGAGGGGTGTCGGCAATCTGGTGCTGCACTCGTAGGCGGCGAGACTGCAGAGATGCCAGGTATCTACAAGGAAGGCGAGTATGATGCTGGTGGTGCGGCCATTGGGGCTATCAAGCGCGGTACTACCATTCTCCCCGACTTCGCGGCCATGGCAGAAGGCGATGTTCTTCTCGGACTGGCATCGAGTGGTGTCCACAGCAATGGCTTCTCTCTTGTCCGAAAGATTGTAGAAAAGCAAGGTCTGTCCTTCCGCGACGCTTGTCCATGGCAACGAGGAACGGACATTGGCACCGCGCTTCTCACGCCAACGCGCATCTACGTGAAACCCCTTCTTGCTGCCAGTCGTCATGGGTTGATCAAGGGAATGGCGCACATCACCGGTGGCGGTCTCCTCGAGAACATCCCACGCATGCTACCCAAGACGCTGGCGGCGGAGCTAGATGCGAAGACATGGCCGGTACCAGATGTGTTTAGATGGCTCAAGAGCGCTGGACGACTAGAGCATACCGAGTTTGCGAGGACATTCAATACGGGGCTTGGTATGGTCTTGGTGGTCAGCCAAGACAAGGTCAAGGCGACAATGGAAGGGCTGGAGGAGTTTGGGGAGAAGGTATATGTGGTTGGGTCGCTGAAGAAGCGATCAGGGGCCGACTGTACGGTCACCAACATGGATGTCTGGAGTTGAAGAAATGAGGAAACATTGTTTGCGATTTCGGTTTGGGGTATGTTCGGATGCGCTAGATTTCCCATTCCCGGTTCCCCAATAATACCCACTTTTTACATGTGTTATTGTACCCAACGTGTGCATGCGATGCTGCAGCTATAGGTAGGCCATGCTCAGGCAAGTGTTTGACTTGGAGTCATGCAGACATGCGATGACGGTGTTATAACTCGTAGCGCAAGTCGCTTGGCCATTCCGTGTCCGCCGTCTGGTTATAGATGTTGGCAGGACTAGGAAAGCAGCTGGGTGGACAAGGAGGGTGAATGCAGGTGTGTATAGTACGTACCTGTTCAGTACCGGTAGGTCTAGAAGGCCGAGCAGGGTCGCAACAAGGACATTGCGCGTCTCACGTTCCCTGCCGATAGTGGCCCTCTCTTTACAAGAAAACATGAGATACACGCGCGACCGGATGCGAGGAGGTGGCCGATTGCTCTACGAAATGATGCGGGACCGTCTTGGAAGCGGTGGATCCATGCATGGCCATGGAGTGGAGCTCAGCCCAAGCCGCTAGAAGGCCAGCGAGGGCTTCTGGTTGCATGCGCCCTCTGCACGCTTGCATGTGAGATGGCTGGTGGGTGCGGCGGTGCTTCCAGGGTTGTGACTTTGCTTATCAGCCACTTCTCTTTGCCTCGTGCGGTGTGTACGGTAGAGTGCAGTGTGCTGTCTGATGTTGTATCCTACCAGCGACTCCAGTCAACGCATCGAGCGAGGAGAACTGCAACATGATCAAGTCGCGGCTTTGGGCAGAGTGCCGTAGACGGTACGGGTACGGGGAGGTTAGTTGGCCCAATTATACCTACTCTACATTGGACACCCTGTGTCCATACATAGCAAACTGCCATTTGTGGGCCGGGGTACTCACACCGACTTGGATAGGCAATCCGCTCCAAGGCGTCCGGGCAAGCCCTCGCAGCCCAAACGAGTGTTATCGAGGCGCGGAGGGTGCATGTGTGTATAGGACAGCGGTGGATGCATTGCTTATCGGCGAGAGTGCTAGGTAGCTATAGACCCAAGATGACCGGCATGTTCATCACAACACAGCCTGCTTCTGGCATGTCTGCTTTCACATGCGTGACATATCAGGTCAGCGTGGGGTTCACAGAAGTACCTAATCCCCCCCTTCCCCCCCCCCCTCTGCTCAACAAAACGCTCCTTGTTTGGGAGGGGGGGAGGGGAGGCAATTGGAGTACGACGACGACGACGACGACGACGATTCGGCGGCACGTTTGCATTGGCATTGCGCAATATACTACTCTGCCTGTTGAGTAGAGCGCTAACTGTACTTGTGGGACGGGTAACAGAAGCGCTACTCTGTGGCTTGTGTGGCCGTCGCTGGGCTGATGGCGGTACGTACCCTCCCCATCGGACATGGTCGATAGCGTAGTACCTACTACTCTACATACCGTGTCGTAGAGTGCAGGTGGCCACTCCTTTCTTTTTCCGGACATGCACTTACGGCATTGGCAAAACGAGCTTGCGGTCTGATGCTGGAACTTTGCCTGGAAAGTAAGTAGTAGATGGGCCAGGGATTCGTCCATGTCCAACGGCTTGTCCACGGGTGGCCTACGGGGGCTAGGCTGAGTGGATCGCGCCGACCGTTTTCTAGACTTGGGTTTCCTATTTCTTTTTTTTTCTCCTCTCTTCTGGCGTCTGGCGTTTGGCGTCTGGCGTGTGTGTGTGTGTGTGTGTGTGTGTGTGTGTGTGTGTGTGTGTGTGTGTGTGTGTGCTGAGCTGAGGAGGGCATCGCGCGATTCGCAAGCTCCCCCCTTCTGCTCCGGGCTCTTCCCCTCCTCGCCTCGGCGACGCGATATTCTCACCTGCCTTGCCCTTGCCTTGCCCTTGTCTTGCCTTGCCTTTGCCTGCTTGCCGCGAATCCAACCGCCGCCGCAGCACACCTCCCCTTCCCCCCCCCCCCCCCCCCCCAACCGACGCACGTATCACACCAGACAGTGACACAGTCCACCTCCACGCTCGCTGCTCATCATCCCACACACTTATCAATCCCCTCCCTCCCTCTTCCTTCACAATGACCACTCCCTCCTCCAACACCCCCGCGCACACCACACACCCCATCAGCACCACCACCCAGCCCGCCCATCCGCTCCAGAGCGAGGCCACCGCCGCCCACCCGCCCTCGCACAAACCAGACCCAACCCTCACCAGCAACGATGCCGCCGCCCAAGGAGGACTCTCCACCCCCCATCCCTCCGCCGCCGCCGAACTCTCCAGTCTTACGTTAACCCTCAAGTCGTCGCTGCGCCAATTCCCCGACTTCCCCAGTCCCGGCATCCTCTTCGAAGACATTTTGCCCATCTTCGCGAACCCCGCGCTGCACGAGGGCCTCTTGCGCGCCCTCGAGCTCGCCGTGCACAAGCAATTCGCCGGCGCAAAGCCAGACGTTGTCGTCGGACTGGATGCGCGGGGGTTCCTGTTCGGGCCGTCGCTGGCGTTGAGGCTGGGTGCGGGCTTCGTGCCTGTGCGCAAGAGGGGCAAGCTCCCCGGTCCGTGTGAGACGGCCGAGTTTGTGAAGGAGTACGGAAGTGATTTCTTCCAGATGCAAGAGGGTGCTGTCAAGAGCGGGCAGAAGGTGTTGATTGTGGACGACATCATTGCTACAGGTGTGTTTCTTCTTCCCATTTCCCCCCACCACCCACCAGCCCGGATAGAATCTGCTCGCTCAATCGTCCGAGTACATGGACACCAATAGCCTGGGGACAAGATTCGCTGACAATTTTCATCAAACAGGTGGCTCAGCAGCTGCCGCTGGCTCGCTCGTCAAGAAACTCGGCGGCATGACCGTGGGCTACATCTTCATCCTCGAACTCGACTTCCTCAAGGGTCGCGACAAGCTCGATGCGCCCGTCTACACATTACTCACCGGCCAGGAGGAGAAACTGCAGCAGTGAGCTGAGCTGAGCTGAGCTGAGTTGAGCATACGAAGCCAGCCCCCGCCAGCACCACCACACACTGCCATATACCCCACCATCTTCATATGCGCCACTCGCGCACCGCTACATGGCACCAAGACATACCTAGAAACACAACCATTTGCGTTGATAGACCGGGGGCAAAATTTCTTGCATGAAACAAAAGCGGCGTTTTTTTGTTGTTGAGACGGTCATCTTCTCCACCGTAGAGGGGGAATATTTTTCACCATGACGATGATGCATTATATTAGAAATCTCTCTGGCTAAAGATACAATCCACCTTTGAACCGCGACGCTCGATTCCACGTCTTGCTGCATCGACATGTTTGGCTTTTTTTTTAAATACAGAATATGCATACCCTGTCTACATATCTCAAAACACTACTAGCCTTTTTTTTTTTACGTGAATGTTTAGAGTTGCTGGTGCTGATGTATTTTGCCTACTATCAAAACTCCTACACTAGACATACCAACTACACCCCTATACCACCGCACACCAGCTCAATACAAATCTATCCCACACCTACCTATATCCCTAAACCCTCCCCATCCCTTCCCCGTCGCAAAACTCTCCCCCCCCCCCCCCCCCGGCTCAAGGATTTTTTTTGCTGAGTCATTAGTGTACTGCAACCCCCGCGCCCCCTCCCCCACCAAGAATGTGATCGAGTGAAGATTGTGCTGCTCCTGGGCGTGGTGGGCCTGGTACTATGGGGGTATGGAAGGGTGTGATTGTGTGATTGTCTATCTTTTGTTGAAAAAGAAAAAGAAAAAGAAAAAGAAAAAGAATAAGAATAAGAATAAAAGGAGTAGTATTTGCTTTGATTGTTTGTTCCTTTCCCATAGAGTCGTTGTATTCTGCGACGCTAGAGCGACCCCTCTACCCCTCCAACCGCAGCCTTGCATGCGGCTTTATCGGCATTACCCCACCTTGCACTCGAGTTCTCCGTTGGAGAGACCTGAGACGAGGGGAAACTTTCTGGCAGCTGGGTGGAGATAAAGTTGGAGCTTGTCCCGCCCTCACCCTGCTTCTTCTTTTCCCTAGGCTTCACCAGACAGCTACGACACGACACGACACGACACGACACGACACGACACCTGCACCAGTTGATGATACGACGAGGCATAGCCGTGTTTACGAGATCGAGATTACCGTTTACAAAGCTGAGCTTACCATCCACCTGTCTGCTTTCGACGTGCAGGACGACAGCTTTTGGCATTGCGGAGAAAGGAAGTGCGATTGTAAGAGGTAAAGGGATTCAAGAACAGAGGAGAAATATGTCGGATATCAAGAAGGTTTTTACGGACAAGGCTACGCCTCGTAAGTTTTTCCTTTGGATGGCTGCTTGGACTTGGGGATGAGAGAACTGACATGTGATCGTGTAGCTGCTGCCGCCTATGTATGTTTTTTCTTTATTCGACTCCGTATGGGCGTTTGCATACCTGTACACCATTTATACGCTGTCCTCTCAGGGAACGGATGATGTCAGTATGGCAATAGGCATGGTATGCTGACGCTCTACTATTAGTCTCAAGCCATCATTGCAGGTCCCCAGATTTTCGTCTCAGGCCAAATTCCCGCGGATGCAAAGGGCAACCTGATCGAGGGTAGCATCACAGAAAAGACAGCTCAATGCTGTGAGAACATCAAGGCCATTCTCGCCGAGGCCGGTGTCGGCATGGAGAAAATCGTCAAGGTGCGATCTGCTCCCCTCCTCTTCCAAAGCACCATCTCCACATCCCCCAAACGCTCCATCCCCTTTTTTACAACCATACTAATGCTAAACTGAAACCAGGTCAACGTCTTCCTCGACGACATGGCCTACTACGCAGAAATGAACGGCGTGTTCAGCAAGTACTTTGCCCACGAGCCTGCGCGCAGCTGCGTTGCGGTCAAGCAGTTGCCCAAGGGTGTGCCCGTGGAGATTGAGTGCATTGCTTACAATGGTATGCCGTCTAAGCTCTGAGGAGCAGGTCCTTGGTGCATTGGACTGAACGTCTCGCCTAGGTTAAATCGATGGCGTGTCGAGGATGGAGCTGGGGTTCTTGGTGAGAGGCAGGGATGTGGGGAGGATTGGCATGTCCATTTACACTGCTGCGAATTGGGTGGAAATATGACAATGTCAAGGGTGGTTTAGGATCACTTTGTCAATGTTGTTCGTGCTGGATTGAAGCCGTGTCGTGGCTCTCACATTTTCTTTTCGCCCCCCAGTCTTTCTGCACTCTCCCGCCCTGTTCAGCACCAAAAAGCATCCTGTTTGGCTCCAAAGACCCTGTTATTCTATCCTCCAGATAGCCATAGCGGCCTTTGCCGTCTCAAGACACCCAAGCTGATACTATGCACCACAGCCTCGCTGAGCAACACTTGGCCTTGTGATGTGTTTTAGCGTACTACCTGCTGCACAGCCGCAGCCGACAATATAAGTTACCGGAACTGAACTGAGCTTTATTATTACCATACTGTAATAATCTGGTATCAAAAGTAAGTCCTCCAGGACCTCTGTGGGCGGTTAGAGACATGTCTGGTTTACAAGCGTACTTGGATGTACTTCAGTGCATCTATACCCACATGTTTGATTGCTTCTAATGGCCCGGTTGCCAGAAGTCCCACATCAATTTACTTTAGCGATGCAGAAGCAGCTCTCACTATTGGGCCGGGGTAGGAAAAGGAGTCTGAAGTTGGGTTAGTCTAGCAGAGAATCACAGATCTGTGGTCAATTTGGCATATCAGCACGAATTGTGGCCAGCCTAGTACGGTACGAAATCGTAGAGCGTGGTCGATACAGTAGGACACCGCAAAGTTGTGGTTTTGCTGCCGCGGCACCACAAACTAACGTGATCCACCACCGAGCGCCCACCCCCACCAAGCGCCCACTAACACTAAAATCACTAAATTTTTAACACTAAATTTCTTAACAACTATAGCACCTATTAATAACGCGCTTGCAGCAATTAAATCCTTAACTCTTAGAGAAGATTTTATATACTTAGAAATAGTAGAAAAGTATAGTTACTTATAGTTAACCTTATCTAGATACTACTAGAAAATTTAGTAGGTATATACTACTACTCTACTAAATAGTTAAATACTTAATACTACGTAAGAAAGTAAGCTTATAAAGTATATTAAAGAGCTTTATAAGTAAGGATTACCCCCTATATAGACTATTATTTAAAATTTTGTAACTAAAATAATAGGGAATCTAGTAGGTAAAAATTAGGTATAGCGCTTTATTAACTACTATAATATTAATCTTATCTCCTATTAGGCTACTAGGCTTAATTATAACTACTTTAAAGCTAATTCTACCTTTAAGTATAGCTTATACTTTAAGCTTTTATACTAAAAAATAGAGTAATATAATATTAAGAGTTAGTATATCTATAATATAGATAAGAAAGGTTTTCTTATTAGAGTACTATTAAAAACTAAATATATATTTAATAAGAGTACCTATAAGTAGAGAAAGATTAGAGCTATACTCTAGGATAGTAATAGGGAGTAGATTACTACTATAGCTTATATATATGCTAATTGTACTACTCTTACTCCTATCTTTATTTATTAGTCCTAATCTAGAGCTTTATAAAATACCTAGTTATAAGATTTTAACCTATTATAATACTAAGCTTTCTTTATAGGATTACTAAATAGGTAAATAAGCTATACCCTAGGGGTATCCTAGCTTAAGGAGGTGTTTAATTATAAGATAAAAGCTAAAGCTTATACTTTATACTAGCTCCTTATCCTTAATAGCTATAAATCTTATATAATAATAGAGTTTATTAAATACTATAATAAATATAAGATCCTACTTATAATATATCCCCCTTATAGCACTTATACCCTTTAGCTACTTAATATTATAGTATTTGCTCCCTTTATAGCTTTTGTAACGACTTAGGTAGGTAGGGCATCCAAAAGGTATCCTATACAACTTAAAGGCATATAGGAGTGCGCGTCTATATAGAAGAGGATAAGATTCCTACACCTATAGGTCTTGTACAAAAGGATAAGAAGAATATACCTATCCTAACTATAGGCGAGCTGTTCTCTATATATATAAGTGAGTTAGGCCTTTATTAGGCCTAACTTAGTATAGAATAATAGGTAGGCAATTCTGCCTTATTATTATACTACCCCCTCCTATAGAAAAAGGATAGTCCCTATCCTTAGGATTAGGTTTAGATCCCTTATTAAAGAAGAGCTTTTTGCAAATAATTCTACCTTTACCTCTACCTTTACCTTTACTTCTTCTTCCTAGGGCATAGACCCCTATCCTTAGCCTGCCTATAACTAGCCCTCTACCTACTAACTTTCTTATTCCTATATCCCTAATTTTTTAATTATTTAACCTAATCTATCTAAAATCTAGTAAGTATTTAATCTATATAATTAAATAGTTACTAATCTAAATTAGAACCTTTAGCTATACTAGTACTAGTACTACTAGAAGTCCTCCCTATTACTTATCACGCTCTCTATATAAGAGTAGTTAGGGCTCTAGCTAGGGGTAAGTTTAATAATTTTAATTTTAAGTTAAAGAATTCTAAGAAGTGCTAGTACTATATCTCTTAGAATAAGTATTATAATCTAGTAAGTATCTAAGTCTAATAGGGTTCCTTTACTAATTCTAGCAGATTCCTTCTTTTATTAGCTAAGAGTACTCTACCCTTAGGGGTGCTCTAGAAGAATACTATAGCCTAATTAGAAACCCTACTAAAGGGGATAAGGATAAGGAAGCTATAGTTACCTATGTAGAAGGATATTAAGTAGTTTAAGGCTACTATTTAAGAAACTACCTAAAACCTAGCTAAGTGCGTTACTATTACTAATACTTAGACTAAGGGTATAGAGGCTACTAAAATCCTTATAGCTACTTATTATACTACTATATCTAATTTATATTAGCTTTAGAATAGTATCTATAAAATAGTCTTAGTAGTTAGGGGCTTAATAAAGGCTATAAATAAACTTAAGGAGGAATTAGCACTAAATTAGGAGGCGACTTTCTTAGTGTAGGCTAAGATAAAAGTATTCTATAAGAAGGAGTCTAAATTAGTCCTAGCTCCTATCCCTACTCCTACACCTACTCTAATCCCTGCTATACTAGTTATCTAGAAGCTAGCAAAGAAGGATAGTCTAGGCGCTATCTTAGCTAATATAGAGTCTAAACTAGGTTCTAATAGAGAGATAGATATAGAATAAAGAGGTTTCCTAGGGGTAGTATCCTAGGAACCTTAAAGGTTCTAAATAGGATATAATAATAAATAGTAATAAGAATAATAGTAATAGATAGTAGTTAATAGATAATACATAGCTAAATAGGATATAAATTAGTTCTAATATTAGGTATAATTATTATAAAGTAATATTAGATCCTCTCTACCTTTTTCCTATACTTAAATCTATTTTAGTAAGCTATATAGGGGACCTAGCTAATTTAGATACTATTAGTAGAATACCTATAATTTATAGGGAGCACCTATAAAGTTAGAGGCAGGATACTAAATAGGATTAGGATTGTATCTAACCTACTTAACCTTATATTTTAGCTTAGATTAATATAATTTACTAGCTAGGATTTCTTCTACCTCCTATTCCTCTATACCTTATATAGGGGTACTAGGGGGTTTTAGAGCCTCTTATCTAGGTAATAGGTCTTAGGGATCTTTATATAGTATATTAGGAGAGAAAACGTTATAGATCTTAGAACTAGGTAGTAATTAAAGGTAATACGCGTTTCCTACTTATTCTAATACCTTAAAGGGACCTTCCTATTATTTAGATAGTTTTTAGCTAGGTTATAAAATAGCAAGATTAGTAGTAGATAGATAAATATAGTTACTAACCTTCTAGTTAACTAGATAGTAATAGCAATTAGTAGTAGAGCGTATTTAGTCTTAAGCTCTTTCTATATTTTCTTTAGTAATCTTTTAGGCGTTGTATATCTAAGTAGTAAGGGATAAAGCGTCCTTATAGTTTAGTTTCTCTAGTATAGTAGATAGGGTCTTTTCTAGTTTCTAATACTAACTTTGCTTTAGTAAGGAACTAAAGAGGAGCTAATATAGAGCTATACTAATAGATAAATATAGAAGAGTACTTTAGGCACAGTCTATTATAGGTAGTAGGTTGCTCTAGTTATCTTAGTAATAGGATACAAAAGGCCTTAGTCTCTAATTAATATACTTGTTTATAATCTTAGTTTGTCTATTAGTTTATTTATAGTAGGTAGTAGAGAGCTTAACTTTAGTGCCTATAATCTAATAGAACTTAGACTAGAAACTAGATATAAACTAAGGGCCTTAATTAAAAATAATAGTATCTAGAGTCTATCTAAATTAGTACACCTACTAAATAAATAAGGTAGCTATACCTTAGGCGTCTATAGTTTTGTAGCAAGGGATAGTAATAGCTTGCTTTAATAGGTAATTAATAATAACTATAATCTAATTGTAACTATATTAATCCTAGGGAAAATCCTTAAAATTAATATATAGGTGCTGTATTAGTAGACTAGGGATAAGAAGAAGGTAGAGTATGCTAGGGAGTTAGTGCTATCTTAGGTGCCCTCTCCTATATAGGATATAGTTCTAAACGTAGCGTTTATAGGTAGTCTCTATACCTTTCTAGTAGTAATATTAGGCTAGAATCTAATAGGTTTTAGTGGCTAATAGGTAGGTAGTAGACACTTAATTATAAGCCTTACGAATTAGTCTAGTATATAGGACTAATCTAGCAGGCATGTAAAGTTAATCCTAGTAAAGAAGGAGTCTATTTTCTATCTAATAGTGCTTAGGCAACTCTAATCTTTCTATTAGGAATAAGGACCTATTTTCTTAGAGAAGAGTTTTAATAAGTTCTAGGGATCTAAGAGTTATAGGGTTCTAAACTACTATAATTAAAGCAAGGATTAGTAAGGAATACTTAGCTAGGTAGTCTTACGCTAAGTTAGAGTTAATTTAGGGGTGTAACCTATCTAGGGTAATTATTACTTGTAAACAATTATCTC